ATCAGATTACAGATTTTCCAGTGTTGGTAATACGTTTTGATTATTTTTTTTTTTAAAAAAAAAAAGTTTATCCCACCCACTGAACGAACACAGTTACGCCACAGAGCTTATGCGGAGCGAAAGCATATCATCACAATTCACAACAGTTTGTTCATCGCAAGCACCTCTTCGTTCTTCCTCTTTTTGTTTAAGTTGTTTATGTGAATAACACAGATCGATATATCATTTGCCCTTATCTCAGTTGATTGGCTATGGCTTCTTCAATCGTTTTCGCTGCAACTACGGCTTCTGGGTTTCTCTCTCTTCCTCCTTTCAAGGCTCGGAGATTCTATGTTAGTTCTTCACTCGACACCGATGTTTCCGACATGAGTGTTAACGGTAATAACCAAGTTAAAATTTTGACTCTCCACTTGTCTCCTCTGCATTAGGTTGATTTCTTCTGATGTCTTGGATTATGGGTTTTTGAATTGGATTCCTTTTACTTGAGAAAAAAAAATCGAAAATTTTGGTTGTTTAGATGGAGATTTTGAGAAATTGACATGTATCTGGCGTAAAGGGCGTAGCTTTATGCCACGAACAATCCCACTTTTGAAGAGGATGAGGTTTTTCAATTCTCAGGAATACTCAGTGTCAGTGGCTTTGGGTTTTTCGCAATCTATTAAATTCATGAGAATTTCCGGGGCGTATAAATGAATAATGAACTCTGAAGGTTTAGATGAATCTTTTGGCTTCTCTATGCTAAAGGCAAATCAATAGTATTGGAAATGGAGAGTCAAAGTTATCTTATGTTTTATAGAATCAGATTAGTTTATCCATAGGAAGTAGTAGCGGTTGAGGAATCAAATGACATCTGAAAACTCACTGGAACTCAAGTTTCTAAGTTTCTATTAAGGTTTCATGTTCTTTGTGCGATTGTCAGTCTTTTTCTTACCGGTTAAATGTACTGGTTATAATTGCAGCTCCGAAGGGGCTATTTCCTCCAGAGCCTGTACCGTACAAGGGACCGAAGCTGAAGGTTGCAATTATAGGAGCTGGACTTGCAGGCATGTCAACTGCTGTTGAGCTTCTGGATCAGGGTCACGAGGTGTTTCAATCGCTGCTTTTAGTTTTTCAACCTTTTGATTTTGGTTACATAAATGTGTTAATCATTGTTATTTGTTTCAGGTGGATATATATGATTCAAGGACATTCATTGGTGGCAAAGTGGGTTCTTTTGTTGATAGACGCGGGAACCATATCGAAATGGGACTACATGTTTTCTTCGGATGCTACAACAATCTCTTCCGCTTGATGAAAAAGGTTCTCTTTTTTCTTTGTTTCCCAAAAGTGAGTTTGCTTGATGATTAGAGCTCATTTATGAAGTTTTTTCTGATGTAGGTGGGAGCTGATAAAAACCTTCTTGTCAAAGACCACACTCATACATTTATAAACAAAGGCAGCGAAATTGGAGGTGCGTCTCACTTCATTACATTCCCTTACTATGGTCGCCTCTCTGATTTCACCGTACTGAGGTGTGCATAAAACTTGTAGAGCTTGATTTTCGGTTTCCCGTTGGAGCTCCAATTCACGGTATCCGCGCGTTTTTAATCACAAATCAACTCAAGGTATAAGCTACACTTCTCAATTCGTTTTGTTCACTGTTGGCATTAGAAGATAGAGGCACCTTAATATTCGAGTTCATGTCATAGCAAAAGATTAGTAATTTCTTACTTGTTGTACCAACCTCGAGCTGACTATGCGCTTATTCTTGTTTTGGCCGAACAGCCCTATGACAAACTGAGGAATTCACTGGCTCTTGCATTAAGCCCTGTCGTTAAAGCTCTTGTTGACCCCGATGGAGCAATGAGAGACATTCGCAATCTGGACAGCGTAAAGAATGATTAGATAACCTCTGTTTTTGTTTTCTCGTTTCGAATTTGATGTTCTCTAAATTTTCTGAGGTGGTTTTTGCAGATAAGTTTCTCGGATTGGTTCCTGTCGAAAGGTGGGACACGGGCGAGTATCCAGAGAATGTGGGATCCTGTTGCTTATGCACTCGGTTTCATAGACTGCGATAACATGAGTGCGCGATGCATGCTTACCATATTCTCATTATTCGCCACCAAAACAGAAGCTTCTTTGTTGCGTATGCTCAAGGGCTCGCCTGATGTTTACTTGAGTGGTCCTATCAAACAATATATCACAGACAGAGGTGGCAGGTGTGTGTGTGTGTCTGTTAATATCTATAACAATGGATTCTCACACTTATCATCTCATCGGCTTATCGGATATTTCTGTCCTGTCTTTGAAAACAGAATCCATCTAAGGTGGGGTTGCAGGGAGATACTTTACGATGAATCGGCAGATGGGGAAACTTATGTCACAGGACTAGCAGTTTCCAAGGTGAAATTTTGCAGCTTTTGGTAGAAAAAAAGTTCGAAACTTTTGATACAAAAAGAAGATAACCTTTTTATTGCTTTTCAGGCTACGGAGAAGAAGATTGTGAAAGCTGATGTGTATGTTGCAGCATGTGATGTGCCGGGAATCAAAAGGTTACTTCCAAAAGAATGGCGGGAATCTCGGTTTTTCAACGATATATATGAACTCGAGGGAGTGCCGGTTTGTACGGTACAGCTCAGATACAATGGTTGGGTCACTGAGTTACAAGACGTTGAACTTTCCAGGTTTCTTTCTCAAGAATCTTATGTTGTGGAATGATGATGGATTGATTCTGGGCGGTTTTTACTTATCCAAGTCTTTTGTTAACTGTAGACAGTTGAAACGAGCAGTTGGTCTAGATAACCTTCTCTACACTCCTGATGCTGATTTCTCGTGCTTTGCGGATCTTGCACTCGCTTCACCTGCAGATTATTACGTCGAAGGCCAAGGCTCTCTGCTTCAGTAAGAAATAATAACCTTTGATTTTTGTCTCAGAAACAGCCCGCAGTTCTCTCGGTTCTTGAACCTGAGTTCTTATTTCACAGGTGCGTGTTAACGCCAGGAGATCCGTACATGCGATTAACAAACGATAAGATCATAGAGAAAGTAGCGATGCAGGTACTGTATAAGATCATATATAAACTCTCCAAACTTGAGAAAACTTTTTGCTAAATTGAACTCTTGTTGATTATCAAATCTTTGTTCAGGTCACCGAGTTGTTTCCATCGTCACGGGGTCTAGAAGTCACTTGGTCATCAGTTGTCAAAATCGCTCAGTCTCTGTACCGTGAAGCACCCGGCAAAGATCCATTCAGACCCGATCAGAAGACGCCCGTAAAGAATTTCTTCCTCGCTGGTTCGTACACTAAGCAGGTAAAGCTTTGACACACAACAATTGTTCAGCCACAATGCAAAGCAAGAACTGCCTACAGAATGCGTCTGAGAAAATTCCAACAGTGAGAATTTTGTTTCTGAACTTTTTTTGCAGGATTACATAGATAGTATGGAAGGAGCAACATTGTCGGGGAGACAAGCTTCGTCATACATCTGTGACGCCGGTGAAGAGCTAGCAGACCTAAACAAGAAGCTATCTTCTTCCGCAGATGGAACCTCTGCAACTGCAGTTTCTGATGAGCTAAGTTTTGTCTAATGATGGAAACTGTCTGAAAGTAGTTTCCGTTAGGGCCTGGTTCCCATGGTACAAGAGGAAGAAGCTTTATATAGTGTTCATAAGACTAGGCATTTGTATTATCACAACAATCTCTTGAAACTAAAGATGCTTACAAAATACAATACATCGATTTCAGAGTAATTATTCCCAAAACCTTTACCATAACATTCGTAACGTTTACACAATGGAGACAAAGATTCTTCGCCTTCAGCTTCCAGAAGCTTCTTCTTCGATGGCTTTCTTTGCAGTGTCAAGGTCTTCATCAAGGAAAATGTCCCAATGGCCATCCCAAGTGATGAAGAACTCAGTGTCTTCGTGATACTTAACTCGGTGAACGTCACCGGCCGGAGTGAATAGGTAGTCACCGTCAACGAGATCAGCTCTCTCCTTCTTGCTCAGATTCCAAACGCTCTTCTTCCCCTTGAGAACTACAAGGTCGTGGCCGAATGTGTGGTGGTGCGCCGGCTCTACGCTCCCCGCTACGAACCTTACAATCGCCGACGTAGGCGTCTCCCTCACGATCTTCATCGAGCCTCCCGGCATGATCTCCACGGGAGTGAACTCTCTGTTCTTCGCTAGGCAGCAAATCGCGCATGAAAGTGCTGTTTTATCTGCATGTTTGATTGTTGAATCGGCGGTGGATTTTCCGACTCGTGGCATCTCGGAGAGAGACTTGTCGAGGAAGGTGGAGATTTCGGAGCTCCATGGCTCGGATCCGGATGCAGGACAGGGGGATTTGAACGGTGTTTTAATCCAGGCGTCGAAGATTTCCACGGCGGATTCCGGCGAGGTTTTAATGCCGGAAAGTGCAAGGACGTTGCAATTGCTGATCGATCGAGCGTTCACGGCGTCTTCGACGGAGAGACACGTGGCGGCGTAGACTCCCGGAAACTTGTTGGCGAACATCGCAACTCCAACGCCGGTTCCGCAGCATAACAAGCCGCGAATACCGGATGAAGATGATGCGGAGACGCGGCGGCCGACTTCGGACCCGGCGGAGTAGTACGAGTTCACGCCGGTATCCTCCACGTCTATGCCGAGAGAGCGGAGGTGGGACACCAACGCGTCCTTGAGACTCGCTCCAAACGCATCAGCTCCGGCAATGATTTTCGACGGTATGTTGGCGGCTGAAGCAGCGCCGGCCATTGCTGCAGCATGCAGAGCTTTGAAACGGAATACGACAGTTAGAACTTAGAAGTGACCAGAAGATTCAAGATTCTCTTTAAAAAGTGACCACAAGTTATAATTGTATTTACGACGAGAGACACAAGTTATATTATTTATCCAGTTTAACCCCTAAAGTTATAGGCCCTCAAATCTACGGTATTTCATCATTAAACAATAGTTCAGGGTACATTTAGACGTTTTCAAATCCTTGGGGGTGTGATTTATAAAACGTTTTTTTAAGAAATATGCGGCGGAGCAATTGCGGCGACAACCGTTGTCACGCACTCAGGAAGGAAGAAAATGGCGGGAGTGGCTTGCCATGTATCTATCAGCTCATCATCGACCCTGAGAGTGAGTGGTTTCTCTTGATTTGCTTATCGTCTGTGGCGATTTACAATTCCTTCGCTTTCAATGTTGAGTTATTCGTTTTGCAGAGGGTTGGTCGTCGGCCGAGATGCTTCTCTGGATCGCCGGAAAAGAAAACTCCGGCTATGTTGAAGTGGGCTGTTGGCGGAGTCACTGAATTGCTCAGACTGTTCTCCGTCGCTTCGTCTCCTTCTTCCTCCATTCCTAAAAATAAGGATAAGTAAGTAAATATCGACAGCTTTCAATTAAGGTTTCTTATTCCCCCCTGTGTTCGTGAGAGATCGATTGAAACTGGCTACAGATCAAATTCCGAGGTTACTGCTCGAGATGTTGATGATGTGATGGGTATTTTGAGATCAGATTATGGAAATGCCTATTTCGTCACAGGTACTTGACTCTCTCTGCTCTTGGTCACGTCTTTAGATTCTGGAATTTGCTTTGCTATCCAACTCAATCCGATTGCGTTTTCTAAAGACTATGGAGTGAATTCGTTGTTGGAATTTGCTGAAATTCACCATAGCTAAGCTTTCGCAATCACTAACTGCTAAAAAATGTTACCAGGGATCTTCACTTGTGCAATTTACTCGGATGATTGCATCTTCGAGGACCCGACAATCAGCTTCCAGGGTGAGGAATTACATAATCCTCTTCTGAGTTTCGTGTGCTGTCTTAACAGTTGTAGAAAGAAGCTGATGTTCCTGCTCTCTGGTTTTGTTTGGTGGATTGGCTTTGTTATTGTCTATCAGAATCATAAGTCTTGACATGAGAAATGAACTAGTCTCTTTTGGGTTTCGGGGTTTGCAGGTACAGAGCTGTATGAACGCAACTTGAGATTACTGGTTCCGTTCCTCGAAGATGCATCCATTGAGCTGCAAAATATGGACAAGGTGTATTGCCTTTGTAGATTCAAGTTCCATGTGGTATATGCTCTTAACGTTGTAACACATTACTAACATTGCAGAGTGAGTCATCCCAAAGAAACTATATACTGGCGACGTGGAAGCTAAGGTATACTTCTGATGACACTTGTTTTGAGAACGTGTTGCGACTTGTGCGTCATCTTAATGTTTTCATCTCTTGAACTCTATGTTTCAGGACTTACCTGAAACTTCCGTGGAGACCGTTGATATCGATTAACGGAAGTACGGTCTATGAACTGGATACAGACTTCAAAGTAAGAAGAGACGAAAACTTTTGCTCCGTTGATCATAATAAAGATAAAGATTATTCATTTGTTTTGTTTTTTTTCTTTTAAGATTGTGAGGCATGTCGAGAGCTGGGATGTTTCAGCGGTTGAAGCAGTCAAGCAGATATTCACCGTCACTTCTTTTCCCTCCCGTGGCTGAGAGTGGAATTAATTTCTTTCGTAACTGCGGAATTGATCATGTGTGGTACTAATATTTATAGTTTTCCTTTAAAATGCAGTGGCTCATTTCATCGTTGATTATTGAGAGACACTACATTTTCTGATATTTATAGAAAAGTATTATTTATATATGTATGTTAGTATTACTTTTGAAGAATATGTATTATTTACTCGATTGTTTTAAATGATGTTACTTTCTTAGAACTAAATAACTGATGTATTATCTTTCTTTTCTTTTTTTTTTGCTGAATAACTGATGTATTATCTTTCTTAAAATCTTACGAGATTTGACGATCCCTCAAACATGGCTTTTGTTGATTTTTTTAGCGCATATATATATTCTGACGTTTTGAACAAACAAAAATATATATATATATATATATATATATACTTAACTTTGTTCCAAGGTTCTTTTCTTGACTATTGAGTATTTTAATTTCTCAGTTATTATTAATTTACAAGATTTTTTAAAAGAAAATGAAATGGATAGTTTGTGTTAAGTCTGGCTTATATCTTCTATATTATTGGATAATTTCTAGTTTCCACACTTGCGAGTTGACTATTTATTCTATTGTTATTAGATTTGACATGTATATATATATATATTTTTTAATGTGAATTTTTGCAATTTTCGTTTATTGAAGTTTGTAGTGGAAGCAGCAGCCCAAAATATACAGAACCAGTACATTTAGTTTAGAGCAAAACAAACAAAATGGGTAGAAACAAACAAACAAACACATAAACGGGATCAAAGTAAATATCCGTTACCAATTGATAAGAAAACCATAATATTATTTTTTGACCAAGGGTTAAAATCAATCGTAATTTTTCATGGTTATTATCGATCAGTTGTAACGTTTGTTGTATCACTCATATCAATACTAATTATGTTAAGCAAATGTTCAAAAAAAAAATATACTAATTATGTCCAAGCATATCCTATCAATAACCACCATTATTTTGTCAGCTAATAGTACTATTATTTATATCACAAAATTTAAAAATACCAATGATGTATACTACTACAGAGATTAGACGGATAGTTGGATCCATATGCATAATTAATTTAATATTCGTTAAGTGACAACGAGGCAAATATTGTCAGTATCTTACAAAAATAATTTTGTTTTATTAGTATTAGTTAATTGAGGTTAGGTGTTGTGAACTTGTGGTTGCTTTTGGGATTACCTTACTCGTTATTTCCGTACGGGCAACCATGGAATCACCAGCAAAGTAGTCAAAACAAGGTCTAAATTATTTATTAATTAATCATTATTAGTAACTGGCAATAAAGCTAATCACATTATTTTTATTGGTTATTGTTATTTTTTTACCAATGTGGTAAAGTTCTGTTTTCTTGCTGGTTTGTCTAATCACACCATAGGAACATTATGAAAGAAAAAAATTGAAGACTCATATGTTCTTTGTAACCCTTTAGCACAAAAAAAACCAATGTGATTACTGTAACCTGCAAGGTAAATAACTGAAAAAACAAGTTTAACTTCAATTATTTTCATTTTACTATCCATGATGAACTACTTGAATAATTTATGAATATTGGGAAATTTTCCAACAATGAATTTAGTTCACATGTGCATGTTATCATGGCATCATTTGTTAGAACTCGAGTATGAAATTTATGAAGTATTCTGCATGAAACATAACCAACAGTTATCAACGACTCATCATGACACGTTGCTTTCATCCTCATTTAAAAAAATGACTCTTTTTTACCATCAATGATTAACTACTTAAATAATTTGTTACTATTCGAGAATGAAAATTTTAAATATTTCATATGTGCATATTATCAAAGCAGAAATTGTTAAAACTCGAATATGAAATTTAAGAAATATTCTGCGTGAAACACAACGAAAAGTTATCACCATGACATTACCATCACGTCTTACTTTAAAGGTTATATCTCTATATCAATTGTGCTAAAAATAAGAAACTCTAGATCGTAGGTTGCCTAATCTGTTGATAAAATTATCGTTATTTTCTATCGCAGCCACCTTCGAGCTCTTTTAACATTTTTTTACTGGAATATAAAATCCAGTCCAAAGTTCAAACAATCTAGTAAAACAATTTAGTGCTAAGTAAAATTGACATTTGCAATTGACAAACAAAAAGTTAGTAGATAACTGCAGTAACCTGTATAAAATAACTTTTAAAAAGGATAAATACCAATAAAACAAAATTTTATGATAAAGTTTAATGGTGTGAGGAAAAGGCCAAATTGGATAAGATTTGTGGTTGGTCTGATTCATTATCACAGCCAAAGGCTTATTTGCTTTTTCATTTTAAAAGGCTATGATGATCGTGCATGTCTTTGTATTCACCCACATGCACATGTGTGTTCTTCGTCTAAAATAAGATCCCCCCCCCCCCCCCCCCCCCCCAGGCCCCCATTGATCTTTTATGGTTTATTAAATATATACTGTGGTTATGTTTGCCGTTAGCAGTTATAATAATCTTAATTAAAGTTTTTACAGAACTATATAAATTTGAACTTAATTGTACTGTATTTTGCATATGATTATGGTTCACTGTACTACATATCTGATTTATATTTGAATTGATGTATGGTCAAGATATATATCATGTGATAAAACAAGCAACTTGACACGTGGCGAAACTAGCCTTTGTTGCCTCCTTCGGAACATCCAGTCGACATGCTAATGTATTGTCTCGCTGTCTCCAGTCCCATTTTAGGTTTTCATCTGAGTGTTTTCTTTTCCTTTTCCAAACTCGTAATTATTGGTAAACATTCGTTAGTTATATAGCATATGAGAGTGTTTTCCTTTTTTCAAACTTATAATAGTAAACATTAGTTAGTTATATATAGCACTGTTGTCTCGTGGTAGAAGTAGGCTACTCGTTACGATTGTCTAATCTTAGTTCTAGTTTCAGTTTTTTTTTTTTTTAAATGCAGTGCAGATATTTACATGTCAAAGTAATTATAAATTTTGGTAAAATTATTATGATGTTTATTTATACATTTGCTGATATGCATGTTATGAAATCGGGAGATGACAAAGAGTATATATATTTCACAAGAAGTGTTTTTCTTCGCTCACTCAAATTTATTTCTTTTTTAAGTTTAAGTATTAGAAATATTGCATTTGAAATAAGAGGACACTTTATAATAATACATTTAAATGTATGTCAATAAATTTTAAGATGGGAATGTGGTTCAAATTCCAAATATAATAATACATTATCGACCTTAAAATAGAATACAGTTTGAGATTAGCCAAAAAACCCCCATACATATTCAGCAAAAAAAAAAAAAAACCCATACAATCACTCTCTGAGAATATCTTTTCATTATGAAATTAGCGTAAACATCATGTAATACATTAATTTCCAATCGGTGTCGAATTAATAATCAAAGAGACTTGACGCAAAACAAGTCAGCAAAAGAAATATCGAATAATTCACTTAATATTATATATGGTCAAAATTCGTAGGCCATTTGGGATACAATCCCCGCCCCCCACATTACTGAACGTAATCATACAACAATTATCGTTTCAAAATATTCAAATAACAATAGTTGAAATGATGACATATATAAACCATGTAAAAATACGTCTACAATAGTCGATCTATACCATAATTAACAATTTATTTTTAAAGGAGTGGTGCAATTTTAATTATTCAGCTACTTTTAAACTTTTTCCCAAAAAGTTAAAACGACTCCTAAAATCATAATTAATTTATAAATCACCCACATAAATAAGTAGTAGAATTGACCACCCTACTTAATAAGTAGACCGTATAAACCGTTGCTATCATTGAGACGTATATAACAGTTGACAAAAAAAATTTAAAGTATCTAACATAAACTAAAAAAAAAAAAAACTATTGATATTTTGTTCTAGTTTTACCCCTTTTGGACCACCGTCCCGCATGTAACGCACACCGTCTTTGTCTTCTCTCACGAGGTGGTTGTATTTCTCTGTATTAACTATTAACACCTAAAAATAAAAACTTCCATTGAACTATTGGAGAAAGCTTGGCTTGTCTCTCTTCTAAGCTCAAATCCCCTTCTCTCTCTCTCTCTCTCTCTCTCTCTCTCTATCACTATAGAGTATTTATTATAATGTAATAATAAGAGTATTCGCAGATACTGTTCTTATCTACATGAGTTTCGTATCTTCTCTGTTCAACTCGTTATGTCAGAAGAACTAGTTGATTATGAAGAAATTTCTATAAGAAGAAACCCAAACTCACCCATATTAAAAAAGAGAGAAATTTGTTGGTAGATCTAACTATATATACACTCTTCTTTTTCTTTTTGGACTTTTTTTTTTTTGTTCTGATTGGGAGAGGAAAGATGAACAATCTGAGTTATCTCGAACCAGATTACTCTGAGTTTGTTGAAGTTGATCCTACTGGAAGATATGGAAGAGTAAGTTTGCCTATCAATTAATCTCTCGAAATCACATCTCAGTTATTATTTTGTTTGATATTTGCTGAGTTTGTTGTTGTTGTTGTTGCAGTATAATGAAGTTCTGGGTAAAGGAGCTTCAAAGACTGTGTAAGAATCAATTCTCTTACTTGATTTCACCTTTTCTTTTCTCTTTTCTGCAAAATGTTTCTGTTCATGTTCGCTCAAAAAATTTCAGTTTTTCCTTTTCTGGATCTGGGGATGGATTTAACCCTTTCTTCATAAAGCTTGTAACTTTTCGATTTCCCAGTCAAACCCATTTGTGATCCATTTTCTTTCAATTTTGGGTTTTTTTTGTGTGTTCCGTTCATGTTTGAATCTAGACTAACGAGTAAGAAGACAAAAAGTTGAGCCTTTTTTCTGCTTATTCGAATCACTTCTAATTCGGTAGATTAATTTCCCACAACAGAAAAAAATGCTGTTTTTGGATCTCTTTTTATTGCTTTGACCTAAACCCAGTTCGGATTCTGCAAAACAAAGAGCTTCTTTGATCATACACACATTTTAAACGTTTTCTCCTCCCTTTCTTTTGATTTTGTAGTTACAGAGCATTTGATGAATATGAAGGGATAGAAGTAGCATGGAACCAAGTGAAGCTCTACGATTTCTTACAGAGCCCTGAGGATCTTGAGAGGCTTTACTGTGAGATCCATCTCCTCAAGACCCTAAAACACAAGAACATCATGAAATTCTACACCTCTTGGGTCGACACCGCTAATCGAAACATCAATTTTGTCACTGAGTTGTTCACTTCAGGCACCTTGAGACAGTAAGAGTCTTTCTCCTAAACAAAACCTTGGTCTCTGTGGTATTAGTTTTGTCATGAGAGGGTTTTTGATTCGGTGAAATGGATCCAGGTATAGACTGAGGCACAAGAGAGTGAACATAAGAGCGGTGAAGCATTGGTGTAGACAAATCTTGAGAGGCTTACATTATCTTCACAGCCATGACCCTCCTGTAATCCACAGGGATCTCAAATGTGACAACATTTTCGTTAATGGGAATCAAGGAGAGGTCAAGATTGGAGACCTTGGCCTCGCTGCCATTTTAAGAAAGTCCCACGCTGCTCACTGCGTCGGTATAATAATCAAAAGCCCTACATGCTTCTCTGCTGAGTTGTTTCTTGTTTTTGTGATTGTGAAAGTTTTCGGCTTTTTTTGTTAGGGACGCCTGAGTTCATGGCTCCTGAAGTCTACGAAGAAGCGTATAACGAACTGGTCGATATATACTCGTTCGGTATGTGCATCTTGGAAATGGTTACATTTGATTACCCCTACAGCGAGTGTACTCACCCTGCTCAGATCTACAAGAAAGTGATGTCGGTGAGACTCTCCGATTACTTAACAAAAATATACAAAACAGCTTCATCTCTTTCTGTTTCAAAAGGCCGTGAGTTTTGAGTTAAAAAGTTCGGTTTCAGGGCAAGAAACCGGATGCATTGTACAAGGTGAAAGACCCCGAGGTTAAATATTTCATCGAGAAATGCTTGGCCACCGTATCGCTTAGAGTCTCTGCGCGTGAGTTACTGGATGACCCTTTCTTTCGAATAGACGATGGTGAATTTGATTTGAGATCAGTTGATATGGATGATTCGGTCGGGCCACTTGTGAGGCCACCACATCATCTCTCTGACTACTACAATTACCCGTCGAACAGTGGCTCCTTGAACCGTCAGTATTCAAATGGTTATAGCGGCCACCACGAGTATCAAAACGGATGGGCGTATAATCCAGCTGAGACAGAGGAGACTCACGGAATCGAGCTCTTTGAGTGTCGAAACGGAAATGATCAAGAAGAAGACAAGGGCTCTGGTAATGTTGATATAAGCATCAAGGGCAAGAGAAGAGACGATGGTGGCTTATTCTTGCGTCTTAGGATCACCGACAAAGAAGGTAAACAACATTCACTTTATTACTCTTGTCCCTTTAACCTATAAGAAGATGAGTGTAAAGAGACGGAACATTTGTGGTGGCAGGGCGTGTCCGAAACATTTACTTCCCATTTGACATCGAGACAGACACGGCACTGAGCGTTGCAACAGAGATGGTAGCGGAACTTGATATGGACGATCACGGAGTCACCAAAATCGCCAACATGATCGACGGCGAGATATCTTCTCTTGTGCCTGGTTGGAGACCGGGCCCTGAATTCGAAGAATGTCTAGCGGCCGCGGCGGCTGCAAACGCGAACATCTGTAGCAACTGCGTGTCGAACCGCACCTCGATGGGCTCGGTGATGGACTTCCTGAGGACCAATCCTGGAGCAAACGTTGCACAATGTTGCAGAAACGGGTGCGGTGAGACTCATGGCCGGTTTGAAGAGATCACAATAAGAGAAACAGAGGTTCGTCTCAGAGAGATCTGGAGGCTGCAGCAACAGCAGGAAAGCCGAGAGCTTAGCTCGATAGATTCGGGGCAAAACCACTCTGAAGAAGACGAAGAAGAAGAGGAAGAAGAGCCATACGATGACCCCGAAATAACCTTCTCTTGCGAGGCAAGTAACGCGATAAACCATCTATCGGGTTCTGGATCCTTCTCGTTTTTGCCGTCCATATACTGCGACGAGCTAGCCGAGAAAACCGAGAATCAGGTCCAACAAGAGTTAAGATGGATTAAAGCCAAATGCCAAATTGAGGTCAGAGAGATGCAGGATGAGCACTTAAAATCCCGGTGGCCGGAATCCGGAGAAGAGGCGGACGGATTCTCGGGTTCGGTTTCGGGCTTGGAAAGAGGAGACGAAGATAAGGTGAAAGAGAAGATGTTTGGGGGAAGATTGGTACCAAAATGTCTTAAAAGGACAACTTCGCTTCCCGTTGATGCCACTGATTCTTGATTACTTTGTGTTTCTTCTTCATGTATACACATATTGTTTGCTATTGCAAGACTTACAGGGTAACACATAAGTATACTTAAAAGAGATCAACTTCAATTCTTTTGGGGATATTCGATCCCCTCTCAAAAATTTAGTTTGTGAAAACTTGAAAATGCAATAACATTTTTAAAAATGTTTATTTTGTTACATTTAAATCATTTTGTAGGAGATAAGCTTTTTTATATAAAAAAAGAACATTAACATAAATATGTTCTTCAAATGTAAATTTGAAACTAAAGTACTGAAGGGAGGAGATAGGGACAAAATAGTCAATTATAAGTGCAACCCCACAGCAGTACAGGGCCATGTTCTATTGCCGACCAATCTACTAGAAATTTGGGTTCATCCACATGCGTTGGTATTTTTTCCATTTCATTTTAATCAAAATTTTAATTATATATATATATGTGTGTAAATAACATGGTTGGTTTGTCGTTACTATATGATTATTATTATATCAATGGTTGGGACTTTTCAATAAGACTTTTTTTTTTTTTTTGTCGATATCTACACCAAATTAAGTTGTACGCCTGGTTTAAACTTTCAACAGTGACAGAAAAATTAATCTCAACTCTCAAGCTTTATGACAAAATTATTAGTACTACCTTTTGTAGATATTTTGTATATACATATCACACACACACAAAAAAAAGAAGGAAAAAATAAACATCACACGCATCAATTTTGTTACAATCACATGTGACTCTCATGTCATGTGGTAAGCTTATATACAATATGTTATCTTCTACGATAGAACAAAATCTGAAGTTTCATCGAATCATATCTTGGAGATCTAGATATAGGTAGATGATAAAATCTTCTATGAAATATTAGGGTGATCATTGTGGTCGTTATGATTCATTCAATTATTTTTGTAGATATGTAGTTTCATGTGTTCTCATAAAGTTTTGATTTAGTTGCATTTGCATATACATATATAGGATCAACAACAAAGAACGATGAAACGATCCTAACCACAATTAGTGTTGAATGGCAACAAAAAAAGAAAAGAAGATTTAACATGAAAATGATGTATTATAAATATACCCTATCCACATTTCAAACTCGGAAATCTATGTGAAATAGTTTTAACATGAAAATGATATATATTATACACCCTGTCCAAAGTTCAAACTCAGAATAAAGAAAATCCAATTGAAGTAAGCGAATAAAAAAGATAATGAAAAATAGTAGGGACATATGAAGAAATGAATTAGGTTGACCCAATCAATAAAAGAAGAAGATAGCAATAATTCATCTTACGAAGCAAAATCTTATATGGGTCGTTCATTGATGACATGTGGTATTGAATATGTACAGATCAACGTACTCTTTTCGTACCCAACTCCACTTCAGTGCCAACCATTCTTCTCATGTCTTCCTCCACTTATTTTTTCTTGTCGGTCCTTAAAATCTTTTGCCTCATTGTTTTTCTTATTCATTTACACATTTTTTATACTTACACTCTTCTCATATAAAAGTCCATCATTATGAGTATTATATAATGCAAAGAGGGTCATCACTGGCAAATAATAATTAGTAGATGATATATAAATATAGCACCATTTGTTTTCTCCATCTTAAATTTATGGTCGAATCGAGTTCGAGAGTACAAACTTCAAATTATCTTTTGCGGTGGAAAGCCAACTCATCTCGACATTCGCGTGTGTGTGGCTATAATAAGACCAACAAACTTATTAATATTTACAACTCTTGACCAAAAGTTTCAAAATTTATCATTATTTTTAGCCATTTACTATACTTAAAATCATATTAATAAAATAACCCGTTAATATAAAAAGTGTCAAAACGAGTTTGCATCCAACTAAACAAAAATCGACTGCTGCTACACGAACTGGTTCAGTACTTCAGTTCAAGTCATATATTTCATGATATTGACATTCATTAATTCCAATTCAAATCGTTAAAACTGAACGAGCTTCAGTCTTGTATTTATATGCCGAAATTATTGGTTAAAAATTGAATATATTTTTTTTGTTACACTTGCAAAAAGAAAAAAAGACGTGGCTGACAAAACAAAAAAATGAAAAAAGAAAATAAAATACAATTAGGCTATAACATATTTAGGCCCTTTGGACTCTTTTTTGGTTTATTTCTTCCAAACCTGAAATTCAAAAACGGATTTCATTTTGAGACTAAGATTAAGTAAGCCCAACAAAGATTAAGGCCCAGTATAATCAGATAGAGAGAAAACCCTAACGAGCCTTGGTATATAAAAGGTGCGGCTTGCTTTCCGCGTCTCTTTCTTTTACCCGAGCGGACGAACTAAAGCTTGCAGAGATCTTCGTTTGATCCCGGAGAAATCGCAGCAATGGCGGAAAAGGCAGTCACCATCAGAACCCGAAAATTCATGACCAACAGACTTCTCTCCAGGAAGCAGTTCGTAAGTTCCATTTTCTCAAACTCTTGTCTATTTCTCTATTAAGCTAATCGGCGCCTTCTGCGTTTGGCTATATCGGCTTAGATACAATTTGATCCAAAGAGGGTTGTTTGTTTCTTCAGTAAATTGTAATTTTTATTTGGCTTTGACGTCTTAGATTCAGGTTTTCATATCTTTAAACGTAATGGAAAGAGAGTGTTTGACGCCAACATGTTCTATTGATATCGGGGGAATTGAGAAGAGAGTGAATTGATAGTTTCCGAATCTGAGTAAATGGTTTTTAGCTAACTTTTATTGTTGAACATCGAAAGTCTTATAACTCATCTAGTGTTGATTTGGCGATATTCTATTAGTTACAAGAGATATTTTGGATGGATTACTAATGTCACGATGTGTTTTTACATATAGGTTATTGATGTTCTTCACCCTGGAAGAGCAAATGTTGCAAAGGTATGTTTTTTTTAGTGTTGCTTCATCTCTTTCGAGCTATGATCATAGACTGTTCGAAGGTTTTAACAGAAGTCTTGGTTTTGATGATTTGAAATAAAAAAGGTTGAGCTGAAGGAGAAGCTAGCAAGGATGTATGAGGTCAAGGACCCAAATGCGATCTTTGTTTTCAAATTCAGAACCGCATTTGGAGGCGGTAAATCTTCCGGCTTTGGTTTGATCTACGACTCTGTCGAGAGCGCAAAGAAATTCGAACCCAAGTACAGACTTATCAGGGTAATTACTCTTTCTACTCTTTGTCTTCCTATCATTACTCTTGATCATTAGAGTTAGTGTCTGCCTCTTCTGAAAACTTTTAAGCTCTATGATTAATGTTTCACGATTCTATTTTATTGTTATGCTTAAATGGTTGCTTATGTGATTGGCAGAATGGACTTGACACCAAGATCGAGAGATCAAGAAAACAGATGAAGGAAAGGAAGAACCGCGCGAAGAAGATCCGTGGTGTTAAGAAGGTGAGACTTACTGTTACTAATGACTCTCTCTTTACGCACATCTTGTTACATAATTGGATTCTATATTCATCATTTTTTGTTTTTGTTTTACTGCTGCAGACAAAGGCTGGTGATCCCAAGAAGAAGTGAGATCTCAAGACAGTAACGGCATTTTCGGTTCTTGTTCTGCATAATCACCTTTTATGTTACTTTTTCTTTGCCTGCTCTTAGATCTTTTCTCCAGCTAGACATCTATACTAAATCTCGAGCTTTTTTTGTTTCTTTTGTTTCACTCGATTTTTTGTTTAATTTTTAATCTCATATATTCAAACTGAAGCAAAATGAACCAAAAATCGTCATTCTGAATCTAAATCGAAATACTAATATAACCTTGATTATCCGAAGCTGATTCTAACTTGATCTTTAAAGTATCCTATCCGAATTCCTAGGTATAGACTTATAAAAAATAACATCTAAACATATTATCTGTTTTTGACAAATAAATGAATTTTAATTGCGGTTTATGTCGGCATGTCACATGGTGTTAAGTGTTAACTATGTCCCAATTGGAAAATGTAATAACGATATGCCACAGAATCGCGTTTACGGAAACACACTTTAGAGACTTTGGTTGGGCCCGAGAGACGTCAGGGCACAACTGACCGCAATAATAAGCAAGTGCGTGTAGGAGTGGGTGACCACTTTGCCTAGTCGTAAACGTTTACGGGAAGTGAAATACCGAAACTAGCCCTGGTTGGGTCGAAGAATCTCATGTCCCTACCACCCAAATCACGAGCTGCGTACCAATCCCATCCTCGTGAACCCACTTCTCTCCAACTGGATCTGGTTCAGGAGCTCAAGGAGCCACATCTCTTCTCCTCGAATCTTTTGCGTCTTGTTTCGTGGAGATGACATCGGACCACCGCGACGACGCTGCTTTCTCTCTGGAATCGCCGGATCTGGAGGAAGGAGGTGTTGGGGATGGAGGAGAGTCTGATACCGACGAGGATTTGCGGGAGAACGATGATGTGGTCATGCCTGCCGAGGACGACGATCCCGAAGAAGAAGAGCTGAATTCGCCGTCTACATCGTCGCTCCCCATGGTTTCCACGGTCTCGGCGACTGCGGTCGTTTCCGGGAACGCGACGACTTCCCCTACAGGCGCCGTGACCGTTGCGCTTCCGGCTGGATCCGCCGTACCCGTCTCCGTAATTCCGGTTGACTCCGATCCCAAATGGCACCGCATGACGGAGATCGTCCATCAGAGACCGCCGATCGACGACTCCAGACGCCTTTTCCAGAGGCTGTGGACTGATGAGGACGAGATCGAGCTCCTCCGTGGCTTCCTCGACTACATAACGTCGCACCGAGGCAGCAGCTCGCATCCGCCGGACACGGCGCCGTTTTACGAGCAGATAAAGTCGAAGCTTCAGCTTGATTTCAACAAGAACCAGCTGGTGGAGAAGCTCCGGCGACTGAAGAAGAAGTACCGGAATGTGATGAGCAAGATCAGCTCCGGCAAAGAGGTATTCTTCAAGAGCCCCCATGATCAATCAACTTTCGAGATTTCTAGGAAAATCTGGAACCAAACCGGGAAAATCATAGGGTTCGAAGACAACAACGTGATGGATTTCGAGGAAACCAATAACAATCACCATGGAAATGGTAACTACGCAGCCTTTAACAGCCCCAGCTCTAATCCTGCTCTCGAGATCGATTCCGAAAACGGAGCCGAGAGGAAGCTGACCATGAGCAGCACAAGCGGGTCCAGAAAACGATCAAGATCAAGAATTGGGAAGATTGAGGAAGACAACAAACCCATCACTCCCTCTGATGCGCAAATACCAAATGCAGCCACAAATGTCAACCTCAATGAATCTGCCGGAATTGGTGGAAACCTCGGTGGTCTGATCGAAGAGACTGTGAAAAACTGTGTATCTCCTGTGATCAAGGAGATGATGAACGGGACAGCAAGCATGATGATGGCTGCGATGGGAGGGTTTTCAGGCGGCGGTGGTGCTGCTGCTCATGGCTTTGGCTCATTAAGCCCCATGTTTACACGGCCGTTGGGTTATGGTGTAGAAGGAGGAGGAAACAAGGCAGTGGCGGATGAGCGGTGGAGGAAACAACAGATTCTGGAGCTGGAAGTGTATTCAAGGAGATTAGAGTTGGTTCAAGAGCAGATTAGAGCGACACTGCACGATTTAAAGACGATGCCGAGTGGTGGATGATGAAGCAAGCAAGAAGAATAAGACGATGACGACGACGACAAAGACAAATAACCAGTTAGGTTGATATTTGATATCTCTGAGTTAAACCTTCTGGGGGGTGTGTGTGGTGAGTATAGTTTATGAGATTTGAATCTTTTTCAGTTATAAATCTGCTAAGGTATTGTGATTTTTCTCTAGGGGTTTTCATCATTTTGGATTTTTTCTTCTTCTTAAATTATTTGTCAATAGGGATGAATCATAGGGGTGGGGGTTTGTGTATAACCTTTGTATTAGATTATAGTTTTCTCCTAGGCTCATTTGTTCAATAACAAACAGACTTCTACTTATTTTTCTTTTCTTAGAAAAAAAAGCAATATTTTTAAACTTTGTGGCTGCTAATCTCATCTTTGTTTAAATAAAATGTTACTATGTAATACCGTATTTGTTTCGCCTTTTGTTTGTTTCTTGCTATTCCCTCCATGTATATCATCTTCACAGATCAAATCTGTATTTATGTCTTCTAGTATTCTACAGTCTTTATTTCACTACAAACCGAGAATATGTATTCTACAATCTTTTATTTCACTACAAACCGAGAATGTGTATTCAAAATCGTTATTTCATTATGAACAACAAAACAAGAAACGAAAAAAATCAATCTTTATTTTAATTTATCATCCCGCAAATTTGGTAAAAAACAAAATAAAAATAAATGTATATACGTAATCATTGCTCTACGCTTTGTATTATCCATTGCTTTTGTTCAGTATTCACTTATTCACCACTGAATAATTCTTTCACTTTCTGGACAGTCTATACACTTCTTCAGTTGGATCTCGAACTTGGTAAGCTCTTTGAGTTTATATTCTTTTGAACTGTTCTTCTGTTTTGCCTCCTCCGTGTGCGACTCGCATCATATACTGAGAAATTCATTTGTGTAATCATTGTTTTAGACTTGGTTTCTGTATTGTAATGTTTCACTGCTAAATCTTAAACTAGTCTAATGCACGTATCTTCCTCTGTTCACATTTCTGCATTCTCCGAGAATATTCTATCCAGCCTTCTTCGGATTTCTGAACCAATGGACATTGATTTCCTGCAGACTTCGTTTTTTGATCTTCGGTACTCAAATTGCGTAATTAGATCTCGCAGGAATTTCAAAGAGCCTTAGCATGGAGTGCTCAATCAAGGATGACGTGACTCAAGTAAATCCAAATCTTTCAACCTTATATATTTTAATCAATTGCTTTGTTGGACTAAAGAAGGTTGTCTGAATCTTCTCTGTTCAAGTTATGTACTTTGTTCCATGTGCTGTTGCACTCTGTGACAGTTGATAGGTGACACCCCAATGGTGTATCTGAACACTATCGTGGATGGCTGTGTTGCTCGTATCGCGGCTAAGCTTGAGATGATGGAGCCTTGCTCTAGTGTCAAGGACCGGTATATATATATATATATCTCATTCTTGTTTGCTCCAAGAAGTATCTCTTCATTTTCTTTCTTTCTGATTGAATGATGTTCCGCTTGCTAGACTTGCTTATGGTATGATTAAAGACGCAGAAGACAAGGGATTGATTACTCCAGGGAAGGTACAACGATTGACTCATACAATCCATTTGATTTTGAATCAAACTGTAACTTAAATCTTATGTGGTTTAATTTACTTCAGAGCATATTGATTGAGTACACATCTGGTAACACCGGGATTGGTTTAGCCTTCATCGGGGCAGCAAGAGGTTACAAAGTTGTGCTCACAATGCCTTCATCAGTGAGCCTTGAGAGAAGAATCACTCTTTTAGCATTAGGTGCAGAGGTTCACCTCACAGATCCGAGCAAAGGCGTTAAAGGATTACTCGACAAAGCTGCTGAGATGTTAAGCAAAACTCCAGGTGGTATCATGCTGGATCAGTTCATAAATCCTTCAAACCCACAAGTATGTATGGACTCTCCTTTCACATCCTCTCTTTTTTTTTTAGTTACTCTCTAAATTTGGTTTCTCTGCAGACTTACTACGAAACCATGGGTCCAGAGATATGGAGAGACTCTGCAGGGGAAGTGGATATATTGGTTGCGGGTGTTGGGACTGGTGGAACGATTTCAGGAGCGGGTAAGTTCCTCAAGGAGAAGAAGAAAGACGTTAAGGTACAAACAAACAGATACTTAAGGCTAATCATATCTCTTGAGAAACATTTTGTTTATACATTCGAACTTTTCGAGATCTTCGTTTTATCAACAGGTTTATGCGGTGGAACCTACAGAAAGTGCAGTACTCAGTGGAGGCGAACCGGGTGAGTTGGTGTCTCTCTTATGAATCAAAAGTCCCTTAGCAAAAAATCATTTCTTGATCAGTTACTACATGGTTCTGGGATTTCTAGGTTCGCATCTTATCCAAGGTATTGGGGCTGGAATCATCCCAGACAATTTGGATTTCAGCGTTCTTGAAGGAGTCATTCAGGTAATGTACCTGAGGTTTTGTCGGTTTTTGTCTTCGTGTCAGAGAAATCAAACTGAGACCTTATTGTGTTTTCAGGTGACAAGTGTGGAAGCAATTGAAACAGCCAAACTTCTCGCCCTGAGAGAAGGGTTGCTGGTACATATATACAATCTCCGGTTTGACAATCTTGGGTTGGTTTAAGCCATAAAACCAACGTTTCTGATAGATGTTAACGTCTGGCAGGTGGGAATATCTTCCGGAGCTGCTGCAGCCGCTGCGATAAAGGTGGCAAAACGGCCAGAAAACGCCGGGAAGCTCATTGTTGTAAGTAAAACAGAGTTATACAGAACTTTTTTAAAAACCGAAATCATGCCCGATTTTTAAATTAATCTTTTCTGTTTCATTCCGGTTTTCAGGTGGTTTTCCCCAGTGGCGGGGAACGTTACTTATCGACTAAATTGTTCGACTCGGTCCGATGTGAAGCAGAGAATTTGCCTATTGAATAAGCCTTTTCTTGTTTGGTTTTTGTAATTGAATGTCACTTATATATATACTACCTGACTCGATTCGGTTTTATAAAAGTACTAAGATACCGGTTCGAGTGACATTTACATTTCGTAAACTCCAAAACTTGAGTTTGACATTCTATGGTTTTCGTTTCCTGGGTTTAAAACTTTTTTCAATTTTTTTGTCAAGCATCAAAGTGCTCTTTGACTTTAAATTTAAAATAGTTTGCATCAAGAAAATGTGTCCCGGTTAAAAATATGTAAAGAGCAATGCATGTACCGTACGTAATGTATGATAAGAAAGTTGATACGTTTAATCCAGATTTTTAATAAGGCTGAAAGTGGTCAACTTGAAGATGATAATGTTAGAGAAGTAAAAGTTGGCTAAGAATTAAAAAATGTAATTTTGTTAATACATTAGTATTACACGCACGAGTTTTATAATACTACTCCATGTTTCTTGTTTATACGCAATTATTATAGCTGCATACTTTATTAAAGGCAAATCCTTTAGTACCTTTTCCTCTTCTTTTCGTCTTCTTGGATTGGATCTTGTACTTGGTAAAGCTCTTCACTCTACTTATTCTTTCCCTCCTAAATTTATCAACTTGAATAATTTCGCCTCTTCAGGTTCGATTTCAGCTCAAGAACACGGAAGCTTTGCATCACTCACTGAGAAATTCATTTGTTTCACTTTTTAATCTTGAAATTAGTTTGATACTCATGTCTTCTGCTGTTCAAGTCTGTTTCTTCTCTGATTTAGTTTCGAGTTTGGATCTGAAGCAGTTTCAAAGCTGACACACTGTCTTATTGCTTGCACAAGTTGTATACTTGCAGATTGTGCCTTAAATCTCTTTTGACTTTCTTTCTCGATCTTCAGTATTCAAATTGGGTAAATTAATTAATCTTGCAGGATTTTCAAAATGGATTGCTCGATCAAGGATGATGTGACACAAGTAAATCCAAAGCTGTCAACTTTATATTCTAATCAATTGCTTCATTGGAATGAAGTCAATGAACAAGTTCTAAGTGTCTTTGTTCCGTACATTTACTTAGTTCCATGAGATTTTTCTTCTGTGTGTCGTTGCACTCTGTGACAGTTGATAGGTAACACCCCAATGGTGTATCTGAACAATATTGTGGATGGCTGTGTTGCCCGTATCGCAGCTAAGCTTGAGATGATGGAGCCTTGCTCTAGTGTCAAGGAGCGGTATATATAGCTTTAACAAAACTCGCTCTTTTGTTTGCTCCAAGACATAGTTGTTCTTTTTGTTTTTTCTTTCTTTGATTGAATGATGTTCCGCTTGCTAGAATTGCTTATGGTATGATTAAAGATGCAGAAGACAAGGGACTGATTACTCCCGGGAAGGTACAACAGTTGAATCATACAATCCGGTTTTGTTTTTCTTTTTTCCTCTTTTAAAAAAAAAACAAAACTGAAGTTAAAATCTTGGTGATGTTACGCAGAGCACATTGATTGAGCCTACTTCTGGTAACACCGGGATTGGTTTAGCCTTTGTTGGGGCAGCAAGAGGTTACAAAGTTGTGCTTACAATGCCTGAAACAATGAGCCTTGAGAGAAAGATCATTCTATTAGCATTAGGTGCAGAGGTCCACCTCACAGACACGACGAAAGGCGTGAAAGGATTACTCGACAAAGCCGAAGAGATATTAAGCAAAACTCCAGATGGTATCATATTACATCAATTCAAGAATCCTTCAAACCCTCAAGTATGGAGACTCTCCTTTGACTTTATACTGCCATTGATCTCTTTCTATCTTTGTTTCTTTTCTTTGTGAGTCTAAAATTGTTTTTTTTCTTTTCTTCTGCAGACTCATTATCGAACCACGGGTCCAGAGATATGGAGGGACTCTGCAGGGGAAGTAGATATATTGGTCGCTGGTGTTGGGACTGGTGGAACGATTTCCGGATCAGGAAAGTTCCTCAAGGAGATGAATAAAGACTTTAAGGTACAAACTTATAGTTAAAGTCGAATCATAAACATTAGTTATATTATATATACTCTGCTTTTCGATCACTTGGGCTTCTATCAACAGGTTTACGGGGTGGAACCTTCAGAAAGTCCGGTACTGAGTGGAGGTGAACCGGGTAAGAGTTGGTCGAGTTTTTAAAATCTTTGATACTAGACAATCATTTCTTGCTGTTCATTCTTTCTTGATCACTTACCATAATACAACATGGATACTGTGGTTCGTGGGGTTTCTTGATCTATAGGTATGCATTTGATCCAAGGTATTGGGGCTGGTATTGTACCAGACAATTTGGATTTCAGCGTTCTTGATGAAGTCATTCAGGTAATTTATGTCGGTTTAACACACGTTTTTGGAGATTTTATGTCGGTTTTGTATCCGTGAACTCAATGTTATGTAAAGAGATTAAGATCTTTGTAATGGATTGTTCAGGTGACAAGTGTGGAAGCAATTGAAACAGCCAAACTTATCGCACTGAAAGAAGGATTGCTGGTACATACAATACAATCTCCGGTTTGACAATTTTGTGTTGGTTTAAGCCATATAACCAATATATCTATCTGATTAAATCGGTTGTCGTCCTTCAGGTGGGAATATCTTCCGGAGCCGCTGCAGCCGCTGCAATAAAGGTAGCGAAGCGGCCAGAGAACGCTGGGAAACTCATAGTGGTAAGTTAAAAGACTCTCACTTCTTAACCAAAACTCTGATTACAAGAGACTAAATCAGACCGGATTTTAAAGAAAAACTTTCGGTTTGTGGTTCCGGTTTTCAGGTGGTTTTCCCAAGCGGTGGGGAGCGTTACTTATCGACTGACTTGTTCGAGTCGGCCAGGCGTGAAGCAGAGAATTTGTCAATTGAATGAATGCTTTTTACAGTCTCATTCATTGTAACAAGTGGTTCATTTTCGTAACCAAGATTTCGGTTTTTGGATTCAAGTGGCAAGTGTGTGGTTGGATGTTTTCTAAAATTTGTTTGGTTCAGAAAAGAATTCGGTCCAGTTTAAATCTCTCGTTATTGCTCAATTAAACTTCAGTTTTGGAGAAATGTGTGTTAATTTATATACAGCCATAAATAAAATCTCGAAATTTCAAGAGACTATTGCTCACTTAACTTCAGATTTCGAGAAACGTGTGTTAAATTACTTCAGATATAAAATGATCACATAGAATCAGAACCGAAATTACTACACTAGACAATTTGTTTTATATTAATGTCTCACCCTATTTGATGGGTAATTTTCTTGTTATCTTAATTTTGTCTACAAACATTATTAATTATCTCCACAGCTTTAAAACGCTGCGTTTGGCTTCAGGGTTTCGGGTTCCGGTACGGTGAAGAACAACGGGGTTTTCCATATCTTCTTCTTCTACACACCTCCTGAGTAACCCTAAACCCCTGATTGCTCAGAAGTTAGCTTCCATTTTGGGTGAAAAAATGTCATACTCAAGAGCTTTGAAGTATATATTCAGGCTAAGACCTGACCCAATTTATTCTTCATCATCTTCTGCATATTCGCTCTACATCACCGGCTCTCGCTGCACCGGCGGTTCTTCGATTCCGTCGCAGCACCGATCCATCACCTCCACACCGACGCTTCATGGATGGATGGACACGATCAAAGGTGTTTTTACCGGGAATAAGGATACTCCTTTGGAGGAATCAAATCTGCCCGTTGAAGACTTCACTCTTCTCCGTAAGTCTCACATCTTCTCTAGAAAATATATATGAATATGCGTGTGCGTGTGCGTGTGCGTGAGCTATCCGAGAAATGGAGTTTGATATACTCATCAAGGCTTTTCTCTTTGGATGCAAATTGATATTAGGATTCGCCGATGAGTTGAAGAATGCTAAAAGGTTAGGGAAATTCAAGCAGTACATTGTGGGTCGAAGCAGCGAGGCCACTTTTGCGGACGCTTTTGAGAAACAAGAAGCCATTATTAGGTATCTTGGAGCTCGTGACGCTACAGGAGAGGTTGGTTTCTTTCTTCGCATGCTATTAATTTAGAGTCTAGCTCACATACATGACTTTGTTTTTTAGTTTGCCAAATCTTTGAGGCAATTTTTCTGGTCAGTCTCTTGACTGTGGCACTAGGTTTCTTGATGTGTAGAATCTCCAAGCGAGTCAAAAGCAAGATGCGGCTAAACATTGCAAGTGCACTATCACCGAAGTGGAGAATACGCTGGCAAAATTTACTTGGGCCAGGCAAGCTCACAAGAAGATGGCAGAGTTGAAAGATGGAGGCAAACCGTTACCAAAGAATATGGGAGAGGTACTATTCTTATGACTTTACATACTCATTTTGCTTTGTATGGGGAAATTTGTATTACCTCTCATGATTGTAGACTTGAAAATATTGCTTAAGAGCTATTGAGATTGTGCGAGGACACACTGTCTTCTTCGTGTCGATCTTGCTTATTTTTTATCTTGTTACTGAAAAACTTGATTCTTCATCATCAGTTGTGCTATATATCTCCAACCTCGAAATGAACGTTATGATGTTTCTACGCTAAACTGGTCCTCGGGGTCCCGTATTATATAACAAGAACTGGTTTGTAAACGTTTATCTTGCACTATGTTGGTTGTTAAGAATTCGTTGACATTCAGACAGATTATTACCGGTTTGTCTTTGTGCTGCATCAATTTAGCTCACCATGAGCAGTTTACCTGACATGAAATTTGTTATATTGGTCCCTTGAAGCTGCAAAAAATGATGGGGACAACCCCGATGGATCTGGCGAGATCGAACTTAGCCAAAAGCGGACAGATTAGCCGCAACGCACCTTGTCCCTGTGGTTCCAAAAAGAGATATAAAAGGTTAACAACTTTGAAGGGCGGTCCCTTTTATACACAAAACTGTTATCTTGCTTTTCCTTTTATCATTGCGTTGATTTAATTTTGATTTTCTTCTTCTTCGTTGAAGATGTTGCGGAAAGGATTGAAGAAGCAGAAGTATCCAGAGTTGATCGATCATTTTTTTTTGGTTAAGCTACAGATCAGTGAGGTTCTTTTTAGCTCTTTGTTGTCTTCATTTGCTTTTTTATGTTCTTTCAGCTTCTGTTTAATTGGATTGCTTCTAGACTACAGTCTAAGAGAGAATTTTGAGTGAGACGTAAAAGCAGGGGACGGTGAAATTGGGTTTTGTAAGATTATTCAATAATTAGTTATTCTGATTATTTGTTTTTATCTTTTTTTAAGTTCAGAACATAAATAAAAGTTACAGTTCGCATCCATTTTTTTGTACTTTATTTTTGTTCAATACAGTTATATCTTTACTTCAAACCAAACAAAAATGCTTAACAGGAGATATCGAATGAGTTTGATAACAATAGTTAAAATGTTTTGACCGTAAACATTAAAATACATTAGTGTGAGGTCAACAGTTATATCATCTCGATGAAAGCCAATCCAATCCAACGGCTACTAATTACTATACGTACATCAGTCGTCAGTCAAAAGCAGTCTTACATTCATAATCCAACGGTTCTCATTAAATTGATCTAACGGTTAGAAATTACAATCACTATTTTGAGTCACGAAATAAGAATGCGTGTTCTGTGCTCTCTTTCTCCCTCCCATTTCCGGTAAAAGAAGTATCTTTCTCTCTTCTTCTCTTTCTCAGGGTACCCCCAAAAAAACCCAGGAAAGAGAAAAGCTTTCTCAGATCTCATCTCTTCTTCTTCCTCTTTCTGCAAACCCTCAAACATTCTTTCTCAGATCTCAACAAGTTTCAGATCACTATGGAACCGGGTTCGTCACCACCACCAGGTACGCCGGGACAGAATCCACCGCCGTCGCGAACTGGTGAACCTGAACAGTGGTTAGTTGTTTCTTTCTGGAACTGATTGTTGAACTGTAGAGGAAACTTTCCCCATTGTTTTTGATCTCCTCTTAACCGGATTGTTGATTTCTTCATTCGTTACTTTTTGATGGGACTTAACTTAGGGATAAAGGTTTTAGAAGCATGGCGATAGATGTGGGCTTAAGAGAACGTTTCATGAGTCAGGTTCGCGAGAGCGCTTTAGGGCTTCTCGAGTTCTCGAGCCAGTGGAAGGTATATGTTGAGGAAATGAGGTTGAAGGAGGAATCTGTAGAGAATCAGGCTCTGGAGCTGCGGAAGAAAGAAGAGCGCCTGAGGATGGTTGAAGAGAGGGATAGGAAGATTGAGTTGCTTGAGGATAGTATAAAGGAGCGGTTAGGTGTACTAGAGGAGAAAGAAAATGAAGCAAATGTGAGGAGACTCGAGTTTGAAGAATTGGTTACTCAACTTAAAGCACAAGAGGAATTGCTTAAGGATTCGATGTTAAAGAAACACGAGGAGCTAGTGGGAGAGCTTGAAGTGAGGAAACAGGAACTTAAAGCGAGGGAGAATAAGCTTAGGATGCTTAATGAGACCATCAAGGAGAAATCGGTTGAGCTGGAGAAGAAGGAAGAGGAGTTCCAACTGAAACAAAAAGCAGAAGCCGGAAAGATTGAAGTGAACAGAAAGTTGCTTAAGCTAAAAGAGAAGGTGATTGAAGAAAGAGAGAAAGTGCTCGAGCGGAAGCAGAAAGAGTTAGAAGAACAACCAGAGACTAGTAAGAGATCCAGGCATGAATCTGAGGCGAAGAGTAGAGATGTCGATTCTCAGATGCATACTGCAAAGAAGCATAAACCCGTGAGAGAACACAAGCGTGATGATGGAGAAAAGGAAACACGTATTGATCCTGAGCCAGACAGCTGCCCTGATCCGGACTTTAACGAGTTTAACAAAAATTTGAGCTCTTTCGCGGTGGATCAAGTATGGGCTCTATATGATCCTCTAGATCAAATGCCTCGATTCTATGCTCAGATCAGGAGAATCCTGAAACCTCAGCTGAGTGTGGAGGTGACATGGCTCGAGTCATTGAAGAACACAGGATATGAGAAACCGATTCCTGTTGCTTGTGGAGTATTCAGATATGGAGATTCAGAGATCCAAAGCCACTTGACGCTTTCTCATGAGATGCGTTACATCAAAAGTGGCAAAAATGTCACCTTTGTAAACCCGAGGAAAGGGGAGACATGGGCGCTATTCAGAGATTGGAACAAGACTTGGATCAAGGACAGGAAGCAGCACAAACCTCCTTATAGATACGAGTTTGTTGAAGTCCTGTCTGAACTCGACAGCGATGAAGGCATTAGAGTGGCTTATCTAAAGAGAGTGGAGGGATTCACATCAGTGTATAAAGTTAAGGAGCAGCATAATGGACTCATCAAAAGTATGGTATCATCTGATCAGATGCTTAGATTCTCCCATAGAGTGCCATCTTTTAAACTGACTGGAGCTGAGAAAGAAGGAGTCCCACCTGGCTCTTTTGAGCTTGACCCCGCCGCTATTCCTCGAGCTAACCTTATGGCGACTAAGGTTAAAGAAGAGAAGATTATTCCATAATCTTGCTTTGAGTCTGATGTGTTCACTGTTTTATTTATTAGTCTGTTTCAAGTGTTTATGTATGTCTAAGTATATGATGAATCAATCTAACTTTCTTTGACATGATAATGCCTCAGATAATTCAAAAGCTGATCTTCTTGACTAAAAATAAAAAATACAAAATTTTAGGCATCATCCACTATCAAAGCTCGAGAAGCTAATTTTTTTCCCACAGATTTAAACGTTTGTAAGCGATTTTAAAAGAGTTGCGAGTATGGACAATGTATCAGTTTTTTTGTTGCTTACGTTGTCAAAAGCTACAATCTATAAACGCAGCTTTTACAGTCGATTTGCGATTAATTAACTTGATCGGTTCTCTCCGCCGCACAGAAAAGAAGAAAATACAAGAAACAAAGTATGCGAACAATGTTTTCTTCAGTCATAAACTCAAATAAGCTATCGCCACATAACAGAATACAATCTGGTGATTTTCACGGGAATCACCAAACTTAAACTACCACTTGTACGTACACATAATTTCTAAAGAAAGAAACAGAGTTGCAGTTACTTACGACTGAGATTGTGGAACTGTGTTCAGCCTAAGAGACTATGGTGCGACCTGGAATCGCTGTCTGGTCAAGCTCCCAGTGTTCTTCTCCTACACTTAGCCTTGTTCTCCTCTTCTGATGTCTGATTGCCGGAATCTGATGAGAAAACCGATTACTCATTTCTGACTTGGGGATGGCCATAAAACCCGAAACTGACCTTACGTGTTGTGAACTAGACTCCTTAGCAGTCAAAGCCACCGCCTTTGCTATTTCCCTGCCATCACAGTAATCCTCCACCACTTCTACAATGTCAATGTCATGCTCTTCGTTGGTGCTATCGCAGTTCTTATACAAAGCCCATATCTCACCTTTCCTTGGGTACACTTTGACTATGTTTCTCTTAGCGTCAACAGGGTTGACCTTATGCGAGAAGCTGGTGCGGGCAATGATTTTTGGCTTCTCCGTTTTCAACTTGAACTCCCCACAGGACACTGGGCGAGTCACGGGTTCTGCAGATGGCGGATTCAGTTCCATACGGGTTACGTGTAACCTGAATCCAGCCTTGGTGTCGATTTTCTTGATCTTCACATACTCTCTAGGCATTCCATTGCTGTAAATAGCCCAAACCTGATTAACTCGGAATTTGTCTTCACCTCTCTGGTTCTCGAACTCAGAGGCATTCCTTCGAGGTGTTTTGCAGCTTGATGACACAAGAGTTGTCTCATTAGTAGAACCATCCAGCTGAGTTGGCAAATCATTCTGCTTGTAGAGAGACTGTAATTCGCAGTTGCGACCTTGTTTCTTGGAGCTTTCTTCTTCCTGATTCTCTGCTGGTTGGTGAATGCCATTGGGAGGTTTTCTGATTACCAAAGAACCTCTATCAGTTTCCTTTGGGATATCACTTTTCTTCTCATCTCTTTGTTGGCTCGGAGCTGGCTGAAGACGAGGAGATTTTCGCAGTTTGAAAACATCTGCGGCCTCACCATTCTTTCTGGACTCGTTTGGTGTGCTCTTCTCATCAACTTGACAATAAGAAAAATCATGTCTTCTTCTGCTTCTGCCTTTGACTTCCCCAAGGTTACTGCACCCACCACTGTAATAATCACCAGATTTTCGACGTTTCCTTGGAGATGTAGCGATCTCTGGAACAGACATGGTCTCCCTATTAACCACATCAACCTGAATCGTATCATTTGGCAATGCAGTAGGATCCAGTTCATACGAGTCCCCTGGAACACATTCTTTCTCCTTTCCGGTCATTCTGACTGCTGGAACTTTGTGAGAAAATCTGAGCAGCTCTTCTGGAGGAAACTGAATCTGACAAACTCCATTCCGCGCCTCTTGATGAAATAGGTAAACAAACCCTTTAATTTTCCCCAAATAGGCCACTCCAATACCATGATCATGCTTAAAATTATTCACAATTTCCACAAAGTCGTACTGATATGGTAATTTGTGCTTTTCTACACTAGTAGTCCATTCCTCATTCCAATCTCTGAAAATAGCCCAGATTTCTCCTTTCTTTGGATGTATGGTAGCAATCTTGTTGCAAAACGAGTGAGACATCTGACCTGAAAAGATTGAACGGTCCTTAACTTCCTTTGTTTCTCCATTTTTGAACTTTCCACAAGCAACTGGGATACTCTCATCATGATTTTCCCGAACAGGCTCAAGGTATGTAATCCGCAGCTTGCACTCGGAAGCCAGCACTTTCTTTACCCGAGCATATCTCCGCGGCATACCATCTCTAGAATCACAGGTAGACCACACTTGATTGACAGCAAAACATTCTAGTTTCCGAGCTTCATCAAATACATTAGCTTTGTATCCATTTTCAACTTCATCACTCTTGCTCAAAGCTGCATCTGCTCCATTACCATCACAGCCTTCACTCACTTTGTTGTTGGCTGACAATATGTCTTCACTTCTAGAATTCACTTTTCTGGCTTTTCTTTTCTTGGCATGTGAAGAAGCAGGAGAAACACCAGAATCAGCAAGTCCAGGTGATTTAGTATCCTCAGCCGTTTGCTTTGTGTTAAAACCAGACTCAAATTCACAAGTTCTCTTATTAGATTCATTCGTATCCTTTTTAGCTCCAGCAACATCAGAGCCATCAAACTCAAATCTATTAGAAGATTCCTCAACAGATTTTCTCCTCTTTTTGGCTGCCTGATTCTTCTTTGGAGCTGATAAATCAGACGTTGACTTTGCTGTATTAGTCTCTGCTTCGTCCACTTTAGGCTGCGGCTTCAATACATCAGGTTTAGGTATTTCAGCAGAATTATCCGTTACTTCTTCACCTTTCTGGGGTTTTTCTCCTGCAGCGTCATTTTCCTTACAAGCCTCATCTTTCTTGGGTTTCCTGTCACCACCACCTGTTTTCTGATTTTGTTGATTCTTCTTGTTGAGTTTCCCTCCGACTGTCCCATTAGTCTCCATCTCAGCTGCTCCTGTAGAAGCATTCTCCCGAGAAATAACCCCCCCACTCCCGATGTCGCAGGCGATGTAAGAGCACTTGCAATTGGAACAGTGCATAAATTTGTTCATATATTCCTTCAAGTATTTATACCTCTGGCCACAGTTTTTGCAACAGGTCCAGAAAGAGTATCCACTTGCTAAATTCTCTGTAGCATTGTTTGCAGCTGAACACGGTCGACCAGAGTTTGCACTCGACTGATTAGCAAGCATCATATGGGATCTATACCTCACATCATACTGAAACCGTTTTATCTTATCAGAGAGACATCTGTTTGCTTCCCCAACCAACTTGAAAGCAGACTCTGCACCAGCAAACTTGTTCTTGTCTGGATGGAGAAGCAATGCCAGCTTTCTGTATTGCTTTCTGATAGTGTCTGCATCAGCCAAAAACTGAACCTGGAGAATGGCATACCAGTTGTCAAGCCCTTTGATTTTCTTCTCTGCAGAGGAATGCACATCACATACTGCTATCATCTGCAGTATGTTTCCGAGTTCAGGGAAGAGTCTCTGAGCCGTGAGAAGAAACTTATGAGCTGCAGCAAAATCACCAGCAATCATCTTTTCCTCTGCTAGTTTTTTCGCCCTAGCAGCCTCTTCTTTGTTACAATCCATTGCAAACCTCTTTTAAAACCAAACCTCCCCAATAGTAACCATAAATCAGAGTGACTGCATACAAAAAAAATCCAGTGCGCCGACATTATTATAAACCTATCCTAGCTAATCGTAATCCATCAATAACTCAAGAGTAAGAAATTAATGTTTACCATTTCAGGGACAAGAATTGTGAGACTTATGAACAATGCACACATCCTTCATCACATAAGTAAATCTAATAGGCTTGAAAATCTGCAAAACCCAAAAACAAGAAATAGCTAGATGAGATTCACTAAACCAACACCCAGTGAAAAGCACTACAATCGGAATCAAACCTTACATTGACATGGAAATGAAATTAGTAGAACAAGCTCGGAACTAAATACCAAGAGAAGTGAAATCGTGCGGACGATTGGTCTAACCGGAAACTCAAAATCAATGGAGAAACGCAGGAAACCAAACTCTTATGAACACTGAATCCCCAGATACGTATATAGCAAATCGACAGCACAGATCAAATGAGAATGCATGTGTAAGTTCCGATTAAAACGAGGCAAGCAACGGATATGCGAAACTAAACCTTAGCATAAGTGGGAAAACCCAGAATCCGTCAACATACCCAGAAGCTCCAAGTGCACGACGAGCAGAAGCACAATTTAGTTCAAGGAAACGATAAGAACCCTAAATTTGAATGGAGTCTGGGCAAAAGTGATGATCGGAGAGATAAGTGAAAAATGCAAAGGAGGGAAAATTATTTTACTTTTTTCTTCTAATTTTTCCTAAGCCCTGGCCAGTGGCTAGTATGGACCTTGAAAATTGAAGAAGTTATGACCATTTTTTTTTGTCATTACATTATCAAATAATGAAAATTATCTTCTTGTCCACCACATTATACTCCTAAACCATAGTAATTTTGTTTCACACATTCATGTACATGATGACTATTAACTAGTCACAGTAAAAAATTCTCTCCAAAGTGACTAAATTTGTCATAATTCAACGCGACTGGTTACAAAAGTTTCTACTAGTTAGCCTTAAAGACCATCATAGGATTATAACAAACAGTCATATATAACTAGGGTTATTTTAACACTTAGATGGTAACACTTGAATTAATTAGTAATCCCTCCTTTTGAGTGTAAGCTTTTCTTCAGTTCCCTCTCCTCTGGTATGTGTAGATGATTGGAGGATCCTTGGCCATGGCAGTTTCATTGATCGAATTAACATCAGATGACATAACTGGCAAAGTCAATCCAGAAATTTATCAATGTTAATAGAAGGAACCAGACTGATTGTTATTTATCAACATAAAGAAAGGGAAAGTTAATCAATGAAAGCTTACCAATATTCTCTTCCTTTACACCATTATGCTTCACAAGCACAGTGTTCGTCTGTTTCTTCTTCAACTCAGCTTGTGGATTTGATGAGGTGTCACGCTCCACAGAGCAACGAACCAGAGGAGTCGAGCTCTCTCTTTGAACCATGAGCTTGGCGATGAGGTCCCCTGGGATATCTACTTCAAGCTTATAATCTGCCACGAGTTCAATTATCGCTCTCAATCTTTCACCATCTGTCTCTTTAGCCTAAACAAGGAAGAACCAAAAGCTAGATTGATTAGTCTCTAAATTACTCAGATGCTAATCAAATTACAAAGTTCAGGTGAATGAACCTGGGAGGATTCGGTGGATCTATTTTCCAGGGCAGGCCGTCTGAAATTGATGATCTCTTTCTTTAAGAGCTCTGAGGGTGAGAATGACAACTCTGTGTCAAGCTTAAACAAACATATAATCCGAACTGCAGGAATATATTGGCTTTTCTCGATGAGCTCTTTCACAAACTCTGCAAAAATACCACAAACTTCTTACAAAACTGAGTTGTGTTGTTTTTTGGATTCTCATGGCGACAAAACTAACCTCGGAGCTTCGGGTTGAGACTCAGATAGTTGAAGAGTCTTGGAGCCTGTTCGTATTGAGCAACAGACGAAGCAAGTAGAGCAGTTTCTTCTTCATTGATCAGTGTCTTTAATCCATATGCCACAATGAAGAGCAGAAAGGCCAAGGCCTCGAGAGATGATTTCGGAGCTTCGATAGTTATCCTCTCTTTCCATAGAGCTGCCACTTCTCTGGCCTTGAGCTGCAGTTGAGACTTGCCCGGTCGTTGAATTTTGGCGAGCTCCTCAAAAAGAAGAACACAGATCTCCAAGAACGAGTCCTGTAAACCCGACCCTCCTCTAATTTCGTCCTGCACCAGTTCCAGAACTAGTTCTGCTGGATTTGGTGAATCTCTGAGAATGCTGGAGACTTCATGGCCCGTAAGAGACCCTGTAATTCCATGAGGCATGAGATCATCTTCATCAAGCGGTTCAGTTTCTGCTGAAATATGTCGCCTGGTGTCACTGGTAGGTGCTGCAGCAGGCTGCTTCTCACGCTTGACAACCACAGTGCTCACTCGCCTCAACTGTTTCAATAACTTGAGTTCTCTTTGAATTTCTCCCAATTCTTTTGATTTCGAGTGAAGCTGTTCAAGTTTCTTTTCCTCTGACTCTATCTGATTCTTAAGCAGACTTAGTTCTTTTCTTTTACCTTCGATCTCCTGCCTAAACCTTTCAAGCCTTACGTTTAACTCAGTCTCTGCTGCTTTCATCTCTTCCACTTCAGAGGAGCTTCTGCAAATAGCCTCCAAAATCTTCTCGTGTTGCTTCTCTTTAGCAACAAGCTCACTGTTTCTTTGGTCAATCAGCTTCTGGATATCCCCCGATTCTTTAGATTTGGAGGCAATGGTTTGATCACAAACCGTTACCTGATTGTTTAGTGATTGTACCATCTGTTGTTTCAGCTCGAGATCAGAATTGCAAAGCTTGATTGATTCCCTCACACGTTCCAGCTCTGATGACCGAAGCTTAAGGAGTCTCTGTTGGGACTCTAGTTGCTCATCCACCGTCACAAACAGCTTCCCAGATTCTTTAATCTGGTCAAGAACCAGTGACAACTCGCTCTTCTTTCTACCTGTCTCCTCTTCCATTTCTTTCTTGTACTGTCCCAACTGTTTCTCCATCAACTCGGTCTCTGTCTGAATCCTTGCCGAATAGTCCAGCTTAGCAGTCAACTCGTTTCTCGTTGACCTCAGTTCTTCGACGCATTCTTCCACCAATCTCTTTAAATCACCAGCTTCAGATTTTTCTTTTTCGAAAATTCTAACACTTTTATCAAGGCTTGAGCTCAAACTTTGCAGCTCCTTCTCCTTTAACTCTAGCTCTCGGGACCTCTTCTTAATATTGGCTTCAACCATCTCATTATGTTTGTGCATACTCTTCAATTGACTGACGCAGTACAATATCCCAGAGGCATCAGCTTTGAGTTTCTCCATTGATTTGCTGAGAGATTTTGTCTCTGAAATTTTCAACGCTAACAATCTGCAAACATGATTCAAAAAAACGAGATGAGATTTTGCAGCAGGAACACTAAACCCAGGAGGAAACCAAATCAAGGGTAATATGCAGGAAACAAAAAATTTAGATCAAAGCAAAAGAAATCTCCAGAAATGCGTAAAAAGAAAGCCAAACACAAGTCAGAGCTAAAACCAACTCACGCAGTATACGGTCAGAAAAACAATCAAAAACCCTAAATTTTAAATCAAAATGTGGCAATAAAAAAAAAAGGGAGAGAAACAGCGAAAAGTTGAAGAGAGAAAACGCAGTGCTAGAGAGGAAGAAAAGTTAAGAAAATTTTCACCTGAGCCTGATTTGGAGTTGTGCGCAGTGCTCACTGGAGGAGGAAGAAGAAAAGACGATTAAAATGGAGGGAGATTGCGCTAAAAGAAAGCGACCATCCCGCTGCAACTTGCTATTCAGAATCATTCGATAGATAGGCTTACTCGGACAACTGATAGGCCCACGGGGCTTTCATCTAACACTTTTCTATTTCCTTTCTGATCTCTTTTATTCTTGTTTAGCCCAAATAAATATCCAAAAGTAATATTAATTTCCTGACTTTCAACTATGTTTATACCACGTGGTTTGGTTACATGGTGTGAACCAAATGGTGAAGTTACTCTAGCCAAGTGAGCTTTTTTGCTTAGAGTGTCAAGGCCCTTTCACTTCTCCATCAAGTTTACCAAGAACATCGCACGCAAACAACAATCACATAATTAACTTTTCAATTAAAAAAAAGATAATGTTTTTTGTCCACAAAACAAGCTCTAGGCTAAAGAGTTCTCTAGCCTAAGGACCTACCATAACCATCAGCAAGAGCTATATAAACGCGCTTACTTTGCTTCCTACTGGCCTTAAGACATATAGAGAAACACTAATATCTAGTTCAAGTAGGGTTTGACCTCAGGTTTTGGAACCCGAAGACTCGCACTTGAAACTTGAGCAGAAGCCACATTACAAAACTTAGCCTGTGGATTTGATGCAGAAGAGGTGCGATGCCTCGCAGAGTAATGAACTAGAGGAGTTGAGTTTTCTCTTTGTATCATGAGCTTGGCGATGAGGTCCCCTGGGAGACTGACTTCGAGCTTATAATCTTCCACAAGTTCAAGTATAGCTTTCAATCTTGCACCATCTTTCTCTTTAGCCTGAAAAAAAGGAAAAACCAAACACATAGATTGATTATCTCTGAAATCAGTAGCCAATAAAACATCATTCAACAAGATCAGGCTAAAATGTGTGAAACCTGGGAGGATTCTGCTGGTCTCCTTTCCAAGGCAGACCATCTTAAATCCATGATCACTTTCGTTAAGAGATGTGAGGCTGGAAAGTCTTTATCGAGCTTAAAAGCACATATAAGCTGGACTGCAGGAATATACTGGCGTTTGGTGATGAGATATTCAACAATCTCTGCAACGGATAAAGAGTCATTAAGAAACCGTTACTTTACAAGTCTTTTGTGTATGAGAAAAAGATTTCGAAGAATGTGATGCTTTAGGTCTGATGGCTACAAAGCTAACCTGGGATGTCAAGCTTGAGAGAGTTAAAGAGTGTTGGAGCATGTTCGTATTGAGCAACAGACGAAGCAAGCAGAGCAGTTTCTTCTTGATTGATCAATTCCCCTAGTCCGAATGCCACAGTGAACAGAAGAAAGGCCAAGGCCTCTAGAGATGACTTTGGAGCTTCCATTATCATCTTCCTCTTCCACAGAGTTGCCACCGTTTTGGCCTTGGGCCGCAGTTCAGGATCGTCTTCTCTCTGAATTTTTGCAAGCTCCTCAAAAAGAAGTACCCAATTCTCCACCAATGAGTCATGTATATCCACTTCTTCTCTAATTTCTTCCTGCACTAGTTCCAGAACAAATTCTGCTGGATTAAGTGAACCTCTGAGAACACTAGAGACTTCATGGCGCTCAAGAAGAGCTGAGTTTCCATGATCCATGAGAACATCTTCAATAACCGCTTCAGTTTCTCTTGCATTTTGTTGGTTGGTGTCATTGATAGGTGCTGAAGCTGGCTGCTGCTCATTCTTAAGAACCACGGTGCTCTTTTGTCTCAGCTGTTTTTTTAACTCAACTTCTCTTTGAGTATTCTTCATTGCCTCCACTTGAACTCTTGTTGAACTCAGTTCCGTCGTACAATCTTGGATAGATTTCCTAAGCTGAAGGAGTTTGCTTTCACCTGAATTGATCTGATTCTTAAGCCGATCCAGTTCCTTTTCTCTATCTTCAACCTCTCTCCTTAAACTTTGAGACTTTACACTCAAAACCCTTGTCTCAGTCTCTGCTGATTCCATCTCAGAGGAACTTCTGCAGATAGCCTCTAAAATCTCCATATGTCGCTTCTCTTCTACATGAAGCTCTTCAGCAAGTACCTGGATCAACAGCTTCAATGAATCATGTTGCTTATGCATGACACAAAGTTCATTTGTTTTTTCCTCAATCAACTTTTGGATTTCTCCCAGTTCTTTTGATTTCAAGTCAAGCTGTTCACCAGAGACCGTTATCAGATTGTTTAATGCTTGGAGCCTCTTTTCTTTCACCTCAAGGTCACATATGAAGCGCTTGCTTGATTCCCCAACAAATTCCAACTCCATCTCTTTAGAAACTAGCTCCACTGACTTAATCTCAAGCAATCTCCCATGCGATTCCAGTTGCTCAACCACATCCGCAAGCTGCCTGCCAGATTCTTCAATTTGGGAAAGAATTAGTACCAAATCTTTCTTCCTGCTATCTGTCTCCTCTTGCATTTCTCTCTTAAACTGAACGAGTTTTTTTCCTTCTGACTCTATCTGATTCATAAGCAGAGATAATTCCTTTTCTTTACCTTTGATCTCCTGCCTAAACCGTTCAGACCTTGCATTCAAATCACTTGCTTGAGTCTCTGCTGCTTTAACCTCTTTAGCCGTTTCTTCCATTTCAGAGGAGCTTCTGCTGATCGTCTCCAAAATCTCGTTATGCATCTTCTCTTTAGTGACAAGCTCTTCAGAGAGTTCCTGGATAGACAGCTTGAACGCATCACGCTGATTATGCATAACAAGAAGCTCACTGGTTCGTTGCTCAATCAGCTTTTGGATGTCCCCCAATTCTTTGGATTTCGAGTCAGTCTCTTGAACACAAACTGTAAGACAGCTGTTTAATGATTGTACCTTGTTCTCTTTCAGATCAAGCTCAGAGTTGCAAAACTGTATGGATTCTCTCACACGTTCCAACGCTCTCTCTTCTGATTCTAGCTCCGATGACTGAACCTCATGCAGTCTCCGCTGAGACTCAAGTTTCTCACTGAGCATCACAAGGTGCTTCCCAGCTTCTTTGATTTGGTCCAGAATCGGGGCCAATTCTTTCTTCTTTCTATTTGTCTCCTCTTCCATCTCTTTATTACGGATTTGAACCGTACTAGCCTCTCTGCAAAGCCTTCGGAGCTCACCTAGAACCTGTCCCAGCTGTTCTTTCTTTGACTCTATCTCTCTCTGAATCCTTGTCGATATGTCCAGCTTCGCAGTCAGTTCATTTCTCTTTAACCTTAGTTCCTCGGTGCATTCTTTCACCAATTTCTTCAAGTTACCAGCTTCAGACTTTTCTCTCTCAAAATTTGTAACCCTTATATCAAGATCTGAGCTCAAACTTTTCAGCTCCTTCTCCTTAAACTCTAGCTCTCGAACCCTCTTCTTAACAGTGGCTTCAAAATTATTACCCCTTTTATCAAGATCTGAGCTCAAAGTTTGCAGCTTCTTCTCTTTTAACTCTAGCTCTCGGGACCTCTTGCCAATGTTGGCTTCAACCACTTTCAATTGACGAGTGCAGGTTATGATATGAGACGCACCAGCTTTGAGTTTCTCCATAGATTTCCGGAGGTTCTCTCTCTCCAACACAATCAGTTCTTCATAGCAATGAGTTTTCTCCATTGCAGAAGTGAGCAAATAAGGAAACAATCAACAGTCCACAACACCAGACACGCCTCGAAGAAGAAGAAGTACCTCTGAAACTTTCTACCTTACAGATATGCAAACCTGATTCAAAAGGGAAAAAGAAAAACGAGATGAGATTTTATAGCAGGAAATGAAAATCTTAGATCTAAGCAAAAGAAATCTCCAGAAATGCATACATTGCTACAAAATCGACTACAGAGCTCAAATGTGAAAGCTTTTTTGAGTTCTGAGAGGGTTTACAGAGGAAAATCAGGGCAAGGGTGAAGAAGAAAACCCTAGTTCTAAGTAACAAAAATCATTGCGTCTAAGAACATAAAATGAAGCTCTAAGCTAAAACCAACTCACACACGATCAGAAGAACAATACAGAAGAAACAAAAAGCCCTTTTTCTTCTGCTACAGGAGGAAGAAGACGAAGATAAAATGGAGGGAGATTGTGACTATAGAAAAAAAGAAAATGAGTTTTTTTAATGACCGTCGGATTGAGTGAAACAACAGCCATTGGATTAAGCGCTGACGTTGGTTTCCCTGACGGATCCTGATATACGGTTGTTGTAGACAGTCTACAGTAGACTTGTAGGCTTTCGTTGCCCATTAGAAAAGAGAGAGCCTTTCACATCCAAAGACTTTTTCTTCTGATTATTTTCATAAGTAAATAAGAATACATAATTGCTTTTTTTTTTTTTACTGTAAAACAGCAAACACTAATAAATAAAATCATGATCTCTCTCAGTAAGTCCACACAACACATTAATGACATTTGACATTTGAGGCCAAGCTGTTGCTATAGAGTATAGACTATAGAGATAAAGCTTGTGTGCTGTAACATAAATCATAAATGTACTGACTTCTGAGTTTGGAAAGTTGCAAGATTTCCAGTTAACTTCTCAAGGGATATTTTGTTTACACGATTGTATTTGAGGTCTCAACAAAACTTTACACTAATAATTGTCATTTCAAACATGAAACCAAGCGTTCACTGTTTCTTGTACCACAAGGTAACTTGTATCAATAAAAACAGTCGATGCCAAGTCTGGCTCGCAGCAAACATAAGTCTGCGAAGGGCTCTTTTAGTTAAACCTCTTAAGACCCAAAGCATATATCTTCTTTGAAACCATAAAGCCGAGCTGGAATCTGAAACTGAGGACTCAAGCTAATGCAGAATCAAGCCTTGACCCGAATCACGAAAGAGCCTGTGAGCACATTAAAAAAGGATAGTAAGCGACTTATAATGACAGGTAAAACAGTTTTTGAATGGTTTGAGGTGAGTTTCTTGGACCCAGTTAATGAACAAGAGTAAAGAAAGGTGTGAACTCACATGTGGGAAGGCTCGATATGTCTGCAGAGACAGCACAAGGTATCCCCAAATTGGAGAGGACACCTCTGATGATTCCACATGGAAAATACAGGTACATGCTCACCGCTTGTGCTGCTTTGCTTTCCCCTGGAGTTGACAACGGATCTTCCGTTTCCTTCTCAGGTGAAGGGTCAATCGAGACACGAGATAGCCATCGGAACTTGTTGTCTTGCAGTACAAAAGTACCCTGAAGAAATAGTTGTGAGAAACACACACACAACAAGAGTTTTCCATTTTTGTTCAGGCAATTCCAGTGGAAATCTTACCCGGTGGTTTGTCTTCAGATTATCTATCTGCTTCTTGAAGACCTCAGACCAGAAGTCCTTGCAGATAAACTTGATTGCCTCTAGATGGTCGCTGAACCTTGGTCTTTCCATAGTGTACCTAGTGACATTAAAAGCTCAAGAGTTATGCACAATCATCACAAAGTAGGATGCAGTACCAGCTATTTCACAACACTATAAAACAGTATCAAGTAGGCAAAACCTTCAAAGGCAACAAAAGCTGCTTCCACTGACTAAAAACAACCTTCTGAGACATATTTCTAAAGCCAAAGGAACTTTCCTCAGGCAAAACATTGCAAAAATATAAGAAAAATTAAGCTACTAATACAATGGGAAACTAAACTCAGTTCACCGTTTCAGCTTCTTAGTCAGTAAAATCTACACTCTTAACTCAGCAAATCTAAATTCATAGCAATTCTCAGAGGCCAGCCATATTGATAAACGAAAAACGTAAAATTTAAGACACAAGAACACGGGAAAGCGCAAGATCTTCATTTCAGTACCACATTGATCTCAAATCCCTAAAAATTTCACAGTTCCTCAACCCCAAACTCCCGATGAAATGAAAAAACACTCAAATCAGCGCGATTTATCTTCCCATCTATCACATTCTCGTCCAATTACAGACGAGAAGCGACAAATCCAGTATCAGAGAATCATCGCTGATATTAAAAACTCGACACCATTCTCAGATCTAAAACTAATACTAACATACGAATCACCTACTTCAGGAAGACCAGCGTATGAATCATATCGAAACTAAGACGATGATCAAGCAAACAAGAACAAACCTCTCGGATAGCTGGTGGCCGACCTGATAACCGATGGCTTCGATCCTCCGAGCGGCGAGTTCCGGCTTGTTAGCGTAGAATCGGCCGCTGTACATCGCCACCATCTCCATTAACATAGTGTCTACACAACTCTCCGCCACTTCTCTCACCATTTCTCTTTCTCTGTCTCTCTCTTCGTCTCTCTCGACGACACACGACCGTTCGGGCTTAACGCACGATGATGCTCCTCCGATCTATTAACTTGTAAGAATATCACATGTACGTCCCTGATACTTTCAATTATTTCCGATCTGTGATTGAAGTTTCAAAAGAGTTGTTGATAACCTTAAAATATCTAGCTCGACATAAACCGTGTATTTTCGGTTCACTTTACCTTCTCATATTCGAATTATATACCTCTACTTTCCGGTTTTGATATCGAGTGTGTAAAATTAAGAGTTATTCATTGTGCTAATTACTTCTGTTTTCTAAACCAAACACAAAATATAATTTGGTCTTCTCATTTGCATAAGAACACATTATTTTATATTAATCATAGTTGTGTTGTATGTAAAGACTAAAGAGTGAAAGTGTGTGTGAAAAGAGATAAAATTAGAAAGAAAGTTCAAGATGAGAAGAAGGGTTGGATTCATGGTCAAGGCCTTTTCTTGACTTTTGCCAAAGCTGTGACTCTATGTTCAGCTTCCTCAGCTCCATTAATCCTCTTTCAACTGAGAAAGAGCCAAGACAATGTTTTTCATTTTCTTGCAGAATGATAGTGAGAGAGTACAGTATATGAGAAAGAGCGTACCATCAACAGCGTCTTGTGATGTGGCAGAACGAGTCCCTTGGTTAATCCAATACTGGAGACGCTCATCCGCGAGATCAGATTCGATGTCATGGTTCTTAGCTCTTCTCCAAAAATATGAAAGCCAAGCCTGTGTGTGTGTGTGTATGCGCAAAGCCACGATGAGAGATGGTCACATGACAACTCTACATAAAACATATAGACACAGAGGATTGAATGTGCTTCTTTTCTGTTATGTACCTGTTTAAAACTCACATCTTCAACTTCCTCCTCGCTTAACTCTGCAAAGAAAAAACAGATCATATCAAAGTGTTTTTTTTTTTTTTTTACTTTTGGAGAGTAGGAGAAGAGATCATATGGTAGAAATTACTGACTTACCAAATGCTTCAAATTGTCCATCCATTGGCAGTTTCACTTCATCTGTAAATTGTTTTGAAGAGAAAATATGGATTAGGAAAAAGGTGAATAGTATTTGTTTCAAGGCTTAGATATTTTGGTTATCACCTGAAACAAAAAACTTGGATGATGAGGACCGTCTATTTTGAGCCATGACAGATGCAACTGCCTCTTGAACCTTTAGACGTACAGATCAAGAAAGGAAGACGATAACTTAAATCATCTAATATATGAACCAAATCTTTGCTTCTAAGAAAAGATAGTGTCGAGACAAGAGTTGTCATGTTAAAGTTCTTTCACCTTTAGTGAAGCCAGTTCCCGCAAACCTTTCTCGACCCATATCATGCTTTCGACATTTCCTTCCCCGGATATTTCTTGCAGGTTCTGCAATGATTTTTCTCTTTCTCCATAACTGTTGTTAGCTGTTTGGTGAGTGTAACAAGCGAGATCAGAAATATAATAATTCCCAAAAGAATTTATGCGGTAAAACTTATGGAGGATGAAAATGTTACATCGTGAAACTGCGTCCGTAGCTCTTTGTCCTGCAGACAGAACAATCTCTAGAGGAAGAGGTGCAAATGATGACCAGTATTCGTGCTTTGCTCGTGCAATATCTGCCTGGATTCCTGCCATGTACAATGTTCAGTCAGATTCAACAATTGATCAGAGTGAAGAATCTGAATCTGTTTTGCGTCGTTTGATCTTATAAGTTGAAAGTTCATAGCAAATGTAATAATACCATGTCTAACGCATAAGCCCCAATAACGTGAAAGCCAGCACCTCTTCAGAACAACCTCTTCCTAATATAAAAGAGCGAATAGATGAGAAGAAGCTATCTCGACTTATAGAAACACCATATGAACCATAACAAATAGCATACCATCTCCTCCTGAGTCAATATCAATCTTTTGGTCATGGTCTTAAGAGAGTTTAGCTCTGATTCAACTTCATGAAGCTGCTCTAAAGAAGATGCTGCCTCCTCCCTAGCAATCTAAATCCAGTCCATGATCTAAAACGTTAGTATCACCTCAGATATCATAGTATGAACAACAAAAGTTTTGAAAGTACCTCAGCTTCTGTATGAAGAGCTGAAACATCTTCCCTCCTTCCTCCATGATTTTGTGATGCGACTCTCAAAGCAGCCTGAAATGAGAATTGTTCTCTGGATTATGCTACTTTTTTAGAAAATGTTCATTTGCATATACAAAAAGAGAGAAATTTGCAGACATTTATAGTGAAACACATAATTATATAGATGATAAGAATTATGGAGGAAATTTCAAATTTCCATCAGCACACAAATAGCATGCACTGACCTCTCTCTGTTGCAGAGCTGCCTCCTTCCTGAAGCAAGAAACACATTCCCAAATATTAGAAATTTGTCATAGGTCATCCAAAAGTTGCATACAACTGAAGCTTGCCTGCTTATAAGACGTGCGTCCATAGTAACACCTTCTCCAAGGATCTCAACCTAACGAACAGCAGGTTAGAGCTTGAGGCAAAACAAACAGAGCAAGAAACAGTATGCAAGAAGGGACTTATTAATGCTATACTGAGGCATGAACCACCTGCTTACCTGTTTCTCAAGTTGCTTAGCTCTTGCATCTGCTTCTTCACATTTATCTTCTGCAAGTCGAAGCTGGGGATGCACAAATTAGGATAAGATGGAGTAACTAATGCCTACAAACACCATTTGTGAAAATTTACTGGCATCACCTTATCTAACAAACTTTCATTTTCTTCCTGTAGCATATCAACCTGCAATGAAAACCAAAAGCTCTTTGTCTAAAATGAAGGCTGTATCGAAAAAACGAGTTCCAAAATTGCGCTTATAGAGTGACCTAGTTCATGAAATGATCTGAAGAAGTCAAACCTCATCTTGCAAAGCAGAAGCAGAACGTTGACTGCCTAACTCTCTTAAGTTGCCCGAGCTTCCCAGATCCATGGAAAACCTGCTAATGGACATAGAACCACTGAACTAAGACCAAACTGAAAATAATGAACGAGTAGGCGAATGATTGCATAACTTTAGATTCGGATGAGCTTAATCCTTTAGCTACCTTTTATCTTTTCGAAAATTGGTTGGCGTGTCGGATTGAAATGCAGGAGTGACTGGTTTGAGTGAGATAGAGACAGAAGATGGCAGTAAAGGCACTGTCCTTATGGGACGACCACTGAAAGATGAACGCGCTGATGGAGGCTGATCCATTGCACTGAGAGACTGTGATGATTTGCTAGAGACTGCAGCAGTACGAAAGGATGGAGATTGCTCCACTTGGTTGGTTGTTGTCTGAGCTGAAGACTCTGCGGAATCCTCACGGCTACCTGAAGTTGGAAGTCCGGTCTGAGGTTGTTCCTTAGTACGAATTGACTAATGCAAAATTTAAACCAAGTTTCAGAAGAGTCACATGATCAAAACCAAGTAGTAAGTAGAACAAGTTCCGTTAATGTGAAAGAGCAGGAAAGAAAACAGAATAGCTACGAACAAAATTACCAAAGGAGTGCGTGGTCTCATTGACCGTCCACCTGCAAGTCCTATGCTCGGCATACCACTAGTGTAGGGCTCATCGTAATCAGCCTCACTCTCTCCATTGCCTTGTGGCTGAGGTATTCCTTGTGGATGCCTCAATGGAGGGTTTTTGTTCTGTAGTACACAGAAAACTAAAGGTCAAGTTTAACGAGCAAACACTAGACAGAAAGAAGCTTTCAAACAGGCTGTGTTTAGTTAGCAAGAATACATTACCAGAGGAGAACGTGAACGTGTAGCTCTTCCACCAGAAAGTCCGACACTTGGAATGCCACTATAAGGAGTCTCATCATCTTCGTTTTCCTCATCAACTGCCTGAGAAACTGCCATCACCGGACGCCCTTGCGGCTGCGTTTTGGCCATAGAAGGCTGTGCCCGCATTGACCTCCCACCTCCAAGCCCAATACTCGGTCTTCCAATTGTGTAATCTACTGTAACAACATCATCATCATCATCCTCATTCTTACTCTCTTCATTGGAGGGTTGAGTACGTCTCGGAGGTGCAATTTTAGTCTGCATGCGACTAAAGGCATTAGCACATGAGCGTTGAAGCAAAGATACATTTTTGGTTGGAAAATGAAGCTCACCACGACAGGAGACTGAGGTCTTATTCCCCTTCCACCAGCAAGTCCGATGCTTGGTCTGCTGCTTGAGATATCCACTGAGAAATCATCGTCTTCATTGTCCTGATCATCAACTAACTGTGGAGTTGCCATCTGTGGACGCCTTGCAATAGGGTTCTTAATCTATCATCATTAAAAAAGACAAAAGACTTTAAATGAAAACAGGACTCGAGTGAGAAGTGAGTGTTTGTGAGTTTGTATTAATTATCACCAGTGGAGAGCGAGAAGGATGAGATCTTCCAGCGGCGAGTCCAATGCTCCCTGTTCCTGTAGCGTTGTAGTCAAAGGAAAGGTCTTCGTCACTGTCTTCCTCGTCTCCTGTTTGGTTTGACATCACAGCCGCGAGTCTCTGAGCCGCTGCTTTCGTCTGAGCTTTCTTCGCATTCGACGCTGCTGGCCCTGCATTCGACCCTGACCGTGTGTGCCGATGCATCAGAGGTGACGCCATCATCGGCGATGTCGGATCCGTGCTCTTGTTTCTCACATGAACAGTCCTCGCGTTTCTCATCGCCAGCTACCAAAAAAACAAAACACGGATTGATTGATGATCACATTAATAATGTCCCGCTCATTGAAACTGAGACTCGTCATCGACATAACACTTACCAATTATATCTATCTGCTCCTAAAAACCCATCTTGAAATTTCGAAAATCACAGAACCAAAAATCAAAAATCAAAATCATGAGCAACAGTTTCTCAAACGTGTGAATCAAATCGAACCCTGCGAAATCAGATTCAATGAAAATCTCCAAGAAAAAACTTTCAATCGGCAAATTCAGGAGAAAATTCGCCATTTATGGCAGCGAAAATTTCGCTCAAACGAACCGGTCGTTTCGCCAGAAATGGCGGGAGGCTATCTTCTTCTTCTTAATTACTTATACTTTCCCCCCCCCCAATATGTTTATTCTATTTATATAATAGTACCTTTCATTTACTATAATTATACTTTTCTCCCCAATATTGTTTTGTATTATCTAAGTACCCTGTAACTTTCATACAATTACTAATGTTTGCCTCACCGTATGGATTTGGTCGTTAGCGAGAGGGAGAGAGATACGATCATACGTATTCTCGGTATCACAAAATCACCAACAAATCTCCATCATCGTGGTCGTTTTCTGGAATTAGGGGTTTCTTCCTACTCCTTGCGCCTACCTTTATCTGCTTTTCTGATTCGTACAACTGAGTCAAATGCGAGTAGTCGGCGAGATTGAGGAGTCACCTTTCTGGATTTCACTGCTGAGCCCTAATTCGACGGCCACCGGGTATGGAGGCGGTGCCGGAGGGTTTATCGGCGGATGGGTCGGAAAGTGCCATGGGTTTCTGCATAACACGGTTCTGGTTTTAGCATCAATTCTATTCGTCGGTTACTTGGCGTACGAGGCGAAGAAGAGCTTGTCGAAGCTGTCAAATCGGAGATCTTACATTATGATCGCCTATTACGGTTGCCTTTGGCTTGTTAGCTTGCTCAATCTTGCTTGGTGCTGCCTTCAGGTTTGTTTTTTCTTGGATTTATTTCCCAAATGTAATCATACTAGGTTCTAGATCATAGCTTACACTGAATAAACAAGCTATTTAGAGTAAAGATATCAACTTCAATTGGGATCATGTGACTTAATCCTGTGTGTAGGCATGGGAATGCACTCCTGGGAAAGAAGTAGTTTGGAATCTATTAACTTTGTTCACAACATCTGGAATGTTGTTTCTGGAAGTAAGCTTGGTAGCGTTTCTCTTCCAAGGTAACTATGCAAGTGGCGCTGAAGCATTGACACGAACTTTCCTCATCTCGGGGCTTGTTATAGGTCTTGATTTGCTTCTCAAGGTACCTACTTTGTTCATAACTGTTAGATGTAACTACTTTATCTACTCATATACTTTCTGAAGAAGAAGAACTTAGTTGAGGTATATTGACATTGACATTGACGTATGTCTAATATTAGTTCTGCATAAGTAGATATACGAAACTTGTTCTGTCTGGTTACTCTTTTACTGTTACTTTAAACCTTCAGGGTTTTCATTCTTCATTTCAGGCAATATATCTCTTTGGATTTGGGGTACCGTTGTTTATCGACAACAATGAACACATACAAAAGTTCAAATGGGGCTTATGGGTCATCCACAAGCTCTTGCTTGCTGGCATTTATGGGATGATATTCTTCATGTACAACTCTAAGTGGAGAGAAAGATTACCTGGTAAGTACATCAGCAACTCCCTATTCTCCTTATGGTTGCATACGCCAATAGTTTTGTTCACAGGCTTCAATTACTCATCCAATGGGTTTTGTTTTTCGTTTTCACAGCAAGACCTGCATTCTACAAGTACATAACTGTCATGCTCGCCTTAAATGGGCTCTCCCTATTTGCGTGTGCTCTTTCTGCAAACGGAGCTCATTTTGGTTTATGGTAAAAGCCTTATCTTAAAAGCCTCACAATCTAAATATAACGCCGTTTGGTCAGATTTTTCCTGTTTTCCTAAAGCAAGAAAGTAAAAAATTGAAAATGCTTGCAGGTTGTATGGGATCACAAGTCTCTGTTACCACGCCTTCTACCTTCCTCTTTTGTATGTCACTTTTCTTGCAGACTTCTTCCAGGTAAATCCCTTCATCTAAGCATCTCTCTCAGTCTCTGTACCCACAAACATGCAATAAAACACACCATATCACCATCACCATCACCCAAAAAAAAAAAAAAACCTAGGCTTGTGATAGTTGGGATGATCACATGAATTGGTGCTGAAATTCTCTGTTGGGTTTGGTGCAGGAGGAAGATCTGAATTTGGAGAATGTCTACTATTCAGAGATGAAAGATGCTGGCTTCTTCGACTCCGATTGGGAATAACAACACCCGTGATGGCATGGGTGGTTTTCGCAATCTGTAGATACAAGGTGAATAGGATTGCTTATAGATCAAGCTATTGTCGCTTCCTTTTAGAAACCAACTCTTGACTTTTGTGTTAATACCAAAAAGACTCCCTCTGTACATTATGATATAATATACTTCTTTCTCTCGGTTTCTCTCTCGTATGCATTTGGCATTTCGATCTAAAAAAAAAGAACAAAAACACTCCATCATGTGTAGATGATACTCATTCCATTTTATGTTGAAATTTCGAGCCCCAAAAGTTTCAGGTAACAAATAGAAATTCGTGGATACATATACTACTAAACCATTGGGACAAAGACAGACTCGCTTGACACATTAAAGAACATGACCGAAATATGAAACATAATGAAAACAACAAACTCAAAGCCCTGCTTCCTGTTTTTTCTTTTCAATTTTTTTTAAATTAAAGGGGTAATTATAAATATACTAGATTACTTCGTCTCTTTCATGAGCTCTTCGATGAGTTCAGCAGCTTGCTCAACTGTTGCAATCTTCTGTGCTCTCTCTTCCGCCATCTGGATGCCAAACTCTTCCTCTAACCCCATCACTATCTCAACCTGCAAAACACTCAGTATAATCAATAATTAATCTCTACCAGAGTTCGTATTACAGAGAATGATGATTGATGATGAATTACCGTGTCGAGAGAATCTGCTCCAAGATCGGTAAATTTGGTCTCTGCAACGACTTTTTGATCGTCTTTCAGTGATAGCTGCTTCTTAACTATCATAGACACTTTGTCCACTGTCTCTTGCTTGGCCTAAAAACCAAATATAAAAAACTAGACAAATAATATAACAAACTCAATGCGCTTTGGTTTAACATCAACATACCGCACAAGAAACTGAGAGGCGAGTGGGGATTGAACGTCGCAGGTTGAAGGAGAGATTAGTCCTCCCATGGCTGGAAATCAAAGCCGCCTTTTGGAAACTAATCCTCGTTGGCTGTTGTTGTTCATCAATACAAAACATTTTCATTCAAATAACCAGCAAAACAATAAGGATCTTACTCAAGACTTTGTTCTGTAAACTTCATAACTAAGTGAAATAACAACCAAAAGCTCATATTCATTGCAACAATAAGTTGCGATTCAAATGAACACAGATCGATAACGACAGCCTCAGATGACACAATGATTGTCTGAAAAACCCAGTTATAATGATCACAGAAATCACGAGAATTCAAATTAACGCTTCTCTTAATTAGCGTCTCAGGACTCGGGAGAAGGACAAAAAATCAGAAACAAAAAGAAAACTCGAGATTCTTAAAGCCTAATTATCTTTAAACTATTCACATAATCAACATGCGTCAAGAGTTTCACACGGTAACAAACAGCAGATATCAGAATCGGAGACAAATGATCAAAAATGGCACGATCAAAGCGATCTTGTAAGCGAATTCTCAATTGTGAAACAAAAAAAAACGGAAAAGAAGATGAGATTACCAGAGGAGTAGTTTGCATGGAGACCGAAGCGCTGAAAGTGGTCGCCATTGTCGTTATTCACGAGAGATCTGCTCGAGGGAGAAGGAGAGATGGAGAGATGGCGGAGCGTACAAAGAGCGTGATGTCCCGAGGTAGCTGCTTGCATTTATAAGACGACGTACAGTGAAGACGACGTCGTCAGTATAATAATCCCAATGGGCCTCCTTTCCACTATCAAAATATTGAGCCCATCGATATATTCATGCACGTACGCCTCTGTTTTCTCACGTGCCAAATTAACCGGCTTATATTTTGTACCCCAACAAAAGGTATTTCATGTACGTGATTTTGACCTTTCGCGGTTATCAGAGTTTGTAGACTTTTGTTAAACATTCGATTAATTTATCGAGCCCAAAACGGGTATTATCAGTTTTTAGATTTCAGTATTGCATTACTCATCATTTAATCAAAGTGCAAAACCCCTAACCGGTCTTAACCAAAACATACCAGTCGAATTCAAACCCATGGGCCAGAGTGACTCAACAGTCAAAACGTACACAATAAATGTATGTACATGTATGTAGTAGTTCCGTCACAACTACCCATCTCAAATTATTGGCCAAAAATGAACCAGACAGTAACCATAACTTACCAAACAGAACTTAATAGAGAAAGAGACAAGTCAAGTTCCTAACCAACTACAACAAACCCATTACGGCATTACCCCATGAGCCAAGGCAGAAAGCATACACAAAAAGTGTAGTTTTCGTTGAAACGAAATAAAGACTTAATATACATAAACCCCACACCACGTCTCTCAAAATGTAAGAAGCTTCTTCATCATCCACGAATAACAATATACTGATAGAAATACAAATTCATAAATTTACACAAAAAAAAATATAAATTTAAAGAACCAAGAACACCTTTTTTAACATCACCAGTGGTGAGAGGGAAGAGGAGACAAGTTTTTTGGGTTTTCTGAGAAGCTTCTTCTATAATGTTTTTCAAGGTTTAGTGAGATCATGGGAGCTTCTCTCGGTTGGAGAACCAGGAACAAAGGGAACGAAACCTCGACCACCAAAGACAGGACGCATGAAGGCATCATCAAACTGTCTCCAGTAGTGGTGGACAGTGCGTGTGGGACGCATCAGGAAACCGCGAAGGCTGTCTGGTCGTGGCACGTCGTGGTGACTCCCCGAGAACTCGACAAATGAGTCCTGCTGTTCGCCGTCAAGGAGCGGAATGTGGATTGATTTCGGAGTGTTATCGTCGGATAACATACTGGTGGTCGCTTTTTGATGTGGCATTAGGTGCCTAATGAGCGGTTTCGTCAGCATACCAAACACCTGAAACCCGAGGAAACAAATACACCTTGTGTCACATATCCGGTATCAGATAAACCGAAACACAACCATGGAAAATGCATTATACTGTATAGTATTCCCAACCTAGAAAGGAAACATATCTTACCATGGTGCTAAAAAGACAAACGGTTATAGTACTCGTAATCATGATTGCATTCCCGCGCAATTCAGTGTGTCCTGATCTTGTAAACTGCATTAGAGAACACAGAGATAATTAATAAGTTGAGAGGTCTGTTCGATGATATTCACGAATCACCATGTGGCTTTCTGCTATTCATTGAGCTTTCAGTTTACCTTATTGTAGGCAAGAGCCATAGATACAGCACCTCTCATTAGACCAGCCCACCAAATCACAACCTATATACGATGGCAAATAACATAGATAGATAAGCATTCAACACTCCACAGGAAAATTGAGTCCAATAGACAAAAGTAGATTGTTCCTACTTGCTGCTTAATATCGATTTTCTCGCTCTGGTTTTTCTTGGATAAGTTTGATAAGAAGGAAAGAGGAAACACAAAAGCTGCTCTTCCAAGCATGACTAAACCCATCAGAATTGAGCTCACTGCAACTGATGTCCCCGGGCTGTTCAAAACCAAACAAAGGGAAACATTCAGAGAACATGTGCATGGTCGAGAAACAGGGAAACATGAAAAGAGATAAGAAGAGGGTTCATTGTTCTCTGTTCTACTGAGTAACTGTACCTGTCACTCACGAATCTCCACTTCTCGATGTCCAGTGCATCCATTCCGACGTAAAGGAAAATAAAAGTTTCGGCTAGAAACGACAAAGTAGCGAAGGTATGCCTGTATCATCGTTAATGCATAGAGAGTAAGTATTGAGGATGGGAAACGTCCGAAACCAAGTAAGATGGAGAAACTGGAGATCGTATTACTTGGTAGTTATTCTTGAGCTCTCGGTTACGTTGTGCCAGGTGTAATGTGACATCACAATCCCACAGAAAAACACAGTGAGAATACCACTCAAGGCGAATAGCTGCAACCCAAACAAAATAACATCAATAAACGGATTCCTCAGATGAAACTGAATGTTTTTCATGCCTAAACACTTATGCGAAAGTTGCAAAAGTTTTCAACAGAATCTTACCTCAGCAAGCATGTATGAAAGATACGCCATAAGCATCATGAGGGCAACCTCTCGATCAGTCGAGTGCCTGAGACATCCAATTTAGTCACATCATCAGACAGGCTTATTGAAAGTCACCTATGAAACCAAAGTCAATTACGTACCTTCCAAAATAAAGTTTCTTGATGACATAAGCACTTATCAGACCAGTCTGCAAGATGAATAACAAAAAAATTGTATCTGTCAGATTGTCTTAACAGAAGAGCGCAGGATAAACAGAGAGAAAAAATAAAGTGGACTTACCGCTACACCAAGCAAGGTGCTCAAGAGAAACAGATAGAAGAAGCTTCCAAGAAACTGAAAAGCTGCTTCATGGTTAAGGTGGGTGAGGTCAAAGCTCTGAATTGCATTGAAGAGCACAACAGATGTGGCATCATTCACAACGCCCTCTCCAAATACAAGACTGTATAGCAAAGGTGTCTCATCTTGATTGAGAACCTGTATCACAAAAGGAACAAGAGTTTTTATTAGTCACAGTTCGAGTCTAGGCCTATAGGTACTTGTGCTTCTTAGAGAAATGCATTACCTGCAGTGTGCATACAGAGTCGGTTGCAGCAAATATGGCGCCGATTGCTGAGAAATAAACATAAAATAAATGAAGAAAATCGACAAAGCAAAGCAAAAGTAACAAATGGAAAAATAGTTGATGCATTTTACCAAGATAATCGCCCAAGTCAAAGGTCCCAATGTCTAATTTCTTAAAGAATTGAATTACACCTGTTACAAACACCACAAGATATCAATACTTCACAGTTACTAATCCGAAATAAGCTTTCAACGGATTTAGTTACAAGGAATGAGAAGTAAGGTACCTAGAGATATTACAGTGCAAGAAATTAGAGTCCCAATGGCGCCAAAAAGCATAATAGTCACAAAATTGCGGAAAAAATGCTTCTTTTTAACTTGGAACCTAAAGACAACGAAAATAAAACTACGGGTCAGGGAAAGATCTGAAAAACAATATCAACAAAAAAGGAAGCTGAACCTTATCTGCATTTACGACAAAGACATAGGAGGACCACCTATATTTAATATAAATCAAACCAAAACTAACCCAGAAACATTATACCCTCGCCCTATTCTGCAGTCACAATCACAAGTACTTCCAAAGCTAATATATTTTTACTCAATGCTCCCTTACCAACCAAACTAATTTCATTACTACAACAAAAGATCAATCAAATGGAGCACTAAGGCCACAAAAATGAAACAAAATGATCACTTACCCTGCATTGAATATTATGGGGGGCAAGAGATATATAAAGAAAAGATCTTCACTGAAGACCAACAGATGTGAGTTTTTTCCTCTACTAATCAACAGAATGACGACCCCAGTGCCAAGCCCCTGCAACCAAAATGCTAAAATGTCAATAAAGATGAAACACTTATATGATACCATCAAAAATGTAAAAGCTTATCCGTGAGCTACCATTGTACAAAAAAGAATGGACAGTTCAAGTGAACTTACAATCAACAAAGCAGTGATGGATTCGTTCATCCATCGATTCTCCTCCAAAAGATGGCCAATCACGATACAAGCACATAAAAGGGCAACAAAGAGATTCAGTGAAACCACAGATGCGTGGTCCGAGGTGGACAACGACAACATTTTAGACGTTAAAGAGCTGAGCATTGTCATCTTCTTCAACCACTCCCTTCTTTCCCTTTTCGATTAGTTGACGTAAGACAGCAAACTATGGACCTTAAAATATTAAATCTGCGTATTAAATATCTCTCATCTTTCTGGACCCTCCATTCCAACAACTCCTGCAGTACACCAAACAAAATCTCAGATACACAGATAGAAATAAATAAGCCTCTTCAAAAAAATCACATAGAAGGAACGAATCTAGAAAGACGAAATCTATGAATGATAACATCATACACACCTAAATTTCTTAACTTCCCCGTTTTGATGTTGTTGTTGTAATATATACCTATAAGAGCATGCTAATCAAATTAGGTCGAACTTTATCACCAGTCACCACTATCGTTTAAACCTCCCAGTCCCTAGCAATCAACCACACAACCTTAACCAAAAAGCAAAACAATTACACAAAAGAGTGAGAAATCTCCAAATTACTAACCTGACGCGCGATCCAATCACTTCCCGAAATAAATTTCTTCGATTTGAAGCAGCGGAAAGCAAAATCCGAGGCGAAAGGATTATGCAGAGGAGAATTTTAATTCCGAAGCTCGAAGCTAAACCCGCGATTCCGCTAAACGTTCATGCGATACCAACACGGAGACGAGATTGGAGGTGAGACGAATTCTGAAACCCGAAGAGAAAGCTAAGGACTCGATTCTCCGGGAAAACCAAGAGAGCAAATTTCACGGCGACGGAGAGAAATTAAACGGAAATCAAAATCCTGGAAATAGAAAGGGACACGTGTACGGTCATTTGCGTTGGAGACTGGAGAGACAAAGAGGATTTGTAACGCAAAGTAATTTTGCTTAAGGGAAAGCTAAAAAACCATTTGGCGGCTTTATAGCCGTTATTTAGATCACTCTAGATGTTTTCTTGAGTTACTGTGGACCTCGTCGTAGGCAAATAATCACCTGACGATAAAATATTACTATTACTTTGTATTTTCTTTTTTCTTACAATTTTGATTGTTTACGATTAATCTCCAGATTCAGCACTTGTCAGACAAGTTGATAAGTCCTAACGATTATCTGTTGGGCCAAAAAAATGTTGTTTATTTTTGTTTTGTTTTATAGCGATTCCGATTGCGATTATCATATGTGTTCGTTTTTTATTTGTCGCCTCTTTACATGTGTGGATCATAGTTACATATGCGTTTGAACGATATGAATATATATGATTCATAAGCAGTTATAATCATTCAACAAGAAGAAAAATAAAATTAAATCAATATAAATAAGTGATTCTCATGGGGGGCTGCACCTAGAAGGTGACAAAGTTCATATTGAACAGAGATCTCATGAATTTACAGCTTTACTTTATTGGCGATGCGTTGTCACCATTTTCTTCTTTCCTTTTTTGTTTTCTTCTTTTAGCGATTTCATTGCTTTTCTAGATATTTTTCATTTTCGAAACAGTGTATGATTTTCTATACTGCTTCACGATTAAGAGCCTGCAAGACTAAAGACTTTAAATATCTAAGAACCAAGTAGGCATACATTTCGTAACCTGTCTTATTCAAAAAAAAAAAAGTAAGCATACATAATGAAACTATGATCCGATCTGCGAGGATAATACATAAACAACGGTTTTAATTAAATATAATCACGCACATAAGATCTAAAGGCTCTCCCCGTTTGTAGAAAGCCGACAAAACACAAAAGTACTAATAAAAATAATCTGATTTGTTTCTTGTCCTAAATACAAAACCTTTGTTTATGACAACATGGAAGCTTTGGGGAGAGGTTCTTCGTCTGTGTGTGTGTATTGTGAACTTATCTCTTTCTCTACCTATGAATTTAACAAGAAACGTAAATGACCCCTGCTTGTCAAAAATACTCTGTTTTATATTCTGTACAACTCTCCACTAACTCCTATGGGCTTCATCTCACAAAACACTGGCCAACCCAATTGTTTCCCCTACGTTTGCTTTAGTCTCTGAAGCGTTTGCTGGTAGGCGCGATCTTGCTGCAGCCAAAAATAAGTTATCAGAGAAGCCAAAGTTTGAAATTCTATTTTAAGAAAAAACAGAGATATTATAAGTTTGAAGCCAAAGCTGGCTTACCAGTGACATTGGTTATAACATTCAGATTCTTTTGAGCGGCAAGCGCTCTTAAGTTATTCCCAGCACCTAACAACAACAAGCTCCTCATAAGCTGCCTCTGTTCTTTGAGACTCGGAGTTTTCGCCGCAGCTTCTTCAAAAGCATGCAAGTCACTGAGACTGAGACAAGGGAGCGAAAGCAAAACCTGATAACATTTGAATAACCGATCAAAACCAAGGCAAGTGAGGAACCATTCAGTTCTGATTTGCAAACTGAGGCAGGACAGAGAGGACTCAACCATAAAAAAAAACTCACCTGGCGAGGAGCTGGGTCTCTGTCAGAGAGATAGATAAATATTTCACGGCATAGATTGACTAAATCAGGGCTGTTTATGGCATTGGACTCCATGCCTAAGCCCCGGATGACTGCAGAGAACAAATCTTTCGAAACAAATTCTCGGAGCTCCACGTTATTTGTTAGTATAGCTAGAAGAACAACAACACCACAAAAGGAACAGACTTTGGTGGTCGCTTCTCCATCTGTCCAGGTAAAGACTTCTAAACACATCTGCAGTGCTGGTAGAGCCACACTTTTGTGATTCAGGAGGAAACTGCAAACCAATTTTTTTGTTCTACTGTTATTACCTATATATGTTATCGAATCAGCTTCTATTCGAAAGATATAGAGGGTTAGTATATACTTACCCCACCAGAGAGTTGGATTTGAACGCATGCAAATCTGTGAGAGTAGACATGTCCACACGACCAACATGGCCTGAATGTTCCAAAACAGGAAGTCCTGTGTTTAATCCAGGAGAAGCCATTGTTAAGAAGAGGGTCGCAACCTCCCGAGTAAAATCTCTTAACAATTTTTCCTCCATCACTTCAAGTTTCATGTCTGATCCATTTTGTACGCCAAACGAGTCTGGAACCTTTGCTCTGCCCTCATGCAGAAGACCGGGCCAAGAGGAGCTGAGAGCTTGTTGACAGTGAATAAACAACGGTTGCAGGAGCACTCCGAGCCATGACTCCCACATATCCGCCGGACAAGATTTGACTATATAAACTATAAAGGAATGGATAAACAGCCGTATGTGCCTGAATTCCATCGACTGCAAGTTCTCCATGAGTGCCATCGCAACGTAGTTCGCATCTAAGCATATGAAGAATGTCTCTCCAATGGTTGTTGATAGACCCAACACGTTGTATCTACATGTGTAAACAAACATTGGTGAGTTTAGGATAAATAAGAGAAAAATCAAATTCTCTATGCAAACTTGATTAAAAGAGGATACTACAAACTTACCCACTATCTCGGATACCTTTCAACCAATTTCGTATATCCTCGGCTTGTCCTTCTTTAGTTCCATCGAATGACCCATCAGCATAAATCGAGGAGCCTTTTGATAATTTAGGATTTGCTTCTCCAAGTAGACAGCGCCGCTCAGCATCAGCCATTGTCATTGCTGCCCTCAGTTCTGGAGGTAATGTTGGGCATACAGAGGGAGACCAAAGGGAATGAAGAACACGGAGTAACTGTAGATTTAAGAATTAAACGTTGCCATGTTATTCTTGCAGAAACCAAAAATCCTAACATTTTCTCTATGCAACCAAAACGGCACTAAGGAGCTTAATTACGAATTAAACTTAGCATGTCCACATTTTTAGGGGCATACTTTTAAGAGGGGTGGCAACATCCAAGAAAGATGATTAGCCATTGGATGTGAAGCTGGAGTTGTCACAGAGGTTGTGTTCAGATTGCTTTTTCTGTATCCACTTCTCTTGAGCGCCTTCTCAAAGAATGTAACAGTGTGGAATATAGACCACATGAGTGATGTGTTGGAGCATAAACGAACAAGACCCATCGGGTCTGATAAATAATTGTTCTGCCACTCTGGTTGGATCCACTGTTGACTCAATGGTTCCAATAACCAAGAAAGAATTTCTTGCTGCTGCTGAGCTCTGCGCCAAGTTTAGATTACATCTAAAACATGAGAAATCTGAAGCTGGATAAAGGCAATAAATTAAAATTCACTGTGACTCAAATATTACCCTGCGGAGGAAGCCATAACAAGAAATGCTTCACCCAGAATGTTATGCTCCCCACGAAGTAATGTTCCTTCTTTTGCCAAATAACCCATTGTATCAGCAATACCCTGAGCGAACCAACAGCAGGTGTCATGTTGCTTTAAATTTAACAAGATACAAGACATCTCTGACTAAAACTCTAAAACCAAATCAGAGAATTTTGTCTATATTCGGTCTCGAGCTTATCAGATCCTAAGTTACGGAAAAAAAAACTTCGGCGTTTACTAATCTGAGTTCCTAAAGAAAATTAGTGATAGATCAAAGCTACCTTCATGTGAGGCAGAACACTCTTTTCTGCAGCTTTGGCAATTCTTATGAAAGATGTACAAATCTGCAATCTTGCAGCTCTAGATGTACTAGTAGCTGGATCCTGCAACAGAAACAACTTATCAGATAACTCATCCACACTGTCAAAGTGTTGAAAATGTCTTATATGTATGCATGAGCGCATGTATATATATGGCAGGAATTAAAAAAAGTAACCTTGACAACGTGTGGAAGAGAGGTGAGAAGCTCAAATAATTTATTGATGACATTTCCAACTGCATCTGGAAAATACTTGAGGAAGGGACCCATTGCATCCAGATAATGCACATGCACTTTTATAAGTTCTGGTTCATTCCACTTCAAAGAGAGAAGCTGCTGAAGCAAGCCTGGCCATCAGCAACACAGAAATGAGCTTTGAACAAGCCTAGACATAGTAAACCAAAAACTAGAGGATATGAAATATGCCTCCATATACCCTCAAATATTCCACGCAATGCATAATGAACTTCAGAACTTCCGCCAGCTAACTCATTTGATCCATCAAAAATCGTTGCCACAATACATTCAAGTGCTAATTGCTCGCTTTCCATCACTGCTACATCCTGAAATTGGTTTTTTGCGTCATGAGCTTAACAAAGCCTCGATATAGCAGATATCAAATCAAACCGTGCATTTAGTAAAAGGAACTCAACAGCAGAAACTAAGTATTAGTGACAAAACCTGAAGAGGTGCTGGAGAAGCCAATAGATTCTTAATGAGTGTAATAACCCTTTCGGATATTCTGGTACTGGAAATGAGAGGCTTGTGCGAAGCAGTATGCTTGATCAATTCTAACTGCAGGAAAGGAAGAAGTATCTCATTAAGTATTTGTCTAGAAAGTAAGACCCAATGCATTTGGCTCAGGAACATACAAGCTTGGATCGGTACTGGCCAAAGTTTCCCTTTCCTTCAAAATTATCACTCCAGAGTTCTAGGGGCCCAAGCGAAAGAGAAATTTCAGGAGGAACTTTTTCTTTCTTGAGCATCCGATGGAAAGATACATCCAGTAGAGCGCCAGAGATCTCATCATTAATAAGACTTAAAGTCTTTTTCTTTTCATTATCAAACTGGCTTGAACTATCCACACCACCAGCTGATGATCCCTCACCACTTGGATAAGCAGCAGCCTTGGGCTTTGGAAGTAAATCCCGCATCAATGACTAAAACCCAAAAGGCAAAGACGTTGAAGTTAGCAACAGATATTTGTCCCTAAGAAATTTCTAAAGGAAGAAGATTGGATTGGAGAAGACCACATACCAGCCAAAAGAGAAGTGCCTCGAAGTGAAGACCCAACTTGAAGTGTTGGAAAAAGCCAAGCATCTATACAAAGATTAAAACGATTACGGCAACATATTCACAGCATTATCTGTGGAAAAAAAGACCTGATAATCCAAATTATTACTGCTACCATGAATATCAGCAAGCATACAGCATTTAGTATACAATTTCTAAGATGATCAGGTCAAATTAATAAAATAAAAATCGACTGTTCAAAACGCAAACTTCTACTGTATCAGAATGACACGCCAGCACAGGCAATGGTTTGTTTTCCAGTATAAATCAACAGAAAACATCTAGTTAAGAAACAAAAAAAACGTAACAAAGAAACAATATGAGATCAGTACCTGCTGAAGGTAAACAGCCATAACACCACCATCAGAAGAGATACATTGCAAATTCGTTGAGCCTAAAGAGGCCATACTCTCACACATGCATTCAGCAAAATCATAATCATTTTCATCAATAACGCTAGAAATTGAGGAGGATCTAACTAAGAATTCTCTGGAGACATTCGTCAGGATCTGAAACAAATTGCTAATTGCAGAATCGAACTCTGCAGTAGAAGCATCACTGGGTCTTTTTCTGCAGAGGAGAAAAAGCTTAAAAAATTTCAAAGATGCATGTCTACGTGTGCTCATTACGTAAGTACATCAGATCAAACAGTCAAGTTGCATACCTTGAGCAGACGAGTTTGAAAACCTCACAAGCATGAAGACGGAAGTCAGGAGACGAAAGTAAGAAGCTGCACCTATTATGAGTATGCGAGCATGTAATCAGTAAGAAACAATGCACGGCTAATATCAATAGCACAACAATCTCTGCGAGGTGTCAATCAAACCGTACCCACTAAGAATTCCATATCTGGCAAGATCTGGAACAGGAGCCCACTCAGCATATGCAAGGATGGCATTCAAACAAGCTATAACCACATCCGCATGCTGTTTTGCCAATTCAACGCGCTGCCTACCAGCTTCACTCATTGCAGCTCCAAAGTGTCTCTCAAGAAGCTGCATTTTTAATTTATTTAGAAAATTACCACTGCAGCAAAACAACTTTACTTAAAGGAAAACAATGTGCCATTACATTATACAATAAAGGAAAAATCTCAGGCAAAGATTGAGTAAGTCCCCGCAACAATAGCCTACGCCTGTCACCTGAAGAGAAGTCCAATACTAAAGTTAGAAAGCAGGATGGAGTTCGGATGATCAAAAGATTTAGAACACTAGAGGTTCTTTCTCCAAAATGTCTAAGCTAAACCATAAAGACGAAATCAGAGATCACTAGACTGAACTTAGCTTAAATTTAGCTTAATTCAAACTTGAAGATTAGAAAAAAAATTTCCCTGCCAACAATTAAAATGTGACGAATTTGTATTTAGAATTCTCTTAAATACCTTCCAAGTCCTCATTGTGAACTGTAATATCTTCAGGAAGCCATCTCAGCGTCATTAAGACCAATTCAGCCTATTATTGTTTAAGAGAAAAAGAAGAATTTTCTTGGCTGCCTCAATAGAATAAATCATCAAAGTAAATAAATGAAAGAGCACTCTACTTGCAAGGGGCCCTGTGCAGACAAGGAAGTTAATAAAGCGAATATCTCTTGCCAAAGATTAGGGCCTTCTCTTCTAACAATCTGCAACAAGTGAAAGATGTGAATCTGAGAAAAAATGAACGGAGGCAAATACCAACGATGACAGCAAGTGAAAACTCAAGTCAGTTTGAGCTCATACCTCAGCTACAAGGGCAGCAGACTGACTCTTGAGAGGCCAATTCTCACATGCACTAGCGACCTCTGACATTAGCTCAAGAGAAACATTAACAACGTCCCTGCACTCTGCAGGACTTAATTCGTCCCACCTTAGTCTAACCAAATGCTGCAAAAGAAAGATAGCTTCATCATAAGGCTTCAATGCTCTTACTAAGAAGCTGACAATCATGTATAGCGCACAACATACTGCACTGAGAGATTGGATAGAATATTTTGGGTGGCACAAACCTGTAGCATCTTAAAAGCATGCAGACGAATTTCTGAAGACCATTCTTTTTTCACAAGAAGAAAGGAAGTATTTGCCAAAACCCTGACATCCCCTGATTTGATCTGCAAGTGGTGTTTTCAAAGACAAAGTAAATCGGAAGTGTTGATAAAAAAGAAAAAAGCTCGTGTATTCAAATAAATCACAACGCCATGACCACGTTGAAACCACATTTGGGATTTACTTTCGCGAACAATACGTATTTTCAATCAATCAACTTGGAAGCAGCGAACATGCAAACGCAGACTCGCAAAGTATAGAAAAAGAAGTGTAGAAATTCGGAGAGAATATTACAGATTCCAGGAATTCGACCGCCGATTTGCGAGTGTCGGGCGTGGAGCTGTAATCGAGGACGGCGAGAATCGCTCGGGCCACATTACTCGCCGTGGAGCTGCTATCATCCATTACTTCCGGCGAAATACGGCTTCCCCTTACCGAAATTCCCTCTACAATCGAGACCGCAAAGAGAGATTCTCTCACTTTCTTCCTCCGTCTTGCAGAAATCGAGAGAAAGACGTCAGATTTGGGTTTGGGTTTGGGTTTGGGGTTTACGAAAACTACGCTTCTTGTTAAATGCATTTTGTAATTACACATTTCAATACGTATTTTAATTTCGAAAATAATTTACGTCAACTCACAAGACTAGTCCCCGGGCCAAAACCTTATATTTAACATCTTCGCTATTAATCCATCGAATCCAAGACGTCTTTTTCCTAGGTTTTTCTTCGACGGGCGCGATGGTGGTTGATAAGAAGGAGGAGATAGACTCTGAATCTTCGGAGCAAGTGGTGAATCCATGGGAAGTCTCCGTCAAAGACGACGGGAGAATCGACTACGACAAGATCATCGACAAGTTTGGCTGCCAGAGGCTCGACGAGTCACTGATCGATCGTGTCCAAAGACTGACTTCTCGTCAACCACACGTATTCCTCCGCCGTGGTGTCTTCTTCGCCCACAGGTTCGAAACTCAGCTAACTCTTTTTTTTTTGATGATTTAACTATAGAATTCCGCAGATGGAAACCTCCTGTTATTGCTGGATTAAACTCTTGGTGAGATTTGAACAGGGACTTCAATGAGATTCTGGATGCGTACGAGAGAGGAGACAAGTTCTATCTCTACACTGGAAGAGGACCTTCATCAGAATCTTTGCATTTGGGGCATTTGATTCCTTTCATGTTTACCAAGTAAGCCTCGAAGCTATTATTGTTGTCACGTTTCTTTCAAGTAATGATGGTTTTTTTGCTCGAAATGGCTTGCAGATACTTGCAAGAAGCTTTCAAGGTTCCTCTCGTTATACAGATTACGGATGATGAAAAATGCATTTGGAAGAACTTAGAGCCCAAGGATAGTAAACGACTTGGCAGAGAAAACGTGAAAGATATCATTGCTTGCGGGTTCGATGTAACAAAGACCTTCATTTTCTCCGACTTTGACAACGTTGGCGGGTAAGTCGCGTTTAAATCACATCTAGGTTTTTGTTTTGATGTTATACATTAGAGTTTTTTTTCTGGCTGATGATGGATGTCCTTGTGTGTAGTGCTTTCTATAAAAATATGGTGAAGGTTGGAAAATGCGTAACACTTAAATAAGGTGACACTTCTCTCTATCTCCTTGGTTTGCACAATGTGCCTCATGTGTGTTTATAGTTGCGTTGAGTTCCTGGTTTTCATTTTTTATATCTCCTTTTTTTGCTAGGCTATGGCAATCTATGGCTTTTCCGGCGAAGATTCTATTGCAAAAATCAGTTTCCCTCCTGTGCAGGTAATTTGCTAATGCATGTAGACTGTTGTATTTATAAATTGGATCACATTTCTTTCCATACATTTGTAGGCAGCTCCATCTTTTCCTAGCTCGTTCCCAGACTTGTTCCCTGGCAAGGAGAAACTCCGTTGCTTGATTCCTTGTGCAATTGACCAGGTGTGCTGTTTTCTCTCTTTGGATCTTAACCTGTTTGTTTTCCGAATATGAATCATGGGACACTTTTATTACTAAATCAAATGGTTGCTTTCGGTTTTGTTCAGGATCCTTATTTTAGAATGACTCGTGATGTTGCACCTCGGTTAGGCTATAACAAGCCTGCTCTAATCGAGTCATCATTTTTCCCTGCGCTGCGGGTAAGTGTTTCCTTAACTAGTCTAAGGATACTGCACGTTGTAGAGATAGTAGTTACACCTTTGATGCTTTCACACTATTGAATGCCGCAGGGAAAGAATGGAAAAATGTCTGCTAGTGATCCAAATTCGGCTATCTATGTGACTGATACCGCTGAGGACATTAAAAAAAAGGTGAATTTCTGTAATTTGAATTTGTTTTGTTATTCTAATCGAAGAGAGTCCATTTTGTGTTTCTGAATGGCTTTCGCAGACAGATATCAATCGTCCTGATAATGAAATCAGATAATTGCTTCCACTATCTTGACGATGGTTTTTAATATGCAGATAAACGGTGCGGTTAGTGGTGGGCAAGATAACAAGGACGATCAAAACAAATACGGAGCAAATCTGGAGGTACCAAATTCTCCCCTCATTCAGTTGTGTTTAATTGAAAGTTAGGAAAGGATATTCTCTTAGTTAGATACTAAACCACACTGTATCAATAGCGGATTTTTGGAAAATTGTTGTCTTGATACTTATCCTATCTGTTTTAATGCTATAGTTATTAACTCAAGTCTTCTTTTCTGGTCATCTCCTTTCTACTCTCTCACAGGTTGATATACCGTTCAAGTATCTGAGTTTCTTCCTTGAAGATGATGCTGAACTTGAACACATAAAGAAGGTAAATTACGTTATACTTGACTCTCTAGCTCTTGTTATTAGATCATTACAGAGAATGAAGAATGCTCATATCTGTCTTAGTCGGATTAATCTCAAATAAAAAGTTGAAAAACAAACTGTACTGTGTTTCAGGAATATGGAGAAGGAAGAATGCTAACCGGAGAAGTAAAGAAGCGACTCACTCAAGTTTTAACAGAAATGGTGGAGAAACACCGCAGGGCTCGAGCTGCTGTTACTGATGAGGTAAAAAAACATCGAGGATTAACTTCATTAGACCAATCAAATGATTTAATACCATTTTTATCGAGATTTACAAAAAAAATATATTATATCAGATGGTGGAAGCGTTCATGGCGGCGAGACCTCTTCCAAGCATGTTTGAGTAGAGCCTAGAAGCCAGAAGAAATCCCTTTTTGGCGGCTCTGCAACTTCACATCACAGCGTTATTTTATTTTCTCTTCACTTGGAATTAGATTTTGTAAAGAATAGTTTCTCCTAATTAAAATTTTTCCCATTTTAAAACACCTGACATTATATTTCAATAAGACAAATAGATGAAACATTAAAAGAAGCTGGTCAAACCTTCCACCCAAAGTTGCCAACTTTCTCGTGTAACAACTTGTCTTTTTTTTTTCCTTTTGTAACAACTTTATGCAAAGAGAATTAGAAAATATAAGATTCCTTTTTTCATCAGAGTTTTCTCTTCTTTTTATATATAAAAATAAGAAATTCAAAAAGTAAAAATGAAAAATTTACATAGAATGTAATTTCCCTCATTTTAATGTTTTTGTCAATACACAAATCAAACATATAACCCACCAAAAAAAAAAGCGGCATTTCTTTTCTTCTCAAAAGTATCTATCAAAAAGGAACCTTTTGAAATTTGCAGATGAATAATAATAATAATCTCAAACAACGATTCGTTTCCCTTTAACCTTAGCAGCTCTTCTTCTCTCCTTGTTAATGTCGTTCCTCCTCCGTGCGGTTGAGTCAGAGGCTTCAATGGGAGCCAAAGGGCCTGACCAAGTCTGAAATGGCTCTTTCGAGTATGAGGACGTGAATGAGTTTGAGCTAAACGGTATCTCCGATGGATCCAGTCTCCGTGAAGATCCTACAGGAAAACCAAGCGACCCGTCTTGATGCGGTGGAGGAAACTTCTCACTCTTGCTCTTCGCATTCGCATGCGTGATCAAACGCATCCTCTGTTTTTTTATTAACAAAGAAAACCGGAAAAGATTCAGATACGAACTGAGAACTAAACCAAAAGATTGTTGCAGAAAGATTCTCTGACGTTTCTTACATCGATGTTAGATTGATTCTCGGCGTTGGCTTCAGGAGCAGGCATTGCTCTTGGAGCTCGTTCTCGGGGTCTGATTCTTCTTCCGCTCTCTCCTTGGGCCTTACGAGCTTCTCTTTGCCTGCAGAAATGAATACATCTCTTAAAGCAACCGAAACCAAACTGAACAATGAACAATTTTACAAGCCATAAAAGATAAAAAGAAAACAAAAAACTTTACCTCCGATACTCTTCGTCTCGTTTCTTGGCATCGATCTCTTTAGTTGGAGGATATTTCGGGAGATCAGAAGGTTCACATGCAAGTGGCTCCGTCGTGAAGAACTGCACAGCAAAAATAAAATCAGCCATGCAAGATTTTACCATGATGAGTCATCTTTTTGATCAATTAAGTAAAACTTACATCAGTCATCAAGGCATCAGAAGCTGTGAGGCGGTCAGAGGGATCAAGCGCAAGAAGCGTATCGAGTAGAGAAAGCGCCTGAGGAGAGAAAGATTTGAAAACCTCTCTTACTTTTCGTTTATACTTGGGTAAAGGCTTGTGATGAGCATGCTTCTGATTCGAAGGCAGCCTAATCTTTCTCCAATACTCTTCCGAAGGCGGTCCGCATAACGAATATATCCTATGCAACTGATCCACCTGCGCCAGTCAACATTTGTACCGAGCCCGGTTCACATTACATACATCAATAAACAAGCTTTTCTCAAGATAAAATAATGATCACTAACCTCGTTACGGCCTGGCATAATCGGTCTACCTGCTAATAACTCGGCTAAAATGCAACCGGCGCTCCATAAATCAACGCCGACACTATACTCAACCACACCGTGAAGAAGCTCCGGTGCTCTGTACCATAGAGTAACGACCCGGTTGGTCATCTCTTGCCTTTTACTCGCATCGTAAAACGTTGCAAGCCCGAAATCGCCTATTCTAAGAACTCCGTCATCGTCTATAAGAAGGTTTGATCCTTTAATATCACGGTGGAGAACTCCTCTGTTATGGCAATGCTCCAGCCCTGAGAGTAGCTGCTTCATATAGCATTTTACCTGAAAACACATACATTATCCAAACAGAGACATTAGGTATCTAACTCCGGTTTTGCGTTGTGTGAATCTATCTGCAAGTGATGCCTGACCTGTTGCTCCGTGAATGTTATGTCAGGGCTTGCAGCGAGACCAGCTAAATCGTGATGCATATAACGGAAAACCAAGTATAAACTATTCGACATCCTCGAAGTCACCAACCCTTCTAATTTGATGACATTGGGATGATCCAATCTCCTCAAGATGAGAATCTCTCTAGCCATAAATCTCAAGCTCTCGCGTTCCCTGATATCGCACCGCACTTTCTTTAATGCCACGATGTTTCCTGTCAACGAGTCTTTCGCTTTGTACACATTACTATACGTTCCTGATCCAATCTACCACACACAAAGCAACAAACTTCAATTACCCAAAATCACTGCAAAGAACAAAACAAGAAAAACATAATTTTTTTTTTTTTTTTTTTGCTCTCACCTTCTCAATCTTCTCAAAAGAATCCGCTTTTCGTGGAAGCCATCCGCTTAGAGCTTCCCCGCAGACTTCAGACAGCCACTGTGGCCATCCGGCTGCAACTTGCTCACCGAGCAAGTTCTTTGTCGGGTTGCTCCGTCTCGGGTCAGGCTTAGTAGACCTTTTTCTTTCGCCTTTCGATCTTTTCTCTTTCGTCTCTGTCACAACAAATCCATTCTCTTGCTTGTGATTCGCGATAGCTTCATCGTTCCTAACCTCCTCACCGGCAGCAGCAGAAGCAACAACAACACTAGTGCTCTCTGTGGCTTCGGTTTTAGTCACGGACGCATTGTTGTTTACTTCTCTACGATTAGACTCTATCCTCGTACTAACTTCGTGTCTAGACCCAGAAACTGATCCGGATGACCCGGGTCGACCCAATACACAGCCCATCTCATAAAACTAACTTTCATCTGCTCAACATGTTTCTAAAAAGAGATCTTTGTAGCGCTATCAAATCTCTTTTGAATCAACTTTAACTGCAACACACACACAATTGGGAAATTCAATTAGATTCTTCATCGGCTAAATAAGGAAACTGATGATTCCAAGTTCCAACTCAGTAAATAGGAAGTGTTTCCGCATCGGAGATCAGATTTGACTAAAAACAACTTAAGGAACTTTTAGGTAGGAAAAATTTACTTACTTTATGATCGAAGAGGAGCGAAATTCGCGACCCAGATGGTCAAATCTGAAACTTGAACAGACAAAAACAGCTGCAGAAAACCCAAAAAGAAAATTAAAACCCTAGTTTTAAGACAGGACGATGTCAGGCTGAGACAAGTCAAAGGAAGGCAAAGATCTGAATACTTGTTTAGATACAAAGCTGACTCAAACTCAGGAGAAAGAGAGACCAAAATTCAGTAAAAATAGGAATGGATGGATTAAATTGAGGGAATTCAAAATTTTCACAAAGAGAGCCAAAAAAGAAAAAGGAAAATGGCGTCCAGAAGTTTTAAAAATCAAACCTTTAAAGCAAAAAAAAAAAGGGAAAGGCTTTGGAAAAAGGCAAGGTAATACACACACAATTACACATAGAGATATAGAGTGGTAGACCAAATAATCTACTTACCTCTCCCATGGACTACTAACAAGAAGGAAAGAGACCAACTTGGGTAAAGATCTGAAGGAGAAGGATTGGTTGAACTGCTTCGAAATAGGCTTTTTATTTACTCCAAAAAAAAACTAATTTTCTTTTAATGTATTGGGTTCTTAGCTTTGAATCAGACAAGAAAAAGGAATAAATAGAAACAGACGAAGATCTGTTTGGCTGTTTGTATTATGTGTAATTGTTTTTGAACGCAACAGGTCAAAAGGCTCAAAGCTACTACTCTTCATGCCCCCACCAACCTAAAACTCCAGACCATTTGATATTAGTACTACTGCTATTCCTCTCTCTCTCTCTCTCTCTCTCTCTCTCTCTCTCTCTCTCTCTCTCTCTCTCTTAAATTTGTAGAGCATGATGGAGTTTGGTAGACTTATTGTTTTATTTTTTTACATGGAAGAAAAACAATTAACGCATTTTTTTTAAGAAGACGACATTGCTGTCTTAAAAGCAATTATATGTATAGTATTATTAGAAGAAGAAGAAAATGATATTGGGTCACTAGTAACACTTAATTTCTGTTATGAAACGGTTAGAAAGGAGAACTCGAGCATTCTCATATAGATTAGGGATAAAGATGTAAGGTTCAGTAGTGATATTTTTCTATGACAATGAACAGGTACAATATAAATAAAAATAGTTTGATCATATAATACTGCTGGTCAAACAATGCTTCGTTAACATAAGAAAACGATATTTGGTTAACATGCACCTAATTCTGGAATGTATCATTAAATTAATACATAATTGTTTTTTAAAAAAATACTACGAATTATGACATATTATGAGAGTTTCCTTCATCTCTCCAATCAAAGAAGCTCCTTTATCAAGACTCAGTTGTAAACCAAACAAGGAACAAAGGCTAAGGAACTAGTGATTACTTCTGTCCTTCGAAAGAAACCCATTTTTCCCTTTTTCCTTTTTATTTTCTAAATAAAAGCTATATTTATTTTGTATATTACTAATACTAGTATATTCTATGACTGATTGAAATTGTTTTGGGTTCTCGAAATAGGGTAGTTGCATATTACTAATACTAGTGATTACTTCTGTCCTAAGGAAATAGCTTTTATTTAAAATGAGTTTTCTGTCTATTTTGTATCTGTGTAATGAATACCAAATTGTGGCAGATCATAAAAAGATACTCCGCCTACAAAATCTTTAATACTTTAACTAATACTAAGTATATTTTATTGGGCGGATGTACAGACACGTTTTGTACCAAATGTTTGATTTTAATAGACATAAAAAAAACTCATTTTAATAAATTATTTTTCGTTTCGAGAAAACGAATTAATTAGTAGAACAAGCAACAGGAAAATGTAGAAAATAATAAAGGGGTTCCAAAATTAATCGCCTACAACAAAAATATAGAGTCTCAGGGAAAAGGATATTAAAACACAAATCCAACATTCAAAATGATATGCAGACAATTAAGTAAACTTAACACCTCTAGATAAAAAGCAGTTCACGAAAAAAAACACTAGATATCTCCTCAGGCCTTAATTTTCTTTTTCTTCTCTTTCTTATCTTTCTTCTTAGCTGGCGTTTCAGTTGCTTCTGCTTCCTCATGCTTTCTCTTCTTCTTATTCTTCTTCTCTTCCTTGACAACCTCTACGGCTTCTGTTTCTGTTTCTGCTTCCGCTTTCTTCTTCTTCTTCTTCTTTGATGGTTCCTCCTTTTCAGGCTCCTCTGCTTCCACCACCTTCTTCTTCTTCTTATCTTTCTTCTTCGATGACTCCTCGGCCGGCGTTTGACCAAGAAGAGAATCTGCAGCAGAGTTGTAAGTCTGCACCATAACAAACAACCGTGTAAGATTTACCAACAAAGACGAGAGGTAACCAAATCAAAAATTACAAGAAACAAACAAAGAGAGAATAATCTTGACCTTAGCGGGAGTAATGAGACCACCAGATCCCTTCTTTTTATCCTTGTCATAGACTTCAACCTTAGGCTTTCCTTTAGCTGAACCAGACAGACGACCTAAATCCTTTCCTTCAAGATTTCTCAACCTCGCTTCAAGCTGTGAGAATTCAAAAGGTACCAGAAACATCCATCAGGTAAAAAGGATAAATCAAGAGACCTTGGCACGGTTTTCAAGTGATAAACATCATCAGGCAAATTGAAGAATGTTAGTACCTTAGCACGGTTTTCAAGTCCCATAGTATTATCTTGGCCATCGCCAAGAGCATCACACCTAATAGCTAGAGCTGACTTAGCAGCTAATGACCGAGAGATCTTTCCCTTGTGCTTCGGTGCTGCTTGACCAACCACAGATGCGTGGTAGATCAAACCATACTTGGGTGTGGCGTGCTTAGTCTTGAGTGCCCTAAAGAGGGCTTTCTCAGCTCCCAGAATCTGAACCGTGCTCCCAGGTTGCTTGGCGAGGTTCAATAAGCTACCCCCATGAGAGATTAGACGAGCACCAACTAGCTCACCAACTAAAGCAGTCAAGTTTGGAGCAACAGTGTTCATTCTGCTCTTCAGGTAATCGTAAAGCTGGGCTCTGTACTCAGCAAGCGAGATAACTTGGTCACAGAGTTCACGGATGTGCATCAAGTCCATGTCATTGACTTCTGTTCCCATAGATATCACAGCGGCTTCCTTCAATTCCGCCTCAACCTCATCCGCTAAGATCTGCAAACCAACCAGAAACATGAATATGAATATGATCACAAGACAGGGTGTTCAGCTAACAGACAGCTCTATACACGGTTCGCAACATGAACATTACCTCAGAGAAGTCTAGCTTTGCAGCATTAATCCGGTCACCCATCAATTTAACAGATTTGGCATAGTGGATATTGTCTGATATGATCTTAGCAAGCTCTGGAAAATGCCACCCGTACCACTCTCTGACCCTCATCGCGTATGTGTTCAATTCTTTGTCAAGGTCATCAAGCAAGCCGATTGCTTGGATAATCATAGTATCCACCTAACCAAAAAACACATAACAAGTTCGAACGTCAAATGCTAGTTCTATAGAGAAGTTCCACAAATCTTATACACGACACCAAACTATAAAGACCAACATAAACTAGTTAGAACTGAAGTAAAACACACCTTGTCAGAACTGAACTTCAGCTTGTATCTAGCGAGGCTGTGAGACAAACCCAAGCTCATAGGTGCCAAGTCTTGATGACCCAAACCAGTAATGAGTTCGGTAAACTGACTTCTAACACCTCGTAGAAGCTCCATCACAGCGTTGTTGTGAACACAATCAATTTTCTGTATGATACATAGCGCTCATTAGCAACAACAACAAAACAAAGCAACAAAAAAAACAAAACATTATAGTAATGGAAACTCAAAACGAAATACATACCAGCTTCTCCTTGATAATGTTTCCAAGCTTTGAATCAGCCACAGCTAAGACTTCGCCTTGACAGTTAGCTTTCAAAAATTTGCGAAGACTTTTGTTTGGAGATCCATCAAGCAATTTAGCCACTGCTTCGAGCGCTTCGGATGTGTTATCAAACTTATCAAAAGCTGTTAGCCTAACCATCTGGTACACCAAAAAACCAAAAACATATGAGAAACTCAACACTAAAGCTAACCGAAATAGACACTAGATTATTATTAATGCTTAAAGAAACAAAAAAAATTAATCACCCTTCGTGCAGATTCTGGAGATAAGAACTCTTTACCCAAATCCTGCCAAAATAATCAAATCGGTGAGTTTAAAAGCATTATACATATACAATATTCACAAGGCTGAGCAAAGAAAGTATAAAAAAAAGAATGAAAATAACTCACCTCAACGTTAGACAACTTCCCTTCATCTAGAACCTTAAAGAGGGCAAAACCCCCGGCTGTCTCGAACAGTACGTGCATCTTCACAAAGATCTCAATTCACTACCTGAAGAGAAAATTAAGAGATATGCATATCAGAGTCACACAAATGAACAACCCTGCGCAAAACTATATAATTTTCACTGATTAAGATCAAACTCAAGCAAGAAACAGTATTCCCAAGAAACCCTTTTCGTCGGCATATCATGCTTTACATAAGAAAATACAGTGAAAACAGAGATTAACTACAATAAGCCATAAAACACTACAGAAGTATTCAGAACTCCACAATCTCCAGAAAATTATTGAAAGATGAAAGAGCATCCGCCGTGAAAAGTTGAGAGATTCAATTACCTCAGTTAATCAAAGCTGCTGCGTGAAAGGGAGGAAGAAGAAGGAGACAGACAAGCACTTAGGGTTTAAGAGTCTTGGTTTTATAGCATTCAAAGACAAGAGTCCATCTCACAGAACGCTGCGTTTATAAAGGGGCCTTTCTGTAACTTTGAACTTAGGGTTTATAATTTAGGGCTCAACGCCGGTTTAGGTTTTCAGTCTAATGGGCCTGAGAGTAATATATCGCTTGGCCCATTTATATATAATATGCCGGTTTAGGTTTTTCAGACTAATGGGCCTAAGAGAATGATTTAACTTGGCCCATTAATGTATAATATGCCGGTTTAAGTTTTCAGACTAATGGGCCTGAGAGAATAATTTAGCTTGGCCCATTTATGAGATCTTAAACGGTAGCGCTTTGATCTTCCCTTTCGCCTTTGGTTTCCTTATGCGAGATTGTTTCTCTGTGTTGAAAACTTAGAGAGCTCGAAGCTTCCAGGTACGGTTTCAACTTTCAACCTTTCCCGTTTGATTTTCCCTAAATTTCTCGGTAGGTAGCTATTTGATATTTCAATTATAAATTAGATTTCATGGGGTGCCTCTGATTTTGCTAGAATTTGTAGCTAAATCTTTTTGTATATAACTTAGGGAGTCGCAGGTTCTCTAAATATCATGATAATTATCGTCTCATTTTGAGTTCAATCTCAATGAGTAGTGTGATCGGTGTTCTCGTGGAAGCTGCGGTAATGTAGGAACACGATTGGGTTATTTTGTATTCAAAGGTTTTTAAGTTGATAACCTAATTTTGCAGTAAGTGATGGCTAGTGAAGATGATTCCATAGAACAAAAAGCTGCTGCTCGTAAAGAGGCGCTCAGAGCTCTAAAGGCAGCTCAGGAACTGTCCGAGAGCAAGGAAGAAGACGGACAAGATGGTGCAGTGGAGGAAGAGTGAGTATTTTGAATCTAGATTTCTCCTTGATTCGTAAGTTTGATAAGCATATGGATCGTTCTTGTTGTGTGTTGGTTAAAGCTTAAACCAGGAGCATCTCACTAGTGGTTTTTGACTTTGCCTCTGTGTTTATGAGAGAAGCAATAATCCTTTGGTTTTTGTCATGTGCTTACTGCTTCATGTACTCTCTTGGATTTGACAGAGGTCCAGCCATGAAATTCAGAAATTATGTGCCACAAGATAAGGAGCTTCAGGATGGTAAAGTTGCCCCACCAGAGATACCCAAGTTTGAAGATCCAGTTGCTGCACTTGCACCTGCAGTGGAGAAGAAAGAGGTGTGTGACTGCTTCTTCTCCTTTTTTGTTTCTGTAAATGGACCACCAAATCCTCTGTGCCGGAAATATAAACATCATCCTTGTAGGATCCGTTTGTCAACATTGCTCCCAAGAAGCCAAACTCGGACCTCCGAAGGGATGTGCAGAGGAAGCTTGATAAACTTGAAAGGCGGACTCAGAAGGCAATGCACAAACTCGTGGGTAAGTGGCAACTTCATCCCAAGGATTCATCTCATTCTTGAAAGCTTACTCTAAGTGAAAGCCATGTATGGGGTAGATATAGTTGGTATTGTGAGTTAGACTGGTGTCTTGGTGTTTGTTAACAGTTGCGTTTTCATTGTCTCATTGCAGAGGAGCGTGAGAAAGAACGTGAGATGGCGGAAGCTAATGAAACCGCCCTTGAAAGTTAGAAAGAAAGCTGATGACAGCGAAGAAGCCACAGGACAATCATCTTCTACTCAAGTTTGTATAACTGACTGTTAAAAGCTTGTATTCGAAGAAACTAGACCATATATGGCTTGAATTTCTCCTATCAAGAATTTAGTACGGCCACGGTTAAACAGTTTTCTGTTCGGTTTTGTTTACTCTGGCCCAAATTTAAGCTTTGGGTGGGCTAGTTTGGTAAGCTGACTGAAGCTTATGAAAAATTCTTCAATAAAATCCTTAGGCCGAGAGAAAACAAGTGAGCACTTTGTTCCCCGCAATGGACTTTAGATACAAGATTGGTTTTATTATATCGTTTCAGGAAACAATCAAAAACAGAGATCGTAAGTTCTTTTTCAAAAAGCTCAAGACCTAATGTACAAACTCAGTAAAGTATTCGACACCATCTCTCACCTAAAATCAATTATCTCCGGCATTCATGCCCACTTCTCATGAACCCGAGCTCCAAGGAACAGAATTATTCTCCGGGTAAACCACAAGATTTATGCTTTCGGAATGAACAAGCAATGAACAGCTACAGACTTCCATGTGTTTATATGCAGCAGCAGATTCCAATTTTGGGACTCGAAACTTGTCCACTAGCCCCATATCTGCAGGAGGCACATAAAGGATATGGAGGTATTCATATTCATATTCATTTTCAGCTGCCTCGGTCAGCATAAAGTATGTTCCTATCAAATATTTAAAAAGCACATCTTCAAAGGCTTTGATATCACTTATCGCGAGTTGTGAACTTAAAAAATTTACCAATGCTTTTTTTTTAAGGTCAACTATCATTTTCTCATGTTAAAACCAGCAAGCAGATGGAGCCTGAGAGTGGTGCTCCAGAAATTCAATCTTGATTAACACACCAACCTAATGCATTTTCATGAGTTCTCACCTTTTCTCGAATATTTTACCTTAAAAGTTATCTAGCTATAGGGACCCTGTAGTTGAGAATTAGATCCTCAGGTTTCTTCCATATATATGCCCGTACAGTTGCCAAACTCATCTCTGGAGATAAGACCTGATATCATCACAGAAAAAACAAGCTCGTTCAGCCACTTACTGCAAACGAATATATGAGACCACCCAACCAAATTTTGTTTCTTTAATGTGTTGGAAGATAAAACTCTCAGCAAGCAGACGTCGAAAATTGTTGAAGCTTGACTTGCCTGGTTATTGCATATGATCTCAATGGAAGGTCTGAGTTTCTGCCAAGGCTTTGATCCCGACTGCAGCAGTCCATTTCCTGCAAACAGTTGCTGTGGTCCTCCTGAAACACCTGCTCCATCAATAGCTAGACTATCCAACGGATTGTCAAGGTTGTCAAGGACCATCTTCTCCACAACGTAATTGGTAACCTACATAGGCATGTTGGAAACAAGTTGGCAATTGAATAACAGAAAATGAAAGCATAAGTGTATGTTTAAATTACGGATAAGTGCACCTTGTGAACTCTTAAGATCCGGGGTGCACTAAGTTTCCCTAGTGTGACCACCTGCACATTTGAGCCTTCACAAGGATGCAGGAAGAAGCTTAATCTGAAAATTTGAAGATCTTCCAAAGTAAGAAAATTTGAACAAGAAAGTGTGCTTTATCTATTTGTAAATAATGAAAGAACATTCGTGAGGAAAATGCGTAAAGTCAAAGATATATTTTTGATAAAAGAACAAGGTGGTGTCATGTACTTTGTATTTTCTCTAGGGGGAAGGCGATTGTTCAATACGGCGTCTAGGCACCACAATGGGAAGTCCTTCTCATCTTCAGTTCCGGTAAACTCGGTTATCTTCTTCCTCCATGGGCCTCCTTGAGAACCCTCCGTAATAATGGAAGGGGGAGAAACAGAAGGAAACTCAAATGGAGGATACACCGGATCATTCGCCGCACTACTGTCTTCACTTTTGGATGCAGACAGATTTTTTTTGGTATCTTTCACCGATAGAATATCTCCAGAGGCAAGAGCTTGGGGTTTGGGTTTGTGCTTCTTCTTTGCCAGCCAATGACCAAGCAGACCTTTCAGAGTTTCGCGAGCTAGATTAATCTACATATCAACACAATAAATTGACAAAGTCAGGTTTAATTTGACTAGGTTAGAGCAAATAAAAGTCTATATTCAATTCTGATAACCAGATTCAAGTAGAACTTGCATCCAAAGATGCAGCCATTTAGTCTACCTTATCATCTTCAGGTCGCCCGGACACTTTAAGGTCTGCTGAATACATTTCAGCAGAGAAGCATTGCGGTGTCTCTAAATGTAAGGATAAGCATCCAAGTCGTGTATCCACAGTGAACCATGATGGGATGCTTACCTGAAAACGCAGAAATGAACAATATATCATAAAGGTAAACAAATCTGCTAGTCTCGCTAAATAACAAAAAACTCATAACCTTCGGAAACAATTAAGAGGCTTACCATCTCAAACAGTTCTTCTTTCTTCTCTTCAAACGAAATCTGTAAACATGGATACCGATACATTTAATTGATTAAGCAATTTTCCAGGAGCACATCAGAGAAGAAGGCTAATGATATTAACAAAACTAAAAAAGGAATTTTAAGTTCCATAGAGACCTTCCCATAGTCCTCTACCACAACACCCCTGGTAATATCCCATAATTTCACTGCACCAGCTGCGTCCTGCAAAATGACAACGTAACAGATATCATCGACCCGTCTAGAAGCCTATCAACGGTGGTCTTACCAGAGCAATCAGAGAACTCTATTTCACCTTGGTTAAAATTTGCCTTTTATTGTTCAAAATCTCATGTTGCACAATCGGGTGAGTTCCTGGAACAGTTATTGACGGCTCCTTGTAGGCAGGGGGCTGCAGACAAGCCAAAAGTTAGCCACACTAATTCAGAAAAAAATAGGTTAAACAGAAGCATTTACAGGAACAAATATTTTTCTTACTGGATTTAGTCCTTCCAAGGACACCCTCGCCCTATTAAAAGATAAATTCCCAGCCAAGAAAGAGCCACCTCTTTGAAAGACCTTTTGAGGACTCTGTACTTCGGCAGGCCATCTCTCTACAGAGGAGTCTGTTGTTGCAACCCATATACTATCATCTTGCAACGCTAATTGCTGAATCGGATGTTCTTTAGTGCACAGCAAAACGCTCTCTCTTGTTGCCAAGTCTGTCAAGTATAACTGACAGAAACATAAAGCGTAAATGGAATTGAAAAAAGAAGCTCTGCAATGGAGGGGAAACAGAGAAAAAGGCAAGTTTTCAGTCTACTCACACATTGGTCTCTTCCACCACTGTATACATGACTAAACGACGGGGTGCATGCAAGCGCCCAAACAGAATCTGTATGCACCGCATAAGTATGTAGACAGCGCTGCTGACCTAGATCCCAGAGTCTGGAAATGAATTTACAACCATTTAGAAAAACTGAAATCATCACAACTGCAGTCACTGGGTTCATAGCTATGAACTAATTAAGAAAAGAAACAGACCTTATCATAGAATCAGAGGACCCAGACAAGCAAAACCTGCAGTATCAAGTTGAGGTACACGAAGAAAAACTATCAGTCGGAGAAAATAGGTTCCAAAAGGACGTGAAATAAACCATTGCTGGCGTTGACAATAAAATTGAAAATTTACCTGCCAGTCGAGTCCAAAAGCAGCACTCTGACATTATCTGTATGGCCCCTCAGCTTCATAGTTTTTGAACCAGTTCTAGGGTCCCAGACACGTAAAACCTGCAACAAACGAAAAGAAATGAGTAGAATTCAGAGAACATAAACCCAAAATAAATTTAAGTTCTTGTTTTCCGATATATCCTCAGCAACCTGGATTGTATAAATACCTTCTCTGTTCCACCAGAGACGAGCATCGTCCCAGTATCATTCATGGCCAAAGCATAGACGGACTCCTTATGGCCTTTGGCAATTGTTGGAGTGTACCCATGGGATGGTGATGACTGCACAGAAATATTGTTACTCGAACCAACAGTTCTTAAACTTGCAACAGGTAGATTCCCGGGACCATTTGCACCATTTGAAGGAGAACTATCTTCCATTGTATCATTAGGTTTCGTAACTGGTGACAAAGCAGCTTCGATATCCCATATAAAAACCTCCCCGCCAAGGCCACCAGAGGCAACAACATTGCTCTAACAGTTGTAACATCAAGATAGGATCAGAATGTGACAATGAGAAGATCATATATCCTACAAAACTCGCACCACCACGCCAAGCAATTGATTCCAGGTGCAACTATAAAGAAAAAGGCATGGAAGAATGACAAATTACATTTTTTGCCGCAACTGCCAAACAAGTAACATAGTCAGAGTGCTGCCGGAGAGTTCTTGTACAGACTCCATCTGATAAGCCGTCCCATGTCTAGAGCGTTAAACGAAAATTAAGCCTCATTTAGAAACCAATATGGTGGTACGAAACAAAACAATATAGAGTAAAATTCTGGATATATACTGCCAGTAACAAAGTCACAAACCTTAACCGTAGTGTCTGAAGAACAAGAAACAAGAGTGCTTTCACCAGCCAAAGCAGCGTCATTCACCTGACCAATCAACAAGCAAAAGATAAGCCTGAGGAAATTTCCAAAGGGTCCTAATTTAATAATCATCCCTATAAAGTTTAGTTTCGGAATCAGACAAAAAGCTTCATACCCAATCAACATGAGACTCAAACGTAGCGGAGCAAAAAGTTGCATCCTCGTCAAATGCCCATCTCTTGAGTGTACCATCACGGCTTCCAGTGAAGAGGTAACTCTGATCACTAGAAACAGACGACTTCAAGACATCCAAGCAATTAATGCCAGCACAATGCTGCAGCGTGCACATTACATAAAAAAAGAACATCATCAGGCTTGAGAAGGAGATGTCCATAACTAGTTCAAAACTATTATAAGTCTTGTCTGGTTAAAGGAACCAGAATGAAAAAAAAAAAAGAGAAATCAAAGAAAAAGGGTAACACAAGCACGAATGGCAGAAAACCATATAGGTGCAAAACAAGCTGACCTTAGTGTCGTTGGCATCATTTAACACATATGTAAGCTTTTTCTCTTTGCGAGTGCGGACAGAACCGCCATTACTCCCGGCACTTCCAACCCGGTGCATCCCTAATTATCCTGAAAGAAGAACCCGAAAATCACTAAGACAAAGCTGGTAGATCTGTAATTTAATCTAAAACGGGAAGGAACCAAAAGCCTATCCATAGAAACCCCCCAAGTCTGAGTAAATCCAGGAAGCAACCGTTACCAATATCTATAAAAAGTAAAAAAGCTTCCCAAAATCGCCCATTGATTCGTCCCAGAGGATGATAAGCAGCTACAGAACAGCTAAATAAGAGGGAGATCAAACCCAGATTTTGGCTATACAAGAGACAGATAACAAATATCATCGCAACTCAGCTTTACGACTCGCTACTTTTTTCTGATCCATACACAGTACTCAAAATCAAAATAGCAATTGAATATCTACGATTGATTCCAACTGCTTCCTAAATTTATAACAAGAGAAACCCAGAAAAAATTGAACAAGAGTCGAGTGTAAAATATCCAAATATGAAAATAAGAAAAGAGCAAGTCGTAAACATACCTTTTACCTGAACTTCCGATGAAATCGATGATGATTAACTACGAGATTCAGCAACCTCAACACACTTTTCAAGCGAACACATACACACGCACACACAACAACAAAAAAAAACCCTAGAATCGATCTTTCGCGCGGGAACGAATCGAGATTTGGGAATCAGATTGATCTGGAGACTCGAAAATTTGCGACGAATTTGGAATTACGATATAACTTAATAGAGTCAAGAAGGAAAAACACAAGAGCAGCCTTTTTCCAAGGCGTGATGGCGTTTGGAGAATTGGAGGAAGAAGAAAGAAGAAAAAAAAGTTTTTTTTTTTATGAAACCCAAACTCTTTCAGGGGTCGACTTGGTAAAATCAGCCCATAGAATCGAAATATTATTGAGGATAAGATCATATAAAGGTGTTGTTATTTTCTTATTGGTTGAATTACTTACTTAGTCACTAGTGGTACAAGATTAAACTATAAGTATTGGGATCAATATAAACCGGTAATTACAAGACGGGTACAATTATAAAATTATGTAATTATCTACCTTCTGAAACTATAATTTTTTATGTAATAAACTCTAGAATTATCTTTCTTTTTCCCAATATAAACCGGTAATTACAAGCGGCTACAATTACAAAATTATGTAATTATCAAGCTTCTGAAACTATAATTTTTTATGTAATAAACTCTAGAATTATCTTTCTTTTTCCCAATATAAACCGGTAATTACAAGCGGCTACAATTACAAAATTATGTAATTATCAAGCTTCTGAAACTATAATTTTTTATGTAATAAACTGTATAATTATCTTATTATATAAATTTCCATGAGTAAAATTTCTACAGTTAATTCAGGATTTAGTTATCCTGCAACATTATTAATTCTTAAGCAGCAGCACAGGTTGTCCACTAATTTCGACATACTAATTTTGGTATGTCCGTAAATCACACTGATTCAATTTTCCACTAGTTTCCTAAACGAGAGAGATCTCTCTCTTCATCAATGGCGTTTCTCTCCTCTTCTTCATCGTCTCCGGCGATGCAGAAAGGGATTTTCCTTAGCGTGCCGGTACTTGTACTCTCAGTTTCGTTCGCAGCTGCTGTCTTCTTCCTCCTCTCGTCTTCTCTATCGTCCTGCTCCTGTCCTCCATCTGTAATACCTTCCCGCAACGACGCCGGTGTAGCTTCCTCCGGTGATGTGAGGTTGGAGGAGAGGATATCGCCGACGCGAGAGGATATAGAGTGGGTTAGAGATCTGATTAGATCGAACGGTTTGCATATGCAGAAGAATGAGCTCCGGAAAGGGATCAATCCTCGCACTAGGGATCAACAACTCATAGATCTAAAACAGTAATAATCTTCTCTCTCTCTCTTTCTTGCTTGAGCTACAAGCGCTACAGATTCTAGCTGCTTTACTTTTGGAAACTTGAGTAATTAGTAAATGGCTTGAGATTCTATTTGATTTTAGCTTAGTGATTAAAACAAGTTGAAGCGAGCTACAAAATCCATCTGAAAATCTCGGAATTGAGTGTGTTTGTATGTGAATCCACTAACTATTTCTTGCATCAATATCTGTGAGGTCATGATTTTGTGTTACTATAGCAAAAAATCTAGTGGTGAAAGACTCGAGCTTTCTCTGTGTTGGTTTCTGATTTCACTCTGTTGGGAATTTCAGGTACAAGGGTATATCCCATTACGAAGGAGAAGAAGCAAACAACCACACAGCTCTTCCATGCCCCGGTGAGTTGCTAGTTGAACAGCATCACAGCAACTACGGTGAGCCTTGGGCAGGTGGGCGCGATGTGTTCGAGTTCTTGGCTGAATCAGCCAATCTTAAACCAAGCTCTCGTGTCCTTGAAATTGGATGTGGCACGTTACGTGTGGGTTTGCATTTCATCCGCTACCTCAATCCCCAAAATTTCCACTGCCTTGAAAGGGACGAGCTTTCTCTAATGGCTGCTTTGAGGTACGAGCTCCCATCTCAGGGTCTTCTACATAAACGACCTCTCATAGTCAGAGGCGAAGATATGGAATTCAGCAAGTTTGGCTCAGGTATAACCTATGATCTGATCTACGCAAGTGCAGTCTTCCTCCACATGCCTGATAAACTCGTGTGGACTGGACTTGAAAGGCTAGTGGGAAAGTTGAAGCCTTACGATGGGAGAATCTTCGTGTCGCATAACGTAAAGTTTTGTTCGCGGTTAGGAGGAGACGAGTGTGCAAAGAAGCTAGCAAGTTTAGGACTTGAGTATCTTGGAAAGCAAACACATGATAGCCTGCTGTTTAATCACTACGAGATCTGGTTCGGGTTTAGACGGTTTAAAACGTAGAAGCTTGTTGAAGTACTTTTTTCTGAGTTGGTTTCTCGACACGCCATTGCTCTCCATTTTATGAGTATTGGATCAAGAATTCAAGGAGGTTCGGAGATTGTTTTGGTGAACAAAAGGGGTAGACGATGGCTCGGTATCAAGATGGCTACTACTTCAGTTTTTGTATTTTTGTTAAGAGAGAGATGCATGATGTATTGTTTTACATAGTAGCCAAAAATAATATAAGAGACGAGGCAAGATTAATTACTTGTAACCAAAGACACATTCTTTTTCGCATTTTAAAACTTGTTACCATTTGTTTGTATGATAAAATTAACATAACATGAGATAAAGACAGGTTCAAAAGATACAGAGTTCTTGTTTTCTAGTAACATAGTGCAAACTTAGTTAACTTGGGGCCATTCTGAGATCGAAATCCACGAGACAAAGGCAGATCCAAAAGTTTCATTTCCTGCAACAAAAAGCCAACTTCTAAGAATCAAACTAGTTTTACATATCACAAAAACTAAAAATCAGAGCCACGAGAACACAAACCTTCATATGGATCAACAAGAATCCTCAAGGAGTATGTAGCTGGGGACAGCAGCAGGGTCTAGCTCGAAAGAATCAGCAGGAACTCCCTCTTTCTCTTCTCCACTGAGTCTAACAGAGGGCACTCTATGGGAGAACCTATGCATTTCCCCTGGTGCAATCAAGAATTGAAAGACTCCATCCTTCTCAACGCTTTCAAAGACAGATACAAATCCTCTAACCTTTCCTAGGTAGGACACTCCAACGCCTAGATCATCGTCAAAGCTGTTCACGATTTCCACTAAATCATACCTATAAGGAGGCTTGTGCTGTTCCGGGTTACTATCCCAGCTTTTGCTCCAATCTGTGTAAAGAGCCCAAGTTTCACCTTTTTTCGGATTCACAGTCACCAAGTCCCCACCATGTATGGTGTGTTGTAGCTCATGAGAGAACGTCAAGTGGCTTATGCTTTCTGTACTCCCATATGTGAACCTCCCACAAGCAACATGAACTGATTCCTCATCTATAGATTCAAACCATGTCACGTCAAGACTAAACCCAGACTTACAAATTCTGTTGATCTTAGCATAAAACCGAGGCATGCCATCCTTGGGATCATTGACAGCCCATATTGTATCAACCACGAAAGAGCTCATTGTCTTTTTGAAATCATGAAACTCTGAATCAACAATATTCCTCTGCTCAGGATTCTTATCAGTCTCTTCTTCATGCGCTTTGTTGGTTTGTTCAAAAGAAGATGTAGAAGCTGAATCTGCACAAGCCAAATCTTTTTCCTTGTCAGCATCATCATGGTTGTGTGATCTGCGCTTTTTTGCAGGATGAGTACTAGAACTAGCTTCACTTCCCTTTTCTGCCAGCAATTGCACCCTGGATCTCTTACAAGTCTCGGCTTGTATCGAACCTTCTTGTAAATTCCGTTCTTCAGGTTTCTTTTCCTTTTCCTCGGATTTTACTTTCTCTTCCAACTCGCTCTTCTTCAATTCGATCTCTTTCTCCCTTTCTTCAAGTTTTTTTTCCTTTACCTCAAGGAATTTGCTCTTCAATTCTATCTCCTCAGATTTTACTTTCTGTTCCGCTTCAAAGAGCTCCTCTTTCTTTTCCAGTTCAATCAATTCTTCGATGGCTTCATCAAGTAAGCTAAGCTCCTTCTCCCCCTCTTCGAGTTGCTTAAGAGATTCTTTCAACAGCTCAGCGTCTTTGTTCCTTCTCTCAATCAATACTTTTTGCTTCAGATCAAACTCCTTCATTTTTCTCTCTAACTCACATGACTTCTCATCGTTCAACTTAGAAAGCCTCTCAGTCTCTTTTCCCTTCTCTTTAAGCCCGTCGAACCCTTCTTCCAACTCTCTCTTCTTCAATATAACCTCTTTCTCCCTTTCTTCAAGTTTTTTTTCCTTCACCTCAAGGAACTTGCTCTTCAGTTCCATCTCCTCAGATTTTGCTTTCTGTTCCGCTTCAAAGATCTCCTCTTTCTTCTCCAGTTCAGTCGCTTTCTCTTTGACGGTTTCATCAAGTAAGCTAAGCTCCTTCTCCCTCGCTTCGAGCTGCTTAAGAGATTCTTTCACCAGCTCCGCTTCTTTGCTCCTTTCCTCAATCGATTCTTTTTGCTTCAGATTGAACTCCTTCACTGTCTTCTCTAACTCACATGACTTCTCATCGTTGGATTTAGAAGACCGCTCAACCTCTTTTCCCCTCTCTTCAAGCTCGCCCATTGCTTCTTCATTCGCCTTCTCAAGAACCAAACTTATGACAGAGGATACCAGATACTGTTTCACATCGTTTACTATTTCTTTCTCCTCTAATCGAAAAGTCATGGACTTTTCAAGCAAACCAATCTTCCTCTCCCTCTCTTCAACTTCCTTTAACCGCTCTGCTTTCTTCTCCAGCTCTAAACCCCGTTCCATTACAGATTTCTCCCTCAGCTCTGCTTCCATGGCTCGTTCCTTTATCAAATCGTCCATGTAAGTATACCGCTCGTCGATCTCTTCCCACTTACGCGAGAACTCAAGGACTGATGAAGCTAGCTCGTGAATCTGATTTAAGCCACTTACTCCCACATTATTTCCGACTAATCCCACAAAACCACCCTCCCTCACCATCAAATCAGATCCAAAAACCCTAAGTATAGTCAGAAATCAAAAGTAACGAACAAAATCAGAAGACCAAATATAAGACCAAACGAATAAAGAGAGATTCATGAGATGAAAAATAAAGCACACGAGGTTATCAGGAGCTTACAGAGCAAGAGTAAAAGCAAAAACCCAGCAAAAATTATAAATAAAAAGGAAACCTTTTTCGAGACTGCTCTTCATTTAGCGCCGGCGCCGGATCCTTCTCCGACGTGTCTCCTACGGAAGATAGTGAAGATTCCGTTCCCATGGTGATTTCACCTTCTCTCTGCAGCTGTAGGATCGGAGTTTTGTTGCTTCTTCCAGAGAAGAAACTAAGAAGACTGAGAAAGTTTTGCTCTTTTTTTCTCCGATAGACTGTTTTGAAAAGAAGAGTGGTGGTTTTTTACTGGAAATGGAGGGAGTCACTAAAAAGTTGTGTTTGCATATTTCGAGACTCATATGTACACGTTGTTTGTTTCACAACCGTTCGATGTAATTATTAATAACCGTTGGATTAGCTTACGTCATATTCTCATTGACCAAAGACTGCTAAATTTGTAGCCGTTAGATTTTCGTCTGATGATGAGTATTGAGTATCACTAATTACAATAAATAGATAATGAAAAGCCCATGGACTTTTAGTGAAAGAACCAGTAGGCCGAGAATATTTATTTTCTCCACGGGCCAATAGATATTAATATGATAAACTTTTCGTGAATCAAAAATATAATAAATTCATTTCCTTATATAAGATTAAATATTGTAAATGTGGTACTAAGATAAGCGAAATCTCTACTAAAATTTCAGTTTTTAAGTTTTAGAATTTATGTTTTGGTCGAGTATTAAAGAAATGCATAAATATATAAATTATAAACTACGAATGATGTGATAGATTGGATCGGTTCTGTCTTCTAATTATCGTATGGTTCTGTTTTGTATATAAGACTATTTCTAATGGGAGGTTCTAACATAAACTCCTTAATAATAAAAAAATAAAAAGTAATAAAAAGGAAGAGAAAGACATGAGAAGAGGTTCTTTTTTAAAAGAGTTTAGAAGTGGCTCTAAACAAATACTATCATCTAATTGGTTCAGACTTTAATAAATATAAATTTTAATTATATTATCAGATTCTATTAATAAAATATTGATCAGATACTCTAATTAAGAGGTTCACCATTGAAAGTGCTCTAAGAGATTAGTTCGAGATATATCACTTGTTTTTTGTGGATTAATTAGTCCTATGTTTACCGTAAAAACAAAACGAAAACATGTCTAAATTTAATAAGAGCCGAGTAAACAACTCTATGTACTGGGACATCCATGATGATGATCCATAAGATAGTCGTCGGAATTAATAAGTGTTACATCCACGATCCATCTACTTGTAATGTACTTGATCTATAAAAACAAAAGATAATTATAAAATAAGATGTAGTGATAAATGAATAAAACAAAATGAGGGAGAAGAGCGATGGGAAAGAGATAAAAGGTTAGAGGAAGTGACAAAGAATAATAAAGAAGAAAGGGATAGGTGAGGTGATGAAAATTGAAACCCTATTAATAAGACAAACAGAAAAATAATTTTTTTTTAAAAAAAATATTTAAATTGATATGCAGTAGAAAAATATTGAGAGAAACAAGCTGTTCTCCATCGATGTTGACCGCCAAACTCAAATGCTTCCAAAATCTCCTTCATATTTCTGCTATAATAAACCTTTAGTATTTCACAAGCCTCTTCTTATCCTCTGTTTCATGCTTTTAGAGAGATTTCTCGAATATATATAGATTGTGGCATAAGAAAAGAAAAAAAAAAACTAAATATAAGATATAATATAGACTACTGGAAAATAAATGTCGTCTTCGATCATTCATTTTAGTGTTGACTATATAATTTATGTCCAACATATTTATTATATACACAGTACACTGTATTATATTTTTTCCAAAATAGTCGTATGGTTTTCGGCAGTTGCTAGACGTACATCTTTTATTTATTAGGCTAATTTAGTCGGCACGATTATTTAGCTATTTTCCATTTCTCAGATTTTTCTAAAAATATTCTCTCTTTTTGTGTTTGTGACACTTGAAAAAAAATATCATTTTAGGGGAAAATTCCAAAGAAATAAAAAGTTACAAACTTTTGTTTATTTATTTTGAGCCCCACCCAACAGTCATCGCACTCTCCCTACTCTACCATCGACGCGTCCGAGTTAAGCGCGCACGTTAAATCACACGTACTCGTATCCATGCTAAGATACGCAGATATTTCTTATCCTCCACCTCTTGGCGGAATATATCTTTTAAGCCTTTTTGTTTATGCCAGTTTTTAAGCTATTAAACCCATTTGATCTCCACTTTTAAAAGCAGAGATATTCCCATTTCCAGAAAGAAATTTCACAAATCAAAGCCCGTGCTTTCACTTTCCGACTGCAAATTCTCGTCCTTTTTTTCTGCTGAATTCGATCTGGGCTTTCGTGTCTCTGTGTTGTATTGATTGAGTTCATAACAAAAAAGGGTATTTTTCTTCAATGGCTGCGAGCGATGAAGTTAATCTTATTGAGAGCAGGGTAAGTTTATTGATTTATGGCTTTACTTTGTTTAGTTTCTATATCTATATATTCTGATGTTTGCGATGTTGGGTGAAAACAATCCGTGATTTTGACATGGGTCTTTTTCGATTTCCGGTTTAGTTAGGTTCTTTGATCTTCTTACGGCTTTGCTTTTTTTCTGTTTGAGCTTATGTAGAATAGTTTTATGGTGTTTGATTGGGTTACATCAGTTTTTCTTTTTAATATACTATAAAAAAAGTTGCGAGCTTTAAGACTTCAAATCGTCTAAGGTGATGAAACGTGTCGTTTGTTTTGATGAGTCTCTGTGCTTCTTTTGGCTTTTATGTCTTCTTCGGTTTGATTTTGAATCACTTTCGCATACTGCTTGATTTAAGTCATAAGTTTATATAATAAGATTTTGTGTAGTTTGCAATCGAATTCAACTAACTCTCTGTTTGGATTACCTATCGATTAAATTATATAAACTGTATAAAGAAAAGTTAAATTTTGTCTGTTCTATATGGTAAGGTTAAGCCCTTTCATTGATTTCTCCTGTTTTGTGCTATATATGATTTTTGATTTGGTGTGTTCTGATTGAAATCTATGTGTCAAATTTGTGTGTGTTTGATACAGACAGTGGTTCCTCTCAATACATGGGTTCTAATCTCCAACTTCAAACTAGCCTACAATCTCCTGCGCCGACCCGATGGAACCTTTAACCGACACTTAGCCGAGTTTCTAGACCGTAAAGTCACTGCAAACGCCAATCCGGTCGACGGGGTTTTCTCATTCGACGTCATTATCGACCGAAGGATCAATCTTCTGAGCAGAGTCTATAGACCAGCTTATGCAGATCAAGAGCAACCTCCTAGTGTTTTAGACCTCGAGAAGCCCGTTGATGGCGAGATTGTCCCTGTTATACTGTTCTTCCATGGAGGTAGCTTTGCTCATTCTTCAGCAAACAGCGCGATTTACGACACTCTCTGTCGCAGGCTTGTCGGTATATGCAACTGTGTTGTTGTCTCTGTGAATTACCGTCGTGCACCTGAGAATCCTTACCCTTGTGCTTATGATGATGGTTGGATTGCTCTCAACTGGGTTAACTCGAGGTCTTGGCTTAAATCCAAGAAAGACTCAAAGGTTCATATTTTCTTGGCGGGAGATAGCTCGGGAGGTAACATCGTGCATAACGTGGCTTTAAAAGCGGGTGAATCGGGAATCGGCGTTTTGGGAAATATTCTGCTTAATCCTATGTTTGGAGGGAACGAGAGGACTGAATCTGAGAAACGTTTGGATGGGAAGTACTTTGTGACGGTTAGAGACCGTGATTGGTATTGGAAAGCGTTTTTACCGGAAGGTGAAGATAGAGAGCATCCTGCGTGTAATCCGTTTAGCTCGAGAGGGAAAAGCTTACGAGGATTGAGTTTTCCGAAGTCTCTTGTGGTTGTGGCGGGTTTGGATCTGATTCAAGATTGGCAATTGGCTTACGCAGAAGGACTCAAGAAAGCTGGTCAAGAGGTTAAGCTTATGCACTTAGAGAAAGCTACTGTTGGGTTTTACCTCTTGCCTAATAACAGTCACTTCCATAATGTCATGGATGAGATTTCCGCGTTTGTAAACGCGGAAAGTTCCGGTTAGTTTAAGAAAAGGAAAGAGGTCATTTTAACAGAGCCAAGATATCTTTCAACTAACAAACAGGCGAATGTATTGCCTGTGGATTCCCTCGTGGCGTTTTGCGGCAGCGTTTGTGACCGTTTAAACGCTGGTTTCTGAAAGGCTTAAAGCCAGTAGAAGAACAGCGAAGCGCGTTCAGAAGACTTTGAAAAGAAACAAAATGGCAAAGTAGAGTAGTAATATCTTTTTTATATTTTACTTTGTAATGTTTGGCTTGTAGCTTTTGGCCTTTACTTAACTAAAAGCTGATTTTTCAGCATGGGAGGTGATAATTAAATAAATTATATGTATATACTTCAAGAATGAATTTTTGTCTATACATATTTGTAGTGATTTTGATAGTGTAAGGTTTGTATTTTGCTTAATCGACTTATCTTGTTTTTGTATTTTTGCTCCTTTTTTTGTACTCTTATGGATCTACAAAATAAGCATTTGCATTCCACAAGAAACACTGATTTTTTCTCCCTCACTCTTATTTGTCATTCAATATTTTCATAACGGAAAAACAAGAGTAGATCTGTTATATTCTGAGGTTTAAAAAGCCAAAAAGGCATAAAGGGTTTTTGTTTCGACATGTGAGGAATCTTTGTACAGTGATGAGGGTTTTTGTTTCGACATGTGAGGAATCTTTGTACAGTGATGAGAAACAGCTAAAGCTTGTGGAAAAAAGAAAAACGAAATAAATTGGTTTGTTAAAAAAAAGACAACATAAGTGGACTCTTAATTAGGCCATATATGGAATTGACCTAGAGTATGCAAACTGTGAAAGAATGTGGCCATGCTTGCCTTTGGACTATAAAGAAATGAAATAAAATTGTACCTCCTGAGTTTTTAAAAAATTTCATAATAATTCTGCTCTTCTTTCACAAATCTAGCAACCAAACAGATGATGACATTTGTTCACGCAACTTCTGAAACCCAAAGTCTCTCAACCTTTGCTTGCTCTCATGTCGTAGACCAAATCACAAGTCCGTAATTGCCAAAGAAAATCAATAGAATACTTGATCAATGGAACCAAAACCTATGTAGAGCTCAGTAGAAAATATTATATTTCACATAATAGTTGCTGAGATCAAACCAACATTATTTGCAAGGTATGAATTTAAAAACTCAAATCAAGATACTAATAAAACTCAAATGAGATAAACGTTTTCATAGGGGTTAAGGGGCAAAACCATTTTTGAGGCGTTCAACGAGTCCTAGTGGCATAGGCAAAGGATGCAGTAGCACAGATCGTTGTTACAGACGAAACAACAGTCTAGAAGCTCTTCTTCTTGTGTGCCTCTTCCGTTGATTGCTTCATTGTCTTAGCTTCTTTCTTCATTTCCTCTATCATGTCCTCTTTCTCTTTGAACGCCTTCTCGATCGATTCAAGCTCCAACGCGTAGGACTCGGTTCCATTTCCTTGATTATGTTGCTCGCTAATGAATCTATCTTCTCGGATATCTGATTGTGAGACCATAGATGCTACGCTCTTTAGCATGACCAAGCTGCGTTCTGCATCCACTCCCGTGGATTTTCGTTCTGTTTTCAGAGCATCCATAGCTCTTTCGAGCTCTACGAGATCATTTTCAAGGACAATGATAAGGTACGACTTATCAACAATGGTTTGTATCGAGTTAAATGTAATAAGGTAACGAAGAATAAGAAAAATGTTTGATAATGGGGATAAACCCTTTGATTAATTTGTGGATCCAATAGATAAAGAACCCTAAAGTTGGGAACAATGTTTTAATACAACTCCAAATAACATTAAACGACAGAGTATTGATATGTAACACTCTAAGAGAAAAGACTATAATTCATACAGAGTCTTCCTTCACTTCTTCATTTCTTCATTAGCCATTTTCCACGACTTCCTTCTCTTCTGCCTTTCGAGCCTTTCTTCTTTTACTCCTCTGCTTCTTCCTCATGAATGCAATTGGCACTTTCAATCTATCAATACTCTCCCCTAACGAACGAACCTTGTCCTCAAGATTAAACTCTGGAAACTGACCTGCCAAATCTGTGAGTGTCTCCCAAGTTGCTTCAAATTCTGGCAAACCCTTCCATAACAACAGAACCTCTGTCTCTGTATATATTTAGTAGAAGCGTAATAAAAATATGTTTGTGGTGGAGTAGATCCAGATCTGTTTATGGTGGAATAGATACAAATCTTTTTCTTTTTCAATTTAACCTAAAGTTATTTTTTTATAGAAGAGAATGATGGAATATAAAATAATGAAAATAAAGATAATTTTGTCTTTATAAATATTATAAATGTGCCAAAAATTGAAAATGTGTATATATGTAATTAAAACACAAAAAGTGTGTGTGAATGTAATCAACACAACAATAACCCATAAGTTTCTCCATGGCTTGACACATCAGCATTTTCAAGCTTTTAGGAGTTGACACTTCAGCAAAAAAAAAACACCAATAAAAACATTTCATTATTACAAGTCATCAATTTATTTTAACTTTTACATTTAAACCCATTAAAAACTCAAATATTTTTTATTGTTAATTTTAGTTTTATTTTTTGGTCAAGTCCAAGCCCAAATAATAAATAACAGCAAATAAAAAAAATCTGTTTTATTTTTTTAACAAACCCAAATAATAAATAACAACAAATAATAAAATTAAATCTTTGTTTTATATTTTTGCCAAACTGAAACTCAAATAATAAATAACAACAAAAAAATAAAATTTAACTATGTGTTTGCTTGATAGAGACGTATATGATTGAAAAAAGTGTAGACTCATCATCAACTATGCTTCCATAACAACAATGCAAAAAGCGTTATATTATAAGAAGCTCACACATCAACAAAAATTTGAACTAATAAAAACATAACAATAATACATATTATTAACACACTAATAAAATTAATTTACTATTTTGCTGACCCATTAAAAAGCCCAAAGTTTACAAAAAAAATGGAAGGCGAAAGCAAATGAGGAGAAACTCAGACCACCACAGCTTGGAGATTCGTATTTCCACTGGTTACCGAGAGCAAATTTTTTTGGATAATGTAAATACGATTTCTCGGTTTTGATAGAAAATGCAATTTTTCGGCTTTTGATGGATAATGTAATTTCTTGATTTTTACGAAAAATTGTAATTTGACAATTTTGGCAAAAAATGCAATTTCTCGGATTGATAGAAAAGCAAAATTTCTCGATTTTGGCGGGAATAAATAATTTCTTGGTTTTGATGAGAAATGCAAATTTTCAGTTTTTGATATATAATTTGATTTTTGGTTTTCGAGGGAAAATATGATTTCTTAGTTTCGTGGGAAACGCAATTTCTCAGGAGATAATGCAATTTTTGGTTTTTGCCGAAAAATGTAGTTTATCGGTTTTGGTAGGAAAGCGTGATTCTTGATTTGACGAGAACAATAATATTTCCTTGTTTTGGTGGGAATAGACGATTTCTCAATTTTTGCAGAATTTTTTTTTTGTTTTTACGGAAAAATTCTATTTATTTTTTTTTGCAGAAAGATGAAATTTTTTGGTTTTGGTGAAAAAAACTTGATTTCTCTGTTTTGACGGAAAAACACAGGTTCTCGCGGAAAAATGTGATTTTTTGGTTTTTGAGGGAAAATGCAATTTTTTTGTTTTGGTGAAAAAAACTTGATTTCTCTGTTTTGACGGAAAAACACAGGTTCTCGCGGAAAAATGTGATTGTTTGGTTTTTGAGGGAAAATGCAATTTTTTTGTTTTGGTAGGAAAATGAATTTTTTGGTTTTGGCGGGAATAAGCGATTTCTCAGTTTCGTGATAAATAATTTTTTTTTATTTTGTCGGAAAATGCAATTTCTCGGTTTTTGTAAAAAGATAAAATTTCTCTGTTCTAAATTTTCAAGTTATAATATGTTTATAGTAATCAAAATTGAATTATTTAACTTCAACTAAATTGATATTTCAACAGTTCAAATAGAACTTTCTATTTAGTTCTAAAGTAATAGTAATGATTTTGATATGAATGTTATCGATTATAGTTTGATAGTTTTCTAAACATATGTCTATAATAAATATTTGATAAATAAATAAATTTTATAATTTAGAATAATCATATTAATTAATATTTTTTAAAATGACAATTTGCTTTATATAATTTCAAAGGAGGATCAAATAGCAATTTAGTAGAGAAAATAAATTATATCTACCATTAGCTTGAAAGTACTTTAAAATGTATTGTTTTATTCTTACATATATATTTATAGATATATAACTATATAAATTTGATAGTAGATTATAATTTTAAAAAATAAAAAAAATTAATGATATATAATATTTATTCAAATTTAAAACATATAAATACATAATTTAAACTAATAAAAAATAAATATAATATTTATTTAAAATATATAAATAATTTTATTATATTAAAAATATATACAAATCTAGAAAAATATCTAGGAGCTTAGCACGGATAAAGGAAACTCTAATAAGAAGGTTAGGACAGAGATTTGCGATCGGTGGTTAGGTTGGAACCTAAATTTCCAGGAATTAGTTTGCGAGGTTTGGTTGGAGACAAGAAAAGAGAGCTTTGCGAGATTCGTTCCGAAGATGTCCGATCTTCCGAGTGATATGGAGGAGGAGGTGCTCTCTAGGCTTCCGGTGACATATCTGGGAGAATTGCGATCGACCTGCAAAAAGTGGAAACCCTGGGGGATTTTCAAAGAAGAGGCAGAGGAAGGGCACTGAGGTGGTGATGATAGTGGAAAATAGAGTCTCCTTGATGAGCATCGATCTCCTCGATCCATGTATAGGTAATCTGGATGCAGGTGGAGTCGACATATCTAAACTCTTTCACTGGTGGATCGAATCCATCAATTCTTACCACAGATGGGACAGCTACGCTCTCGGATACGACAAGGAGAAGCACGAAGCCTTTGGAGATACCGTGACTCTTTCTAGTGTTAGAGAAGAGCAGCTTGCGGTGCTATTTCAGAAATACGGTGCACCTGGAACTGGAGGCGTCGTCAAGATATGGATTACTAATAAGATTGAGCCCAATGCAGTGTCGTGGAGCAACTTGTTCTTGGCTGTTGATATGAGACCACTCATTAGTTGTGGGTTTATGGATTCCGCAGGGAGTTTCTTCGTTGACGAGGAGAAGAAGGTCGCGGTGGTTCTTGATAAAGACAGAGGTAAAACTGCCGTCCCCACTGGCAACATTGCTCGCATCATTGGAAATAATGGATACTTGAGAAAAGTGGACATTGGCGAATGTATCAACAAACGGAGTTATTACCCACTTCCACTTGTGTGCTCTTATGTTCCAAGCGCAGTGCAAATCGGAAACACACCCCCCTAATCTATGTAATTTGTATTGTCATGTGTTTATTTGTTGTTTATTTTCTCATGTTGGACTATATATATGATTTTGTATCTCGGCAGCCTCTGCGTTTCTTTTTATTTTGTTCATCCTGTTATGTCCAAACTCATAGCAAATATTTTTCTGCGTGAAGGGTTTCTTTATTAGCTGAAAAGAAAAGAGTATAGCTGCTCTTCTTTAACCTCATATATGTAGAGATATTCTACTGACCTGGTAGATATTGTTTATCTGTGTGTTGGTTGGTGGTTGTGCCAAGACAGGATTACAAGAGAAGAGATGATGATTCATTTTCTCCTAGATCATCTTTGTAAGACATTCCATTACTTTTGCCACCACCACTTTTTGGCATCTGTTTTTCCGGTTTTGCCCCCACCTTCCCTTCCCCTTCTCTCCTCCGCCTTTACCTCCTTTTTTACCCTCTTGTCCCATTTTACACTCGCCTATTCGCTTCATTTGCACCAGAATCTCAAACCCTTCGCCGCCTTTCTTCCCCGCTCCGCCTCCTCCTCCACCAGCACAAACCGGTCCATACTCCGCCGACATTCTTTATTTTTCGGTTTTCACCTTTGTAAATCACTCCACTTCATCATCGCCTCTATTTCAGTCTTTCCTCTTTTGTCTTTTGCTGCTTGCTTCAAGAATCAAGATTCTCTGTTCCTCTCATCTGTAAGTTTTTCTTCTTTTTCGTTTTAGGGGTTTAGGTGTTCAGTTAATTAGAAATCGTTCGCTCGATAGCTCCTCATTTACAAAGAGAAGAAAACGAACTTGTTTCTTCTTCCTCGTCCTTTGGATCTCGCTTCCCAGGTTTTGTTGGTTTTTTACCAGTGAAAATAAAGTGAGGTATTGATATTCCATAGAAAGATCGTGAGAAGAAGGGGTTTCTACTTTTCTCTATTATGTCTTTGTACTCTGTTTCTACTTTGCTCTGTTCTCTTTGTTTCTCGGCGTTTCCTCTGTTTCCACTTGCTATGTTTTCTGATCTGTTATGTCCCGTACTCTGTTCTTTCTTCTATTTCAACTTCTTTTTTTGTTTACGTTTTGAGATATTTATAGCTTTCCTGATCTGGAATGCGCAGTGAAAGTAGGAAAGCAATGTATAAGTTTATGATTTAATCTCTAATTCTTTTATTTTGTTTTCAGGTTCCATTTCGACTAAACTTGCCTCAAACCAAAACTCGCGGAATTTCTCAAAAAGATTGCAGACATCATTAAACAAGACTATCCATGTCCCAATCAACGAAAAACGCCTGATTTCACAGTGAACTCAAATACCTTGACGCCTCCCGACGCAACTAAGACTCTTGAGATACCAAAGGCTATGAACTTCCCAATCTCCAAGATCACCATTGGTGAATGGACCAGCGTGATGATCTTCCCGGATGATCTGAAGGCCAAGTTCTATTTTGCAAAGAAGAAACTTATGTGGGAGATTCTCGACAATGTAATAACAGAAAAAAGCAAAAAATATGTTTTGTTACATTGTGTGTTGTTATAGATTTAGTAGTCGTCAAGATCTTTAATTTGGTCTACAACAAACACAAGATTAAATAGAAAACTTGTATTTTAAGTTATGCATTTTCTTTTAATTATTTGTATTGTATTAGTATATATTATAGTGAGTCTTGTACTTTGAGGATATTGTAATAGATTTACTGTACTAACTTTTAAGATTTGGTTTTTCTTTTTGCAGATTGCTTCCTAAAAACCTCATGCTGTATACATACATATGAACAGAATCAGTGTTAACATATACATAGCTAATTAAGAAATTAGGACAATCAAGAAAGAAATGTGGGGTGTTGCATTGAGTGCTGTTGTAGCTTTACTGGTCGTCAAGATCAGTCTCTTGCTCTATAGATGGTCAAATCATAGCCGCGCTGGCAAGTTACCTTCCGGTTCCATGGGGTTTCCGGTGATCGGAGAAACCGTCGAGTTCTCTAAACCTTACAGTTTCGATGAAATCCCTTCATTTGACAGGAAAAGAATGTCAAAGTTGGTTTTATATTAAATCTGCAGGTTTCAAACATTCTGTCTCATTTCTCTTGTTTCTTCTCCGAGTGCTTCTTTCTGGTTTGTGCTTCAGGCACGGTTCGTTGTTCCGGACGAGTATCATCGGCTCTAAGACGATTGTTTCGACAGACCCGGAAGTGAACTTTGAGATTTTCAAACAAGACAACAAGTGTTTCATCATGAGCTATCCAGAAGCTCTTGTCAGAATCTTCGGGAAAGATAATTTGTTTTTCAAGCAAGGCAAGGACTTTCACAGGTACATGAGACAGATTGCTCTGCAGCTTCTGGGTCCCGAGTGTTTAAAGCAAATATATACACGAAATCGACTTAGCAACACGCGAGCATCTAAACTCCGACTCCTCCCAAAGCGTCTTAGACGTCAAAGATGCCGTTGGAAGAGTACAATAAAGCCCTAACTCTATCAATTTTAAATATCTATCTTACTCTGTTTTGACGGGGTTTACATTTTTGCTATATTTCAGTTGATACTGGAACAAATGATCCAGATGATCATAAGTGACATCAAACCTGAGAACAAAAACAAACTTATAGAAAACTTTAGAGATTTCAGTTTTGATTTGGTTAGGTCCCCTTTTGATCCTTCTTTTTGGAAGGCTCTTTACAATGGTCTTATGGTAAGATCTCTTGATGTCCATACAATCCGTTGTATTGTTTCTAAGAATACATTTAAACCAAATGAGAATTCTCGAAAAATATGTAAAGCGACTTAAGACTAATGTTAATGTTTTTTTTTTTCTTTTTTTTTCATCACTAATGTTAATGTTTAGATCGAAGATTTAGACTTGAATTTCATGACATTTACATAAAGAAAAATACCAAAATAGTTTCACATGATACATTTTATTATATATTTCAAGAAGCTAAAGCAATCTCTCGAATGCGATCAAGATCTCTCAAGTACTTAGTTGAGTTATATTCTACACTATCTAATAATTCTTCAGAATACGTTCGTTGCATCATCTTTCTCTTGGCTTCTCTTGGAGTCATAGCGACACTTTCTTGACCTAGTAATAGTTCCACAACCTGAATATATTCAAAATTAATATAGGCGATCAAACAAGAATCAAAACGACCTCTAGACCGGACTTAACCATGTATGAATTTCACAACCGGAACCAAATCTTGTCATACAAGAAAATTTGACACTCGGTTCTTTACCACTTTGCAACCGGAACCGGACGGATTATATTGTACCTGGCTCATCCGGGGTCGTAAAATGGAAGACTGCTCGATGCATAAAGAAGCCGTGGAAGTTAACCGGATAAGCTCTTCCCGGTTAAACTCATTTCCAAGCGAGGGATCTACCAACTGCTTTATCTCTCTCTTCTCTAGCAACGGCTTGGCCTGTGGGCCATATAGAAGAGGATACGGTAAAAGGAATGTCCAATTGACTGTGAACCGGTACGGTTTATCATAAAATGTCAAACCGGTCTGTATACTCACCCATAAGACAAGGCTTTGTTGGGACTCGTCAAGAGCAGGATGGCCGGTTATGAGCTCCAAGAGAAGAACTCCAAAGGCGAAAACATCGGTTTTCTCATCGACAATTCCGTGCATGAAATATTCCGGCGCAAAGTACCTGTATCAAAACGTTGTCGTTCGAAACCCTCCATGAACTCATATACAAAAAAACGGACATTTGATATCCAAATCGTTACCCGAATGTTCCCTCGAATTTTGATACGTTGTGGTGTGTCAATTGCTTAGGAAGCCATTTGGCTAACCCAAAATCGCAAATCTGCGGTTGAAAATCCTCGGTGAGGAGGATGTTATCGGCTTTGATGTCTCGATGAATGATTCGCCTCTGACAACCCTCATGTAGATACACGAGTCCATCTGCGGTTCCTAACGCCACTTTGTAACGTCTGCTCCAAGTCAGCTTATCTTTTGATGGTCCTGCGAAAAAAAATCAAACCGAGTGAATTTAAAAAACCGGCCGGTATATCCTGAGACTTTTTGAGGGTAGAGATATAAAACCATGGAGGAGAGAGCCTAGGCTTCCAAGAGGAGATAGCCGGAAAACGAGATGCATTCCACCGTCGATGCAGCAACCGATGAATTTAGCGGTGTTTGGATGATCAACATGAGCTATAATCCCCAGTTCTGACAAAAACTCTGCTGTTTGCTCGTCCGGTGTGCCTTTGGTCAGACGTTTCACAGCGATTAGCTTTCCTTCCGGTAGAATTCCTTGGTATACCTCTGCGTAGCCGCCTCTTCCGATTATGTTTTCTGTAAACGTTTTATCAGTCGCAGTCGCAGACAATCACGTAGGCAGTATTCGTATGGAGATTATTTAAAAACTCGTTACCGGGGTTGAAATTGTCAGTAGCGATTTGGAGGTCGGCGATTGAGAAGCTGTGTAGAGATGATTGGAAACTGTAGATATCGTGAAGGTTCATACCATCGATGTGTGGATCTGCGTTTTTGCGGGGTTTTGAGATCGTTGGAGCGCCGCCTAAAGGAGGGAAAGACGACAGGCGTTTCATGGATCTGTGCTTCCACAGCTTGAAGAATTTGCCCCAGTTCGAAGATGCTCTGTGATTCTTGCAACGCGCTTCCGCGTCTGCGTTTTCGACAGCTTCTCTGTTTGGAGGAGGATCTTCAGAGGAAGACGAGGAGGAAGAGATTGAGCATCGGGTTAGACAGGCTTCTAGGGCGCCTCTCGGTGATTTAGGATCTTGCTTCTCTTTCTCTACCTGTAGACATCTTAGATCTGTGAGGAGAAGGGAGGGAAAGGAAAATTGTGAAAACGTTGTTAGAAACTGAGGTTTCTTGGTGTACAAGCAATGATCAATAAAACAGAGGAACGGAGGAGGTAGGTGTTACCGTGGGCTGAAGCAGAATTCATGAGCAAAGCGTTAGCTCTTTTGTGTTTTGTCGAATGATTCATGTCATGTGAATCTTCTTCGGTAACATAACTTGAATATTTAGAGTTGTACCTGCAGCCTCGAAAGATTCATCATTAAAAGAACAAACACGAAGAAAACTTTTGTTCTTCTGTAAAAATTTGGGGGAAAGTGAGAGAAAATCGGTGAAGAAATTTCGTTACTCTGCTTAACGATTTGTGCCATTTCAATGAAAATCACGAGAGTAGCAGAAAATAAGATAAAGTTCAAAACTTACAGACATCTATTTCATGTCTACCGACAGAACTTAATCAAATACGATATACAAAAAAAAAAAAAAAAAAAACATAGAGGAATAAGTGCTTTGAGTAGATAAATTACATTGGAAGAACACAGAACAAGGGAGAAGCTTCGTTGCTTTTGTCTACCGTCATGAATGAGTTTTATTTTCTTGGAAACTTTTTGAAGGGTTTGTAACAGTTATAAGAAAACCAAAGACAGAAGGATCATAGAAAAGAAAAACAAAAAGGAAGTTTTGAAGTTGGTTTTCGTCTCGAGACACCCGAAAGAAAAGGTTTTGTCTGTGTGTTTTAAATTTGATTACTAATTTAATTGCTTTCGTTGACCAATGATACTAACTATTAGTTTTTTGTTAAGCTATTAATTAGACTCTCAAATGCTATATTTGGCAATGCTCTTTGATTTTCTCTCTTTGGATTGATTGAATGGACACTTCCCCTAGCTTCTTTCATTGCAGAAAGGGACCGAAGAAGTCGCTTCTTTTGTCGTCTCTTTTTCCAAAGTCAAATCCTAATTTAGAGTCCTTTTAGAATAAAAGATTTGAGTTTTTTTTTTTCTGAGATCATTTCGTTGTAAGTTTAAATCAGATTTGAGTAAAAATCCATTCAAGTATTTTGTATCTTTCCTAAGTTATTTTCCAGTTACTACTAATTAATCGTTTACATTCTTGTAATATTTTGAAAGTGATAATTAGCTTTTCTGTTTTTTTGTCCAAGTCATCAAAGATTACTCATGTTGTAGTTTCGTTCTTTTGTGATTTGTGTGTGTGTGTGGGGCAACTTTCTTGTGAATACCTAATTAGAATAATTTCCGTGTGTATACGATGCAGAAAGTCTGCATTAAAACCTGCATTGCTTTTATTGTTTTGCAACCAATTATTGTTTTATTTTATTTGTCTCAGATGTAAAGATGATTTTTGTTTAAAAAAATCACGAAAGTGTCTATATATGTTGATGGATTATTTTGAGTTTTCAGTATCATTTAAAGACCACTTGTTGTATTTGATTAATTGTTATATCTAGAAGTTTTTAATGGTTGAAAATGGTCACCACATAAATCATTTTGGAAGTGATTGGTCAATATTACATTAATAGTTGTGTAAGAGAGGGAGGGGACATCGGTCATTTATGAAAATTTGGTAGGCACTGTTCTGTTCTATCTTGTGGCCAAGTGCAAATCCACTGTTCTGTTTATCTAAAAAAACTCATTGTATATGTATATATGGCCATAGGTTAAGGTGTTGAAAGAACAAAACCATCAAAAATTTGAACTCAAGTTATTCTCAAGCTTTTCAATTATTGTTTATAGTCCAAGGTGTTCTTTCAACACCCTAAGCCTATGGCCATTTATACATCAGGTCTTGAGAGATGGTTGATTACAAGTGATTCAAAAGAATTAAAATCAATGACTTCAAATTTTAAAACTTGATTCAGTCCAATTCTGTAGACATCATTTCATTAGGCTTTTCTTTTTGTCGTCAAAATATTTCATCCATTAAGTCCATAAAGGCAAATATACAAGTGATACAAAAATTAACAGATTTTTACAGCACGTGAAAAAAAAAGGGAGAGGACACGGGCTGCTTGAAGGAAGAGCACGCCAAAGCTTCACCGAGTTGCCGCAGCTTCGCTGAGTCACCGCTGCATGGCCGAGTCACCGCTCGCTCTCACCGAGACAACTCGTAATGAACCGAGAAACTTTGATTTCTAGAGCTTTTTTTTGGCTTTCCTCTGCTAAATTAGAAAGAAATTATTAATTATTCATCATAACTTAGAACTTGCGGTGGGGAAAAAATAAGACCATTGAATCTGCGGAAAACAAGTGTCGTATTGGATCATATCTTTGACTCAACTACACGTCACTATGTTATACTTACAAAACCTTTACAGAAAAAGGGGGGAAAAAACAAAACCATGCATGCATATATATGTGAATATTCTGAGAAATATATTTATAAAATATAACTTTCTTTTTTATTGTTTTTATGAAACGTGGTTTAATGCTGCTAACTAATTTGGGAAAAAAAATTTCTTAAAGGATTTGCTAATAAATTCGGAAATTATATTGTGCTTTGAGTCAATAAACATTGATTAAAAGTGTTGAGAACACCCAACGTCATGTCGTCATCTATCTATATATACAAGTAATATATATGAAATGAAACTGCATTGGAGTTTCACAGTACAAATACAATAAACTAATTCAAATTGTCTAATTTGTCCAAAAACATCGATCCTGTTTTGTGTTTTAGCTAAGCCAGCCAGCTATCGTTCATGTTCAACAATATATACACATGTACGTGTATTGATATATATAGGCATATATCAATAAATCCAGAACAAATCCGAGTTTTAGATCTAAAATCACGGTGCCGATCTCATCTCCTCTGAGTTATCTCAAATTTGTTTTCTTTCACAGATTCACATGTTTAAATTTTAATATTACAAATCTTGTAAGTAGCTCTAGGTTTATATATATCTACAAATACATTCGTAAGTATTCGTTGAATTGAAAGGGGGAATTAAGAAGAAAATGGCAAGACGAGAAGACGACATGGAGAAAATGAAGGGTACATCTGAGCCGTTGCTGTTACCGGAGATTGGATCCGACGTCTCAGAAGAAGCGTCGTGGATGGTTTGCTTAAGCACATTCATTGCCGTTTGTGGTTCCTACGAGTTTGGAACCTGCGTAAGATTCTTTTACTCCTTCCCTCAATTAATCTCTTAATTAATCCATTTTGATTACAAAAAAGTTTTTAATTTTTTTATGATTAACAAATAATTTCTTATTGATAATCTCTACTTTTTTAATAGGTGGGTTATTCCGCTCCGACCCAGTTCGGGATTATGGAAGAGCTTAATCTATCATATTCCCAGGTTCAATATTATATCAAATAAACATTTAGAGATATTTTACGATAATCTTTTCTCACACTTTTTTGTCTTGGAGTTCAGTTTTCAGTTTTCGGATCGATATTGAATGTGGGAGCAGTGCTTGGCGCCATAACATCAGGAAAGATCTCTGATTTCATAGGTCGGAAAGGGGTAAGAACCTATAACTAAACACAATGATTTTGTGTTAATACTATATACATAATGATTTATGCACACAACATTCAAAAAAAAAAAATTATACACTTTATGAAACTACATATTGTCTACGGAAAATTATATATATAGTAATATAGATATTTGCTTTTGTTTGGTCACATGGTTTTTTGAGACAGGCCATGAGGTTGTCTTCAGTGATCTCTGCCATCGGCTGGCTGATTATCTACTTCGCCAAGGTTTTTCTCCTTGTGCTGAATTTCTTTTTTAACTTTATAAATTGAACTTTTACGTAATATTGGATTTTAAAACGATTCAGTATCGTTATTTTGTTTGGATATTAGGGTGACATTCCTTTGGATATCGGAAGATTTCTCACTGGTTATGGTTGTGGCACCCTCTCCTTTGTGGTATGACATTTTCACATACTTTTTCCCCTTATCATATTATTATAAATAAAAATCCTTTTAAAAAACAAATAAATATTACGTTTGTTTAGGTTCCGGTTTACATCGCCGAAATTAGTCCAAAAAAACTACGAGGGGCACTAGCGACGCTTAACCAGGTGATATATATTTCATCACTATGTTCGAATAAAATATGAATGTTACTAAGGAACTTTGGTTTATTTCCGGTCAAAATGTATAGTAGTATATTAAAATAATTCTTTGCAATTTTTGAAAAAATATTTTAATGATAAATGTTAATTTTGCAGCTCTTTATCGTGATCGGATTGGCTTCGATGTTCCTCATAGGCGCCGTCTTGAACTGGAGAACTCTTGCACTGACCGGTAAATTTGTTTGTGCACGTAGTTAAAGCATACATAGTTACATACATGATACATTTTGGGATCGGTTTAGTAATTGTACCAAATATGGTATTGAATTTCATTTGGTTATAACAATTAACAAACCAGGCTTGATTAACCAATTTCAGGAGTTGCACCGTGCGTGGTCTTGTTGTGTGGGACTTGGTTCATCCCCGAATCACCCAGATGGCTGGTAAGATCAAAATTCGAAATTCAATTTCGGTTTGGTTTTTGCTGACTTTAGAATCTATGGTTAAATTGAATATAACCGATGCAACGTAAATGCGTTTGGCGTTTCAAGGAAATGGTTGGCCGCCACAACGATTTTGAAATTTCGTTGCAGAAACTAAGGGGTCCTCGCGCCAATATCGCAAGAGAAGCCGAGGAAATCAGAGTACGTTCTAAACAGAAAACCGGTTCCGGTCCGTGGCATTGCATTTTTTTTTTCTAACCTTGTATAACTCTGGCTTTTTTGGATTCCGGTTTACAGGAGTACCTAGCGACTATTGCTCACCTCCCGAAAACAACACCACGGGACCTTATTGACAAAAGGAATATTCGATCTGTGATTGTAAGAATCTCTTATTCCAAGTAACAACCGGTGATAATTATGTTTCCCGGCTCGTTTTGTTTGATCTTTTAAGTTATAATTGTATGTTATCAGGTCGGAGTTGGTTTGATGGTTTTCCAACAATGCGTAGGAATAAATGGTGTTATCTTCTACGCACAGCAAATATTCGTATCAGCAGGTTATAGTTTAAACCGGATCTAGCCAGTGTTTCAATATAGGATGTTCATCATGAGTTTCTAAGACCATTCATCGGTTTTGGTGTACCAGGAGCATCTCCAACTCTTGGAAGCATTCTATATTCGATCGAACAAGTCGTTCTTACAGCACTTGGCGCAACATTACTAATTGATCGGCTTGGGAGAAGACCACTTCTTTTGGTATGGTTCTTGCATCCATTTCCAGTCTATAGACCGGTTTAAGATTTTGCCGTCTGACTATTTTGAAACATTGTGCAGGCTTCAGCTGTTGGGATGCTGATTGGATGTTTGCTCATCGGGAATTCGTTTCTTTTGAAGGTCAATTTTCAAGCTTATACAATTGTATAAATGTATAATAACGTTGGGAAATAAGACATATATAGGTTTAACCGGTTTGGTTTTTGTTTTGATGTTAATTATCCAGGCCCATGGTTTAGCACTTGATATCATTCCGGGCCTTGCAGTCAGTGGTGTCTTAGTAAGCATCTATCCTCTATGAACCCATGTTTTGGTTTTATCCGGTTTTGCTCTTCGGTTGACCGAGAAATTTCATTTTCCAGGTTTATATAGGTTCCTTTTCGATTGGGATGGGTGCAATCCCATGGGTTATAATGTCTGAGGTGATTTCAAAACGATATAGAATGTTCATATTTCATGTTTTAAAACATCTAGATTCAAATATTATCCATGCCATTAACATTTTTTTGTTTAATTTGCCTATTATTCAAGATATTTCCGATAAATTTAAAAGGAACTGCTGGAGGACTAGTCACGGTGGTAAATTGGCTAAGCTCGTGGCTTGTCTCCTTCACTTTCAACTTTCTCATGATTTGGAGCCCTCATGGTATTATTATTTGTTTATTTGAACAAAATATCAATTTTTTTTTTGATATTTCATACATCGTATAACATAACTAGCTAGGTAAAGTAATAGTATTGACCATTTTTGTTTTCCAGGTGCATTTTATGTATATGGCGGGGTTTGTGTATTGGCTATTATCTTCATAGCAAAACTTGTTCCTGAAACCAAAGGCAGAACCTTGGAAGAGATTCAAGCAATCATGATGTAATTTTTGTTACACAAGTTATAAATGCATTGCATTTTCACTGTAAACAAAATTAAAGTCACAAGCTATATATATTTGGAAATAGCAATAGCTACATATAAACTTCGTCTAAAGCCCACACTAATCTAAATAAATTTTTGGTAAAAAAATCCACCTCAAATGGTCAAGTGATCCAAAAGGCCTTGAATTGGCCGGTTCAGATAGAAATCTTTAACCGGAGTTTTTGGTTTGCTGGGTTTTCTCGAATTTGTTTCGTTATCTTTCTTCAATGATGACGACGGAGTTTCACATCGCCGAGCTCGTCACGAGATCCAAAGTATCAATGGCGGCAATTTCTCCTTTCTTCCTTCTCTTCCTCATTCCCCTTGTCCCACTCTCGATTCTCGCTATCTTGGCCATAATCGTACGCCCTCGACCCATCAGAATCCCCATCAAGTCCCGTCACGTCTTCATCACCGGCGGATCTAGTGGCATTGGTCTTGCTCTGGCCCACCGCGCCGCTTCCGAGGGCGGTCGCGTCTCCATCCTCGCCCGATCCACCGGAAAGCTCGAGGAGGCCAAGGAATCCATCAAGCTCGCCACTGGCGTCGAAGTCGCCACGTTTTCCGCCGACGTTCGCGACTACGAAGCCGTATCCAAGGCCATTGACGAATCGGGGCCGATCGATGTGTTGATTGTCAATCAAGGTGTGTTTACGGCGAAGGAGCTCGAGAAGCATAGTCCAGAGGATGTCAAGTTCACGATTGACGTCAATCTCGTGGGAAGCTTCAATGTGATTAAGGCCGCTTTGCCCGCGATGAAAGCAAGGAAAGGTCGTGGACCTGCCTCCATCTCTCTCGTCTCATCTCAGGCCGGTCAGGTTCGTCTCTCAGATTCTCCAACCTCCTGATTCATAGTATCCTGAGGTTTTTTAAGGATTTAACTGCAAGCTGAGAAACAAAGTGGAGAGTATAAAATATTCACAATTTTCAGTTATTATTCCAAATTATTGGATCAAATCGTTGAATGAGCTTTGTGTTACTGCAACCATGTGGATCTCTGAGTGATGCATGTGTTCACATAGAGCTTGATGAAGGATGGTCTTTGATTTTTCAGGTGGGTATCTATGGTTATGCAGCGTATTCAGCTAGCAAGTTTGGGCTTCAGGGTCTAGCACAATCACTGCAACAAGAAGTTATTGCTGATGACATTCATGTCACTCTTATTTTTCCTCCTGATACTAATACACCCGGTTTTGAGGAAGGTAAAAGCAATACACAGAAGCTTTAGTATATACATATATATGGATGCATTGAGTATAATATAGCACATGAAAGTACAAAAGGCTGTAGCTATATGGTTGGGAGATATGAAGACGTGAAACTGTTGTTGATCCAGTTGTTATTATGAGATCAAAGCTGTGCCCTTTTCTGGTCTGAATAAATTGTATACTCTAGTCTCTAGCAAACGTGTAGGATCTCATTTTCTTCTTTATTATGAGATTGGTGGCTAGGAGAGACTGATACAGTGATGTGTTTAGTATCTTCTAATAGTATCTGACTGACATTGTCATAAAAGACACTTTTTTTCCTCTCTCTCTCTGTCTCCGAGAATGAAGTGAAACACTATTATTGACCAACTTTCTGAGTTCCTTGGTTCATCTTATGAAGATGAAGATGATGATAGGATATGATTTTGATATTCCTTGTTTCTCTCTCTCAGAACAGAAGAGCAGGCCTGAGGTAACTGCTATAATCGCCGCATCCTCTGGTACGATGGAAACAGAAAAAGTAGCCAGAAAAGCAATGGATGGCATCAAAGAAGGAAAGTTCACTGTCTCATGCAACTTTGAGGGATTCTTACTGTCTCTGGCGACAACCGGCATGTCGCCTCAGAGATCATTCTGGCTTGCTTTTCTTGAAGTTATAGCCGCAGGGCCTATAAGATTAGTCGCTCTCTTCTTCCAATGGGATTGGTATAACGCCATAGAAAAGTGGAGCAAAACCAAAAGAAACAGTAAGTACCTGATACCAGTCAAGCTACTCGAAATACAACTGTTTTGCTAATATTAATGTTGCTTCTCTTTTGTAATTTCAGGGACCTAGAGGTGTCTGAACTTGTTCGCTGACATTTCATAGCTCAGAGAATGTTTCCTCAAGTTTCTTTGGCTGAAGCTGAACAAACACTTTCTCAAATTGGGGTCTCTCGAGCCGCTACCACGCCCATGGTCGATTATCCGATTCAGAGTATAAACGTTAATGATATTTTTGTTGTAACTAGTCAAATTCAAGCCGCTCTTTGAACAATTGCTGTATTATCTTTTTTGGGTTAAGAGAAATTGAAGAACTCATTTGAATGTATCTGCTTAATTTTTTACCACTAGTCAAGAAATTTAAGTGTTTTTTTTTTACAATTTGATATTTTCGAAAGAAGTCCAAATGAACCAATTTTGAGACAAGGTACGTTAATGTTGTTCCGGGGGCATTTAAACAGAGCGCAGTTTGGTTACATAAACGGCAAGAAGTTTCTTGAGAAAGTGCTTTTGAGCAGAGAAGCAGAAGTGCCACAAACGTTTGTTCTACAGTAATCGAACGAATCAAGCGGTGGACTCGGTCTCATTTTCAGGCAGTGATGGCGATGTCTATTCTGAAGCTAAGAAATTCTCCGGCTCTTAGATCGGCCGCAAATAGTGTCCGGATCGGAGTTTTGTCGAGGGCTTTCTCAAAGCTCTCGGAGGGCACGGACATAACCTCGGCGGCGCCAGGCGTTTCCCTCCAGAAAGCTCGCAGCTGGGACGAAGGCGTTTCCTCCAAATTCTCCACCACACCATTGACAGATATCTTCAAGGTTTCAAATCTCTCCTTCTTATTTTCCCTGGAAATTTCGTTTCGAGGGTAAATATCAATTTCTGACATAACGATTGTTGATATTTATTGCAGGGGAAGAAAGTCGTCATCTTTGGTCTCCCTGTAAGAAGATTACTATCATTTCATCTTTCCCTCTCATGTCTTTGATCAGGTTTCTGTGTTCTGATGTTGTGCCGGACTATTCGCAAAATATGTGTCGCAGGGGGCTTACACGGGAGTTTGTTCACAGCAGCATGTGCCAAGCTACAAGAGCCACATTGATAAGTTCAAGGCCAAAGGCATTGATTCTGTTATCTGTGTCTCTGTTAACGACCCATTTGCTATAAATGGCTGGGCAGAGAAGCTTGGTGCCAAAGATGCAGTAAGTTCACATTTGTTTTTTCCTTTTCTTCGACTGATCTGATGTTTAGCCTCTGCTGGTTATTGCTTCAAAAAATTTGATTTTGCAACATAACATATAGTATTCGGTTTCCGCTGTGGTTGTCTAAGAATTGAGTGGTGAAGATGGATCATGTAGGAATCTTCTTACTCCTTTCTAGCATTCTTGACGTCTATCTGTTGTTATAGAAGATAGCCAGGAATATTTTTCTCTTATTATTTCACATTGGTTATTGTCTCCAGCTTTACTTTCACATCCATAGATGATAAAAATATGTGATCTATGATTAGAAGGACTTCACTCACTAGCAATTTCCGTAATCCTTGATATGGTCACACTTTGTTCCTTTGTGTGTTTTTGTCTTTGTCATTACGCGTAAAGTATATTATCCTCAGATGCCAGAAGCATGAGTTAATGTGATGATCTTGAAACTTGTTAATGTCAGATTGAGTTTTATGGAGACTTTGATGGGAAATTCCACAAAAGCTTGGGGCTAGACAAGGATCTCTCTGCTGCATTGCTGGGGCCTCGGTCTGAGAGGTGAGTTGAACCACTTCAAAGTCCATTTGTATAAAAGTCATCTCCCTGAAAACCGTTGATCTCACATAATTGGTTGGCTTGTGATGTTGATGTGCAGATGGTCGGCTTATGTAGAGGACGGTAAGGTTAAGGCCGTGAACGTGGAAGAAGCACCATCGGACTTCAAGGTGTCGGGTGCAGAAGTCATTTTAGGACAGATCTAACAACTGTTTCGAGAAGTTGTTCTTGCGTCTGTTATTTCCTCTATAAGTTGCAACTGCGAATAAGTTTGATCCGAACATGTCCAGATTCAGGATCACACACCTAGTTACAACTTTACCTCATTTTTGGGGTTTTCTTCTATGTTTTCAGTTTCAATAAAGATGATTTGTTTCTTGCGGTTTCTCTCCGGCAAGTGTAAATCTTAAGATCATATATATAACACAAGAACGCAGAAAACGAATATTTGGATTCTACAGTTTCAGTTTCACCCCAATAGTATGAAACCAGTATATAACTAAAAGTCAAAATATTATAAGCTTGTTGTTGAGATCGTATTGGGCTTTAAGCCCATATAGTAAAATGTAATTTCGAGCCCAAAAAAGAATGTTCACCCTAAACCCTCTCGTGGCTCCTCCTCCGCTTCCCCTCTTCACCTGCATCACCACTTCTGACCCGGCGAAGCTAGCCGTTCGCTCCACCCGCAACACCGGAAGTAAGCCATTTCTGTCTTCCTCATCTTCTTCTGATGTTCTTACAACACTCATTCTCACATCATAGGTCTATGATTTATGGATCCCATTGTTTCATTTTTGGAGTGTGATTGATTAGTTACCAACTTGATAGGTTTTTGATCTTTGGGGTTTTGTATCTCTGTAATCGGAGCGAATCACGAAATATTATCAAACTGTAAGCACTGTCACGCTAAACTATAGGATCTGATAATCGGTCTTATGAATCTGTGCTTGCTTCTGAAATCATCATTTTCGCATTCTTCATTTTGCGCCACTGATCTTGTGACAAAGTGTTTTTATGAACTGATACAGTGCAGATGTGTTTTTTTTAAAATGATTATTCTGGTTAAGCACTAAAATCATCCGATAATTGCTGTAAATAGGCCGAATCTTCACGCATATATTGATCATCATGTGTAAGGCATAATCATTCTCATTCTGGTGAACTTTGAACTCTTTGCATTGACCAATTACAGCATTTAGTAACCCACAAGCTAAAACTATCCTCTTTCTGTAACACAGGAAGAGATTTAATTTACTGTTGCTGTCCTGTGGAGGTTTTGGAGACTGAGAAAACTCTTTTTTTGGTCACTTTGAAGTGATCTTGGGTTGATGTTTGTATGGTAGCAGAGTAATAGAGTCATGAAGCTTATATCACTTGTCAGGAACGTTCATTCTCGCCAATGCCAACAGAAAGTAAACTGGTCTGTGCAAGTGCGTTTCCTGCAGCAAGATTCAGTATCGAAGTCTAAACCCAAGAGATACAAGTACCCATCAGTCTATGACCCGTATGGTCCTAGACCCCAGCCTTCAAGCAAAATCGTGGAGCTAGCTGAGCGGATAGCTGCATTGTCTCCAGAGGAACGGAGACAAATTGGTCCTGCGCTCAATGAACACCTGAGGCTTCCGAAACAGCATATGATTTCAACGGAAGGCATGAGTATGGGAGCAAAGCAGGATGCTGGAACCGCAAAAGCAGAGGAGAAGAAGGAGAAGACGGCTTTCGATGTGAAGCTGGAGAAGTTTGATGCAGCTGCAAAGATCAAAGTGATCAAAGAAGTGAGAGCGTTCACGAGTTTGGGTCTCAAGGAAGCGAAAGAGCTTGTGGAGAAAGCCCCTGTCGTGCTTAAACAAGGTCTGACGAAGGAAGAAGCTAATGCAATCATAGCAAAGATCAAAGCTGTAGGTGGAGTCGCAGTTATGGAGTAAGTGCCTTTGATACTTCTATTTTTTTTCTTCTTTGAATTGTGTTGGATCACATCTTGGCACTTACAGTAGATGTTTTTTTTTGTAATAACAAAGCTATTAAATCATTGAGTTTTCAAGAACTAAACTCAGTTTTCTGATTTCAACTTTGTGTTCCCGTAAGTGAAGTTCTAATGTGCTTCCAAATTCTGTTGTACCCTCGCTAATTTGGTTTCCTTGCATTTCTAGAAATTTATTACTGATTCGTGCAATATCGTGTTAGATGAAGCAAATGGTTAAAGGAAATGTAAATTCACACAATCTTTACATGTAATAAACATAGAATGATTTTATCATAACAAAGCGATGACATATAGGTTTGATAGGAGCCTCAGCGAATTAGTCAAGAGTACTTAAATGATCGGCGCAACGTCAAAATCGAGCGGACAAAAAAAGGACAACAAAACCTTCTAATTTTTCTTTTTTCAAGACATAATATGATGGTTTCGTACTGCATCGAATTGTGGACATTTATGTAACAATAATTAGAAAATAGTATTTGTCATAGCGAGTTTGGTAACGAGGTTGTAAAGAGCACACAAAGTAGAGTATTAAGAACATTTCCAAAAAGAAAACAATTGTTAGTTTAAAAGTAATGATATATGCCATTACGAAAGTAAAATCTTTATGGACCTATATGGATACTTTTGGATATGTTGATCATAGACTTTATTAATCTTTGTCTGTCTGCATGTTTGCAGAGAATGTTATGATACAGTGTCTTGAATGTTGTTAATCAGCAAAAGGATAGAAAGATTATATATAGTTCTGTAAGATATTCATATTAAGAAAAATAAAGATTTTCATAGTTTTGCACGTTTTTTCAATTAAAAATGTTTTTTTTTTCTTAGCGTTTGATTCTGCTCTTCGATTTATAAAATTTGTTTTGCCTTTTATTATTTTGCAAATTATTACATTATTTTTACCAGTACCAATATATTTACATTTTCAGAAATGACACCAAAAATATCAGAAAAAGTCAAAAAGTAATCGTTACCATATATGGGAAGCATCTTTAGTTCTTTACGCCTATATCCAAAACTTCAGAGAATCCTCTAATTCTTGATTTTTGTTTTTGATTCGCCGTACGATCTTTCTCCAAAATCCATCTTCTTCACGGGAATTTTGAATTCTTGTAGCGAAAAATCGACGAACGAATCCCTAATTTCCAGTCAGAAATCGAACTTGAGGTGGTCTTACTTGAATACGTTGCTAATGGATGATTCCGACTTATTTTCGTTGATTTTGCCTCGCTCCCCGCTAATACTGTCAAAACCCTAGACGAGTCGTCTTCATCACCAATCGCGTCGATGGGAGCCGATGCTGTTCAGTCATTGGCTATTTCGTCGCCAAATCGAGATCATGATGATCCTCTGTCGACAGAATCCTCAATTGGGTCTCGAAATTTAGATGGGTCTCTCTCTGCACCATATTTGATGAGAACGCAATGGTGATACTTATCCATGGTGACAGAGTCTCAGATTCCGCTTTTAATTGACTCTGCGAGCAATTACCCGTGGTCGCAATCTCTAGACGAAATCAACAATTCAATCTTTGACTTCTGAGAATCGCCAACAATGGACGCCCAATGCTTCGTCTGGATATGATACTGATGACGAATTAACAATTGATTTTTTGATCCAGCCCTTGTTGAGATTGAAGCAAGAACCTCCGAAGATCGTTGAGCCCAGTAATGTTGTACATTTCTGATTTCGTTTCAGTATATCTTTTAGGTTCTTCTTTGGCTATAGTTGGTGTTCAATCTGATCTCTGAAATACGATTTTGGCATTAACTCGTTATAGGGTGCTGGACTTTTGAATCTAGGCAACAGTTGTTTCGTGTTGCAGTATCTCACTCACAATGCGGCGCTTATCATACAAACCTCAAGATCTTTGTAACTGTAAGACAGGCTCTCACAATGTGTCTTTTCTTTATTTTCACGTTACCTTGTAGTGATCTTGTGTATATCTTTTGAATTTGAAGGTGACAATGAAGAGTTCTGTGTTATAAAGGCTATTCGAAGTCACATCGAGCCTGCTTTGACTACTTCAACATCTCCTTATTATTTCTTTCACAATCTCAATTGTATCCTTCATCATAGTCAATAAACTGCTTCCACCATGTTTTATGATATTCTCTGAAGACAGTGCTCTGCCTGCATATCTTGATTTATCCTTAAGCTACCACATATTTTTCGCCTGACTTCCAGCATTACCAAAAAGAAGATGCGCATGAGTTCCTACACACAGTCTTGGATAAGTTGAAGATATGTTGCTTGGATCGTTACAGGTGCTAACCTTGTTCAGCATATCTTTGGTGGTCGTCTCGTGAGTGGGGTAAGATGTTAACTCTAACCATATACGTTTTGTCAAGCAATTTTCGGTAATGTGTTTTAAGGCATTTCTTCTTTTCAGCTTCGTTTCTGCAACTGCAACTCTGTTTCTGAGACATTTGAGAACTCTCTTGCTTTGAGTTTGGAGATTGGAGATGTGGAAGATCTTTGGAGCGCACTATATTCTTTTACCCTTGTAGAAAAGCTTGAAGACGACTGTCCGGTAAGGAAGATCATTTTATCCATGTCAGTGGTAAACTTATGGAGCTTAGTACCTAATAATGGTTTGTGTGTGTGATTGATTGATGATTCTGCAGAACAGACTTTGCAAATTCAACTCAAGCAATTGGATAACACAAAGAGCCAAGATGAAGAAGATCCTTGCAAGCAGACATTGCCGATAAGCGACGTTGCAGATTTTAAGGAAACAGAAACTGTTCGTAGAGTGCAGGGACGTTGTTAATGTTTCTCTTGAGCTAATGTCAGAGGTCGCTAGTGCATGTGAGAATTGGCCTCTCAAGAGTTAGTCAGCTGCCCTTGTAGCTGAGGTAGGAGCTCAATTTGATTTGAGTTTTTACTTGCTGTCATCATTGGTATTTGCCTCCGTTCATTTTTTTCTCAGATTCATATCTTTCACTTGTTGCAGATTGTTAGAAGAGAAGGCCCTAATCTTTGGCAAGAGATATTCGCTTTATTAACCTCCTTGTCTGCACAGGGCCCCTTGCAAGTACAGTGCTCTTTCATTTATTTACTTTGATGATTTAATTCATTGAGACAGCCCAGAAAATTCTTCTTTTTCTCTTAAACAATAGGCTGAATTGGTCTTAATGACGCTGAGATGGCCTCCTGAAGATATTACAGTAGATTTCATGAAGAAACCTCACGATAGAGAGTTGGGCCAGCCCGTATCTCAAACTGGTTCTCCACCTAAAAAAACTAAAAATAACTTGAAAATATCATGTCAAGGTAAGTAAGATCCAACACCAAACCATTCGCATATATTTTGAGATATGATCACTTATTGTGATTTTCTTGCAGAATGCGATGTGTGATCATTGCATGGTTCACTGTAGCTTGCATTGGAGATGAAGAATCATCAATATGATGCAATGAAACTCAGGAAACAAGATATGTTTTCTATTCTTTTTTTTTTATTAATTCACATTAAATTTTGAATTAGTCAAAAATCGATTAGACTTATATTAGTTGTGAAACTAACCGGACATGGTATCCAGCCATTTGAATTTATTTGGTCGTTAGAGATTGTCTATGTTCAATTTGTTTCCACAACAAATGTAGATTAATCGGTTTATTATTAGAAAAAATGATATTAATAATAATAATACTAAATAAAATCTGAATTTAATCTAAACATAGAATTTGATATTGTTTTTTGTATTGTTTCAGGTTGAAAAATTCTATCCAATGAAATTTAGGAAGTAAAAGTTGCTGAGAGAAGAAAACTCAAGAAAAAATATATGTTTTCAATTCTCTCTTTGTTTTTTATTCATTTTTTTTAATCTTTGAATTAGTTTAAAATCGATTAGACTTACATTAATTGTGAAACTAACTGGACATGGTATCCAACTATTTGAATTCATTTGGTTGTTAGAGATTGCTTATGTTCAATTTGTTTCCACAACTAATGTATATTAATCGGTTTATTATTAGGAAAAAATCATAATAATAATAATTATACTAAATAAAATATAAATTTAATCTAAACATAGAATCTGGTGTTGTTTTTGTATTGTTCAGGTTCTCAGAGATGAAAACTCAGAAAGAAAGATATATTTTCTATTCTTTTCTTTTCTTGTATTCATCCACACTAAAACCTGAATTAGTTTAAAATTGATTAGATTTACATTAGCTGTGAAACTAATCAGATATGGTATCCAGTCATTTAAATAAATTTGGTTGTTAAAGATTACTTATGTTCAATTTGTTTTCACAACTAATATAAATTATTTAATTTTTTGTTAGAAAAAAATAATAATAACACTAAATAAAATTTGAATTGAACCTAATCATGGAATCTCATGTTGTTGTTTTTAATTGTTTTAGGTTAGTGCTTTTTTCAACAATCACCGTCTAGTGAAGAAAAAAAATTAGTTTCTTTCGTTTTAAATTTTGTAATTATATTTATTTTATAGGATTTCAGTTGATTACTTTAGATTTTCAATGCAATAATTCAACTTTAATTTAACACATACATCACAATATATATAGACACTTAAATGATTATGCTGCAAAATTCCTAGTTCCAGTTTATGTCCCACTTTGTAGATATATCGACCAATCCACAAATTTTGCAGCATAATCATTCAAGTGTGTAACGAACGGTGCAATGAACAGTAACGCAGCAATGAATCACTAAACGTTGACTTTGACATTTTAGTTCGAAATAGTATGAACGTGGACCAAAGAGTTTTAGGATCCTGTAACAACACTACAAATTCTATTAGATGATTGATAGTTTCTTTAATGCCAAATAAGAGAATCGCTCCTTCGTTCGTGTGGTATCTTTTTTTTTCTTTTGCCCTTCTACTTCATCCTCTTTCCAATCTCGTAAAAGTAACCAAAAGCAACCCCGAACGCGCCCTGAGCCAGAATCGTGCTGTCTGCAACCGCTTTAGCTGCCGAGGGATTCCGGATGAAACCGAGCTCAGAGAGTTTAGTCTCTGAAGAATGCATCCTCATCCTGTAACCGCAAATTGAGCTTGTCAAATAACAGCTATGAAACTTAGCTCAAGATAAAGTTTTTAATCATTAATCAAGAAAAGAAATAGTAGTGAAGGCGTCATGATCTTCTATATACAGTTCTCAGAAAAGTTGATTTAAACGACAGCAAACATGTAGAAAAATAGGGACTGTGATCAAGGATTCACCATGATAGAATGATAAGAGTTCATACGAGTAGTTGTCATATATCCACTTTGCAGTACTAGCAACTATTTGGTGATTAGGATTTGTGGGATTCTCTACGACAGTGAAAATGTGAAATCAATTAAGGCAAGCGAGTTATATTCTGGAAAACCAGATCCAAATCAGACTTTTACTAGTTGCCTAAAAAAAAAACCCGATATAAAAAATATTAAAGTACAACCAATTAACATTTTTTCTTTATAACCCCATTACAAAATGGTATCCGAGCACTAAGAAGACAAATTCCTAGATCTGTCATATTTATTGAATTTCAAAGCACCAAACGGGAAGACGTGCGTCAATGATGTTGCCTAGCTAAGTAATAAATAATTATGATATATTAATTAATGATATACTATCATGTCCATTGCCAAATTGTTGCCTAAGTAATTGATTAATTAGCATTAAGGATTAGGATAATAGCAAGTAATATCCGATCATCTGTATTCTTAATGTAGACAAATTAAAAATGTGTTATCAAAGTCTAACAATACAAGCAAACTGTAGTCATGCGAATGAGTCGGATACATTATTTGTCATTTCCATCTAATCTAGTCCGTCATATAGTATACTATTTTTCATCTTTCGATAAATACCTTAAATGCGTAAAAGTTACACGTACCGAATATTTTCTACATGAGCAAAAAGGAGTATACCTTGGACTAAGACATGTTTACCAAAAGCTTTCTATATCCGCCAAGGTGACTTTTAAAAAAAAAATAAAAACAGGTTTAATACATAACCGTTTCAAAAAACTTACAAAATTTCCCGATTGATCCTACGTTAGTTATTTCACGTGCGTTACTTTCACATGTACTGAAAGTTTCGCAGATTTCTTCCTAAATTGTAAACTGATCGCCAGACATGGATACATTAACCTTGGACCCACAATTCCTACGAACGAAATATTGCTGTTGTGTAGAGAATATAAATTATTAAATAAATTATTTTAGTTCTTTTACATATATACTCCACTGAGTTGACTTACAGTAATAAGTACAGCAGAATTTAGGACGAAACTACTCAAAGTTACGGAAACCATTGTCACAAAACATGTACTCAAAATTGGCTTTACGACTTCAACAAAAGAGATCTTAAGAGCAAAGGCGTGATTAAGAAAAATGGGGTTTGGCAACATGAAAGACTCACCGTAATTATATACATAATAAACATACAAGAATAGATAAAGTTGTTGACCAAAAGGAAGAGAGAAGTCATGTTATGAAACTTGAAACTGACATAGCTTATAAAATTTGTATTCGTTAAATTCTTTTACTATTTTCGTACATTTGGTTAACCAACAAGAACTACCAGTCAAGATTCTTTTTGTTGACTCTAAAGTTTTAGTTCATATTCATTTTTTTTTTTGAAATATTCAGCCAATGCGCAGTTAAGGGAAGAAAGATGAATAAAATACAGGTTTAAAAAAAATCATCATAATATACCTGAATCTATTCATCTTTGTTAAATCTATACTACCAAAATTGCGTTTGATAGATAGACAGCATCATATGTTAGAAGCAAAAGGATTAGACAACATTAGAAAAACTAACCATCCTCGATCGTGTTTAATAGAAGTCAATATATAATGTATCTATGATATAATAATATATATACAGTAAATAGAGAGAGCACAGCATACACAGTATTTATACTTATATAAAGCATAAAGTCCCCAAAGTACTTCTGTCTCTTGTTCTTGTTCTTGAGTCCTGTTTAGTTCTAGTGTTTGCAGACTTGGAGTGAAGAAAATGGAGGGAGAGAATAATAGTATGGAGAAAGGATTGCTACTGGTAAATAAGGACGAGAGAAAAGGAAGCTCTGAAACTAGGATTACTCCATTTCTTGTCTTCACCACTTTCATCATTGTCTCTGCCTCCTACAGCTTTGGCGTTGCCGTATGTTCTCCTCTCAACCCGCCAGCCATGATTTTTGCGTGTTTTTCTTTCTTTATTTATCTATTGAAGTTTCCCACATACACTTTTTTTCAAAATTCAGAAATGGCTTTGCTCGTTGTGGGTTTTGAAGATAACACATCTCAACTGTAATTAACTTGTTTATAGATTCATGTATATTAATTATTTTTGAATGGGAATGATCAGTTAGGTTATACTGCCGGTACGATGTCCTATATTATGGAAGATCTTGATCTTTCTATCGCACAAGTAAGCTTCTATTTTACTATGTTATTTTATATCTTCATTACTATTTCAGATAAGTTTTAACAAATATAAAACTTTTACTTCAGATCATTATGATAATTGAAATTTAATATTGTTTCAAAAAAATACTTTTTTCACAGTTTTCAGTATTTGGCTCGCTAGTGACTTTTGGAGGAATGATAGGTGCAATATTTAGCGCTATAGTTGCAGATGCCTTTGGTCGTAAAAAGGTTAAGAGTTCATTTGTATTTTTAAATTCACCCTCATACTTTCAATGTCTCTATTAATTAATGTGATATTTAACCTCTAAACCTTTTTTTCTTTTTCGTTCTGAATCTCTTAGACTTTGTGGGTCGCTGAGGTATTCTGCATATGCGGATGGCTTGCAATTGCACTAGCCAAGGTTTCTTCACAATCCTTTATTTTTGTTTTGACAGCTTTTCTTCACAACCCATCTAATAATATTTTACTCAATGATAAGGTTACTCTATGATCTCTATTAATTTATCTTTGCATAGAATATTATCTGGCTGGACTTTGGACGATTCTTTGTGGGAATTGGAGTTGGTCTCCTTAGCTACGTGGTAAACTATTTTGTGGTAATTTATTTAAGTTGAGTAGAATCAGATATCATTTTTAAATTTGTAATAATCCTAGTTTATTTAATTTAAAAACAATCGGTAGGTTCCTGTATATATAGCAGAAATAACCCCCAAGAATGTGCGAGGCACTTTTACATTTAGCAATCAGGTAAGTAGTTATATATATAGTCAAACTTATACAAACTAATGTACGTTTTAGCTATTTTAAAACTAATTAATACTTATTTTACAGCTGTTGCAAAATTGTGGGCTGGCAACCGCCTATTACCTTGGAAATTTCATGTCATGGAGAATGATAGCCTTAATCGGTGATTCCATGTTAACTATTTATTTAGTTAAATTTATTGCATAAAACTATATAATTAAACGACCCTCAACATATTCAGGCATTATTCCATGCGTGGTACAATTTTTTGGATTATTTTTCATTCCCGAATCACCAAGATGGCTGGTTAGTCATTTGAATCATACATTATACATTTCTCCAGTCAGTTTATTTATTTCTCTGTAACTAAAGAAATTTTAATGTAATTTTATATTTCTTGTTAACAAAAACAGTTTTACAGTAATAAATAAAATTAATGTTACTGTTTCAGGCAAAAGAGATTCGCGATGAAGAGTGTGAAATTGTTCTTCAAAAACTAAGAGGAAAAGAAGCTGATATTGTGAAAGAAATTCGTGAAATCATGGTACATAAACATATAAATTATGAAAAAAATAGACATTAATATTTTACTTTTTTATTAAATATTCAAAAATTATTACCATAATTATGTTTAGTAGAATTAATATATAACTTTTCGGGGGCAAATAAAAATTAATATATAACTATCTCATAATTTTTCATAATTTTGCAGATTTCTGTTGATGCTACTGCAAATATTAGCATGAAAAGTCTCTTCAAAAGGAAATATACTCGTCAACTTACAGTAAGAAAAGGGCTTGTATTTATTAACAACAAAATAATAAAAATTATCAAAGAAATTGAAATAGAATTCTAATATTTTAATGGTTTTTTCTTGTTAATTATATTTAGATAGGTGTAGGTTTGATGCTTCTGCAACAATTATGTGGAAGTGCCGGAATAGGTTATTACGCAGGCAGTATCTTTGAACTTGCTGGTAATTAATTAATTTACATAAAAATTACGTAATTCGATAGTCGTTTCTTATAAATTATAAAACTAATACTTGTGACTCTTAAGGATTTCCTTCTAAGTTTGGGATGACGGTGTTGTCTATCGTCGTGGTACGTATACTCAAAATCAGTCCGTTTCGTTCGTTGTTATTTACACTGTGTCCCCTACATTTATTTGTCGCTACCTACGACGATTCGATTATGAAATTGTAACCAATGATCATGACAGGTACCAAAAGCAATAGTGGGTCTGATAATCGTGGATCGATGGGGAAGACGACCGCTTCTTATGGTTCGAATATCTTAAAATATATTGTAATCTAGTTTGTTAATAAACTCATTAAGGTTAATAGAGAGAATATATCACATAATTTAATGTACCAATCAATATGCAGGCGTCGGCATTTGGGCTATCTTTAAGTTGTATCTCTCTTGCATTAGCCTTTGGATTGAAAGGTGTCCCTGGGATTGTTGTAAATTTCACTCCCACTATGGCATTTATAGGAATATTGGTAAGTGATGTCCAATTTTATTCATTTGAAGAATCTTCTTCTTTTGTAATTATATTACTTTCTTCTGTTTTTTCTTGTTCGTTTAGTTTTTGCTTTCGGTTACATTTTGAATTTAGTCTTATTTATGCGTACATATATGTTTTTTCTTTCAGCGAGATATGTGATAATAAAAAGTATAATAAAGTTTAATAATTCAAACAGGCATACACTATGATGTTCGCAGCTGGACTGGGAGCATTACCATGGATTATAATGTCTGAGGTATATATATATATGCGCATATTATATGTATATCGTCATCTTAAATTGTAACTGATGTTAAATTTTTACTTTATTTTGTATATATGTAGATATTTCCTATGGATATGAAAGTAGTGGCTGGGAGTTTAGTAACCATAACAAATTGGTTTACCGGTTGGATCGTCAGCTACTGTTTCAATTTTATGCTTATTTGGAGTCCCACCGGTACGTTACTACTATTTTATAAACTGAACGTCCTAATATACAGTTCGGTTTAGTTTTTATAGATTTCAGGAACGAAAAGACAATTTCTTAATATATTTTTGTAAAATTATGAATTGCAGGGACGTTTAGTATATTCGCCATAATAAGTGGATTAACAATTGTGTTCGGATGGTGTTTGGTGCCTGAGACTCGAGGGTTAACCTTAGAAGAAATCCAACTTCCACGTGCCAACACTTTGAGTTGATGATACGTACCAAATATCTGATACACAATATAAAGCCATCATCATTAATTCAATCGATCGAATCTTCTCCTGTTCTCTGTTTTTTATCTTTCTGATATCATTTTTCATTCCGTCGGTCTTTAATTCTATTTTAGCATTTTATGACGCTAAACAGTTTTAGCTTTCAGAGTATGTAGGTAGATTATTGTTTCTTGGCCCATCTTATACACTAAAGTCTCCAAATTTACATAGTCGTTGTTGGCATTGACAAGCTCTAGTTCCATTAGAGTGTATGCTGTTAAACCCTAATTCTCGATAGCCACCACAAATCCCTTATTTCCACCATCACTAATGGGCCTTCCTATTAAAGACAAAAGGCCTTTGCCAGTACTAAAGGACTTCTACCAGTTTTAAAAGGCCTCTTATATCAGTCATAGATATTCATCTGACATTTTTAGGCTTCGGTCTGGTTTTAACGTTGTCCGGTTGAAATTATTTCACCAACCATTTTAGTACTGACCTTTATGTTTTCTAGCTGCATATAATTCTTATGTGTATGGTTGGGTATGTGCATAGTCTATTATCTTCAATCTTCATAGCAAAATTTGTTCTTGAAACCAAAGGTAGAAATATTGGAAGAAGTTAAGTAATGCTCACTACATGCAGATCGGGTGAAGACTCGACAGACTCATGATGCTATTAGTAGATAGTTTTTCACTTTATACATTCAATTGTTATATAATATAATATCATATCTTATCAACTCAGAAAATTAAAATAAGAAACCGCGTGAAGAAACAACTAAAAAAAAAAAATGTATTGACATGATCAAGCCGCGAGGAGCGTAGGTATTAAATCAGGGCCCATTTTTCTATTATTATCGTGTGTCGCATGCATGAACCTTTTTTATCGTCTACTTCCAGGGTTTTGTTTATTGATTGATGTATACCATGATATAATAATAGCTAGCAAAATATACATATATATATATATATATACCGTTGAACTTATTTTCTGAACTAAGAGATTATTGGCCGCCGTTGAACTTGAGTTTTTTTTTTCTTTTCTTTTTGAACTTTTGATTTCTGTTTTACTTAAAGCAGTGTTGTGCTATTCTTATTTACGTGTTCTACTTCTCGATCCAAGAAATGATTAACCGCAAATCGTAAAACTAGCAATCAGGCTTCAGCCCCAGTCTTATGAATTCTTAATTTATAATAGGGTTAAAGATAAGGTCTTCGGTCTTCCACATAACGTGGAGTGGGTACGTACCAAAATAAGGGGGAAAATTCTCTTATTAGCAAGTCTCCACAATCAATTATTATCCCAAAAGTCTTCAACATCTACAGAATACGATATTCATTTATTCTTTCTAAATTCTGAACATGAAAATTAAATCGCATGATTACTTGAAAATGAAAGACAAGTTACGACCTTTGGTGTATTTTATTAATTTCTTGTAGAATTTGGACAAGCGTGTTCCATTTTCACTAACTTCTTATCATCTTTTTTTTGTTCAACAGATGACTAATTTCTTATCTTTAATCACGTGAAATAATTACCGTGTTGTTGTATTATTATATATTAGCAGATTTGGATCAATTTCACTTTAATGTTTTTAAAACATATTTTCTGCAGTATCTTTGTAAAATTCGGGTTCAGGTATGTATTGTCAGTATTAATATTCTACATAGCCACATGATTGATTGATTGATTTTATGTAAAAATAAACATTTTTAAAAATAAATTAAAGGAAATATAAAATAGAAAATGTCATGTACTAAAACGGAAAGGCCTTTTACGGAAAATAACTAAATGATCAGAAGAGGCTATATATAGACGTCCACATGTGACCTAAGCACCACGAAAGAAAACCGATCAAATTGTTTTCTATACGATTACAAAAATTGTATTATTGTAAGACTTATTCTGAGATATATTAAATCTAATAATTTCGATGCACCAATGGGAAGACGTGCTTCGATGAATCGAGAAGCTGCTTAGATAATAAAACTAGATCAAAGTGGTTGTTAAACTGCTTACCATTAATGATATGGATAAGAGCAAGTAACATCGGAGTTAGACTAAAGTATTAAAACTAACGACATTTAAAATGATTTAGTTCCGTATAGTATATGAGACTTGATTTTTCGAATAATCTCCCTTATTAAAATATGTGTTATCTAAGTCTAACAAGACAAGCAAACTGTAGTCATGCCAAATAAATGAATATTAAAAAATGGCTAGGATTGGCACCTGGCAACATGACAATGCACATCGATGTTTTGAGGTGGAAAAGAAGAACAAAATCTTAGTATTTCCAAATTCCAATTGTATCCCCAATTATATCCAAAGGTGTTATAAAAGTTGAAGATAACATTATATATAAATTCTTTCCTCACATATTTGCTTGATTAGTTTTTTTTGAAAAAAACTTGAGATTTTATTTATTCTAACAATACAAATGTACAGGAACTAACCTGGTCGTTATAAATCAATGGTAATAATAGTAACGATAATCTAACAATTATTTTATTAAAAAAATACTTTAAAATTAAATATCACAAATGTTGTCAGGAACACATCCTACAATTTTAGAAAAGGTTTTCAAATCTTGCGTGCCACTTTTAGAAAGAAAAAGAAACAAAATGGTATTTTCGATGGTTATAATTTCTTATATGTAGATTCATATTTCTAAAAAATTAGGGTGTCTCTATCTTCTCGCTTTCTTTTATCACTACCATATTGATCATTTTAAACCTGTTGTACGAGCACGCATCCAAGCAACCAGAACTTCATCAGATAGATTGATAGATGGCTAAACATTTGTGTAGAACTGTAAGCTAAGTCTTTATCGTGTTTAAATTTAAATATCTAATGTCAAAGCATCTAAACAATTAATATATATAAAGAGAAAGCATAGTTCTCAGACTCTCTCTCTCTCTCTCTCGTCCATTTTTTTATTCCTTTTCTTGTTCGTGTTCTTATTCTTGAGCTCAATTCAATTTTAGTATCTGAGACTTTGAGTTAATACAATATGGAGGGAGACAATAATAGTATTGAGAAAGGATTATTATTGGTAAACATAGAAGAAACATCTGCAAATGCAACTCCACATCTTGTCTTTACCACTTTCATCATTGTCTCTGCCTCCTTCACCTTTGGCGTTGCCGTATGATCCCATCTCTCTCTCTCTATATATATAATATAATATATATACGCACTAAGGTTGGAATACTCTAGGTTCTGAAAAAAAAGATGGTGTATTAAGTTTTTTCAAAGTTGTGATTTGATTAATGATTACTAATACACTTTTCGAGAAATCATATACTACATGTGGTTAATGGAGACATAACTGGAAAAGTAATCAATATGCAATTAAAACGCACGAAACGGAGTATATTATAGTACGTGGTCGTTTGCATAAAAAAGACAACACTAGAACTTTTCAGAATATCGAATTGATTTACAAAAAACTTTGGGTTTAACAACGTGGAATCCATCGACAAAAACGACTGGAAATTACCATGCATGCATGGCATTTTTAGCTTCTCGCAGTAAATTTTGAAGTGTATATATATATATATATATATATATATTTACTAATTTTTTGGTTATGAAAAAAAAATTAGTTGTGTTTTTATCTAATTTCGTTAGTAACTATTTCAAATAATATTTCCTCGAATTCCACAGTGGGTTTTGCGAATAAAATATTCCAACTGCATTGGTTTAATTATAAGGATAGATTAATTTTCATGTATTTCAATTATCTGTATACGGGAAACAGTTTGGTTATACTGCCGGTACAATGTCCTCCATTATGGAAGATCTTGATCTTTCTGTCGCACAAGTAAGTCATCTATCTATATCAGTATATTTATCCTATATGTTCATAACTAATTCACGTAAATTTTCTCAAAGCAAAAAATAAGCGTTTCGCGTAAATTTTACCAATATGTATATTCAAAGAATTATAACAATATAATTTTAGTTAGCTAACCTTTTTCACAGTTTTCGCTATTTGGTTCGCTATTGACCTTTGGAGGAATGATCGGTGCAATATTTAGCGCCAAAAGTGCAGATGCATTTGGTCGTAAAATGGTTAGAAGATATTCACATTTTTATACTTTGAATATTTCAGTTAATGTAATCGTACACCTCTAAAGAATTTTATTTTTCTTTCTAAATTATTTCTTAGACTTTGTGGCTCGCCGAGGTATTCTGCATAAGTGGATGGCTTGCAATTGCACTAGCCAAGGTTTCTTCACAGTCACATGCCTCTAATTATATTCTCAAGCCTCTAATTATATTCTTACTTATAAGCTTTCCCTCTCTATTGTCGATTACTTTATCTTTCAATAGAATATTGTTTGGCTACACTTGGGACGATTTTTGGTGGGAATTGGAATTGGTCTTATTAGCTACGTGGTAAGTTATTCTTCTAGCTTAAATTTCAATTTAAGATAAATATTACCATCTCTAAAGTAATAATCCTTGTTTTTTTAGATTCCTGTATATATCGCAGAAATAGCTCCCAAAAATGTGCGAGGCACTTTTACATTTAGCAACCAGGTAATGTATATATTATCAAAAAAATGTATAGACACTATTATTTTCATTAGCTAATAATTTACAATTCATATATTGTAGCTGTTGCAAAATTGTGGGCTCGCAACCGTGTATTACCTTGGAAATTTCATGTCATGGAGAACGATAGCCTTAATCGGTGATTCTTTCCCGTTATTATTGTTTATTTGACTCACTTTCTTTTTATTTTTTTACTGTTCGTCATTAGATTTTCATGTCTTCTATATTATTTATTGATCATTAAATTTCATGTCTTCACTACCTCCAGGCATTATTCCGTGCTTGATGCAATTCTTTGGATTATTTTTTATCCCGGAATCTCCAAGATGGTTGGTTAGTCAAATGAATCTTATACTTTTTCAAAGTAGTTTATCTCATTTTTTAAACTACAAAATGATAACCAAGACATTATTTTGTTTAGGCAAAAAAAGGCCCCGACGAAGAGTGTCAAATTGCTCTTCAAAAATTAAGAGGAAAAGAAGTTAATGTTATGAAGGAAACTCGTGAAATTATGGTACACATACGTATGACATTCTAAAATCATTAATGAAAATTAAATTTTAATATAAGTTCTATACAACATTTCTTAGAAAACTATATTTCATTTCAAAACAATACCGATCATTTTATTTTATCTTATCTTTTTAACGTATTTATCTAATTTTTGTAGAATTCTGTTGAGGCTACTGTGAATATCAGCATGCAAAGTCTTTTCAAAAAGAAACACACTCGTCAACTTACAGTAAGAAATTAAAGGGGGTTTTCAACTTTTCATTAGTAAAACAAATTTAAACTAATAAAGTGATTTGAATAAAATATAATTAACTAAGTTGATTTTTGTTTTTGGTCAATTATATTTAGATTGGTATAGGTTTGATGCTTCTGCAGCAGTTATCTGGAAGTGCAGGAATATCTTATTACGCAGGCAGCATATTTGAGCATGCTGGTAAAATTATATATATATATATATATTATTTATTAATTATTTATCTGATTACTACGTAATTCAATCATGTTTTTGTTCTAAATAATAAAATAGTACTTTTAACTTTTAAGGATTCCCTTCTCGGATTGGGATGACGGTGCTATCTACGGTCGTGGTACGTATATGTAAAATAGTTACTAAATAGTCCATTTTGTTCGTTATTATATATTTAGACTTCGACCCCTGATCTTTGGTCCTTACGATGATATTGTATCATTGATTCGATATATGAAACTGTAACCCCATTGCCCTCAGTGACTTATCAATCATCATAATAGGTACCAAAAGCTTTATTGGGTCTGATACTTGTAGATCGATGGGGAAGACGACCGCTTCTTATGGTTAGAATTAATGTTTTGTATTTTAAAAGTCCTTTAGTTTGTTAGTAGATTTTTAAATTATAAGTTTTAATCAAAAAGAAAATGTACAAATTTGCAGGCATCGGCATTTGGGCTATCTTTAAGTTGTATCTTTCTTGCATTATCGTTTGGACTGAAAGGTGTCCCTGGGATTGTAAATTATACTCCCACTATGGCATTTATAGGAGTATTGGTAAGTGATGTCGAATTTATTAATTTGAATAACTGAAGGAGTTGACCAAAAAAAAAAAAGAATAACCGAAGGAAAAGCTATACTTGTCTTTTGTTTTCTTCTTGTTTATTTAGTTTACTTTTAGTTACCATAATACAGCTAAAGTATCTGAATTATTTTAAATTGTTTATTTAGTTTACTTTGAGTTACAATACTACTGCTGAGATGTCTGAATTATATTAAATTTATACTCGACCCGAAGCAAGTAAATGGACATCGTTAATTATATAAGTTATAATCGTTCTGAAAAAATAGCTCATAATTTTACATAGATGTTAGTGTTATTTTTCTCACTGTGGTGGATTCTATGTGTAATTCAAAATATGATCAATTATGTATAATAAATTTATGATCCAAACAGACATTCAATATGATGTTTGCAGCTGGATTAGGAGCGCTACCATGGATTATAATGTCTGAGGTATATATACGTACATGCTTAAGCAAACTTTGGAGTACATTATCGTATTAATTTGTAATTGATGTTAACCGATTTTATAGATATTTCCGATGGACATGAAAGTAGTAGCTGGTAGTTTAATAACCATAACGAATTGGTTTACTGGTTGGGTCGTCAGCTACTGTTTCAACTTTATGCTTATTTGGAGCCAAACCGGTAAGTTAATATGGGCCTGCTTTATAAACTGCACCTAATTTAGATATATCTTCTTCTTCTTTTTTTCTCTATGAATCTTTTACTAACCAAAATTACAGATTCGTTACAAAACCAAAACCAAAACCAAATACCATTTATATTGAACTTTATTAATATAACTAAAGAAACCTGTATATTAATTTTCATATATTCACACACCTGTATATATTTATAAACAATTGATGTAAATATTTTATGTATATATATATATAATTTATGAAAATCTAGATTTTAAATTTATATTGGTAACTTGTAATTGCAGGGACTTTTAGTATATTCGCCATGATAAGTGGTTTAACCCTTGTTTTCGCATGGTGTTTGGTGCCTGAGACTCGAGGATTAACCTTAGAAGAAATCCAACTTCCACTTGCCAACACTTTGAGTTGATTCAGAATATCGGTTACAAACAATCAAAGCGACGACTATTGTCTAAAATTAATTATCTTAATTTTTACGTAGGATCACTACATATTGTACCTTATATATTGTCGATCATTAATAATCAACTCGATCTGATCTTCCCGTCTTTATAACGAATGGTCGACTCTTATTAATAATATTGGCGCTCATTAATCATATCAACTCTTATTAATGATCATTAATCATATTGGCTATCATTTCTTTTTTCTTCCTAACATCATTTTCATTTGCCCTTGAAACTTATTTTTGATGTGAGACCGAATCTGATGGGACTTTGCAATTTCTATGCTGCTTATCATGCCGACAGTTGTGCCATAATATGTTATTTCTCAAACCAAACAGCTTGCTAGGATCGTTTGAGGTTCTTTAGATCGTAAAAGTTCGAGCCCACACCCAACCGAAATCTTCTAACCTAAAAAAGGCAATGATAATTTTCAGGTGAAGAAGCTCAAAGCATGCCTTTCTTTTTGCTTCCTGGTTCAATGATTGATATGCTTTCTTTTAGGCACATCTCTCCACAAGTGTTAGTTTTGTTTAATTGTTTAGCGAATGAGAAACATAAGGGTAATGATATTATCAAGAATATGCCAATATTTGTAAAGCCATTGGAATCATCAATCATATATATATATAGTAAAATTTATATTTTTTGAAGATACAAAATTAATATTTTATGATATAAATGTGTCTTTAGGTCGTCGTCCCCATAAGCGAAGCTTGTAATTCTTCTAGTGACTGTCCTTTGGTTTCGGGTACGAGAAACCAAATAAAAAGCAATGATGCTCCTCCGATAAGCCCAAATATGTAAAATGTTCCTATTTAATAATAGTAATAAGTAATAAGTAAACGACATACCTGGAATTAAAATAGGGCACCTACCAATAATTCCAAATGCATGTTTAATTAATTACAGATTCTAATATCTTAGATTTCGTGCGGCTACACCTATGTCAAAATTCGATTACAGATGATTAAGATCGTCTTCTACTTCGTATTCTGCCCTATCTATTGAGTCTTAGGTGTACATTTGGTTTGTATTTAGTTCCAAAAGGTTGGGTTATAGTCAAATACTATAGTTTTAGTTAATCGGTTTTCAAATTAATTGAGAAATAGTAGAGAAAATAAGGACCTTGTGCGCTCCATTCAAACATGAAGTTGAAAGCGTAACTAACGAACCACCCACTGGTCCATGAGGTTAATGCCACAATTGTCCCTGCTGAAACTTTAATATTTACTGGAAAAATCTGCAGACAAAAAGGAAAAACATAAATAAACGTTTTTTTTCATATAAACAGGGCCGGCCAAGAGAGTAGGCAGGCTAAGTCAGCGCTTAGGGCCACCAATATTTTTTAAAAAATTAGATTAAAAAATGGGTCACAAATTTTGAAAAAATTTAAAAAATGGACCACAAATTTAAAATGACCAAATAAAGTTTACATCTTCTTCTTTTATAGCTTTGGGCCACTATTTTAATTGGACCGAGTGTGCACATAAGTGTTCATTAATTCACCCTTAACTTTTTGTTAGTATTAAAATACTTACTCACTCTAATTTTCATAAATTTAAAATGAGTTATTTACCTCAGACATAATGACCCAGGGAAGCCCTCCTAACCCGATAGCAAAACATCCAAAGTAGACCTAACCAAAATATTCGACTGTAGGTTAACATCTGTTATTACAAATTATTTCCGAGAAAATATAAATCTAAATTAAATGAATGATTTTTTACCAGAATGAATACGAAGACGAACACTGGAGTCAATTCAGGAAGAATATTCATTCCCTGTTCATACCCATAACGAAAACAAAAATCTTGTATAAATGTTTTTAAAAAAAAAATAGTAGCTGAAGAATTTGACAGTGTTTGCTGAAGAATGTAACAACATTAGCTATCAAATTTTAATCCAATATAAAAACAATAATAAGAGTGACCTGTAAATGCTGTTAATAAAAAGAAAAGGTAACCTGTAACGTGAAGCAAACCCCAATAAGCAAGGATCCGATGGACATTCCAGCAGCAGAAGCCTACAATTGTTTTTACAAATATATATAAATCGTTAGACAGAATATACTATACTATGCAAATTGATAAAATTTTATATACAGTACTATGCAATTATTTATATGTATATATTAACTAGATATTTCTTCTAACCAATAGGAGTGGTCGTCTTCCCCATGTATCTACAAAAATTACAGCCATCAAGGCTTTTGGGATCTGCAGAGAGTAGAAAAAGAAGAAGGAAATACTCAATATAGATTCGAGGAAACTAGATAGAAATTTTAAACTATAAGGTACGCACCACGAACACACCAAATATCATTGACCCAAGTGTCTCTGAAAAGCCTGCATAAAAGAACTTAATTTATGATATATACAATGTTCAAATAATTATCATAAATAAACACTAGCAAGAGTTTTAATATTATAACCAGCTTTTCTAAATATGGCATTTGAATAGTACGTGAGTCCAGCAGCTCCAGATAATTGTTGTATCAACATTAAACCAATTCCTACCTGTAAATAGAAAAATGAAACCGGTGTATTTTTAGAAATAAATCATTACTTTCATCAATTGTAAAATCATTAGCTTTTTTTTCACTCTGTATTTCCCTATACATATGTTACCGACCGTACCACAAGAGTGCGCCTATACTTCTTCTGAAACATGTCACAGAAACTCGACTTTGAATCTTCTTCAAGCATTTTTGTCATAGCCTGAAAATAAACATAACAAGCATATAATCATGATTGCTTAAGCATACTAATAATAGTATATAATAGGTAATCGTTATAAAAAATACCTGAATTTCAGCTGATTCACCTGAAACATCAGCGTCTCTTCCTCTAAGACGATGCAAAGAATTTTCTACTTGTTTACCTGAGCCGATTTTAGCCTGAAAAAAGATATAATTAAATAAATTTAGATCCCTAAAGAAAACCCCTTTGAACATTTTGGTCATGTTTTATAGTCGATATATGCAATGTATATACACTAATATACACAGCATATTTCAAGAAAAATACCAACCAGCCATCTTGGAGATTCCGGTATAAAGTATATACCGATCACTTGAATGAAACATGGAACAGCACCTGAACCGGAAAACAAAATAAAATAAAATAAATCTGTATGGTCCGTATGTAATACTATTGAAATAAACAAAAACTAACACGCTGTAATCAATATTTCGTTACCTATAATAGCCAGTACTCGCCAATTAATAACAGTCCCAAAAAAATAAATAAGGGACAGTCCACAGTTTTGAAAAAGCTATAAACAAATAAATATTAGTTAGTTAGAATAAAAAGGTAAAAACATAATTTAGGCTTTTCATCTGAACATATACTATAACTGAGTTTTACCTGGTTTGAAGAAGTCAATGCACCACGAACATGTTTAGGAGTGATTTCCGCAAGATAGACAGGGACCTTGTTTGAATATTAAAATACTTTGTATTAAGAAATGTGAACTAAGTCCATAATACAGATATAAAATTAAAGTTGAATGAATAGCTTGTTAATTACCACGTAGCTAATCAAACCGACTCCTATGCCCAACGAAATTCTTCCTACGTCCAGCCACAATACATCCTTTTGGTTTCCGCATAATTCAATTTTTTTTTTGTTTTAGATATTATGACAACCGAATTCTTCTTATATAGACCAATAATTGAGGGTTCTTTTCTTCGCATTAATACCTTTGCGAAAGCAATGAATAGCCAACCAAAAATGCAGAATAAATCGCAGGCCCACAACGTCTGTAATCATTGATAACCACGAAAAGGAAAATGAAAAATTAGAATATAGTGCTATGAAAACACATATTTTGAAGAAACCAGTATTAGTAGAAATTAAGAAAACCATAATGATGATTAAGAAAGGGTTAAAATGGTAATTACGCGTCTTCTGCCGAGGGTGACTGCCAGCTGACCGCTGCAAAAAGCCCCCAATGCAGCTCCCAAATTCAGGAAGGACCCAAACGCCGAAAACTGGAAAATAAATCAATTATTGTTCTATAAGAGTTTCGTTAAATCATATTTCGATATCTGGAACTGGAATAACAAATGAAATTGTAACTATACATTAAAACACACCTTTTTATTTCCACTTTTAAAGTTTTGATCATATTCATCTTTAATACCGTATAAGTTGCGTATAACATATGCATTGGTGTCTTCTCCACACATTTCGTAATATTGAATTTTCCATACATTAAAACTTTGGACCACAATAACTACTGTACCTTTTTTTTTTTCTTTCACAATGAACTTTATAATTTACTAGTAACTCTAATGGCGAAAACTATTAGTATATTTATCACATGATATATTTATATGTAACTGCGTATATATCACTTTAATTTTCTTAATACACACCTTGTTTTTGGGTTAGGGTCTGAAAATTTACTAATCGTGCAAGAAAATTTACACGTAATTTTTTTTAAAAAAAGGAAGATTAGGGAAGATACATACTTCTGCAATAGAAAGGTCTAACTCTTTCATGATGGCAGTCTCAGAGCCTGAAGTATAACCACTCTACAAAATCCAATAAATTAATTTAGAAATTAAAAACTATCTCAAATTTGATTGAATACGAAGAAATCATATCACAAAAAAGTGATTTAAGATTAAGGAGGGAAATTAAGAAACTCACAGCACAGCCAAAGCTGAAGGAACTACAAACAGTGACAAAAGTGCTGAGGATAACACAAGCAGTGATACGACGATCATTTCTGTCGTTTTGGTGCCTCTGACGAATAAGACCTTCCTCCATGCTTCTATCTTCCACCACCACCATTCTTACGACTTATCTTTCCTCTCTCTTTTCTTATCTGTTTCAGAATCTTTTCAGAATTCTCATCGGAAAGATTGATATACACAGAGGTTGAGAGAGGACGAGAGACCAGAAGTTTTCTTATCTGTTTTAGTTTCTTTTCAGAATTTCTTCCGGAAAGATTGATATAGACAGAGGATGGGAGAGAGAGTATGTGTGTGTGTGTGTGTTTACATGTGGGGTTCAAGTACTTCTTGATTTGGATGCATCGAAATAAGTGAATTTAGCTCACAATGTGTGCTAAATACAAGTTTTACATTCTTTTGTTCTTTTCCTTTCCTTGTTTGTGTAGGTATAGATGTTAAAAACCAAAAAAAGTTACAATTACCTTAGAAAACATTACCAGAAATAAATTTATCTAGAACTTTATATATATTTTTTGTTTATCAAAATTAAATAATCAAAATAAGAAATAAATTGAAAATGTTTAGAAAACTCAGAAAAAAAACTATCAATATTTCAAAATTATCAATAATCCTAAGATTAGCGGGTTAGCAAGATCTATTGTTAGAATATATATATATATATATATATATATATATATATATATATTAATAGACTTGTTGATTTCTTTTAAACACACCCTTTTTTGCCATATTTTTATGGAACAAGACATGGTAGATATTTAGTAGGACAAAAAATCCATTTCTCGACGTTAAAGTGACATATTATAATGATCGTTCTTACAAATGGTACTTCACATCTCATTGACACTCATGTATAAAATGTCTCTTTTTGTGTGATTAGTAGTGAAGACTTTTGTTCCAGATTGTATCCCAAAACTGGATAGTTAGTTTTGTTTTATATTTTTAAATCAGAATTCAAATGTACTAGAGTTTTGCTTATTTGCGTGAATTTCTTTTAGATTCTGAAAAACGATACTTGTTTGTAATATTTTGGATTCGGAAAGTATGATAGTGTGTCTTGTCTTCACTACTAAAATTTTACAGACCAACTGATATTCGTGTTCTGTCATTTACTCGTGTAAATGATATAATGTTGACAACGATCACCTCTCACTTATCAGCAAGTCATCAAATGGGAAAAAAATCTTGATGATTGAGGTTACATTTAGCAGGCCTTAAAATAGCCTAACAGGTTTTTTTTGTTTTTCAAAAAGCCCAACGGGTTTCTAAAAACTATTATTAATTGATTTGACATTTTTCTTGTCAACTTATTTTCGGGCTTGTCGTCTCGGACTACTTATCTTTTCTTACCGGGCTACAATTTTTGGAACCGAATCAATTTGCTAAGTAGTCCACCCATAAGAATGTCCGTATGATTTATCATCTAACAACAAATCCCCCTTTTTTTTTTTGGTCGGCATCAACAAATTTAATTAACTTTAGAACATATGATGCTGCAGATAATAAAATAGCAATTGAGTTTTAATATAGCTACTTTAATTAGTAAAAAGAAGAGAGATGGTGGTATGCCACGTTGGAACTTTCAGGATTGATCTTTAATCATCTACTAATGGAGTAGTCGTGGGTCATATTCTATTAGTTATTAAACATTATCATTGTTTGGTATTCGAATCTTTCGTTTCGTCAAGTTTTAGTTGTTAATCTTCCTGTATAGCAGACGAAACAAATATATAAAGTTTTATGGTTTTATCACCTATTTCTTATGCTATGACATAAGAGAACAATAATATTAATTGTTGACCAAAAGCAATAATATTATTAATTTGCTTAATAATACGTCCGCTTTTACTTAATTACGTTTAAGAAATCGAAACTCGTTTGTGCTTAAGCTTGAGCAAGAAGGTAATGCAAACCCAGTCTTCGAAGAAAGGAGTATTGTGTGGAATCAAAGAACGATTACAGTTTCTCGACGAAGAACGGAGCGCCGTGAAATTGGTTACTCACATTTCTATCTGATCCCAATTTCAGTACCAATTTTCTCAGATTCCGGGAAAAAAACCCTAGCGATTTTATCTCCGTTTCATCATCATCCATGAGTCCGGACAACAAACTGCTTCCGAAGCGGATCATCCTTGTACGGCACGGCGAATCGGAAGGAAATCTCGACACGGCGGCATATACGACGACGCCGGATCACAAGATCCAGTTGACGGATTCCGGTCTGCTTCAGGCGCAGGAAGCCGGAGCTCGTCTCCACGCGTTGATCTCCTCCAATTCGTCTTCACCGGAGTGGCGCGTGTACTTCTATGTTTCCCCGTACGATCGGACGCGATCTACGCTCCGGGAGATTGGACGCTCGTTCTCGCGTCGCCGTGTCATTGGAGTTCGGGAAGAATGTCGAATTAGGGAACAGGATTTTGGGAATTTCCAGGTGAAAGAGCGAATGAGGGCGACGAAAAAGGTGAGAGAGAGGTTTGGCCGCTTTTTCTACCGGTTCCCGGAGGGAGAATCCGCCGCCGACGTCTTCGATCGCGTCTCCAGTATGTTTTCGAATTTTTCTAGTTTTACTCACACTGTTGATTGTCTCCATGGATACATAATTTATAATCGATCTGATCATGTGAGTGTTGCAGTAATATCCTCCTGAGTACTGATCTGAGATGCTTATTTAGTTTAGCTTAGCATGATTCAGATCATTCTGAATCACAGAAAGTTGACGACTTTTTTTGGTTAAGTAGCAGAACAATGACAAGAGACCAAATGCATATGTTAAGAGGACTTGTTTGATATCTGATCTCATAGTCATTAGATCCAGTGAACTTTCTGCCCGCTTCCAGGTTTCGATCACAGCTTGAGATTGATACTTTAATGTGATGAAGTCTCTTAATGATCCTGCAATGCTGAAACTCATTTTGCATTTTACTATAGCTGTAATTTGCTTTCACCAACGAGAAAAAAAAAAGTCAGCTTTGAGATACTTCCTTTTCAACAATCTCTTTTGAGGTTCACGAAAACGGAGGCCAAGCAAAAATCTACCTTTGTGTTCACACGATACAGTTGTTACATTTGAGTCGTCTTTGTTTTCTCTTTATTGCATTGTGTTCTGCCAACAAGAAGTTTAAAAAGACTCAATGATTTGGTCTTATGCGTGCTGCTTTGCAGGTTTTCTCGAGTCTCTATGGAGAGACATCGACATGAACAGACTGCACATCAACCCGAATCATGAGCTAAACTTTGTGATTGTCTCACACGGCTTAACATCGCGCGTCTTTCTGATGAAATGGTTCAAGTGGACTGTGGAACAGTTTGAGGCACTAAACAATCCCGGGAACAGCGAGATCAGAGTGATGGAATTAGGACAAGGCGGTGACTACAGCTTGGCGATTCATCACACGGAGGAAGAGTTAGAGAAATGGGGACTGTCACCGGAGATGATTGCAGATCAGAAATGGCGGGTTAACGCACACAAAGGCGAATGGAAAGAAGATTGTAAGTGGTACTTCGGTGATTTTTTCGATCATTTGACTGATGATTCAGATAAAGAATGCGAGACTGATCAGGCCATTGAAGAAGATGAAGAAGAGGAGAAAAAAGTAAATCTGCTAACGGATTCAGAAGATAACAGTAAGGAAGAGTTATGCAATGGAAAATGCTGCTGATATTTTTACAGAACAAAAGTATACATGAGAAGGAAGAAAATATCTAACAAAAGGATTCAGAAAATTTGCAACACTTGCTGATCAAGCTTCCTCGTTTCTTAGTTTGTAGCTTTTGGTTTGTGGAAAAGTGTTGTAGAAATCTGTGTGTGGTCTATAAATACACATCATGCTTATAACACAGTAACATTACACGAAAGATACTTTTTATCAAGTCAAAAGCATTTATCTTTATCAAGGAAAAGTTCATGAATACTCTGTTTTTTACTCTTGAAACAACAAAAGCCTCTCTCTCTAGGCATTGCTAAATAATCAGTTAACATACAACTATAAGCTCAGGGAGTTGTTTTAAAAGACCATGAAGCTGCAAATTGTAGTGCTTAGCAGCTTGGCTATGGTCACTGACACAACCAAAGTTTCTTGCTCCTCCTGCATATAATCTCTAGAAGAAGGAATTTTTTTACAAAAAATGAATAGTTAAGAGTGTCTTCAAAAAAATGGAGTGTCTAAGGCATGTACATTTCAACAATCACCAATTACGGAAGATGATAAAAATATATAGGCAGAATAGATTATGACACAGTAACATTACACGAAAGATCCTTTTTATTATAAGGCATGTACACATCATGCTTATAACACAGTAACATTACACGAAAGATCCTTTTTATTAAGTCAAAAGCATTTATCTGTATCAAGGAAAAGTTCATGAATGCTCTGTTTTTTACACTTAAAACAACAAAAGCCTCTCTAGGCATTGCTAAATAATCAGTTAACATACAACTATAAGCTTAGATAATTAGAAAAATAAAACTTGTAATGATCTCTTAATTCTCCTGGAGGCATTTTTAGAGATTCAAAGACGATGGCGTCTCAGAATATCTACCGGAGAGAATGCGCAGTGTAACAAACCGATTTGCAGCTTCGGTGTAATGAACTCCATCCCAATTAACATATTTGGAACTATCATTACAAGCTCCGGCTGTTACTATCGTACCATTTAATTTCCCTGTCGAACCGCAATTAACCTGATTATTGTAGTTCAATGGCGGTCCTCCGGTTCCACAACATACCATTATCGAATGATCAAAACCTATACAAGCAAAAAAAAAAAAGTTATATATTGTTTTTTTTTTTGGTTTTGGTCAACAAGTGAACTTATTATCTATACGTACCATAATGGGAATGGTTGAGGATGAGGTCGTATTTGATGGAGAAGATATCAACGTATGTGAAACGAGAATCAGGACATTGTTGAGGGAGTTGTTTTAAAAGACCATGAAGCTGCAAATTGAAGTGTTTAGCAGCTTCGTTATGGTCACTGACACAACCAAACTCATCAAGTTTTGATTTGTCTCTCCCAAATATTGACACAACCTGAGCTAAACACCCAAGTGGTCCTGTGTTGTGTATCCAAAAGTTTCTTGCTCCTTCTGCATATAATCTCTAGAAGAAGAATTTTTTTTTTACAGAAAATGAAAATTTAATAAGCATGAAATATATGATTTTTTTACTTACGTATTGTTAAGGGTTACTTGTCTTCAACATATTTCTAATATAAAACATAAACATATACAATCCATTTTTGTACTTAATACTTATCTTCAAATTTTAAATTTTCAACTATATAATTATATTTAAAGCCTCGTCATATATAAATACTGACCTTTATTCCATCTTGAAATATATTTAAGATTGTAGGAATAAGACCAAAAACTTGATCTACTGTACTGTTGAAAAATGCTCCGGCTAGATCATTTTGTCCGATATCAAACATGTACAATCCATTTTTGAAATAATATTCGGATGGTAGATATTTTTCGAGATTTTCATCTGAAAAGAAAAGGCAAAAGAAAACGAGAAGACAAATGTACAGTTGATCCAATGTATAATGTTGATGAATATTAGATATTTTTATTAATTATTATTTAGGTACCATCTTGTATTAATTGAAGGACTTTGGATTTAAAGGTGATGAACTGAGAGACTTGAGCACCAAAACCAAAGGGGCTAATAGATGCAGCATTTGCCTTTTGAATCGTTGACCCACCCGCCGCAAAATTGCAGCCCCTCCGGTAACTTTGTGTGCTAACCGAATCCAAATAAGGCCTCATATAGGGCCGACCAATTGCTTCCACTACAGAAAAAGCCCATTTCGTTTCAATCATTTGATCTTTCAAACAGTTTTTTTCTCTAAGTTTCTTTTTTTGCCATCACAGATCAGACACCACTCTCTAATTTCTGTAGAGCAATATGAGTTATATGATCTAGAAGATTATTTCATAAGACATACTCACACAGTAAAAAATAATAATTGGACAATAGATTCATAATTGATTTTTTTATCTTTTTGGTCGAAATTCATAATTTATTTAAGTTTTCCTTTCAACGTAGATATGGCGGGACTTATTCATAAGAATAATGTGAACTACATGAGCGTGAAAACGGCGTTATTAAGATCAGTTAAATCATCTTGCAAATTTTAATTTACCAGCAAAAGCAAGATCTTGCAAAAAGTCTTAAAATGTCGTGTTTTTAGTCGACTAGTTTGTTGTGGTACAATTTGTAAGTTTTTATGTAAATGTATAAGATCATACTTTTAGAAAAATTGTCATGGGATATAAAAAGAAAAGAAGAATTTCAACAGAAAGGATATTGAAGAGAACAATTACTTAGAAAATCGACGATGAGACGTCCGTCACAGAATCTTCCGGAAGATGGAGGTTTGAAGGAGTAGGTTTGTCCATAGGTAGGTTGGAGACGGAATCCAAGACCGGAGCTGAGTTCTCCGGTGTCAGAGTTAGAGTCTCCGAAGTTGAAAACCGCCGGAAAATTAGGAGAAAACGGAAAGGAGCAGGCGAGAGGGAGCAGGGTATGAGAGATGGCTACGAATGATAACAATGTGACAAGGGTGTGAGAAGGGCTTTCCATGGCTTAATGTATATTTGTCTTGCTCTATCTTTCATACATATTACATTTATATATATGCAAGTACACACGTCCATTTTGTAATTTTGTATGTAATGTACCCATATAATAGTCACGTATGTGTCATACTGTGTATTGTTTAATGAAAGTAGAAATGGAGTTTGCTTGGAAATATAGAAAGAAACAAAATGATTGTTCCTCCCGTGACACACACATTTGTATGTTTTATGGGATTCACATCAATCTCACTATATATGTGGTTAGACTTAGAGATGGCTTTGTTTCTGTTTACTGTTACCTGAAGATAAAGCTCAATATTTGGGAATTAATAGTTGTTCTAGAAAACTGTTGAATTTATTATCAATGGCTGCTTTTTTTAGTATGAAAACATTATAGATCAGTGTTCTGAAGTTTCCGCATATCATGAAATCATCAATGTCAATACAACTATAAATAACTTGTATGGTATATATTAGGGAACTCCAATTAATACAACAAGTCACAGAATATGTTGATATTAGTAATTAAAAAACCTATTTCATATATTTTTTTTTAAATCCAAGGCTTTTTATTCTCTAAAGATAAATTTCATGATGCACATTATGAATCTGCAATAGTGCAATACGATGGCTTGGATCTAAAGGCTTATGATTGTTCAACATTATTTTCTTTTATTATCGAAATTATTTCATCTGTTGCGAGGATAACGTGACTAGACTAATAAAAAAAGGTTTGAAAATAGGGTAAAGAATGGGCCGTAACATGTGAAGCCCAATAATCCGAAATGTCCCTTCTTCTCCGTTGGAAACTCCAACGATAGAACTAGACACGGCGGAGCAACGACGGGTCTTCATATCATCTCAGGAGTGACGAAAGTGAGTGTGAAGATGATGCTTGAGCGATCGAAGAAGGCCGTTTTCTTATCCGGAGAAGGAGACCTTCTTCAATGGCTCAAGCAGAATCTTCACACAGAGGTAATTATAATACCGCTGAATTGGATAATTATGAAACAGGCTTCGCCATAGAACAAAGTAATTCGAATTTCTTGCATTATTTTTTCAGGACTTCCATTTTTAGTGAAGCATTTTTTATATTGGTTACATAAAGTCGGTATCTTTTTTTTCCTTACTAACTTCCAAGCAAACAGAGAATTGATATGTGTGCAAGTTTGCTGTCCAAATTCTTGTCCTTTTCCCTCATTTAGAGGTTGTATCGACACACTTTACACTTCACAAGTCCACAACACTCGCGCACTTTATTATTTTTACTTAAAGAGTTAATAACAAAAGCGTTCACTGAGAACAGAGCTGAGAGTTCCGTTTGGTTTCATCATCGTTGTCAATGACAGAACCGGTAGTGATTCACTCATGGTCTGCGCCAAGATCTCTCAGCACCAGCCTCATGTACTCCTTTGCACAGGTACCTTGACAAGTTTTCCACGAATATCATGGAAGAGAAATATTCTTTCTGTTGTTTGATAGCTCAAAAACTTAGGAACATCTTTGAATCCAAGAACAATGAACTCAGATTCTGATATTGCTCGATTTGGATCTTGAGAAAGCTGAGTTATATAGTCTGGTAGAAAAGTTGGCATTTTGTTTTTGAAATTGATATTTTGTGTCCATTTTTTTTCAGAGAGATGACATTGAAGTTGTGGACGAGCCGTTGTATGCAGCATTTCTTAAAGCTACTGGTTTTGATCGGCCATACAGAGATGATGTTCTCTCCAAGATGGTATGTCTATATATAGTATCTGATTAGGATTATTAGGTCTTACTTAAGTCTTTCGTTGAAAAGAGTAGAACACAAGTTTAATTTGTCGAGTCGGTGTTTTTATTAGGAGAGCAATGGAGATAAGGTTGTGAATGATATCATCTATGGATCAGGATCGAACAAGTACCGGTATTGTAAGGTGAAGCTCTTTGATTGTGTTTTCTTTCTTTCTGTGAAGCTTCAAGAATTCTAAAAGATAGTGTCTTCTTCTGTTTTTTCCATATGAGCAGCATATCTCGAAACAACGGCTTTTCGGTTTGCCAAGTGAACTGATGAGTAAAGGAAAGCATTTCATATTGATAAGAAACCCTCTTAACATACTGGTTAGCTTTCTCATCAAACTCTTGCTCTTTGATTGGTCAAATGCTCTTTTATAAGTCTATATATTTCATCTAATGTTCTTCTCTGTTTTATCCTTTTTGCAGCCTTCCTTTGAGAAGGTACATCCTCCATCGTTTTTCGAGTTAGGCTTGGGGGAGTTAGTGTCGATATACAGTGATCTCTGCCAGATGGGAACACCACCAGCAATCATCGATGCAGATGAGCTTCAGCGAGATCCCGAGGTTTTGTAATTCTGTGATATGAAAAAACATATCACAAATAGTCATCTCCAATATGCTCTAGTCTTCACATGTTTTGCCATTCATATATATATATATGCAGACCACACTACGCGGTCTTTGCGATGATTTGGAGATTCCATTTCAAGCTTCTATGCTTAAGTACGTCCTCTCCTTGCATTCTCTTTCATGTTTTATAAATGTTCAAAAATGTAATTTTTTTATATGGTTGGTTGTGTTTTCTTAAGATGGGAGGCTGGTCCTATACCAGAAGATGGAGTATGGGCACCATGGTGGTACAAGAGTGTGCACGAATCAACGGGGTTCTCATCTTCTAAGAAGTATCCTCGGGTAAGGCTCTGGTTTGTTGCCGTTCATGATTGTGGATCCAATCTACAGATATGTTTGTTATTGTTTCTTGTTTTATTTTCTCAGACATTCCCTTTGTCGCATTACGATTTGCTGGAGAAAAGTTTACCGCTTTACAACATTCTTAGGAGCCATGTGAAGCACAAATCCTCACTCTTGAGCAGTCACTTGCCTCCTCCTAGTCTCCCAGTTCCTGAAAACGCAAAACTTCTTGCATGGGTCGGTGACGAGATTTTGCCTCGTGAGATGGCAAAGGTGTGCTTTAAATGTGGAAAAATACTTCAACAAATCATTGTTTGTGATTTGCAGTTTGAGCACTGATTATGTTATATTTCTTCTTGTTAAGGTTTCTGTTTTTGACTCGGTGGTACAAGGCGGTGACTCGGTATGGGAAGGACTTCGGATTTACAAGGGGAAGATATTCAAGCTCGAAGAGCATCTAGATCGGTAAGTCCAGCCCAAATCCAGAAGCCAAAGAAGCAAGAAACAGAGCTTTTTTTTTTAAGCAATCTTATATTTTATATGTTGAAATCTTGGATTAGGTTGTTTGATTCAGCAAAGGCTCTGGCTTTTGACAATGTTCCACCGCGTGAAGAGGTGAGCATGCATATGACTGATCTTTGTTTGTAGTTTTGGGTCTGTTCTTTATAATGGCAAAACATACAGATAAAAGAAGCTATCTTCAGAACTCTCATAACCAATGGTATGTTTGACAATACACATATCAGGTTGTCTCTAACTCGAGGCAAAAAGGTATTATCACATTTTTTTCTCAAGTTTCTTCGAAATCGATTGAAGGAATCTCTTTTTTCTGAAGAAACTTGTTTGTTTAAGGTAACTTCTGGAATGAGCCCTGTGTTTAACCGATATGGATGTACTCTTATTGGTAACCTTTCCATCTTTATGCTAACAATCAGGAGTTGAAATTTGATTGCTTTTGGAGTCTTATTTACATGAACAAAAAATTAATGTTCTTTCTTTGAAATAATGCAGTGGTTGCCGAGTGGAAGCCTCCGGTTTATGACAACGACGTTGGAATTGTGCTGGTGACGGCAAGTACTCGCCGAAACTCTCCCAATGTAAGATGTTGGCTCCACATTTTATCTTCATGATCTGACTTGAAAAATTCTTGTCTCATCTCAAATTCTTTTTTTTTTAATATCAGAATTTGGATTCCAAGATTCATCATAATAACCTTCTCAATAACATACTAGCAAAGGTACTGTCTTTCAAAACAAGAAAGTTCAAGTATTGACATTGTTTCTTAAGTTTCATTTCCTTTGTGATGAAAAACAAAAAAAAAAAGATTGAAAGTAACAACGCAAATGCCGCGGACGCCATTATGCTTGACAAGGATGGTTATGTCTCTGAAACCAATGCAACCAACATTGTAAGTAAACCTTTTGATGTAGCGAAATTTTGATACATATGTTTTAGATACTAGAGAAGCTTGTCTTGTTTAACAGTTACATCTTCTTTAATACAGTTCATGGTGAAGAAAGGCTGCGTTCTTACTCCCCATGCAGATTACTGTCTCCCTGGCATAACCAGAGCTACTGTAAGGGAGATAAGTTCACATTATTTTGTTGAGAAACATTTGATTAATTTATTCACACTGTTATATTTTTCCTTTCTTGTGTCCTTCGATCTTAAAAGGTGATGGAGCTTGTGGTGAAAGAGAACTTCATCTTAGAAGAACGAAGAATCAGTCTCTCAGAATTCCATACAGCTGATGAGGTTTGTTCAGCTTACAAATGATCAGTTTTTGGAGTTTCAAATCAAAAATCTGATTATTTTTTTTCTTTTTTTCTTTTTGAGGTATGGACAACAGGAACCATGGGAGAATTAAGCCCGGTACGTAAAGTTTCTAGTAACTTAAGGATAAAACATACTCAATCGTTCTGCACCTGAATCTATGATATCCACTAAACTGTAAACAAGTTCTTGATGAAATCTCTAGAGGATCTTATTTAAACATGACATTTATTTTTTAAATTTTTGAAGCATAATCGCGTCTTGTTTGGTTACAGGTTGTCAAAATCGATGGCCGTGTGATTGGTGACGGAAAAGTTGGACCTGTAACGAGAGCACTACAAAATGCTTACAAGAACCTCACGGAGGATTCAGGTGTGCCAATACCTACTTACCAAGAACCCTGAAATGCAAAGCAAGAGGTAACCAAAGTTGCTGAAATATTCATCTATCTGAGAGGATTATATCAAATTTCTTTTGTTATGGAGCTTAGCAAATGCAAGAGTAGGTTAACTTTTCACATGATTCAGTTGGGCTTTACCGTTTATTAAGGATTTGAACACGAGGGAACATAATTAAAACTAAGACGCATTCACTTTCGTATTGCCAAAAAACAGCAAGTAGTTCATGCGTGGCGATGGAAAGCAGTATTTAAAATTGGAAAGCAGTCAGAAGTGCGTGCTGTTTGTACCTTTTCAAACTTGGAGACTCGCTCAAATAGGAGTATAATTTTAAATCAAAGTCAGCGTTTCTTGTTTGACCAAACGTGAGAAGTATGACCGAAACAGCCACCACACGTATGGAGCATCTTTTTCTTTCTTTTGATCGGCAAATCAGTTTATTGCTAATCTTTTTAAAAAAATTTCCTTAATATAGGTCGAGAGGACAATGAACAAACTAATTTAAGTATTAGAAAGACGAAAACGAAAAAGCAGAGGTCGAGAGGAGAGGAAACCATTGTGGAGAGAATATAGATTTGGGCCATTTCCTTTGTTGGAATTTTAACTTGCTAATGTCCCATAAATAAACCTATTATCATATAAATTTCTGGAAACAAAGGACATTTTATTATACAATTAAAGGAATTTAGAAGACTAATACTACTGATTTGTGTTTAGGATAGATAAGCGATAGAAGTCTGTCTGACTGCGTTTAGCCGCCGTCGCCGGCAATTATCTTCTTTGATTATTTAACTCACAGAGTAGGGTCCACACGTACGTTATTGTTCATTTTATGGAAACCGAATATATTTTATTTATTTGTCATCAATTACTTTCGTTTTTATTAACGGTAATAAAGGCTTCATGATCCCCCCAAAAAAACTGATTTTTGAATGGCCCATATAATTTTCGTTTTTACTATATTCATTGGGGAACCCGATTCTTTACAAGTTGTGTCGTCTCTCTCTTTGCTTTTCTTTTAATTAAGTGACAACTGACAAGTAATTTATGAAAACAAGTTATTATTGTTAAAAATCTAAAAGGAAAAAAAAAAAAAAAAAAAGGAAACATCCAAATAATTTATGAAAACAAGTCCTCGTTTTGGCATATATATACAAAAGAGATTCTAGAATAAAGTTGAAACGTTAGCCCAAAACCAAAAAGTCATTTCCGTGACATCCAATGAAATGACAACGATGTAAAGAAATTTAGGATATCTTTTGTACAAGAAAACACGAATCATCAAGATGTCCTGGGATGTGTTATCCAAACATATACAGTTCACTCTTTCTCGTAATAAGATGGGTTAAAATGAATGAATTAAAAATTATTTTCATGTAGTTGTTCTAGGCTTAAGAATCGTGAACTGAAAAATCACAAACATCATAGTTGCCAAAGAAAAGCAAAAGTTTAAAAATGAGACCACCAGACACACCGTTAAAAGAAAATTCATGTTCGTTGTTTGATTGGAGGAAGCTTCTTCTTGCCACGTGGAACTGAGGACTGACCCAATCGCTGACGTCACTTCAAACAATCTCTTCTTTCGCTCCTTCAAATATCTTTTTACGCAACCATAAAAACATTAAAACTCACTCTCTTCTCCTCCGAAGGGACACAAACAAAAACCAGAAACCAATTTTTTTTTAGGGTTTACGAACCATGAGAAGATCTGATCATTCGAATCCGACTACGGCTTTTTCCGGCGTTTTGCCGATTGTTTTCTTCCTTCTCTTATCAGCGGCGGAGCTAACGGCGGGTCAAGGACAGCCCGATCAGAGAAATGAAGTGTACAACTACGGCAAGTTAAGTCCAGCCATGGCGGTGATCGTCGTGATCCTGATCGCTGCTCTCTTCTTCATGGGCTTCTTCTCCATCTACTTCCGCCACTGCTCCGGCGTTCCCGACGCCGGCGTCTCGCCAGCTGGCAGGGCAAGATCCAGAGGAATCGTCAACGCGGCGGCGCGTGGGCTCGACGTTTCGGTGGTGGAGAGTTTCCCGACTTTCGTGTACTCGGATGTGAAGACGCAGAAGCTTGGGAAAGGGGAACTGGAGTGCGCGATTTGTTTGAACGAATTCGAAGACGACGAAACGCTGCGTTTGCTGCCCAAATGCGACCACGTGTTTCACCCTCACTGCATCGGCGCCTGGCTCGAGGCTCACGTGACCTGCCCTGTTTGCAGAGCGAATCTCGCCGAACAGGTAGCTGAAGGCGCATCGGTCGAGCCGGGAGGAACCGAAACGGATCTCGAGTTGCAGCAGGTGGTGGTGAATCCCGAACCGGTGGTTTCTGCTCCGGTGCCGGAACCATCGGCGACGGCTGAAATAGATTCGAGGAGATTACCTGGAGTACCGGTGGATCTTAAACGAGTCAAGTTCTCGAGATCGCATACGACCGGGCATTCGGTGGTTCAGCCTGGAGAATGTACCGAACGGTTTACTCTCCGGTTACCGGAAGATGTGAGGAAGAGGATCATGGCGGATTGGAAACTAAACCGGTCGAATAGTCTTCTTGTTCTTCCTAGGGGAGGGAGTTCCAGGAGAGGTAAACCGATTGACCGGTCAAGAGCTCGTTCCGATCGATGGTTATTCAGGAAAACGCCGTCGTTTCTGTGGAGGAGTCGAGATGATGGTTCGATTAGGCTAGGTGCTACCGGTAGCGTTCGAGCTAATACCGGACCGAGTTCAACCGGGGATTCGGTACGGGCAGACCGGTGGGCTTTTCTTAGAAACGCGTCGTTTCTGTGGAGGAGCTCTTCGGTACATGTGCCAAGAGGAGGAGTCAATAAGGACGGCGAAGGAACTTCAGTTAAATCGACCGGTACAGGTGGCTCAACTAGCGGTTCGGTGAGATTACCGGTTTAGTTGACTTTTCCTTTTTAGCCGTAACTACTTTTTTTTCCTTATCTTTTCCATTTTTATTTTGTTTGGGATTGTTGATAAAACACGCAATACATTTACTTTAATTTTTTTGGGGTTAATTTTGTATACTAAAATTGATGTAACGTACATATAAATCCTAGTCAAATTCGAAAAAAAAAGATATTCTTTTAAATAATAATAACGTATAAAAAAGTAGAAGGGGAGAACAATAAACAATGGACTGTGGTGAGGTGCGGTGTGGTGCAGGTTGGTTTCTGACATCTTCAAATATAAAAAGATCTTATTCGTCGACAAAGAATACTATTTTATCTGGAAGATAAGTAAGCGAATATAGAATATAGTGTTTTTATTTTTGTTGCTTGAACCAGAACATACAATTTTTATTTTGTAAAATACATAGAAACAAATTATTTGCTTTGTTTATTAATAACCAGAGTTTACTTCGTGATTTACAGAAGACTCCATGTGCTAACAAAACACCGAGACCGCTTTGAAGTACAAAATTCATTTTTCATAAACGAGATGAGATAAATCATTATTTTGTACGATTTAGAGTTATTGTCCTTTTCCAGAAGAACAATATACTATTACAAACAATTCCATGCAATTCGTTTATATGAAAATTATTGACCGCCACTAGGTCTCCGGTCAGAGATCACGGACCTCATCGTGTATGAATAATCATTAGTCAATTTTGATACAGAAGGACACAATTAATTATATATTAACGTGTAATGCTATTTGTTTCACATGTAATCCATGCGCACAGATGCATATATATATATTAATATTAGAACCCCAAATTAATGGGTTTGCTGCCTCCACCGCCCATTAATTCACTAGTTAGATGTAAACTTGACTTAGTGTGTACAGACGACAAACAAAAACAAAAAATGTGTGCACACTGTCACGACCGAATTTGGTTAAGAATTTTTGGGATTACATAGACCAGACCAAACCAAACCAGTTAATCTATTCTCTCGCTTTCTCTTTCTAATACGTGTTTTGCTTTCTTTCAATATAATTCAGTGAGAGACAACAAAACTGTGTTAAGGCCATACAAACTGTTCACGAGAAACAAGCGTGTGATAACTGAATGAAATAAAAGAATTTTAGTTTACTATCTACTGGGCTTTGGGCTTGTACAATTAAGGCCCAACAAAGTCTATTTCTCCCACGGGAAGTTGGGAACTTGAAAAGAGCCGAGGAAAAGAAAATAGCTTCGGGGATTCGATCGCTCATGGCGAACGAAGACGACGACGGCGAGAATTCACGAGGCATGCCCCAGCAGATTGCTACCAAACCCAAAACTCAGATCGTAATCGGTGTTCCGTCGTACCAGGAAGTCTTGGAAAGTTCACAGACCAAGTCCACGCTGCCATCTCTCTTCAAGCCTTCCCAGACCTTCTCTCAGGCTTTCGCTTTCGTCAAATCGTCCGACGTCTACTCTGCTCCTCCTCCCCCTTCCTCCGCCTTCTCTCCGTCGCAGCCGTCTGGCGCTTCTCAGGTGTCCAGTACAAGGTGTTATATGCTTGGAATTAGACATGTACCTGTTAAATTTCCAGATTTTAGGCCAATTTGATTAAATTCGTGCTGCAGTTCCGAACTTTTACGGATTTAATAGCATACTTTTGTACGAAGATCAAATTATAATTGATTCTCTATGAAGAAAAAAAGCAATTTGGGTATTTGATCAAAGTCTGTGGAATGTTTATGTTTCCTGGGAAAATTAGTGTAGACTTGTAGCTTGATCAAGTTTTATGGAGATTGCGGTTGAAAAGTCAAAAACTTTCATGTTTATTACTTCATTATCTTACGCCATAAATCCGATTCGATTTTGATAGTTTCTTGTATACTGTACTTCCAAGTTTTCATGTGTGTTGTTGGTCTATTCTGCTTTTTGTCGTAGCCAAACGCTTCAACCCGATGTGGCATCATCTTCTTCTTCGACTCCTGTAGCTACTGGCTCTTTATCGTCGAACACAACTCAGACTCGTAACGCAATTCTTGTTAGCAATAGACAGGTGAGTGGATACTTAAACCTCCATGGTGAGTCAGTTTCAAATGTTCTTTGGAACTCATTTTGTTTTCCGAATAACCTTCTTGCAGAAAGGAAACCCGCTGCTTAAACATGTCAGGAATGTGAAATGGGTTTTCTCAGAAATCATTCCGGATTACTTGCTTGGTCAAAGCACTTGCGCTTTGTATCTAAGGTGAAAACTCTGCAACTTTCATTTTTCCATTTTAAGTGTAAAATCACAAACAGAATGTTAAGCTGGTTCACTTGCAGCTTGCGGTATCATCTACTGCACCCGGATTATCTCTATTTCCGCATAAGGGAGCTACAAAAGAATTTCAAGCTCCGTGTTGTTCTCTGCCATGTCGACGTTGTAAGTTCAATTCATAGTTCTATGCTATATGCTGAAGTTAATATTCTAGTTAATTTTCCTTAAACATTTGCATATGCTATGATTCTTGCTCAGGAAGATGCGGTGAAACCATTGCTTGAAGTCACGAAAACCTCTCTTCTCCATGATTGCACCCTATTGTGCGCCTGGAGGTATCTATCAATCTACTCTCATTATGATAACACGTTTCAATCACTCTACTGCTTCTCGTTGTATTCAAGTCTCTGTGTAAAATTTCTTGCAGCTTGACGGAATGTGCCCGATATTTGGAAACGATCAAAGTCTATGAAAACAAGCCCGCGGATCTCATCCAGGGCCAAATGGATACAGATTATCTCTCACGAGTATGGAAACTCTGCAATCTTCGCTATTGGTTTTTCTTGTTTTGTCATTTTTATAAATTCTCACGGAGTCATTGTTGTTTTTGCAGCTTAACCATTCGCTTACGAGCATCCGACATGTGAACAAGAGCGATGTAGTCACACTTGGTTCTACATTCGGGGTTGAGCTTAAAAAGAAAAACCTTTTCCTCTATTGTGAATTTTATGTTTTATATGACTCAACTAGAATTTGATAACCTCAAAAAACATGTTTTATGCAGTCTCTTGCTCATGTAATTGATGCATCCATGGAAGATTTAGCTCGTTGTCCCGGGATTGGTGAACGCAAGGTACATCTTTCTTCGCATATAACCAAAAATCTCTTTGTGATATAGGAGCGGATTTTGATATGCAAAATCACTTTGAAAACCCTCAGGTGAAGCGGTTGTACGATACATTCCACGAACCTTTCAAGCGTGCAACTTCAAGCTACCCTTCTGTTATAGAGCCAACAATCCAGGAGACTGAAATTCACAAGGATGTGAACTCAGAGGAACCTGTTGAAGCAGACGAAGATTTTGTGGAGGACTCGAGGAAACGCAAGAGGAAAGAACCCGAGAAAACTGTTAAAACCGCGCTCTCAGCTGTTTTTTCTCGATACTCGGATAAACTCGGCAAGAAAAAGGAGAAACAAAAAGAGAAAGAGACAACAACAGAGTCAGATGCTGAAACCCACCAAGATTAACACAGTTTTTTTTTTTGCTTATTGTGTAAGGCCATTGTAACTGTGATCATATTCCTAAAACTGTAACATAAGAGGTTAGTTTTATTTCTTCTGTTGGGTGTAATTGGTGTGTTATCTCTAGCTTAGAGTGTGTTAGTTACCGAATCTTATGTATTAATTTCAAAATTGCTGGTAACTTGTTAGCTTTCCTTGGTTTGTGCCATATTCAATAATTCTATAGAATACAGATCATGATTATGAACTTTGACGAACTTTATTTACATTTTAGATCACTTTTACATACGAGGCAATCAAAGAAGAGACATTGTATCTGTTAGTACGGTTTTGAGATTAGGTTTGGTTCTATTGATAAACAATTTAGTTTGTAGACAAGAATTAGGTTTGTTCAGTTTGGTTTAGTTCGGTTTGCTGCTTTTGTGGAGAGTGTGCGTTTTCAATGCAATTCGACCGTTTAGCAGCTTTTTGCAATTAGATATTTTAGAATTGTAGTTTTTTGTTGACATGTTTCAAATGCTTTAGTTGATGTCTTGTCGAACATAGACACAAACACTTGAACTTCGTGCACCACTCTCCGAATTTTTATCAATTTTTTTTCCCTTTTCCTTTTATACATAAAAAGCTTTCGGTGTAAACGGTATTAAATTGCAATCGACAAAAAAAAGTAAAGTCGTAAAAGACTGGTAAAAGAAAAGTGCAGAGAATATTTGAAGTGTAAGAAAACCGGTCATGACTCATGAGAGACATCGGGTAAACAGGTAAATAAAATAACCTGAAAAAGTAAAAGTTTATTTTTTTTATCTTACAAAGACACATTTAATAAAATTGTTATGATCGGCCTTAAAGATTGCCGGTCCATTCGGTTCAGTATTGTCAACATCGGATCGGAATAAATTTTTATAATTTTAGGAAAACAATTATAAGTGTGCATAAATCTATATATGAGATATTTTGTGTATATATCTATCTGTATGAAAGTAAATCAAGTTACTGAGGATGTTGGAACATGAGGGGGACAAAAGTGAAAGTCTATGATGGAGGAAAGAGATACAACAGCAATATTAAAATTAAAAATAGGAAACTATATGTGAATAAATATACATGAATATGAAAGTGTATGCAGTAAATAATGTATGTGCAGTTTTTGGAATCTGCCTTCCCTCTTTATCGGACGAAAGCAAATGTTTTCAATCTGCTTCATGTCTTGTAGCAAACCCAATAAAGCATTTTCCTCTTGCTCCTCTTTTTCTTTTCTTGATCCTTGGGATTTGCTCTCTTTACACTATTTTCGATTTCGCCCCAATACTCTTATTTTCTCATGGATTTGACCCTGTAATAATTAACTTTCGATCCCCCGTGGTTCTAAAAGCATATGCCAAAACAACGTTAGAGTACGAGAAAAAAGAAAATCGCATTTTGTGTCTTAAACACTAAAACACAAGTTTGTTTCATCATCCATATAGTACTTGTTTCATTAGTGACTTAATTTTAAAAGCAAAATTAAGAACACTTATATGGAAGCGATATAGCTTTTTCCATCACCTAACTTTCATGCTATTGCTCGTTGGCAACTAATTTTATGGCTTTTAACTCTTTTAGATCGATAATATAGAATACAACTGCACGATATTTTTTTGTCCGCTTGTAAAATTGTTAATGAATCATGTAGACTATATAGTGGTGGTTAAGGTTCTTGGAAATTAAAAGATAAATTATGAAAACTAAATCAAGATGAAAAACCAAAAAAATAAAAAAAAAGAAACAAAATCAACAAGAACCACTACAATCACAATCTTATCATCAGCAAGAATGGGTCATTTTGAAATTCAGATATTTTAGTAATTTGTCATTTATGTATATATGTAAGAGTAGGTGTCCTTGCAAGCAAGGGCATATAAGTCTATTGCACATATATGTACATACATATAGGTTCAAAAGTTGATTGCATTCGTACCTAACCAAACACTACAAAGCTCTCTTTAATAATAATGTGTATATAGACACATTGATAGATGCCATAGAGATGTCATAAGTTATGTACTTAAAAGTGTGTGACCCAATTTTGGATATGAAGTCCGAAGACTTCCAGCTGTGGACATCCTTACAATACATCTTTGCTTATCTAATATCTCTCCCACGCTTTCTTTTCTTTTACCATAGATGTTTAATTTTTCAATTTTTTAATCAACTAATTATGTACATTAATCCAACTAAAGTTATGTTAATTCAAAAGATAAATAAGAATAGAATCCAGAAGCTAGTGAACTTCATTCAGGTTTATGTATCATGTGTCAGAAACGTGCGGACTTACATCACCTTCGACTTAAAACTCCATGATGTGAATCAAAATAAGCTTTCTTTACTATTTCGTGTTTTCACATTTTAATTTCATGATTTATTAGATTCATCAAAGTATAATAAATATCTTAAGTCTTTGTCATTACAAATGATCGGTAATTCTTACGTGGTGTCGATCTCTATATATATATCTATTGTGTTGTGGAGCAATCAATTAACAAAAACTGTTACCGATATATTATTATTTTATTTTTGTTGTAAGAAAAAAGAACTATTAAAAAGTGAGACGAAAATGTTTAGTACACGGTTTTCACGTCTGCAAATCAATAGTTTCATTTCGAAACTTACGATAGAGATATTTTCAGAATATGAAGTCAAAGGTGTTGACAAAATTGCTTTATTTAACTCGTTTTGAGATTTCGACTGCTAACAAACTTCATCTACATTCTCACACGTATCTGACATTCGTCATTGGCCTTCAAAATCAAACCTAACACATGATACAATCAGTTCTTATGTTTGTTCTTTATGTTGGTCGGTATACAAAACCCTATTTTCATGAGAATATATTATCATATATATTATGTCCATATCCATTTTATATGGTTAGACGGATACGAAAGAGATAAAATTACATAATTGTTTAGGGTGTTATCAGTTGTACTAACAGCTACCGCTCTAGACTCTAGTGGGTAATAATATTATATAGACGGAATTACAAAAACGAAAAGTATGAGAAATCAAATGGATTTTTTTCAAAAATTGTTTACTAAATCAATACGCCGGGTGACATGTTTTCATCGTAAAATTTACAATTGAATATCAATCTTGGTTTACACACGTCGGATGGTTTTAAAGAAAAAAAAAAACTTATTTTGCTATTCTACTACCATTAGTGGTGAGTTCGAACAAAGATTCTCCTTACTGTATGCAAAATGGTAAGTTCGAATTTTCCTGATCACCTGTTCTAGCAGTTACTTTGCTTTGATCTTCCAACACTAAAGATACCCAAAACTTGAATATATATATATTATGTTCACAATAATTAGACTACTAAACTATAAATATTCCTAGGATTACCGATTACACTTTGTTTGAAATTAGAAGCTAAACCTATGAGGCTAATGAATATATCACATACCACGAAGACTGAACAATGCATTTACATTTTCAAAATATAGCAATTTCCTTAATTAGTAAATGGTGAGTAAATTTTTTACTAGGCTGGATTTGAATTGAGTAGATGAGGAGGACTTAGGTTAGGTCCAGCGTCCAAAAAGCCAAAAGAAGTTAATAAAACAACAGTTTGATTTGGATACTCATTTGCATGTGCTTCAAAAATACCCCACATCTTATAATGGGTCCAAAAACATTACGATTTTATTGATTAGTCAAATGTGTATAGTAGTGGTACTAAAAGCAAATAATATATCATTTTTATGATAATTTAATGGAAAAGAAAAAGAAAAAGTAAAGCCTAGTTTATCCTCCTCATATAAAAGAAAATCAACTGTAGAAATATTTTATGAAAAAGGACTATGATCCTTTCAGTTTTTTTTTATATCTTTCTACTATGGCACTAATCCGTGTCTTTATTTTTGTCTTCACTTGTAACTGTTAATATTTTTCTTTGTCATGTAAATACTACTTTTAAAACGGAGTCTTGCATGCAAAATAGAACGCCACGTGACGATTTTTTTTTTGGTTATAAGTGAATAACCACATAAAAGTTTTGTTTAACGAATTATAAATTTCTCTTTAAACTGCAGTGAATTCAAACAATCAAAATAAAACTGGTAATATATTTAAAAGCGTGTAGATATTTGAAAACGAAAAAAACCAAACTGACAAACAAAAATTAAGCTGACAACAATGTTCGTCACGAGGTTGGTTTTGTTAGTGTATAGAAGACGAGAAAACAACAGAGCAAGTTAATAATTTTAGCTAGAAAAAGAAGGGTCTAAAATACCTCCGAAAATGATTGCTCAAAATCCCTTTAAAACAATTGTAATTTTTAATTGTAGGTCCGTAGAAAATGTAACTTCAGTTATGGTTAGCGTAACTTATTCTCGAACTATGAATCATTTTAATATTTTTCCCGGATTTTATTTCCTTTTAATATCATCTATCTTACCGTGTGCGTACACGTGTATATCTACGCTTAGTGTGGCGATTATTTTAGATTTTCTTAATTAATCACAGTCAAAGTTCTGCGAAATTTTAAGCTGCACGATGTCAATTATATAATAATAACAATCGTAAAACTATTACTAATACTTTTTCTTCTTCTTCTTCATGTTATGTACACAACAATTATGGATTTGTTTCAAAATATCGCTTACTATTATGATACTATCTCACTGAAGTGGTGCACATGCGTCACATGCATTAGCAATTAAGTCAAGTTTTATTTGTAACCCAAAACCTCAAAAGTATTTCAACATGATAATTAAATAGTTCATTAATAATTATTTATTTCGGACTAACTGGTGGTTGAAAGCTGGCCCAAGAGAACACTATCCACAGCAAAGAGTGGAAGCGACCTACCTGTCTCAATGACCCATTAAAAACTCATCAACATTATATATTATATATATACACTTATCGATAACGATTGAATTATATGTATATTTTTATATAAATGTGAAATTATCAGGCATTCTCAATAACTAAAGCTGTCAAAAGTTTTTACTTTTAATTTTCGGGTTATATGAACCATTTAAAACCAAACAAAAAATAGGTTTAAGGTTTTAATTTGTTTGATTCGGTTTCATTGTTATTAGAATTAATCGAATTATATATATTTTTTAGCTAATTGAGCTAACCTAGTTATGTTGACAATCTAACAGTTCACGAGAATCATTTTAGTATGAGGTATAGTGTATATACTTAAGATCTAGATCGCATAATTTACCATTACAGGGGTCTTAAATTAATCTTTAAATTCACTTGTTGCATTGTTTGCGTAAGCGATGTTCATAAACTAGTCTATTATGGTGACAGAGACGCTTTCTTGCTTGCGATTGGATCCTAAACCCCCTCGTCAACGATCATTAAAATGATAAAATCATTGGTCTCAAATCAATATTATGATCTTGAAATTTTTCATGTTAATCAGTGTCATACATAAATTATTATAGTCCAGTTAGTTTGCAAGGAAATGATATATGCTATGACCATTCAGAGAAAATTTAAGGTCTAAAACTTGTTAGCGTTAATCAAATATAAGGAGAACTAGTTAACACGCAAGCCTTTTAATCGATTTATATAAAACCGTTAAATTTTTGATATAAATATAAATTGACAAAATGTGAATAGCTCTATTAATAGTAGTTCTTTATAACAGTAGACAAAACCACTCCATGATAAACAACATGACAAACCTAAATTATTGAGCATATTAAAGTTGGTTTACATCTAAACCACACATTAGATATACGAAGTTGATAATAAAAAGCGAAATACATTATAGGAAAAAACGAATACAGCTAAGTATTGTAGTTAAGGAACCTTAAATATTCGAATTGTGTTAATCAATCGTATTCCATAAGATGAATACAGGATACAGCTAAGTACAAAGACGAAGCGAGGCTGTACTTAATTCTGCCAAAGTGAAAGAAGCTGCCTTTAAGCTTCTTCTTTCTCTCAACTCTGTCTGTACCAGGGAAGATAAAAGAAAAGTACGAAACTTTAAAATTTAAGTAATATTTAAAATCAAAACAATAATAATAAGATGGAAAACAATATTTAATATTTAAAATGACAATTTAAAAGAGATATTTTGCAAATCAAAATGAAAGATTTCCTTGCTTCCTGTGCCACCGCCCTCTCTCTCTCTTAGGTTTTTCTACAGACATAAAAATAAGAAACCCTGAAACAGAGATAAAACAAAGCACAAGTTTTGAGTGTGTTTTTTCAGTGTCTCTCTTTCTCTCTCTTTCTCTCTCTCTCTCCTTACACAACAACAACCGCCTTTATTACACAAAACACCCCTCTTCTTATAATCTCTCTACCATTTCTTCTCTTCACAAAGGAGAAAGAAGAACAAAGAGTTGAGACAGAAACTCTCTCTCTCTCTCTGTCCAGACTTTTGTCTGTGAAAACCCACAAATCTCAGAGAAATTATGAATAAACAAGATGTTATGAAGCTTCAGGTATACGTCTCCTTCTCTCTCTATATCTCTCTCCCTTCAAGTTTGTATGTGTATATATATTTGTGCTAATTGCTTACTGGGATTCGATTTTTGCAGACTTGTGTTCTGAAAGTGAACGTTCACTGTGAAGGCTGTAAGCACAAAGTGAAGAAACAGCTGCAGAAAATCGAAGGTGTGTTTTTGCTCCTTTTCTCCTCTTCATTTTCATGGGCGGCTTTGAATTGTCATTTTAAATTGTTAATTTGGTGAACCTAGTGTTTAATTAAACACGGTTTTATCTCTGAAAACATGGATCTATGAATATTGATTTTTTTTCTTCTTCAAAAAACTAATATCAGCTCAAATATGTGAAATTTATGAAGTACTGTATGTTCTTTTTTCTTCCTGTTGTGTGATGCTTTCGTCTCTCACATCAAAAAGTTGCTAATTTTCAAAAACTATGGAGTTCAAAGTTTGGAGATTTACCATTTGGGGTTTCTCGATTTCCTCCACTTTTTTTTTTGTATGTCGGTTTACCAAAATTACAGCAAGAAAATTTAAATTGTTTGAAATTATCTAACATCAAAAGGTTCCTAATTTTAACCGAATCTACATTATTGAGTTTTACTACATGGATTGTCCCCTGTCATGTTAATCTACCCAAATGATGTGAACGTTTGGGAAGAATCTGACATATGATTTAATTTTGATTTCAGGCGTGTACTCTGTAAAAGCAGATGTAGAACAGGGGAAAGTCACTGTCACAGGAAACGTTGACCCCGCGATTCTGGTGAAGAAACTCAGCAAATCTGGTAAACACGCCGAGATCATTGGCGGCGGCGGCGGAGGAAAAGGGTTTCCTAATCTGAATGGGCAATTTGGTAATCTCAATATGAATGGAAACAGTAAGCCTAAAGGTGGAAAAGAGAGCAATCAAGTGAAGGGGAAAGCTAACGGAGGAGGAGGAGGTGGTGGTCAGATTCCTGGACATGGTCAACCGATGCAATTGACTCCTCAGCAGATTCAACAGATGATGATGATGAAAGCTGCTGCTCATGGCGGCGGTGGCGGCCATGGTGGGAAGGATATGAAGATGATGCCTCCTGTGGCATCCAAGGACCAGAAGAAGTCGGTTAAGTTTGCGGATGAAGACGATGACGATTTCAGTGAGGATGATTACGATGATGAGGACTTTAGCGAGGATGATTATGATGATGAGTTCGATGATGATGAGGATGACGATGATGAGATGGGAGGACATGGTCATGGAGGAGGAGGTAATCACATGCCTCCTAATAAGATGATGATGATGCCTAACAAGATGGCTCCCATGGGTCATCCCGGTGGTGGACCGAAAGGTCCTAATGAGATAATGATGATGATGAATGGGTTCAAAGGCGGCGGTGGTGGTGGTGGTGGTGGAGGAGGAGCGGGGAAGAAAGGCGGCGGAGGGTTTGAGATTCCGGTGCAAATGAAGGGAATGGGTGAGGGTAAAATGGGAAAAGATGGTAAAAAAGGAGGTAAAGGCGGAGGAGGAGAGAAGGGTAAGAAAGAAGGGAAGGGGAATAAAGGAGGTGGGGGCAAAACCGGAAAAACAGATGCCAAAAGTGGTGGTGGCCTTCTAGGGTTTTTCAAAAAGGGTAAAAGTGGAAAAGGAGACGAGAAGAAGGGAGCTGGCAAGAAAGAAGGCGGTGGGGGTGATAAGGTAAAATCCTCCGGTGGTGGAGGAGGTGGAGGAGTTCATCATTATGATAATGGGCCTAAAAAGGGTGGAGGTGGGGCTAAAGGGGGAGGCCATGGGGCCCATGATATTGATGAGCTCATGAAACACACCAAAGGAGGAGGAGGAGGTAACAAGGGCAATCCTAATCATGGCGCCAAGGCAATTGGTGGCCCAATGGGTCAAGGCGGTCCCATGGGTATGATGGGTCAAGGTGGTCCAATGGGTATGATGGGCCAAGGCGGTCCGATGGGTCCAATGGGACAACAAGGTGGTTCTTACCAGGCGGTTCAAGGTTTGCCGATGAGTGGAGGCGGAGGATATTATCCACCACCGGCAAATCATCCAATGAACCAACAACAACAATATATGCAAATGATGATGCAACAGCAACAACAGCAACAACAACAAGCAGCAGCAGCAGCTCATGGAGGCTATGGTGGTGGTCATGGTGGGGATATGTACCATCCGATGATGTATGCTCGGCCTTATCCGGCAGTGAACTATGCTCACCCACCGCCAATGCCGCCTCCTCACTCGGATTCTTATACTCATATGTTCAGCGATGAGAATCCAGGTAGTTGTAGTATCATGTGATCTTTGTAATGTTAATTAGAAAACGGATATGAGTGTTTGTCTCTTAGTCTTATGGTTTTTTTTTATTTGCTGTCTTTTTTTTTTTTCAACTCTGCCAAGGATTGGTAACAAAATGTGCTTTAATTTTGTTAGTGGAATGATATGTTGTTCATAATATCTTGAATTCCGGTAAAAGGATGGTTACAAAGATGGATAATTTTAGCTTTGTATGTGAAAAGGATTTTGCAGCCGCCTCTATAGTAGGTACAATAGCATTATCATTTATGATAAATCAACAACTTGTATAGTGTGCCACTAATTTTGTAGACACACAATATTAAATTTGAACCGCAAAGTACCCAATCCGTGAGATTTCTGATTTGATTATGATATTTTGAAAAACATGTAGATAAATTCTTTGAGAATTAGGCTATTGTTTTTAGAAAAATAGCTTCCTTTCTTAAGGTCAAACCATAGTATGATTGGAGAAATCACTACAATGGCTTTCACGAAAAAACGTGGTGTCCTTATCTGAAAAAAATTGCTCTAAAAAATGGGCCTTGAAAAAAGCAATCAATATTTTGGGCTACTCATTATATAAAAATAAATGAGCTTTTCCGCCATTGAACAACGACTTTACCAGTAATATCTCCAAACTTAAAAAATAAAAGCATAGTTAGATGTTTGTCAAACATACAGATATAAGTAAACTAAACTTTTAATCTAATCCAAATCGAAAATCTAAGTGTTCAAAATTGACATAATAAGACTATCTCCAATCTATTTTGCTATTTTTTCCTTTAAAATAGAGGAATTCTAAAATAGAGGTAGATTTCTTTCTAATTTACTTCTATTTTAGAGGAATACCTCTATTTTAGAGGAAAATATAGAGGAACTTATTTTTTCTTCTATATTTGGAGAAAAAAGTAGCATCTTCATTTTTTCCTCTAAAATAGAGGTGGATTGGAGAACAAAAATGACACCTCTATTTTTTCATCTAAAAATAGAGGAAAAAATAGCAATAGATTGGAGATGCTCTAATAAAAAGACAAAAGAAACTTGTGACACCTCTAACGATCTTACAAGACAGGATGCCTATGTCTAATTTGTTTTCACAATTATACAGTTTTTAAATACCAAAATTCTCTAATTAATCTAACAACATAAAATCCAATTGTAAAGTGATATGAGTTGAGAATAGCAACATTACCTTTCTGAGCCTTTGTGAGAGCATTGCCGCTATTGAAACAAATTGAACAGCGACCTCACCGACATCATCTCCAAAAAAAAAATAAAAGCATAGTTAGATGTTTGTCAAACATACATATATGAATAAACTAAACTTTTAATCTAACCTAAATCGAAAATCTAAGTATTCAAAACTGACATAATAGTGAAAAGACAAAGGAAACTTGTGATAAATTCTGAATCGGTCAATTTTTATCGAGTCGGAAGAAACTGACCAAATTCCAGAGCTTTGCCAAAATCCCAATTTCCAATCTGGGGTTAGTGTTTTTGTTTTTGGCTTGAGGGTCGAATCGAATGGAACAGATTCACAGAAACACGGTGATAACCTCAAACAAGAGTCGAAAAGTTTGATACTTTCAGTATCTTTATGCACTGAAAAAATTGTTTACATTTATTGATCGATCCGGTTCAACCAGTCAACTAAATCCGGTTCAATCCTGTATCCCCCCTTTTAAGCTTTTCCTCCTGTATATGCTAAAGTTGAGAGTATAATTTTGTGACAAAAGACTGAAATTTATTTATCGAGTACAATATACTATCTAATCTCTATTTATTATATAGGTAACAATTTATGAAACGATGTATATTAAACCGGAATTCCGGTTTACATAGTATCCCATCGGGGGATCATACGTGTCTTGGCCAATCAAATCACAGCGACGATCACTAAACAGAGAATTAATGTGATACTTAACAAAATAAAACGCTCGTCGTCTTCTTCTTCTGCCACTTTCGTCATTCGCACAGACAAATTTTGCAACAGAGACGGGATCGCGACAAGATCCCGGTGATCGAAAAGCCCTAAGGAGTAATCGTAAAGGGAGAAGGGCTTGAAGATGCATTCATTTGGTTACAGAGCTAATGCTCTGCTCACGTTCGCCGTCACGGCACTCGCGTTCATCTGCGCGATCGCTTCTTTCTCAGACAAATTCAGCAACCAAAATCCTTCTGCTGAGATCCAGGTGAGGAAAACTTTACGTATTGTTTACATTTATTGATCGATTCGTATGTGGTGGATCTGCAACTTATGAATGCTTCGACTTGTGATAGAGATTAAGCTGTTTAAACCCTATAATTGTAGATTCTGAAAATGTGGCTGGTGTATTGATTGTCGTTTTGTTTTGACTGGGGAATTGAAAATGTCTGAAGTTGTAGATTATATGGATGAGGAAATCAAAGGAAAATCCTGAATTCTAATTTTGGTTTCTGGTTGTGCTGTGTTTGCAGATACTTAACATCAATCGGTTTAAGAAGCAATCCCGTGGAAATGATGAGGTAAAACTGCATGATCTCGATCTATACTAAAGTTGCTTGCTTTCAGTTTTTCTAAGTGTAACAAAAGTTCTGAGCTATGTTTGTTAGTCATGGTGGGTAAATCATTTGCATTTCATCGTTTTTGTCATCTTTGATTTCCTGGCTAGGCTAGTTTGAAGAATGTCACTTGATAGATGGTAATAGTATTGTTCATGTCCATCTTAGTTTTACCAAATCTAAACTCCGAGATTCTTGAAGTTCATATGGATCTCGAAGCTTTCGAAATTTGATTAACAGATAACTCTTCTTAGATTATTGATTTATGGTTTCTGAGAGCATTCAGCTTACACATAAACCTGTAGCTTCCTTGCTCGACTGTCCTGTATCTACTGCTTGTATTCTAATTACTGAGCATTTTACATGTAATGCAGGTCAGCTTGACACTGGACATAGCTGCAGACTTGCAATCACTATTCACTTGGAACACCAAACAGGTTTAACATCTGAAAACATTGAAGTCATTGCAAAAATAGGCTGCTCCTTCTGGATAATTTTTTTTATATAAACCCCAAAGAAAGTTATAGTGAGTAAATCTTTGTTTTTGCAGATTTTCGCTTTCGTAGCAGCGGAGTATGAAACCCCAAAGAATTCCCTGAATCAGGTATTATACTCAACACATTGTTTCAATGCAAAGCCCCTGCTCTAAATTTTTGTTGTTGCCATTCATCAAGTCTAAGAACAAGTTCTGGGTTGAGTTAAGATTAGTACCCTTTTAGTGATTTTACCAATGGATTTGACATTCTTTTGCAGGTTTCTTTATGGGATGCGATAATCCCTGCAAAGGAAAATGCTAAATTCCGGATTCAAGTCTCCAACAAGTACCGTTTCATCGATCAGGTACAGTAAACAAACACACCAAGTCCTTCTGTACTTATTACTTCCTCCAGAAACAGAAACTGATCATCATTTGGGATCTTTCAGGGACATAACCTTCGCGGAAAAGAATTCAACTTGACATTACACTGGCATGTCATGCCTAAGACCGGCAAGATGTTTGCCGACAAGATAGTCATGTCTGGTTACAGTTTACCAGATGCATACAGATGATGAAGACTGAAGAAAACACCAAACATCGTCCTAAAGAGTTTTTGAATTTCGTTTTCATGGAAAGAATTCAGTCTTGATTTTATGATTCAAACGAGAAAACTAATTTAAAAAAAAAAATACTATTGATCTCTTAGATTTTTCTAAACAGAGAATAAAAAGCAGGACCCTGAAAGTTTATAACGTTGTTCCAACAGAACTATGACCTAAAACTTTAGCTATCCTTTTGCTGTTCATGGATTCTCTGACCAGCTTCACATCGGTCCACCTCCCAGCTTTGGCATAAATGTTAGATAGAAGAACGTAGATTCCGCTACCGAGTTCTTCTGATTCACTTACCACGGATCTTATCCGATCAGCCAGATCGAGATTCTCATGAATCTCACAACCATTCAACAATGCACCCCATATATTAGCATTGGGTCGTACCGGCATCGTCTTTACCAATCTCTCTGCTTCACCAAAACAACCAGCACGGCTCAAAATATCAACCATACATCCGTAGTGTTCAACTGTTGGTTCAATGCCGTAGAGATCTCTCATTTCCGCAAAGTACCTTTGTCCTTCCTCTACCAAACCTACGTGGCTACACGCATATAATACCCCCATGAATGTGATTCCATCAGGTGCAGCATCATTACCTTCCATTTTCATTCTCTGGAACATACACAATGCTTCCTTCCCGTGCCCGTGACTGGCTAACCCGATGATCACAACGGTCCAAGCTATTGTATCTTTCTTCTCCAGATCTTCAAACGCTTTTTTCGCGCTCTCTGCATCACCGTTTTTAGCATACATATTCACAAGTGCACAAACTACGGCAGCATCCTTCACAAACCCAGTTTTCAATACACAAGCGTAAACCGTTTGTCCCTGAAGTGAGCATCCTTGGATCATGGAAGCTCTGATGATACTCAAGAAAGTTACTTTATCAGGAGAGATACCCGAAGCAATCATGTCAGAAAACATGTGCACTGCTTCCACTGCATCGCCGTTCTGACTATACCCTGTGATGATGGAGTTCCAAGAAACCAAGTTTCTCTTAGGCATTTCATCGAACAGGTACCTCGCGGTTCTCAGGTCTCCGCATTTTCCGTACATATCGATGAGACTTGTAGCCAAGATCACATTGAAACCAACTTTTGACTGAAGATACGGATCAAAGCCTAGTTCTTGAAGAAGCCCATGAAACCATTTCCCAGCCGCAATGTCTTTACATCTACCGCAAGCGACCAGAAGATCCACCATTATTGTCTCATTTGGCTTCACACCATTACTCTGCATCTCCCTAAACGCTTGAATCGCGTCACCAAACCGATTGTTATTCACAAACCCAGAAATCAAACTTCCCCAGGCGACAACGTTCCACTTTGGGATATCCTCAAAAACCCTCAAACCACAATCCACTTCTCCACAACGCATATACATATGAAGCAAGCACGTAGAAACATACATATTCACTTCAAACCCGGTTTTCACAGCGAATCCATGAACACAACTCCCGAACTGGATAGTTCTCAGCCCTGAACAAGCCTTGAGCACATAAGGAAACGTGAAATAATCCGGCGAATACCCTTTTCGAAGCATTTCTTGGTAAAAGATCAATGCTTCGTCTGGGTTTGGACTGTTTGAGTAGCCTCTGATCATAGAGTTCCATATATACACGCTTGGAGAATCGATACTTTCGAAAACTGATCTCGCGTAGCTGAGGTTCATAGTCTCGGGAGACGTGGTGCAGAAATCTATGAGACGGCTTAGAGGAATGACGTTTCTGATAACCGAGGATTTGATCATCAAACCATGGAGTTGATTCAGTTCCACCATGGATCTGCAATTCTCCAGTTGGGAGAGAATTGGTTTGTAGTGCTTCTTCATCCGTCTTCTCTCATGTTGTGTTATCAAGAAATTCAAAGGCAAATGACTCCCTTATTCTGGAAACTTATCAAAGTTTATACCTTTGTGAATCCGGTGAAGAAGATTTTCCAAATTATAGAGAGTGAATGTCACAAGTCTAGAGTCAGTTTTGTAAAGTTTAAATAGTTACAGGTTTATTTTTTATTTTAAAAGAGTTGCAGTTGACATTTGCAATTTCCCTGAGAAAATACTAATAAAGTGTACGTCGTAATAGAGAACAAGCGGGGACTGGAGCGACCGCAGGTATGGCGACGAAGGCGATCGCCGGCGGGAGCAGTTCCATCGACGACGGATCCGATCGCGAAGATGCATGTCCAATTTGCCTTACACCCATATTCCAAGTATCGTATCTTGATACCTGTTTCCGTACGCTTCTCTCTCTCTCTCTCTCTCTGTCGCAGTTTTCTTATAATTTTTTGTGTGGATGATTCCTCGATTTCATCAAGGATTTGAAGTGTTGAAGTAGTTTTCTTTGATCCCCTCACTTTTGTGTTGGCCAATTTGAACGGATTCATTAATTCACAAGGAAATAATTTGGAATAGGGTTCGATTGATTAGCTCTGGATAGGCCATATGTTTGTGGTTTATGCATTAACTGATAGCTTGTTGCAAATTTGACATGGATAGATCAGAAGAGTAATGGTTAATTATGTCTCTGATTTGCTTTGCTCTTGTGTTGCAGACAAGTTTTGTTTCAAATGCATCAAGCAATGGATAAAAGTAGTTTCCAGCAAGGTCTCTAAGCAGTTGTCCTCAGTGAAATGTCCTCTGTGTAAGGTCTGCTTCTTGTAAACGCTCCTTTTTTTCTCTGCGTCAAGAACCTTCAAGCACTTGTTTATAGGAATGGCCATATCAATATGCAGACAGATAACATCTCGATCATCCACAACTTCGATGGGTACTCTTTTGACCGGCATTATGTGAACCGGAACATTACTGATGGGTAGGTTATCGGGTGTTTTTCCTTGAGTCAAATATTTTTCTTTTGTGAATATGTTGATGTCAAGCTTAATCTCATTAAGAGGAAAAAAACTTATGAGCTTAATTTCATCTTCTTTGTGCAGTTTTGTCCTCACAAAAGAACAGAGATATAGGTTGCAGTGTTACTACACCGAGTCAGGTTTTTCCCTTCTCTGCATTTTCTGAATTTTTAATATACTAGTTACAACGATCGGGTGTCTGTTGCTTCATTTACTTTTGAATGAAACTGATATAACATCTTTTTTTGTGGCCTTAAATCAGGTTTCTTGGCTGACGTGTTTGACGTTTCACGGTTTTGGAAGATGAAAAAGATACTCCAGCCAAATCGGTGGTTTGAAGCCTGGTTGAGAAGGGAGCTTCAAGCTCTGATGCAGGTACGCTTGCAATCCCTTTTATTGATCTCTCTTTCTTTGTGCTCTTATCTTCTTTGTCCAGTTCTTCAGAACAACCAATTTTTTGTCTGCTTCTCATTTTTCTTCCTCTTTCTGCAGGAGGAAGATGTTGATATTGTTCTGCATCATTTGATCGGAGTAATGGATTCCTTCTGTAAAAGGTAAAAACTCCCGAGGCAAACTGAAAACTTATACAATTCTTGGATCCAGTTGTTCGTTGAATGGCTAAGTTCTTGGTTGATTATTTTTATGCGCGTTTCAAGATGTATATACAACAACTATTAATCTTCTCTCTTTCAGAACCGAAGAGAGACACAAACAAGAAGCAAGAAGCGCAGAGACAAATCAAGAACAATTCAAATCGGTCATGGCAGAGGCAGCTCGTCCGTTCTTAATGGCGAGAACAGACCGGTTTGTGGATGAGGTAGAACTCTTCCTAGCATCAGGTCTGAATATGGAGGCTTACGACTCAATGTATAAGCAGCGGTTAGGCTGGAGCAACAACCGAAGAGAGATCGGTGCAGCTAATGAAGCAAGTGAAGAAGAAGAAGAGAACATAAGAACAAGAGTGACTCCTTACTTGTTCCTTTTTGAGGAAGACTCAGACTAATGCACATACTCATCACTTGTACTATATAAAGCAAAACACAACTGTTTACTTGAGTAATACGTCTGTTTCGATTTGCTTTACTTTGTGTGTAAAGTTAAGGTCTTTTGCTTCACAACACAAAACCACCAACGAAACCATTTATTCAGATACTTTATACATTATTATTATTTGATCATACAACAAAGCATAACATTTAACTATATTACAAACTGTAGTATTTCTTTGTGCCCACTTCCTAAGCATATGCATCCACACTAACAGAGACAAGACCTTAGACAAGCTCAAGCGTTCACGATAAGACCACCTGCACAAAATCGCTTTTGCGTTACTATATCCCACGACAAAGACTAATTTATAACCATGCAGACAGAAACAGAGGACAATAAATACGCTCAATCCGGTTTAACCGCACAAAAACCAAACTGAAGAGACAATACCATCTCGATTTAATTTCTTTCAAATCGAGAACAAACCATAGCGGGAATCACATTTAATCCTTCAGATTAAAGATACCGTATGAAAAACCTAAACTAAACCGGAATCGAAACCATATTGAAGCGAACCATACGGTATTTCCTCTCCATCCGAGTTTTATATCACACAAACCGATAAAACCACACCACAAAACCGGATTAGACTTACCGTTTGGATGGAGGATCTGACCGGTGTAGTAAGAAGAGCAATCGTTACAAGCCAAGAAGACGTAGGAAGGAGCCACTTCGACGGGCTGAGCCGCTCTTTTCATCGGTGTCTCTGACCCAAACTGCTTGATCGCTTCCTCGGAGAACGAAGCGGTTATCAGTGGAGTCCACACCGGACCTGGAGCCACCCCGTTCACACGTATGCCCTTCGTTGCAAGCTGAAGAGCTAACCCACGTGTGAAGGCAACGACGGCTCCTTTTGTAGAGGCGTACTCTAGCAAACTCGAGCTTCCTGCGTATGCAACAACCGACGTCGTATTGATGATACTGCTCCCTTCCTTCATGTGCTTCAACGCGTACCTATATATATTATCATTAATTACACCGAACCAAAACCGGAGTTTCAGGTATATATTTACTCACTTGGCCAAGAAAAACTGGGAGAAGATGTTGGTACGAAACACCCTCTCGAGCCTCGCCTCATCGATATCCTCAATCGAAACCTCGTGCTGCTCAGCTGCACAGTTGACAAGCACATCGATGCGTCCAAAGGCGTTGACGACTTCCTCTACGACCCTCTTACAATTCTCCTCGAACCCTAAATCAGTGGCGATCATGATCGGTTCTTTAGCTTCCCGTGTCCTAACCTCGTGAAGCAAACGCAGCGTTTCGTCTGCGTCTTTGTCCTCTCGACCTTTAACGTACGTGAAAGCCACGCTCGCTCCTTCAAGAGCATAGCAGTGACACACTGCTTTACCTATCCCTGAGTCTCCTCCCGTCACCAGCGCCACTTTTCCCTGCCAATAGTTTCAATACAATTGTATAACACATATGCATAATTGTACATAAATTTAACAATCTTCAAAGCTTATACCTGAAGTTTATTGGAGGGTTTGTAGTTAGGGCTAGAGAATTGAGGAGTTGGATCCATGACATGTTGTATCCCTGGTTGTGTCTCTTGCTTCTGTGGCGGAAACCCACTCGCCATTTTTCTTTTTCTTTCCTTTTACACTGAAATTTTTCCGGGAATGTATTTTTTTTGTGTGTGTTTTCTGCCTTCGATCGAGATAAACAAATAAGCGAAGGAACGAGTCAAAGCCGTGAAACATTTTGAGTTACGTGCCACGTTGCATCTCAATTACGATGACGTGGACAAGACACTGCAACGGCGCCGCCCACGTGGCGAACTTTAGCTTATTTGTGATAACTGTCCCTACAGATATATACAAAAACTTGCATGAAAACATGCATACGTGACACAGACGGGCGAATTTGGGAAAATGTCCAAGGATCTAGTAGTCTATTAGATAAAACTTAAGGCCTCTTTTATATATGCGAAAGTAGTTAAAAAAAAAGAAGATAAATTTAGTCTTGTGGTTTTAGTATTTGATGGAAAATCTTTTGGTTTTTGTATTTTTGATAAATAATCTTGGTAGCCGAAGATAAAGAAACGGAGTACAAGTATTTTTGTTTTAAAGAAGCGTTTTCATTTTCTTACGCTGAACAGTAATGCAAAAATATACAGGAAGGAAAGATGAAATGGACACGAGAACATGCTAGCGAAATTCAGGATTAAGATCGAATAAAGACACAATCAGACACTACTTGAATAACTATATACTTTTAAATCCATATACACAAAAGTCTTGATAATAGCACACGTTGCTAATAACTTATAGTGTGTTAGAATCTTACTAGATTCCGTTAAACAACAATCCATATCACAGATATTCTTCAGCTGCTCTTCAATTGATCTTTTCCATCACCCTGCGAAATCAGATACCAACAAATTGAGCAGAAGCAGCATACTTGACCATCTCTATGTTACCATTGCCACTATTTTCGAGATATATAACAATCAGAGTAGTTAACTACTGCTCATCTAAACAGGTCTAGAGATCAAACTGTTTCATACAAGTAAGTGTGGCATGCATGCAATCAAGTAAAGTGTGGTGAATGGTTTCTCTGTTTTAGTCCTTTTAGCGCTAGAAAATTCAAGAAAACATGTTGAAATCTGAGCAAAAGATATGTACCTCTTTTTATTGTACGGTGGGCCTGCAAAGTATGGGAAAAGTCTCGCCTCCATAACGTGTAGCCTTAGCCTGATATTCCACAAGAGGCGCATCAGGAGAATCAGTCTCTCTTGCGGCAAAGGTGATGTAGTACTTTGTCCTGGACCCTTTAGGGTGGAAGTTAGCCCTCAAGACATTCTCGAACTTGACATTTTTTTCCTTTCGTCTGTTGAATTTGGCAAGACACATGCATGCCATATCTGCTAGGAACTGACGACAGGTCACACCTGGATGCACTTCTGCTTCGAGATCCCAAACCGTGACAATTCCAGCCAAGATGTAGGTCGGGAAATCTTCCGATGGTTTAAAGAAACCCTAAAAGCCAAACAAAAGCCATTAACAATTAAAAGACTCAAATCTTTTCGGAGATTTAGTGAGGATGGTACCTTGGTCTCCACGACCGTGCGTTTGTAGAAGCGGCTCCTCCTCTCAAAGTCCTCGTCGTTCAAATAATCCTGTTGATCCTCAGATGAATGATATTCACGGCCATCAAAGCTATCCTTATCCCAATTTGGATCACTATCCTCCGCATCTTCATCGTCATCGGAACAATCTGAGGTGGGGCTTTCGACCTTGCGCTTCCCCAGCAGAGAAGAAGAGGCAACAACTTCCATGGGATCCGTCTCCACCAAAAGTCCATCCTTTTTCTCGCCGTCGCTTGATTTGGGAGACATGTCCATTGTCCACTAAAACCCTAGATTCCATCCCAATTTTTTCTTTATTTTGTTTTTAAGTAATACTAAATTGTTCAGTAAGAGCTGCATTACCAAATTACCTCTGCCAATTTGTAAAGATTTATTTATGGGTTTTCTGAATTAAAATAGAACCCTTTACTCACTCCACTAACATTTTAAGATGAAACAGCTATGGATGAGGAGGCAACTAAAGAGATGTTTGCAGCCAATACAACAACTAAATATGAATTAAATTTTGAAACAAGTATAAACTATAAAATTGACAAATTAAGCATATTTTTTTGTAAGTTTTACTTTGAAAATGACTTAAACGACATTCTCTGCGGTTTATTGTGTATTCTTAATGTCGGATTAATAATTTAGGATGAAAATTTACTTTGAAAGTTTGAGTGTTTACAAGATAAACATGTAAAAAATGGTGAAAAAAAGTTGAATGCATAAGTTGTTCGAAATTATTTGCATGCTTTAACTTCAGCTAAAAAAGCTAGTAGAGAGTAGAGACATTCAAATATCTATGTAGTTGAAATCTTAGAAGTGATTTGGAATAATTCAGCTAAAAAGCTACTGGAGACATCTCTAATTGGATTTAAAATTATACTGCGCCACATGAAATATTAGTGAAGTATAATAATTAATATCCAAAACGGAATGTAGGCGGGAAGGCCGCTTTTATCTTTGCTATCCTCAAGTTGTCGCACGAATTCAAATTTGTACCCCTAATATTTTAAATAGGCGGGAAGGATAGCTCCCAATTTACAAATTGGAATTTTCACTAATCGTTTTTCCGAAAATTTGAAAGCTTTTTGACAAAAAAAAAATGAAAGAAAAACTTGTATATCCATTTTCTTTCGTTTCTATTGACAAATATCTGACGTTATGGCTTAGCCTTACTTTTTCATGTAAATAGGAGACTCCGTCCCACTTGTTCAAGCGTCCTCTACGGCTCTACACTCGTATTCATGGATGTGATTCCAGGTTTCTTTAGCAGAGATCTCAACTGCTCATCATAACGTTTCAGAGTCTATTGATTCTTCTCACCATTCATGGGAAAGAGATCAAGATTCTGATCAGAGAGCTCCTTCCTGCTCAAGACTCAATCAAGAAATCTTCAAGTGTGGAAAGTGACTGTAGTCGCTGACCCAGCGAAGCAATAGTTCTCTGGCACTCTGCAAATTTTGAGGCAGCAACTGCTAATTCCTTCTCCTGTAATTGCCATATTGTCACGAAAGAGTTTTAACACAAAAAGAAACGAGCTTTGCTGTTGGTTAATGATTTTATATGGATGTTTCTAAGTTCAGGGTTCTAAAACGGTTTCTGTATATGTACATGGAAAGTATTATGTAACATTGCGTGGAGATGAGAAGATAGTCTACCTGCTTCAGCTTATAATCGTCATCAAAAGCTTTCAAATGGTTAGGCTCATGCTCTGCTTCTTGATGATGCTCGAGTTCGTGTTTTAGTTTTGAGATTTCATCTCGCAGTTCTTCGCACTTTGAAATGTGTTTTGCCGATAAAGCACGTTCCTTTTCTCTACTTTCTTCCAAAGATTCGATCTTCAAGATCAAAGATTCCACTTGTGCTTCAACATCTCTGAATCTTGATTCAACCGCTTCTGTTTTCGCGTTTGCGGCTTTTACACCATCCTCAGCCGCTTCTTTTGCATCCTTTGTTAAACGCAGCAGAGTCTGAAGCTCTGTTAACTTTCTCTCTGTTTCCTTTAGCCGACTTTGCGATGTCTCAAGCTGCTTCCTTGTCCCATTTAAGCATATGGTCAGTTCCAGCTTTTCTGCTCTTATAGTCTCTAGCTCCGACAGGTTCACTTGTGCTTTGTTCAGCTGTTTTTGAAGATCCTGAATTTGCTTTCCAGATTCACCCAACAGCAACTCTAGATCCTGGTTTTCTGCTCTTGTAGTCTCTAGTTCTGACAGATTCACCTGTGCTTTGTTTAGCTGTCTTTGAAGATCCTGAATATGCTTCTCGGATTCACCCAACGACAACTCTAGATCCTGGTTTTCTGGTTCTAGTTTCTTCAACTCCGATAACTTCTCCTCTGTCTCCATTAATCGGCTCTGCAATGCCTCAATTTGCTCTCTGGATCCATTCAAGGCCATCTCCAACTGCAATTTCTCTACCTCCACCATCTCTACTCTTTCCTCCAACTCAGAGATTCTGTGAAGTGAGGTTTCAAGTTCATGTTTTAGTTGTGCATCAGGTTTTCCTAATCCCATGTTACTCTCTGTATGTTTTCTTCCCTGCTCAGAATGTGGCGGCAGAGCAGCGAGCTTTTCCATCTCGAGAAAATCGTCCATCAAACCGATGTCTACTGAAGGAGCCATCGAAGTCTTCCCAGTGACCTTTTCAGAGGAACTCTGCGTCTCATTGTCACTAAACGAAACCCTCTCCGAGTTGTTTGATTGGTTATCTATAGAAACAGAAGATTTGAGTTCACTGGATCGCTTCACCATGACTCTCAGTTTCCTGCATTCCGCTTCAAGTTTAGTCAACTTTTTAATCCCTTCCAACTGCTGTTTACTGGCAGATTCAGCAGCTTGAGTGCTCAAGTCCCTCTCAATAGTTCTTATCTCGACCTCTTCTGACTTTGAAAGCAGCTGTAGCTTCAAAGCTGAGTTCTCTTCCTCTAAAGCCTCAAGTTTCGAGTAAAGGTCTTGGTGGGCTGAAGCAGTAGCAACCTCATCTTCCCCCTTTTGAATCCTGGCTTGGAGCTCCTCGATCTGGGATTCAAGTTCAGATTTTTCAGTTTCCCACTCTGCGCATTTCTTGGTTATAGCCTCTTCGATCTTCTGGTTTTGCTCTTCTCTTCCTTGCCAGAGTTGCCTCACACATTCCTTAAGTGCACTATCAAGATGACTATTTCGATCCTCAAGAGCCGAAACCTTGCTTACAGAAGCATCAAGCTGTTGCTTCAGAACCGCAGCTTCTTTCTCTGCCTTTTCCCAACCTAAAATCAAGCAAAACCCGCTCATGTACATTAGTCCACTAAATCCCATTTCAAATAATAAAAATTCATGTGAAAACAACAAACCTGTGACAGCCTCCTCTGCAACTTTAGCATGCTGCTTCGCAAGATCCTCTTTTAAACTGACATTCAAAAGAGCTGCAGAGAGCCTCTCCGTTAGAATCGTGATATCCGCCGTTGCCTCTTCTTCTCTTGTTACAGGTTTAGAGATTAGTTCCGGTGATTGAGATCTCTGAGTTTCACACAACATTACACACCAAACACATCAAAATGAGCAATGTTTCTGCAAATTCGCAAACAAATAAACTACTAATCTTCTCCTAGTTTCAGTCACATTCTAACACATCATCTACAATCACATGTTCCCATTGACCAAACGAAAGGCATTGAGAAAAAAATTCGATACCTGGTCGTCTGAGAATCGTTCAGAATGAGAAGAGAGTGAGCCTGTACTTTCCGTCTCGCCGGGACTTTTCTCAGATGACTTCCTCCGCCAAAGCCAGCTCCTCCGATCCATTTCCACACCCACTAAACATTCAGACCCAATTCATCTGCAAAGAACGCAGCTTTAACCTCCAATTTAATCGCGACCTGAAAGATAAATTAAATTTTTTTAAAAAATGGGGAAAATTTGGTTGATCTCACTTACAATTCACTCTCTGACAAAAAAAAGAAATCAATTTTCCCCCAACTAGAAAATATCTCTCTCTCTCCAAATGTCTAATCTTTTTTAGAGAAAGCGTTGGGTGATTTCGATTGCTTGAGATGTAAAAGATGAACAAACTCAGAAACGTAACAAGGTACCTAACACACATACCTCAAATCTCACGCCAAGCGAAGACGAAATAATTGAAGGAAGGAGATTAGTGTGAATCTGGCTATCAAATTCAACGGCCATGTTCAGAAAAGAACAGATTAATTATAAAAAAAAAATATATACAGAAGGGAAAAAAAATTAAAAGTGGAAGTCTCGATGATTGAGACCCACATGATGATAATGTGGAAAGGAAAATTGAAAAACGCCAAGTAGCTAAATACACACTTATTATCTCTTTTATCTAATTTTAGAATTATCCGTGGAGAAATTCGCCATTAACTATTACAGCCAAACACTGAAAAACAACGAACATTTTACAACAAGGAAGAATATTGAAGATAAAGAATTGTCGAAAATATTATTTCATTTTTTTTTTGGGGAAAAACGACAGAAAATCGAAGATGGCGTAATGTAGAAGAATATTTACAAAATTGTCAGTGTTGTTTTCAGAAATTCCAGTGAGAAGAAGATCGCCGTATCCGTACAAAAATATTGTTAAGACCCTATAGGGTTGAAGATTCTGGGCCTTCGGGGTCCTTTCTTTTCTTTTCGATTTTCACCTATCTTTATTTCTTCTACAACAATAAATTACCTTTTAATTTACACATGTTTTTTTCGTGTCCAGGAGCTGCAAGTTTTCAAACTTGATTCTTTTCAAAAGAGAGAGTTTGAACATCACGGGAGCAACAAATCGATTTATTATTACACTATTCTCTACAAGTAAATCATGGAAGGTGAGTAAATAAATGAATAGAATCCTGGAGCAGTTCAGTTTCCAAATAGTACAAAAATTGGATAAACCTGAGGAGGAGAAGCGTTTTTTATGGATCTACAGATTATCAGAAACATTACCTTTTAGTTTAATAAAGAACAAAGGTCTAAAAACTTTTATGAATCATACGGTGACAGTGAAGAGGTAGAGCTTGAGCACAACCGCAAGCCCGAGCTGCAAAAGAAAGATACTGGCGATGATCAGGATCGATCTTTCTCCCGCCGAGTTGATATGCGCTTTCAGGTTCAAAGCCACAAACGTCGCAGACATGAACCCGGCTACACCCGCGATAACCCATCTGAAGATCTCCACTGGCACGACCGAGAGGCACTGCAGAGTCGGAAACAGATATACATGTCAAAGTCTTCATCGTTTTTAGATGTTTTGAATATGAATTAAGAATTCTCAGAAGGAGCAACTTTGGTACCAGTGCAGGGATAAAGATGAACAGGGAGTAGCCGTAGAGACAGAAGAGCTGGACTAGGCCTGATGGTGCAGAGAAGTATTTGAGAACGACATATAACGCCAAGGGAACAATCGTGACATAGCCATAGAACACTCCTGCAGACCATGTCACCAGATTAATGTCGTAGTTCCATTCTTGTTGCTTCCACTTGTGTGCTATGTACGTGACGAATGTGCCGATAGAGGCTGCCACGAATATCAAGGTTGTGCATATCCAGAATGGACCATACCTGCAAATACATTCGATTATCGCATTTGAGGTACATTTGGTCTAATCTCGCTCTTAAGTTGAAAACTTGAAAATGAAAAAGGGAAAGACACAACTCTCTTACAAGTCAGGCTTATCAGCTGTCTTCTCTGTAAATGTTCCACGGAATGGGAAGAGAGATTCTTTGAGCCTCTCTACGACATCCGAAGTGTCGACATCAAAGAATGGCTTGTACGCACCAACAGTGAATTTATGGAGCCAGCCACCAGACTGAGGTTCATCTGTACTACCATTGCCATGCCCAGAGAATGTATCTGCACCGTGGTTCAAATTGTATACTATAAGACATATAGATATATACTGAATTGTAAAGACTGGCACAAGGCAATCAACATGAAACAGTCGATGAACACGTTTTCACAAGCTTAATTCGTCAATCGATTACATTACCATTCGGAATTTCTTAAATAATACAGAACGAAAACTCCAGAGATTCCTACCGTCAGCATCTCGAGGGGGATTACTACCACCAGAGATCTTCCCCTGAGTAGCAGATGGAGGAAAGGTTTGTAGATTTGATTCTGCAAAACAACGCATCCCTCAATCACAGCTTTAACATGAATATAACCACGTCAAATCAAAACCTAGAAAAGGGAATACATTTGCAGTTACAAGACTTCATCTTTCTCCCTAAACTAGATCTCCGAATCTTCTAATCGATAGCATCTCCTCACAAATTGCACTCAAATTCCTTTCTTCTTAAGCTAAAATCAATACACTCTTCCGTATGAGAGAGAACGGCATCTAATTCCAAATCAATTCGTTCTTTCCCTAAACGCTCTATTAACAAATTCACCTCAGAAACCGAAAAATTCAGAAAATACGGCAATGTTACCTGCGAATTTGACGGTGGTATGGCTTGGATCTGGAACAGACTACGATCGACAGAAACAAACCACAGGAAAAGTAGATCAGATCGGAAGAATCAATCAGTGTATGGACGAGCACACACGTAGATACTCAAGTAAAAGAATAGAGATCGAGAAAGCATAAACGGAAGAACTTACAGGTACAGATCCAGAGACTTTCTGGCTGTCGATAGTCGTGTAGCTCCCGCCGGACATCATCTTGCTCTCCTCCTTCCTGATCTTCCGTCCGTCTCGTAGCTCTCTTTCTCTCTCGCTATGAAAACCGAAATTGGGCTTGCAACTATACCCCCTCCGGTCCAATGAGATTTGACGGGAACCTGAGCTTAACCCTCTTTCTCATTTAGAAGCATCATCCCACTTTTATATAAAGTATGTTTTTCCTTTTAAATATTATTTATTTAACGTTGACTACAAGATACACAAAACATGTCAAACATGATATACAATTCTTTTAACATATTATTAGCAAGTGGTACACTTCAAATTTAAGTATTGAAGATTGCAAAACTTGCGTTAAAATTTTAGTAATGAAGATTCCAAGACTTGCGAGATGCCTCCTACTAACAATGATCATAGACTTGAAATTCTTAAGAAACGTTTTTTGATTACATCATTTCCTATTTTCCTTTGCCCTTTCATCTTTCAGAAAGATTCTCACTTTTATTACAACCCAACTACACAGTAACCAACTTCTGTATTATGCTACAACCAAATTTTATATCTGATGTATTATATCAGATCAAAACTTCGAATGTTGTTCTTGAAACTGGAACTATTACAGTGCTTGTATACTAGAATATTTTCCGGTACAGATAGCCAAACTGAGATCTATCCCGTGTGAATCATACATAAAGAACAAAATCCGACCTACCTACAAGCCTTTCCTTGCTTTGCCTGGAAGCTTGGTGGTAACAAACAGATTTGTGAGTCTTTATGGGCTTTTCAGCTTCCCCTTTGTGAGAAACAGAGTTCTACGGATAGCTAGAATGAGAATCCATGTCGTCGCAGTGATTTTCTCCTTGATCATCAGTAGCAACGCCGAGCTCAGAACAGTCTTCAAGATCTGCGCCTGCAAGCCTTTAAAGAACCCTAACATCCCTTCTTTTCTCCATATGGCATAGACAACCCCAGGAATCGTTTTCCTTGTCATTCTTCTAGGCTTCTTAGTTTCTGTTTCCTTCGACTCATCAGCAGCTTGAATCATCACTTTGCACCTGCAAAACTCAAAGACATATAGATCATCAACCCAATACACTACAGCCTTAAAATTAGGTGAGTTGAAAAAGTTTATCTGAGACAGATTCCTTAATCTACTCCACATACCTAATAGCTGGATATGTGAGGACAGTGGCAACACTTTTGGAGACAGCACCTAACACGAAGGCCATAAAGGCAGAGAGCACTACCGGGGAAGAACCATTCTCTGCTTTTGCAGTTTTCTGTTTAAGCAGGTGCTGTTTCAGCTGATCGAACACTGTATACTGCAAGAGCATCAAGTTTGTTCAGCAAGTCATGTTGTCTATGTAGCAAATTGCAAAATTTACCGGTGAGAATTCAAATGAGCCATCACCAGAACCGCAAGCTAATATGGTTTAAAACGAGGATTGTACCTGTATAGCGGGATTTGAAGTCAGTAAAAGAGAGATCCCTAGGCCATCAAATGCATTTCCCCATGCACCCTCTGTCAAGGTCTTCCACAACCCTTTTGATTCTCCAAACTCACTCGTTTGCATCCTTGATGAAGCTGTATCTAGAGGCTAAACAAAGATAAAGACTTCAAAAAATTGATTTTGCAGCAACACACACCGAGTAGGAAACAAGACCTTGATTCTCCATTCCAACACTTCTCAACTTTGACCAAATCAAGAGGACATTTCAAACATGACGCAGGGATTCATCAAAGTAAACGTGCCTGGGTTAAGACGGAAGTACAAGCCCCTGCAGCAGCAGCAATGAGCAAGTTCGCCTTTGTTCCGATTGATTTCGAGCCTGTTCTTTCACTATGCACCCTCTTGAAGTAGCTATAGCTATAAAAGTAGATGAACTGCGAGACAAAGGACTGCAGATTCTTTGTTCCTAGGCCTTGATACAGCGACAGAATCTGTCGCTTGGAAATTGCTTCCCACATGACATCTGAAAGATATCTGCTTTGGAAGAATATCAATAGAAATCGAGTTATCATATAATAAAAATATCCCAGTAAGAGTAGAAGAAAATTCAGAGTCCATATATTAAAACATAAACACGCAATATTCAAATCCCAAAAGCGAAACCATTAGAGTAAATTCGAGGAGAAACATGTAAAATCAAAGCATGGAAAGAAAAAGAAAAAAAGCTCGAGAAAAACCTGTATTTTTGCTGACCACGAGCTCGAATCTCGGCCTGGAACTTTGATTTGCAAGTATCAAGCGGATATAAGATGGTTGTACTCAGAAGCGACCCCACGGCTCCGGAGGTAGCCTCCGACACCGATTCCAAATCAACACCCATCTCTCCCGATGAGATTTTGAAGAATTTGGTAGATGAACAGCGTAAGCGATCATTTGATGATCTTTTTGCCTCGGGAGTTTAAGCATCCGTGAATGTTGACGGCGTTATCATCGCCGTTATAATCTCCCCTTCTCTGTTTGGTATATACTAATCCAAAATATTTGGTGATCTTAGTTATTAAAATCGCCGTTATAATCTCGGTTAAGGACGTATAATTATGATTACCGTTATGATATTTAAAACAAAAGTTTCACGCCTCAGTTGGGCCTATCTTATTGGGCTTTTAATTCGACGAGTGGCAATTTAATATTTACAGTTACAGTACAGTGGTCCGGTTCAGAGACTTTCCGAAACCGTGTCTTTAAGTTTTCTCTTTCTGTCATTGAAAGGTAAAAAAGAGAATTCGAAAAAAAGGAATGTACATGAGTTGATGCATTTCTTACGATAAACTGAACTTCTGGAACATTTGCTCGGCGATACTCAGATCGAGTTTTACGATCTCTAGGTTAGACTTATGGTAGAGCCCAGTGTTGGCTATGCAGCTACTGAAACCAACGGCTGCAGCTGCTTCTGCTTTGGCCCCATACACCAATCTCTGCTCACAACCCAATGAAGAAGAGCTTTCAGAAAGAAACAAGTAACATAAAAGAAAACAAAAGTTTGGCATGAATAAAGTTTTCATATTTCACTTTGATGCAGTTATTTCTACCTTGAGTCTTGAGAGATGGATGGCTCCAAAACACATCGCACAAGGCTCGCAGGACGCGTACATCTCGCATTCCCATAACTTTACTTCGTTCGGTTTCTTGCATGCCTATGGTTGGTTTGGTCAAAAAACTCATGATGAGAAACAAGACTAGGCATTATGTGCAACACTACACGACGGATATATATATATATATATATATATATATATATATGACTTAAAAGATGAAAACGTTTTGTTTGTTGAAGGTGCTAGTACCTCTCTAATGGCTACGATTTCAGCATGTGCGGTAGGGTCTTTGTATTTCAAAACCATATTGTGGCAGCTCACAACGATTTCGTTCTTATGAACAATAACCGCTCCAAACGGACGGCCATCACCACATTCGACTCCAATGTATGCTTCTTCGACAGCTTGGGTTAGAAATTTATGGTCCCTATCACTGGAAGCTGATCAAATCGACACACAAGTAGAGTAAAGTAACGACTGTAGAAATTTCAACATAAAAATGAGTCACATATATAATAAATAAGCTAGATATATAAACTGGTGGATAGCTGTATTTTGATGAATATGCATTTAGACCAATGCGATAAGGTCAAAGACTATGTCTTAATGTTCATTAATACAAATTAGAAACTAATTTTTGTCTGTGTCAAATGTGACATGGCTAAGTCTAAAAACTTGATACCTTCATGGTGACCAGCAGATGCAGAAACCACGGAGATTGGTCCAACGTTCGCTTCCACCGCTACATATTTCAATCACAGAGCAATAAATCTCCAGCGATAGAAGACATCAAAACTCAAAAGAACTCATAATCACCTAAATCCAAAACAATTCTACAAGACATTCGATAAGTACATGGTGATACAAGAAAACTAGATGCTCTTAACGAATATTCCAAATATAGGAAAGGGATTTATAATGGGAAATTCAACGAATATTTAGCCGATTCAAAACCCATACCCAACAGACTCAATCTATAACCAAATCGTTCTTTCTTCCATGTTAACTATCAATTCAACTAAACAACCGAAAGTATCACAGAAAATACGACAGTGTTACCAGTGAATTCGACGGTCGCATGGCCTGGATCTGGAATAGACTGCGACAGTAGCAAACAAAACAAGACATGGAAACTAAGATCAGATCGGAAGAATCACGAGGACACACGAACACATACTCATGCGATAAAATTAGTCGAGAATGGATGAGCTTACAGGTACTGTTTCAGAGACTTCCTGGCTGTCGATGATCGTGCTTTCGCCGGACATCATCCTTGTTATGCTCTTTTTCCGATATGCCGTCCGTCTCGGAGGAACGAAGTGGGTCCTCGAACCTTACTACTCCGCCCCAATGGGCTTTAAACGGGATCGGATGAGAGCATATTTCTGTTTAACTTAATCAAGGGATTATACATTTTTAATTAGCCAAAGTACTGTATATTATGCTTCAAAATGAGGATGAAACGAGAGTATAGAAATGATAAGGTATTTTTCGGGTATAATTGGTAATTAATTTAAATGGAGTAAATCTGAAGTTGAATTATGTTTTGGACGATCACACATGTTAAAAATATATGTAAACTTTTTACAATGAAGATATTTCTTTGTCCACTTAATAAGTTGTAATAAAAAGAACAAAATTGAAACTTTTAAAATCTGTGGTAAAAATATAAAACAATGAAAATAAAGTTTTAAAACAACATTTTTTTTTGTAAAAAGACTAACATTTAATTCATATGATTACTAGTCATGTATTTTCTTTGGTAATTAATTTAAATAGTTTAATGAGAATTTTAAATAGTTTTTTAAATAATAGGTAATAAAATTATATGTAAACTGTTTTTAAAAATAAGTTTATTATATAATTTATAAGATAATTTTTTAAATAGCGGGTAATGATATTACGTGCGAACTTTTTTCAAATGAAATTATTGTAATTTATAAGATAATTTTTAAATAGTAAGTAACAAATTTACGCGCAAACTTTTTTAACAAATTAACTGCTTTTTTAGCTAATTAACATATAAAATAATCTTTATTTATATATAAATATATTAGCTGCTTAGTCAAAAAGAAAAAGTAACTCATATGCTTCAATTATTTGTGTAACAAATTAAATTTCAACAAAGAAAGGATACATATTTATTTTATTCAAGAATTGGGTGTTCAAATTAATGCAAGTAATTAAAAGCTTTGAACCCGAATAAGGTAAAACATAAAACAGAACCAAGAAACCAGTTGTATCCACCGTTAAAAACAAACCTTTTACACTAAGAAGAAGACACATGGTAATGATACAGGGAAACAAGCAGTTAAATAAATAGAGATGAAATGAAAAGAGAGGAAAAAAACAGCAGCAGCAGCAGAAGAAGAAGCTCTCTTTTCTTCTTTTGAATTTTCTCATTATCATCCCGCCTTTCTCCGCATTTTGATCTTCAAGGTTAATATTGTTTTACTGTTTCTGTCTCTGAGACACTGAATTATTCTGAAGAGTATGCATCTTTATATTATCATCTAGTCTCTCTCTCTGTTTTCGCCTCTGTTTCAGTGATTTCATCTTAATGGGTTGTATAAAAGTCTTGTCCTTTTCAACTTACAATACCTGAATCTTGATTCCCGATCCTCTAGATTTTCCAAGTTATGCTTAGTAATCTGATTTTGGCCATTGTTCTGGCCCTTTCTCTGTTTTCAGATCTTGTCAAATGTTTATTCTTTGATGATGTTGTTTGCAGAATCAGATGATGAGGATCGGTGTGGGAGATCCTCGTGGCTCGCAGAAACCGATACGAATTGTTGTGGTTGGTGAAAATGGAACTGGGAAATCAAGTTTGATAATGGCTGCATCAGATGCTTCTTTCCATCCAAAGATCCCTCCTCTGTTACCTCATACCAATTTACCTTCTGAGTTATTCTCTGACCCTATTCCCGTCACCATTATCGACACTTCTTCAAGGTAAAATGTTTCTTCTGATTCTATACATTTGACATCATGAATGATTCTGATAGGCAGAGGAAACTGAGAATTGAATGGTCGGAAAATGGTTTACTATTGATGTCTCTGTTAATAAAACATTGCAGACCGAAAGATAAGGGAGAGGTGGTTAAGCAAGTTAAGGAAGCAGATGCAATTATATTGACATTTGCGTTTGATAGACCGGAGAGTTATAGCCGTTTGAGTGAATACTGGCTTCCTCTGTTTCGACAATTAGAGGTTTAGTTTCTTCATCAATCGAAAGGTGTAATGAGTTTATGCTATTTCCCCTGAATTTTTTGTCTTCTGTTGAACAGGTGAGAGTCCCTATCATAGTCGCAGGTCATAGAGCTGACATCAAAAGGGATCATAATCAAAGCAGCATTGAGCAAATAAGGACACATATGATGCAACAGTTCCGAGAGATCGAGACATCTTTCGACTGGTCTGCTCAGGACGTAAACCATGCCCGTTGGCTTGTGCGTAGCATTTCAAAGAACATTCACATTGTTTCAACCCTTTTGTAATGAACTTGTTTTATTTTGCATCCTGATCAATCAAAAGCTTTCTTATGTAGGCTCGAGATGTTATCAAGCATGCGCAACAAGCTGTTATTCACCCTCTACGACCAATATATGATCAAGAAACCAATTCACTAAAGCCTTTCTGTGTCGCTGCCTTAAAACGTGTATTTATACTCTCTTGCCATAACAGTGATTTTGTCCTCAATGACGCCGACTTAAATGATATTCAGGTTTTCCTTTTTATTCTCTCTTATGTTTCATAGTCTTGTTTCTTTGAGTAGTGCTTCTATAAAACAGCTAAGTTGCAAAAATATATACACATAGGTTAAATGCTTCAATAAACAATTGATGCCTTACCAAAGTAAAGCAATAAGAAAAACTGTGCAAGTACGGTGTCCATTTGGAGTTAATGAAATAGGACTCACATGGGTTGGCTTCTTGTTTCTAAACACATATCTTGTCGAACAAGGAAGAATCAAAACAGTATGGACTATACTTAGGAAATTCGGGTATAACAACGATTTAAGACTTGCAGATTCTATGATTCCTTATTCATCATTCAAACGCGAGGCTGATCAGGTAAAAAAATCTTCAGAAGTAAAGAAATGATTTGTTCTGGCTTCATTGTGATAATTTGCTGCATTTTCTGATTTTGGCATTTCTTTCAACATTGTTGCAGAGTGTTCAGTTGACATATGCAGCTATTGAATTCTTAAAGGAAGTCTATGAGTTTTTCGATCAAGACGAGGTAAAGTCTTATTCTTTTTCCAAGTTTGTGTCATAATGTGGGGTTATATTCCTAAAGACCAGATTTGAATTTTTCAGGATGACAACTTGGAACCTCATGAGATGGGATATATCTTTCAAACTGCACCTGAAAGGTAACATTTTCATATTTCAAAATCGCGCCTTTTTTGTTTGCTTATGTGTGATTCCTTAAGGACAGTCCTTGGAAAGAAGCTCCCTATAAGGATGCAGTAGAGAAATCTAAGATTGGAGGATTATCATTTCAAGCTTTCCTCTCACTGGTAATCAAAACAAAGTCTCTCAACGGTTTTAAGAGGAACCCAACTCAAAAGTTTACATTTTTTTCCCTAAATCTTTGAGCTTTTTACCATCTTTGCAGTGGTCATTGATGACACTAATAGATCCAGCTAGGAGTCTTGAGTATTTGATTTACATCAGATACCCATACGATCCATCTTCAGCGATTCTCGTTACTAGGAAGAGAGAGCTAGATCGCAAGGAGCAGACCTCGAGAAGAAAAGTTGTTCAGTGTTTTGTGTTTGGTCCCAAGAACGCTGGAAAATCTGCATTGCTCAATCGACTTATCGGAAGGTCTGTCCATTTTTTTTTTATAAAACTCAGCACAACAAATTGATTTAAAACACAGAATAAGTGACAATATATCTGTTTCGTTATATGATGTTAGGCCATACGATGATGCCAACAGAAATGGATCAGCTGAGGAACGTTATGCTGTTAATATGGTTGACAACTCCGGAGAGATTGCATATACAAAGAGAACTCTGGTGATGAAGGAGATTCGATATCCAGAAGATGGATTCTTGTTATCAAGTGAAGCATTGGCTTCTTGTGATGTAGCAATCTTCGTCTACGATTCCTCTGACGAGTCCTCGTGGAAGGGAGCCATTGATTTGCTTGCTGAGGTTGCAACCTTTAGCAAAGACGAGGGTTTTGAGTTCCCTTGCCTTATGGTTGCAGCAAAGGCTGATCTTTATCCATTCCCAATGGAATTTCAAGAATCCACTAGAGTAACACTGATCTTTCTTCTTGATTATAGATGATTCTTTAGTAATCATTAAACTAAAATAGTATTATCATGGTTTTGCAGGTTACACAAGAAATAGGGATTGAAGCTCCAATACCAGTCAGTTCCAAATTGGGAGATGTCGACTATTTGTTTCTAAAGATCATAGCTGCGGCCGTGCATCCTCATCTGTGTATTCCAAAGATTGAGTCAAAGAAGAAGAGGAGTTGGGAGCTAATCAACAGATCTCTCATGGCGGTTTCAAGTACGTTAAGTTTTTGGATTCCAAATTGTTTGGTCAAATGTTTCTGTATCTCTTCATGATATTTGTGGATTCCTCAAAATGTTACTCTTTAACAGTTGGGACAGCGGCTTTGGTTATTGGGATGGCTTCATTTCGTCTCTACGCCGGAAGAAAGCATAGCTAATTCTTAGCTGAGGAAAGATCCACCAGACCTGCAGATTTCTATTGTAATTCTTGAAGTTTGAATAAACAGAGAGACTCTGTTTGTTTTTTTTTTAAAGTTCTTAGATTGCCTTGTTTAATAAGTAAAGAATTGTTTTCTATAGATTTTTCTCTATTTACTCTTAAAAAGGCATCAATTTGAAAAGAAGATTTAAGCATTGCTTTATTTTTGCCTGTAAAAAATCTACACAACTGTGTAGATTCACCAGACCTGCAGATTTCTATTGTAATTCTTGAAGTTTAAATAAACAGAGAGACTCTGTTTTTCTTTTCTTTTTTGAAGTTCTTAGACTGCCTTGACTAATAAGTAAAGAATTGTATATTTTTTTTTATAGATTTCACTTCTTTCTTTTCTCTCAATGATGATTATCAGAAGAAGACATAAATTTGAAAAAGAAGATTTAAACATTGCTTTTTTTTGTTTTCCCTGTAAAAAATCTACACAAGTTTGTACCCCACACAAATAAACGAATTGTATAAGAAAGACCAAAACCTAATTCTAAATTGTCTATTTCACCCACTTGAACAAGAAACAGAATTGGAGCCATAGCTAATAGATTGCAAGCTCGAATGAGTCATATTCGTCATCCATCTCCTTGGAACTCCCTTTGATTCTCCAGCCAGGTTATAAGCGTATGATCTCCACATGTTCTCGCCATTGTCACAAGAACTCATAAACCCTAACCTTCTCGTCTTCTGCGTCCTCTCAAGAACAATGAGACTAGAGAATGTCGAAAAGCTGTTACCAACAAAAACATCGGCTCTCAAACACACCTCGTAATCTATAGCCGACTGAATCAGATACGAATACTTGCCGTATACATCATCTTTAACCCCAAGCTTCTTCTTCTCGAATGGTATTAACCCGTCTCTCCAACCCTTTAAAACCGATGAATCATCTTCTTTTTCTTCCAAGAGACTATCCGCTACTGCGAGGTAAAGAACAGCTGGAGTCTTTAAACCGGAAATGTTCCCTACTCTCTCCATAATCTCTCTTTTACTGCTACAAATCTCTGAAACCTTCTTCCTCTGCTCTAGTTTCTTACAGTGTATCATCCAATCTATCTCTATCCTCATGTGAACCGCAACAAAAGGAATAGGATCCGGGATCCTCTTTCCGGATTCGAGTTTTTCTCTTGCCGCATTTGCTCCTGCTTCTCTGATTTTCATCACAACTTTATCTGCTTCTCTTGCGATTTCATCAACCACAACCATGCACTCAAAGACCTTAGCGTAGTCCTTCACCGGCCAATGATCGTGCCACAAGAAAGGGTTTTTCCCTATGAGACGGATCACTTCAAACTCATCGATCGATACGTTACTTGCGGAATGTTTCAGTTGTTCCAAGTCTCTCTCCACTGTCCATCTTCTTCCACTACCTTTCTCAAGATCAAACACTCGTGTTCTGTTTCTGACATCCGAGAACCGAGCAAGCCGCACAAACCCACTGCAGAGAGAGTTGAGTCTTTCGAACTGAAACACTTTATCGAAAGGAATGGGACGAAGCTTATCGACTTCCTTGTAGAACAAGGAAGCACTTAGGCTTGGCATAAGAAGCGTTCTGTTCATCAGTCTCGCCGTCAAGCAAGCTCTGGCAAAAGCTATCTTCTGATTGTTTAATCCCCACACGATCTGAGGAACCTCGAGGAACTTATCAGTTCGGATTCCACTCGTTGTGGAGGAATCTGACATGTAACGGGATGGAATCAAGGAGCTACTGGGGGAGTAAGAGAGCAACAGAGCTCTGTAGAACAGAGCAATACCAACAAGAGCAAGACATTTCCAAGCAACAGATTTTGAAAAGACTCTCAGATTCCTGCGACTCAACGGAGAATTCATCCGTGAGAAAGAGATTAAAAAAAAAAAGAACAACTGTTCCTGTTCTCGTCGCTTCAGATTTCACCTTCTTCTTCAGCTCAGAAATCCAAAATCCCAGGTGGAATCAAAATATGTGTCGAGTTGACAATGTCAGAAACCTGCATGATATCGAAGACATCAGATCCCCAAAGTGAACATGCATGCAATTGCAGAGATAAGAACTAAAAGAACCCAGAAGGGAAAAAGCTGAAACTTTAATCAAAATTCTGGGTCGGAGAAGAGAGATTGATCAATCCTAGAAAATGACATGCAAATCGATTGCAGAGGAGATAAACAAGAACCCTGAAGAAGAACCCAGATGGGCAGAAATTCGAATCTCCGATCGATAAGAACTTTAATGTAAAATCGTATCTTTTTTAGGTCGAAGCTGCAGGCGAAAATTACAAGGAACAATAAAGCCAAAAAGGGAAATTTTGAAGGAACCAAACTAAAAACACACAGAGAGAAAGAAAGAAAGAGAATGCCAAAATTACAAGGTAAAATTTTGCCTTACCTTTAATTTCCAAATAGGTCTGACTTTGTTTTCCATAAACTGGCAAAATCGTGAAGAAGAGACAAACGAGACCCATAAACCCAGAATAGAAAAAAGGAAAAAAAGAAAAGAAATCAAAACTGACGATCAAATCGCTCGAATCACGGATTATGACTTTTTATTTATTTTGTTTGGAGAAAGCTTTAAAGGAAAGCAAAGCAAAGAGAGGATAAAAAAAGATTAATAAAAAAATTATCTCAGCAAAAAAAAAAAAAAAAAATCCCATCGTAGTCACTGACAACTAACAAACCCACAAGAATATGCAAATTGAGGTTTCGAGAGATTCAATTTTTAAAAATTATTAAAGAAATAAGATATTTGAAAATAGAGAGGTGAAAACGGGGATGACTGGATGAGGAAGCTTCTTGAAACAGAATCACGGAGAAAAGTGCAAAGAGGGAAGATTTGAAGAGAACACTTGTGGATAAAATAAAGACTGGTAGGTTGAATTTAATATTTCAATATTCTGGTAAGGGTTTGGTGGAATCTATCATTTTTTAAGTTCACGCGTTCAGAGTCTAATTATTATTTACGAGTTTTTAACGTCCTAATGTTGCTTGAAACTATCATTAAAGGATTTTCTTTTCTCGACCAATAAAAGAAATAAAATATTCGTATTTTCTTCCTTATGACCTCGAAAAAGTCGCTATATTCGTTTCTTTATCGGTTTCACAATTAACCTACATATTTTTAATATGGATTCACACCTAAATTCTCAATATAAAAGTCTCGTCATATTAAAAAAAAAATGTTTTATACCGTAGTGCAATTTTTCCAAATAGTTTGTGTTCTATAAAGTTATTTTTCACCTTTTTTTTTGCAAATCATTCATGGTCATAATAACATCAGCAATTAATAATTCAAAAATCAATGATCAAATTTATCGTACACGAAATATCATTTCACTTAAAAAACATTTATAAGTTTCTGAAATTTGATCAAACGATTCAATTTTGATTAATCCATTAGCAGATGGACAGGACACCATCACACAGTAGTAGATAAACAATTCACATTCCACAATACGATATCGTTTACTCACTTTGCCGTTTGTTTCCTCCCCTTTATATTTGCTAGCAAAAATGAAAAATATAATTTCGTTAAAAAAATTGAAAATATAGTTAAAAGGCATATTTATTATCATAATTCAACAGAATAAAATTCGCCAAAGTACAAATATAATATATTATGCATTAATGTCGACTATAGTTATTATTGGCCACGAAAGGAGCTGAAAATGAAATACCATGTGCAGCAAAAAAAAGAGTTGACTAAATTAATATGCGCAACTATTTTAATTTTGGCTGAGAGAAGAGAATCTTACTTTCCTTTCCATTAATGCGTTGCAACATGCATGGCACCAACGAGGAAACTCAAAGCCAATTTCGACAACCCAACATATGTCATATACTTTTAATAGTATAGATACAACCCGCGTAGGTCAATTATGAGAAGAAAATGCGTTCAACCATTTTTAAGGACGTCGACTAAAAAAAGTTTAAAAAAAAATCTGAAGTTATTAAAGTCTATAAAATGAAGGAAAGTGAGCATGGTACGCGTAGTTCTCCCACACGTAGCCGTCAAACGCATGAGCATGGTGCCATACCTATACCATGGTGAAAGCTACTATACTTTAGGATAAAAAAATCTTAGGATCCGTTTTAGAGCCAAAATTATTTTTGAGCATAAGCAAATAAAGAAATCCGGATTTGCTATTGATTTGACGGGGTTGTTTGTTTTTTGGTTTGTCGATTTTGTTTTCCAATTTTTAATAAATATTTTACACTCATGGTTCTTGGGTCTGGTTTGGCCCAATACTAAAATAAAGGGGCTGGAGTCAGGCCGACATTTTAGTACCCAAAATTTAATTCGTCATCGCCAATGTTTCTGAATTGATCAAATAATAAGAAAAGAAAGGTTTTGATTCCATCAACGAAGGTGACTTGTTCAAGAAACGTGCTGATTCTAAACTAAATTAGTTTTTCTTCTTGTTCGTTTAATTCTTTTTATTGATCTGTTTCTTCAAAATCAAATAATCATGAGAAATCACATTAGTTTGAAAACATAGTGAAGTAAAGAAGATGTAAGCAAAAGCAATGCTGTTTTCTTTTTAAATACAAAATCTCGTGTGCTTTGTTTGATCAAATCGCTTGGCAGCCACAAGCTATCTCTCCAAGAACTGTTCTAAATTTTCTTGAATCACAGGGCACCGTTTCCCTCTGCAGCATGAGACAGTGTTTCTCAAACATCTCTCTTGTAATATTTAGTCTGAAATCAAGATCGAACAAGAACGTTCTCTCCAGCCTATTCATCTCTTCAGTGCTCACTCCTCCGATCTTTGCATAATACGCATTGTTATAACACCTAAAATTAAGAAAAAGGAAACAATCAAACAGAGTGGGAGAGACTTTAATTAGGTCTAATTAAGATGCTACTAACTTGCGCTCCAAGAATTTGGCTGCGACCAAGAGACTGGTGATGAGAAGGCGATGAACGTTGAGTGATGTGAGACGACGATTTATGCTTGTAGCCACTGGTCTTTCTAGATATCTCAGGATGTAAGCAAAGGCTGCAACAAAGCACGCAGGGCTACACCGAGCGTACCTGTGTAGTCTCTCTGTGTAGCGATGAATGGTCATCGATGGGGCTCTTGAGCCATGGAACATACTGATGTCTTCGTCCCTGTCGATCGCCAGGAGATTCAAACATGAGATCGGAGGATAGAGAAAAACTATCTAAGAGAAATCTCAATTTTACATATTGACAAGTACGGAACTTGTTGTGTCTTGAGTGGAATGGCTTTTCGTTCTTTCGAATCATTTTCTCAAGAACTGAAGCGAGAAGGGTGACGACTTGAGGATGGGTAGAACTAGAAGGCTGACCAGAATCTTCTATAAGACCTAACCATTGGAAGAGTGATGAGTTGGTGGAGTTTCTAGAAGTTTCCATCTTTGTGTTGAAGCCGATTTGAGAGTGCTTTAATAATCACTCTGCTTATTTTTAGCTTGAGGCAGCACAAGGAGTGCAAATGGAAGGTGAGACGACGAAGCAAAGTTGAAGCTTTGTGAAAAAGTTTTGCAACTTTAGATTCTTTGCTTTGAGGGAAAGCAACGTCCAGTGTATATTGCTCAATAAGTGTGTAGGGTTTTTGTGGACCCTCCGATTGTTTTGTTTTGGACGGTTAACCACAATTTGGTCCACAGAACCATGTAGTCAAGCTGAGTATCATATTGGTTAGTATATGCTTCAGGTGCTTAATTCGTGGTGAGCTTGCAAGAAACTCTTACCAAGAACTTTGTTGGCGTAATAGAGTTTTGAAAAATCGGTGATCGAATGATAATAATCTAAAGAAAACAAATATGCGAAAGATAATAAAGCTGAAAGTATTAGTCAAGTTACATCGTTAATGCCTTTATATGTCATGAAAAAAAGGAAGAGGGGAACTGAGAAGTGAAAACTTAAAAAGCAAAAGGAAGTAAATGACTAAAAATAGCCTAATTTTAATTAGAGTTTTATGGAATTGGTGATATATTTTGCCCCATTGGCTTTTGATAACACTACAAAGTTGCATGGAATGTTAACTATTATTTTTCATCACCAAGTGAGTTTTTTTTTTTAAAAAACTAACTTAAGTTTCTGAGATACGGGATTGTAGCATAATGATTTGGCGTCACACATAACTCAGTTTCAAACTCAAGAATGAGCTTGCGTTTGTTAAAGAAAGAAAAAACTAATAGGTAAGTTTTCATTTGGTCTTACTGAATTCTTTTCTTTAATTTGATTTTTTTTTTTTTTGCGTTATAAAAAAGTGAAACCACTATAACCAAATTGCGTTTGGTATATAAAAATATCTCTAGCTTAGTTGGATATGTCTTGATAAGAAGCTTTTGCAGTAGTTCTTTCCATAGATCACCCAACACTAGATCAAAAGTGATTCCATTTGACAAATTATTTTTCCCACATATTTCCTTGACAATTACACACGCATAGGTTTTTGCTTTCACTCTATTGGGTCATTTAGCATTTCATATTCACTTCATTTTGAATTGTCTTTAATCTTTATATATTGCAAGCTCTATTTTTTTTCTTTCACCATACTCAGTCAAAACACTTTATTGGTTTTATATTTTCATGAGTATAAAAAGTCTTATTACGTTAAAAACTCTTCAATTAGGAGGTACTTTATATTTAATCAATATGTAAATAATCTTCACAACGAGACCTTACATAGGCCTTGGGCCATTACTTTAAAGCCCAAGTTGAAAAAGTCAACTTATCACCAATGACCGGAAGGGCGGTGAAGAGATGATGCTGGATTGATAAGACCCGGAACAAGTCGGAGATTTGGGAGGTTGGTTGACCTAACTTATTAATCTTTATTGCAAGCAAATCAATAAATAAATATGTTTTTGTTGTAAATATGTTTTTGTTGTAATAAAGAAATAAGTATCTTATTTCAATTCAAAGTCTCCTTATTAGATTCTCCCCATCGAGAATCTCTTGGGAACTAAAACCGGACGCTGTTTCAATCCACTCACCATCTCATCATCGTCACACTTGCCAACACTTTTCCTGCTCTTCATTGGAGAAATCAGCCTCATCGCTAGTCTCGATGGCGAAAAGGACCTCCTGAGCTTTGCTGCAGTTGATATCTTCTGCGTCTTCCTGCCCACCCTAGTCGGAGAGATCGAAGGTTTGGGTGACTTCTTTCCTAAGTTACCGTTTCTTCCCGGTGAAATAAATGCTTGAAGCGTGACTCTTTTTGGAGAAACGGACGACTTACGGGCCAAGCTACTTCCATTTCTCGTAGGAGTAAATGATCTTCTGAGCTTCGCAGCGGTTGATAGCTTTGGTGACTTCTTGCCCAAGCTTCTTCTAATAGGAGAAATCGATGCCGTGGGCGACTTCTTTCCCAAGGTAACGCTTCTTGTCGGAGAACTGGAGCCTCTAAGCGACCTCCGGGACAAGTTACTTCCATTTCTGGTAGGAGAAACCGAGACTTTAGGTGGGCTCTTGATCTTGACCTGAAACTTTGATGCTGATGTGTTAGGAGATTTGATCAAGAACTTGTGTGGCGTCTCTTTATTGTTCTTGCTGCTGGTTATGTCGGCTCTGGCTATGACGGGAGACATTGTTCTACTGAACTTAGCTTGCTGTGTGGAGGAACCGGAAATAAACAGAGGGTTCGGAAAAAGAACCGCCTTTTTAACCCAAGGTTTGTGCTTGGGCGAAACCCTGTTAGCCAAATGCCGGAAACTGTTCTCGTCATTTTCCTTTACTAGAGCCTTCTCTGCTGTTATCTGTGGAGAGACGACTTTGAACACAATTCTTGAACGAGCTCTTTGTATAGACGGAGGAGAGTCTGATTCCGATCGCTTGTTCAGCTTCTCTTTCTTCCTTCTCGCTTTGATGTTGCTGCTGACAGTTTCAGGGTTGCGTTCCCGGGATTTCTGTTGGGTCTCAGGTGTTTTAGGTCCATCATCTTCTCCTGCCATTGTTGATCTCCTGAGTTTTCTACTCTTCTTTGGTGCAAGGGCATCTACAATGTCTCTTGTGACTTGTGAGGCTTGTAAGATTTCATTTACCGTCTCTCCTAGTAGCATTGCTGGGAGTGACATTTTCCTCCAATCTCCTGCGTTACACAATAAAAAGATTAAACATTGCACAAACTAAGACTAACTTGGTGAAACACAGAGACTTTAGATCCAAGAATCTACCGTTGAAAAGAAATCTAGTCAAAATTCTCCAACATTAAAAACGCAATATCAACTATCCTTTACAATCTGCTCTTATGCCTAATGTCTGTGTCTGAGTTGTGAGAAAGAGAGAAGGAGAGATTCACCTGGTGAGGAAGCTGGAAACTTTCCTACTGGAGATTTCTTGTGAGTAGCATTCTTGATCCTACAACAATGGGGAGAAATTCAAAACTCGAAAAGGAAGAAGCTTCTGGATTTGGATCAACACCGATGTTTCTATATTTACCTCAAAGTTTCTTGCTTGCATCTAAGACTAGTCTTCAGATAAGTTCTGGTGCTTCGAGGGCTAAGGTTCACACCAGACACAACTTTGGTTCCTCCTGCTATTGTGTATTGTAGCTCTTGCAGTCTTTCCATACATTTGTCAACCTTCACAGTTCACAGCAAACTTCGTTTTAAAAATCAACTAAAATCCCCTCCTTTATTAGTTTTTCAAAAGTCTAATTCATAGCCTAATTTGACCCACTAAATTGCTTTCACTTTAGCCGAGATTAATGAAAATTCATAACCAAAATCTAATTTACAGCTTCAATTAACCCACTAAATGGTCTTCTAGTTCTAGCTGAGAGATATAAAGATGTAACTGTATGTTCTTCAGGTATCAAGAAGATCCCATCAATGGTGGAAACTAATCCTCTTGAGAAATGAAAACCCATTACTAATAGTCCACTAAACGAAACGGCTTGGGGCCAGAAAGTAGACAATTTCATTTGCAGTGGGTTCAATTATTATACTAATCAAGTAAAGTTTCGAACATAATGGGAAGGAGCCTGAGAAGTGGAGCGTTTGCAAATTCTGGTAAGAAATATTATAAAGGAAAAAAGTTGTGAACTTTATGCTAATGATGTAATTTATTTGGGGAAATACCTTGTTGATTGTTTCCCTGAGAAGATCTGAGTTGAGAGGAGGCGCCACCATCGCCACTTTCCTCTGCTTTTGTGGGGTTCTTGCGACCATCTTCTATAATTTTCCTTAAATTCTCACTAAATTGCATAAATTTCTCTAGGGGCTCACAATTTTAAATGGAGGTTGAAGATAAAAGCTCAAACCTTTGAGATAAAACCCATGAAATCCTCACAACAGCTCCCAGAAACCCAGATCTCTCTCTCTCTCTCTCTCTCTCTCTCTCTCTCTCGCTACCTTTTAACTTTCAGACACGAATATAAACGCGAAACAAGATGAATCCCTCAGCTTCGACGAAGTGGTGTTCTGTCTAATCGGTGAATGTCTGAACGAAAAGTCAAACATGCACGAGAAATGAGAGAGGGAGAGCGGATAAAGGGGTTTATTTTCGTAACGGATCTTTCGTTAATATTATTTATTTAATTTGTTTTTTCTTTGGTCCCCAACGGTCTATTTACACATAACGGCTACCTTTTATTTTTATTTGTGTGCCAATTCTTACTTTTTAATCTTCAAACTAAATTGAGGGGAGTTTTAGTGGCATGTGGGGGCTACATCATCTTCAGCCGTTATATAGTCTTTTAATTACGCCACATTATCAGCCGATCTAGAGTATTTCAATCTCTCTTTTTTTTTTATTATATATTTTAATCTAGATGGATCACACATTTTAGCAACTGAGAGCAAAAGATCAACTATTTTTGATCTGCATAGTTTGGCGTGTGAGATAACAAAAAAAACTAAGCCGTAACCGTTGGATGATGGAGTGGGCTTTCATAGGCAATGCGTCTATAAAGCTCTTTGCTTCTTTTAGACGACCAGCTCGACCCAACATGTCAACGATACCCAAAAATGTGTGTGAAAGTGTCTAAAAACCCGGCCAAAAATATTGTTTTGAAAAATCGTTTTAAATATTTCAGAATCAAGTAATTTTGGATACTTCTCGGATATTTTGGATACTTGTTCGGCTCTCAGATAATATCTCGATCTGAACCGAGAGATATTGAGATCCGAGCTTTTTGGGTAGATACTGAATACAAGTTTTCGGGTTCGAGTAAAAAGCCCATAATGGGCCTTGAGCCATTACTGTAAAGCCCAGATTCAAAAAGCCATTACTGTAAAGCCCAAATAGAAAAAGTCACCTTATCATATCAGTCTGAAGATTCTAGTCTTATGACTGAGAGTCAACTTATCAGATGGACCCGGAAGAAATCAGAGATTTGGGAGGTTGACCTAAGTGATATGTCAATTACGATGATGTTCGATCTTCCAAGTCATTGGTTGTCGGTTTCCTTCTTTCGCTGGGAGTTTCGGCTCCGATTCGACAAAGGAAACTTTCCTTTTTGTTCGAGAAACCAAAGAGAGTATAAATAGAGTTAATAGACATCCTCCTCTCGTCTCTCAAATCGGAGTTTCTTCGTTGACGAAGGAGAAGAAGGTCGCTGTGGTTCTTAATTCAATAACAGAGTCGTTCCGAAGATGTCCGATCTTCTGAGCGACATGGAGGAGGAGGTGCTCTCTAGGCTTCCGGTGACATCTCTGGGAGTATTGCGATCGACCTGCAAGAAGTGGAACACTTTAACGAAAGGTGAGGGCTTTTTAAAGAGGCACATCTGTGAAGCAGCAAAGAAGAAGCAGAGGAAGGGAACTGAGGAGGTGGTGATGCTGGTGGAAAATAGAGTCTTCTTGATGAGCGTCGATCTCCTCTGTCCATCTATAGAGCCTATAGGTAATCTCGATGCAGATGGAGTCGACATATCTAACATCTTTCACTGCGACGGTTTATTCTTATGCTGCATCACCAAAGACAACGACAAAGACTCGTCTAAGCTTGTTGTTTGGAACCCTTACTTGGGACAAAGAAGGTGGATCGAGCCCAGCAATTCTTCCAACAGATGGGAGAAGTACAACGTGTGGGAGAAGTGCGCTCTCGGATACGACAAGAAGAAGAAGATGCACAAAGTCTTGAGATTTGTGAATGAGTACTACCCGGGTTTCAAGCCCGAAATTTGTGAGTTTGAGGTGTACAGTTTAAGCTGCAGTTCATGGAAGGTCATTGATGATGATTTCACTCCGGACTGGTATGTTTCGTTTGAACACAATGGCGTGTCTCTAAAGGGCAACACTTACTGGTATGCTCAAGAGAAGGTCCTGATAGTTGATGGACCTATATCAAGAGAGCACCCTGATTTCCTCCTCTGCTTTGACTTCACAAGGGAGAGATTTGGACCGCGTCTGCCTCTGCCTTTCCACGGTTTGTTTGGAGATACCGTGTCTCTTTCTAGTGTTAGAGAAGAGCAGCTTGCGGTGCTATATCGCGAATACCGTGCGCCTGGGTGCAACGTCAAGATATGGATTACTAACAAGATTGAGCCCAATGCAGTGTCGTGGAGCAACTTGCTCTTGGCTGTTGATATGAAACCAGTCATTAATCGTTATTTCATTGGGAGTTTCTTCGTCGACGAGGAGAAGAAGCTCGCGGTGGTTCTTCATAAAAAGAAAGGCCCCCTCACTCGCAACAACATTGCTTACATCATTGGAAATGACGGCTACTTGGAACCAGTGGATCTTGGCGAATCTAAACTCGAATCGTGTTACCCACTCGTGTGCTCTTATGTTCCAAGCTCAGTGCAAATCCGAAACACACCCTCCTAATCTATTCTCATGTGTTTATTTCGTGTTTTCTTTTCTCACCGTGGACTCTATTTGATTTGTATCTCGGCAACCCATACGCCATAGCGAATCACTATGTGATAGTTAAAGTTGAATTTCTGGAGCACCACTCTCAGGCTCCATCTGCTTGCTGGTTTTTAATGATAATTGACCTAGCATTGGTAAATTTTTAAGTTCACAATTTTTAAAGATGATAAGTGATAGCAAAGCCTTTGAAGATGTGCTTTTTAAACATTTGATAGGAACATACTTTATGCTGACCTAGGTAGTTGAAAATGAATATGAATATGAATACCTCCATATCCTTTATGTGCCCCCTGCAGCTATGGGGCTAGTGGACAAGTTATCGAGTCCCAAAATTGGAATCTGCTGGTGCATATAAACACATGGAAGTCTGTAGCTGTTCATTGCTTGTTCATTCGAAAGCATAAATCTTGTGGTTTACCGGAGAATAATTCCGTTGGGTTCATGAGAAGTGGGCATGAATGCCGGAGATAATTGATTTTAGGTGAGAGATGGTGCCGAATACTTTACTGAGTTTGTACATTAGGTCTGAGCTTTTTGAAAAAAGAACTTACGATCTCTGTTTTTGATTGTTTCCTGAAACGATACCAAACTAAGCCCAACGCTTATATTTGGGCCAGAGATAAACAAAATCAAAGAGGAAAACGTTGAATCGCATTGAGTTTGGAACAAAACCAGACCGTACTAAAAAACTAGTTTGTCTGTGCCAATGGCGCCATAGGGAGAAATTCAAGCCATATATGGTCTAGTCTCTTCGACTACAAGCTTTTAACAAGTAGTTATACAAACTTGAGTAGAAGATGATTGTTCTGTGGCTTCTTCGCTGTCATCAGCTTTCTTTCTAACTTTCAAGCGTGGTTTCATTAGCTTCGGCTATCTCATATTCTCTCTCACGCTCTTCTGCAACAATGAAAATGCAACTGCTAACAAACACTAATACACTAGTCTACCTCACAATACCAACTATATCGACCGCATCCATGGCGTTCACTGAAGAGGGATCATGTTTCCATACCGAAAGCTAATACTTTGAGGACCTACATGCACATTGAGTGCAGCACCTATGCCATGTCCTGTCCCTGCTAGGCAGACAAAAATATCAGTATCAATATGAGTTCTAGAAAAAGTCTGTCCTGTGAAGAAAGGTGAAAATGTAGAATAGAGTACCATGACGGTAATCAAGTCCAATTTTCCATAGAGAAGACCGTGCAAACCCATCTAATACAAAACCAGGAGTACCTTCTAGGAACACGGCTTGATCAAGAGCTATATGGCCCTACAATTAAAAAAAAACCAATCAGATAAAGGCATCTCACACAACTTTGTTTATTTTAAATTAGGCAATCAACGGTTATCAAAAAAGATGGTGAAACAAAGAGCCAAATTGCACACCTGTAAAGGGTGAAACATTCTTTTTCTTGCTAAAATATATGATCTCTTCTTTATACAATTAAAATCCAAACTTTGATAAGTGTAAATAGTTGATTTTTGCTCTACATTGATCTTTGCTCCACATTCTTTTTTGTTTTTTGAATAATTTTTGCTCTACATTTTTGTCCTCTTCTCTTTGGAATAGTAAACCAAGCTATAGTTAAGATAATGTACACTAGAATACGCTTGTAAGCGTAACGTGGATAGCGAGCCATCCCCATAGCGATTTACCGATGATATCATCCAGTTCCAAATCATTTTCAAACATTTGGTAAAAGACGGGATTTTTGTTGTATATGGAGGAGATAACACATTTTTGTATATGGAAGAGATAATACATTTTTAGCAAGTGAGAGCAAATATACATCAACACACACATTCAGTAAAGGAGAGCAAAAATCAACCATAGCGACACATAGGGTATGAGCTTGGGATTTTCGATCTTTTAGCTTTGAAAACATTTAAGATATTTATAACAAAGGCCCCAAACCTACAAAAAGTTCCTACATTGCAATTGGGTCCATATGAATCTTGACTATAATGAAGTTAAACGCTGAATTTTGACTCAAGTGTTCATTAATTTCCTCAATTAAGCTAAAAAAATGCTTCCTTTGTTATTTGTTACTCTATGACCAGAACAGAAGGAAAGCAACTAGTTGAGAGAGTATTATTGGTCAGACTATTCATATACATTGATCGCCTCTGTTACAGATTCAGGTCAAGCATGCCATTTTTGGGAAAAGAGAAACTTAATTCGGGAACCTCAACTTCAGAACCAGTCTACATGTTTGGTAGAGGATTCAGGTTGTTTCTTCTTTGGCTTCTGGTACCGATTGTTCTCAAACTGAGCTTTGACTATAAGAGCATAGAGCAGCTCTGCCTCGGCCGAACAATCATAAGGCTTGTCCAAAACACTGAAGAGTTTGAACAATACGTGACTAGTGAGTGAGCATTCACAAGGGCAGAGAATATCTCAAGGAGGGGGTAGAGAGAAGCAGATATACCTGTCTAGTAACTCTTCCAGAATAATTCTCTGTGAAGGTGTGACGTAATGTATGCAGTTTCTAGGGCACTGATTAACTGCAGTTTGTACGCGGGAATCTTCGCCATGCCCTGGTCATACACATACACTGATGTTATCATTAGCAGAAACGGAGCTATGTAGAAGGCGAATATGGAGGAATGTAAAACCATCCAGACCTTGGGACATTGCTCGAGCTGTTGCACCTGAAGCACATGAGAAGACTTGAGGAGCTGTTTTAAAACATGGGTACGAACATCCTGCAGTTGGAGAAAAACGAGTCTACATATCAACATAACTGTTCCCAACTCCTCTAGAAAAGATGTTCAAGAAGAAATCCAAGGAAGGGGAAGAGAGTTTTGTACTTGTTCCAACACAAAGGACCTCATTCACAAACACATCAAGTGCCTCGCACTCTGGATGGTCAAAAGGGTCCAAGCATTCTCTGCCAATGCGACTCACAGAAAAATCAATAATTGGTTGTTCTGAGTCACATACCAATAACCATTACTATTTTTGAACTAAGAGAATTTTCTGAAAAAATATACCCTTCAATTATCTCTGATCGGCTATAGTTGGTTAACATCTGCAGACGAAAGTATTAGTGAGAGACTGTTGGTGTTAGTGGTGATGACCAAATCTTTTCAAAATTGTAGAACAAGGTTTAATACCTCATATGCCTGGATTATACGACGGATCATAATATCAGAATTGCTCTCTTCTCTGTTCACATCAGGATGATATTGTTTCACCTTTACAAATCACTAAGCAGTCAACAAAACCGAGGCATATGAAATTCCGACAGAAAAGACAACTCAGAACCAATTTACGATTACAATCAAAAGAAGAGTAAAGAACTTTTATTCTTTGATTCATACTTTGGCACGAAAAGCTGCCTTTAGCTCGGAAGATGAGCAGCTTGGATCTACGCCGAGTATAGAGTACGGTGAGGAGCTGGAGAGTGGATCATCTCTACTTCTCTCTCTGCAACTGAGGATGAATCGCCGCGATGTTGAATTTCTTGAATTGGAGAAGAAAGAGATTTTCGGTATCGATGTAAATAAGCGAAGACATTCCATTGTATCTTTTTTACCTCACTGATGATGACCAGACAAATGTCCAGATATTAAGACAAACAGAGGAGACAACAAAGCCTCTGTTTCAGCTAGAGAGTCTTCAACTACCAAAATCAATCCTCACCGACCCCATGGAATTTTTGGATTCTTAGATTTAAATACTCATGTAGAGAGAAGGTGTTAAGCAACTGACACCTTATCAGGTCTGTAACCTTCATCTATCATAACAGGAAACAATTCAGACAGAACATCGTATAGAGCCTCTGCTTGTGGATGCAATTTGTCCTCAACAACAAAGCCGTGTATTTTATTCTCGATTTCAATCCAACTTGCGCCTGTTTCTCTAGTCACTCCCATTGCTTTCATTCTCTTGATCGTCTTCGCTCTCTCCTTCCACATTCCTCTAGATGAGTATATGTTGGCCATCAGAATATCAGCTGCTGGGCTATCAGGTTGAGTCTGAAACAACTGTTCAGCTGCATGTTTTCCCATTTCCGTGTCCCCATGGAAACTACAAGCACCAAGCAATGCCTGCCAAATCAGACAGTCAGGTTTCATAGGTAATGCGTCTATAAAGCTCTTTGCTTCTTTTAGACGACCAGCTCGACCCAACATGTCAACGATACTTGCATAATGCTCTGTCCTGGGCTCGATTCCATGGACATCTTGCATTGTGTTCAGGAGTTCTTGGCCTTTGTCTATCAACCCTGCATGGCTACAAGCATGGAGTAGTGACAAAAAGGTAACATCTGTGGGCTTCACGTCCTGCGTCATCATTTCTTCGTAGAGTTTCAAGGCAGCTAATCCGAGACCATGGCGGGCAAATGATGCAATCATCGAGTTCCATGAAACGTAGTTCCTTTTTGACATTCGTCTAAAGACGCTGAGTGAACCAGTCAGATCTCCGCATTTCGAGTACATGTTAATGAGCCCATTGTTAACAAAGGTGTTACCGGAGAATCTTCGTTTGATAACCAAAGAATGCAGTTGCTTGCCTAGACCCAAAGAGTTATCGACAAAGGAAACTCCGAGAACAGCTGAGACTACATTTGCATCAATCTCTACACCAGCTTGAAGCATTCTAATGAAAAAATGTATAGACTCTTCCCCTGACCCATTTTGTGCTAAACCAACCAACATCACAGTCATTGAAACTTGATCAATTTCTTCCGTGGACTCAAAAATCTTCCACGCATCTTCGATGCTTCCGGATTTAGAGTACATATCCATTAGCTCACTCTCAATGCACAATTCTGACTCAATCCCAGATTTCCACAAAAGAGCATGAATCTGTTTCCCCTCCGTTACCCTCTGTGAGCCTGAACAAGCAGATAGAGCACTCAAATAAGTTACAGAGTTTGGATGGACCAATCCTCTGCGCATCAAACTAAACAGCCTTAGACCATCGTCATGTAACTCGTTCTGCATCAGACCCGAAATCACAGCCGTCCAAGTGATGACATTTCTTTGAGGCATCTCATCAAAAACCCGTCTCCCAGAAACCGAACATCCACATTTGAAGTAGGCTGTGATCAATGTGTTGCCCACGGAAATCTCCTTGTCATAACCGCTTAAAATTGCCAAAGCGTGAATCATGTTGGTCACCAAACAGAACTCTGGTGTATCACAAACCGATAAAACGATCGTCAAGGTTGCTTGATCAAACCCACCCGACCTAAGCATTTTCTTGAGCAGTACGAAACCAGACTCGATCTCTCTGTTCTTCAAAAACCCATTAAACACTGTATTCTGCGAAATGTTATCTATCATGGGCATTTCGTCGAACAGCTTGAGCGCATCATCTAACTTCCCACGTCCGACATACAAAGCGAGCAAAGAGTTCCACACAACAAGAGCGTTTCGACGGATATCAGCATCTACAGGCTCGAAAAACTCAGGATTCTTGACAATGGAGGCGTGGATGCAAGGACCCAGATGAGGAAACCAGCCTTGTCTTCCGCAGTTGGATAAGAGAAGGCTTATATCGACATGGTTGAGGAGAAAAGTCGAGACTTGGTAACTTGGGCTCTGCCGGATTAGGATTTTCGAAGGGCACAAGACGGTAGACAAGCAAGAAGGAAGGTGAGAGGTCAGTTTCTGAATCGCCCATCGAGAATTCATTCACCAAAACTCCGTATTCAAACACTAATTTGCAGTTTACGATACAATTTACTTTCCTCTCTCTCTCCACGAATAAAACAGAGATTGACTACGAACTGTATCAGAGATAAATTCAAATATGTATCTGAAGTATAACCGAGTATCGACTGTGCAATGTAGCTTAACTGCTCAAGAGGCTTGGGTTTGAATTTAGCATTTAGAAGAGCATACATATATTGTTAATAAACAGTAAAGTTGGGGGCATCTTTTGTAAATTTGTAGGAAAAGTATTACATTTTGTAATTTACACAACGATCAAATAAAAAGAGTAGATTCTGGTTCTAATCCTCAAGGATCAAGTCTAAAGCTTGGTGGTGGGAGTAACACTTGGTGGGTTCGATTATGGTTTGGCTAAGGGACGAGTGTTGTTCCAGAGCCACTGCTGAGTAGGACCTTCTAGCAAAGGTGAAACCTGCCAAAGGAAACATAAATCGGTTTAAACAATTGCAGCTGTGTGTAAAGACCTTTGATCGCAGGCACATGCAGGCCTTGTGATAGACTGACTCATCCACTTAGCTTTTGGAGAAGATAATGGTGAAAGCCAAAGTTGTTTTAAGACTAACCTTTTCCCAGACTTCTGCGTGATAATTGTTAAGCCAGTCAATCTCAGCATGAGAGAGTAAAGAAACATCAACCATTTTTGTCTGCATGGTTTTAGTAAGAGGCAAGTTTGTGAGAACAAATGAAAAGAAAAGCGACAAGCTAGAATGATTTATCAGTTGAAAAGGCCCTCCGTACCTGAATGGGGAAGAATGTAAGCTTCTCGAATCCAAGGTATGTAGCACCACCAAAGCGGTTAGGTGTTTCAGCATCTTTCACATGAAGGAGATTCTGCAAAAGCAAAGCCATATATCATTGTTAGCCGATCTGGTATATCTTATTACGAGTATCATGGACTAATGACCAAAAGCTACACCTCAATTCTGATTCCAAAAGCATGGTCTTCGTAATATCCAGGTTCATTGCTTACTATCATGCCATTCTGAATAGGATTCATGTTTCCATACCGAAAGCTAATACTTTGTGGACCTTCATGCACATTGAGTGCAGCACCTACGCCATGTCCTGTCCCTGTTAGGCAGACAAAAATATCAGACCAACATGATTTCTAGAAAAAGTTTGTCCTGTGAAGAAATGTCTAAATGTAGAATAGAATACCATGGCGGTAATCAAGACCAATTTTCCATAGAGAAGACCGTGCAAACCCATCCAATACAAAACCAGGAGTACCTTCTGGGAAAACGGCTTGATCAAGAGCTATATGGCCCTACAATAAAAAAAAAACAATCAGATAAAGGCATCTCACACAGCTTTGTTTAAATCCAATTAGTCAATCAACCGTCATCAAGAAAGATGGGGAAACAAAGAGCAAAATTCCATACCTGTAAAACTCGGGTGAAACATTCTTTTTCTCGGGCAGAAGGTTCACTAAAATGTACTGTTCTGGTGATATCTGTTGTTCCATCCACATATTGAGCTCCACTATCGAGCAAGAAAAGTTTTTGAGGGTCTACACCACTGCAGCTCTCTGGCTCTGGTTTATAATGTATAATAGCACCATTTGCACCGGAACCTGCATATGTAATTTGATAGGAAACGAATGCATATCAATGACAGTATTATGACAGGAATGGTATTATAATCGAGAAATCTAGCTCCAACCGCAGCGATGGAAACAACCATACCGCTTATAGTATCGAAGCTTGTATCCATAAAACCATCTTGCATTGAACGGAATTCAAGGAGCCTGTCAGCCACATCTACCTCTGTTAGGTTCACATTCTTGTGGACTTCCTCCTCCAACCAAGCCCAGAAATGAGCTAGAGCAGCAGCATCTCTGCATAATGATATACATGTCAACTGAAGAGATTTGCCAAAATTAAACAAAACTTTTGAAACAGGAAACTTGTATCCTCTAAAGGCGGTTAGATTAGGTGAAGACGAGATTCCAATCGATTTCTTTACCTCAAGTGAGAATTTTTCATCCCCTGTAACTCGGCATCGTTTTTGATGGCCTTCGCCCACGAAATAGGAGACGGCCTGTAAATCCCAGAGGGTTTTGCAGGATACCCGCTAGAGCCAACACTAAACTTTGTCTTAGCTTTGTCTTCGTTTCCAGACTTCCTTGAATGTTTCTCACATGCAGATATGTAGGTGCTAATGATAGCTACGTTGAGGGTTGATGGATCCATCAAGAGCTGGGCTCCCCGTGCTGCCAAACTGAGAAAACACAGCGTGAGATAGAGTACAACGATGAGAGTAAGTAAATTTCTTTTTTCTGAAGCTTCTGAAGGACCTAGACAATCAAGGTTTTACCTATCTATTTCTGAAAGAATGGAATCATAAGGGCTGAGTTCGATCCCTGCATTTTTCAAATGATCTTTCACCTCTGCAGTTACTTTAGAACTGTCCACAAAGAGTCTGGCTTGGTCCACCTCTACAATCAAATATGCGTACACAACAGGTGAATGTGGAACATCACTCCCTCTCTGCAATCAGAAAAAAATACACATTAAAACATCAATGCATTGGGAGCTTCAAATGGAAGAATAAGTTGAGAGAGAGGCACAAAATCACATAGATAATATTAAGACGTTGTTCGGAAGTAATTACCAAATTAAGCACCCATGCAATCTCATCAAGCATGGATATCACAATGGAAGATGCGCCGGCATCCATAATTTCATTTCTCAAAGCGGCCAATTTTGATGCCACGTCTACACCAGCATACTTCAAGTCATGTACCCTTATTTGTTTGCTAGGAGGATTTGGCCTTGAGCCCTTCCATATTTCATCCACAAGATTTGCATCGTACAAGTAAACCAACTCATGATTCTTCTTTGCTATTGCCTCCTTCAATTCCTCCGCAGCATCGGCGGAAAACAGGAACTGTTCCCTTCATGAATTCCAAAGTATCCGTAAAAAAACAAAATTACACATTTCTAGCTGCTCAAACACAAGTTCAGCAGAGGAGACATAATCTTAAAAGGTTTGATAGTAGCTTACAGGGTCAATACCAACTCTTCCACCAGGAGCTAAAACATCAGCTACCCATTCACTTGCCGTGGGGACTCCTGGATTACCCGCACGCATGAGAATCCAACTAGTGTTCAATTGCTTCTCCGCCTTTTGATACAACAATTGTAGCGAATGTAGAATAAGAATCCACGAGTTTCCTTTCGAATGTATGTACAAGATGGTGATCAAAACGATTGAAAAATGGATCAAAACCTGAAGAAAGTAGCGGCCATCTGTCCACAGAGCCGCCTTATCCTTGGTGACAACAGCGGTGCCAGCACTTCCGGTAAATCCTGATATGAAAGCCCTCCTCGCATAGCACTCGGCGATGAACTCGCTCTAGCACCAGTATGAAGAAAACATCAGAAGCTATAATAGAAAACAAACTATACACTCATATGTATCAAAGTAACATCGTCAACCCAAATTCACAGCAATACAAAACCTGATGGGCATCCTGTGAAGGTATGATATAAGCATCGATTCCAACACCAGGCTCTGAGAATTGTTTCCGAAGCGCGCTAAGCTTCTCGTCCACGACTAATTCGGTTCGAGCTCTCCGAATCTCTTTGGAAGGCTTTGCGGTGAAAGAGGAAGAACCGCTGCTACTACTAGCATGACACCTTACGCCGAGAAGATGGTTGTGCGGTAGTGTCCGGTGGATCAAGGGGAGCGATTTGAAGCTACGGAGAAGTGGAGAGTGAGAGTAACGAGACGTGAACAAAACGAGCCGATTTAGAGACGGCGACGAAAGGGTGAGAGGAATCATCGCCGGCGATAGCAGGAGAATCACACAAGACGAGAAGATAAAATGTGTATAATTACTTAATTAGAATTGCAAAACAACGCCCCATATTATTATAAGTCTTAGATAATGTGCATAGCTTAATGGTTTATCATAATTAACCCCCATATTATTCGAATTGCACTGGACCTTCGACTTGTTCATTAATGATTTGTTCATTTTATTTTTCGATTTTTAAATTATCGTAATTTTAAATATGATCCTCTGCTACCGGTACCACAATCCCCAAAAGTGGAATCAGAAGATCGAACGGTGCATACTTCCTCGACGATCCACGTGGGCGTTCACGATCACACATGCACTATAAGAAGAGAAAAATCGAAAAAAATGACAAATCGGGAAATGCTTATTGGCTGAAGTCGTCCTTCTATTCAAGTTTCGCGGCAACACCTCTCTACTCATTTCACTCCCTAATTTTCTATCTCTCTCTCTCCTCTCCTCTCTATCTTTTTTATTTTCAATTCCTTCTCTCTCTCTAAAACCCTCTTTCAAATTTCTCATCGATCTCTCTTTTTGAAAAAAGGCTCGTGCTTTCTCTCTCCTCCGACCTAAAGCCTGCGTTTCGATTTCTATTTGGTTCAGCGTTTATTCTATCTTCAACCCACATAATTGGTCAGTGAATCGTCCGAGAATCTGTTTCGATTAGGGTTTTGTAAGGTTTTTCCTTTTTACGTTTGAATTTTCTTTGTTGGACTCTGAACTTTTCCCAGCAATTTTTTTGGAATCTCCACACTTCTGTGTTAGTTCTTCGTGTTAAAGCGACTCGGTTTTGAATCTAGTTACGTTTTTGCTCAACTGGGTTTGAATGAGGTGTTTTTAAAGTTCACTTCGATTGAAGTTTTTTCTTCAATTTTTTGGGGGGAATCGGTTTCAGATTTGTGGAGTCTGCGTTTTATTTGATACTTTCAGGTTAGGCGATGGGAGTTTCGATTCGATTCCTGTCCACTCAATTTTTTCACAATTTGTCTTAACACATTTCCTCGAAATTTGGCGTCTGACTCCTGACGCAAATAAATTCCTAAATTTGAGGTTTTTTCTGGTACTCTTAGGTTTTTGAATACCCAAAGTTTAAATCTGATTCTCATTTTTCGTTAGTTTCCCCTTCTCGATACTGCAAATAATTTATCTTCCCCAACAGTGCTTTTTGTCTGATCCAAGAATGGGTTTTTGAGTAAAGTTTTTAAATTTCTAACTCCAATCCAACTATTTTCTTTCCTTCGGTAAAATCGCAATCCGGAATTTGTCCACGCTTTTAGAGGAATCCAGATTTGATTCATCCATAGAAATGTCATATCTTGTTCATATCAGTGTAAAGTTGTCTTTTTTACATCTTCATTGTAGTTTCTAACCATATGGGATACTTGGGCAGAGAGACCTGCAATGGCGCCGGTTAGGAAGTCGAGGAGTGTGAACAAGCGTTTCACCAATGAAAGTTCCCCAGGAAAAGATGTTGGGAACTCGAGGAAAAATAAACAGCGTGTGAGTAATCGGTCTTCATTTCTTGAAATTTGAATGATATATTATTACTCAGAGATGTAGTAACTATGCTTTGCTTTGCTCATCGTAGAAGAAGAAACTGTCTGACAAGCTGGGACCTCAGTGGACCAGAGTAGAGCTTGAGCGTTTCTATGACGCTTACCGCAAGTACGGTCATGACTGGAGAAAGGTAGATAAATAACTGTTTTCTCTCACATTTGTTTATCTGAGTTTCAATGGCATCAAGAGTTTCTTAAGACTGTTTTTGTCCAGGTGGCTGCTGCAATTCGGAATAGCAGGTCTGTTGACATGGTGGAAGCCCTGTTTAATATGAATCGGGTACGAGCTCAGACATCTTGCATTTCAGTTTTAGTTAGTATTCGATGTGGCACGTTTCTTTTCAAGGCTTTAACCTGGATCTTGTAAAAGCTACATAAATTTTCATTCATAAGGTTTGCTTCTTCTTCCAGGCATATTTATCTCTTCCGGAGGGAACTGCCTCTGTAGCTGGCCTTATTGCTATGATGACCGATCATTACAGTGTCATGGTGAGAATTCTATTTAAATAAGACTGGCACATTATGTGAAAGTGACCTGCCAGTAGATTAGAAAATGAAATTTCATGTTTGTGGGTGGGTGGTGAAAAAGCCTCTAATCATTAACGTGAATAGACCGTTAACATTCTAAACCTTTGAGTTTTGTGTTACCTGTGGGGCCAAACTGTTGGGTCAGTTTGTATATTTAATAAAGTTATGTGGACTGGTTTGTATCCCATTCTAATGGTGTTTCTTCTAGGAAGGGAGTGGCAGTGAAGGAGAAGGCCATGAAGCTGCAGAAGTACCGAGGAAATACCAAAAGCGCAAACGTGCAAAACCTCAGCTTAGTGATTCTCGAGAAGAAGCTGATATACAACATTCAAATGCGTCAACAGATGGATGTCTCACGTATTTGAAGCAAACACGAGCTAATGGTAATGCTCATCATTCTCCTACTATTATTCTCGTCTAAAGAAGCTAAATCAAATGGATACTATGTGATTTTCCCACTCACTATACCACTTAAGCGGGTGAGGAAGTTGATTACTGGGTCTGCATTTGTTAATGAGTTTTGTACTCCAGCATTTAAAGAGTGTCCACCTGTGTAGTATTCAATTCTTTTAAGAACGTGTAAATTTGATTCTTGATTCATGTAGGAACTCAGCGGCGTGCCACTGGCAAACGTACACCTCGGTTCCCTGTACAAACTTCACTCGTTAAGGATGAAGGCTCTACCCCACCTTCTAAAAGAGCCAGAAAGCAATTTGATGCCAATGATGATGTTGCACATTTTTTAGCATTAGCACTAACAGACGCATCGAGAAGGGGAGGGTCTCCAAAAGTTTCTGAATCACCAAATAGAAGAACAGAACTCAGCGATAGCTCTCCAATAAAGAGCTGGGGGAAAATGGTAATCCCTGAGCTCTAGAAATTTTAAGCGGTTATCCATTTACTTATTTTCTGAGTAATCTTGGTTTACTGACAAAGTCTATTTAACTTTGTGCTTCGACCAGTCGCGAATGAGAAAAGCTCAAGCTAAGCACCGTGACAGCTCCAGGTCTGAGGAGAGGGTGGGAAGTAGCCGAGAAAAGAAGCTTGAATCTGATAGCGATGCTGCATTGCTGATGGATATGGAAAGGGTTGGTGAAATGGAGGTTCCACGGAAGCAGAAAAGGTTTTACAAGAAAAAAGTGAAAGTCGAAGAATCAGAGGGTAATTATTCTGATGACAACGGAAGTGCTACTGAGGGGCTTAGAATGAAATCACGGAGGCGAAAGGCAGATGTTGAACCCTCAAGAGGGACATATTCACCGCGCAGCCCAAAGAAAAGAGTTAGCAAAGTTACTTCTGGAGGTAAAAACGAGTAATAGTTTAACTGGAGACCTGATTACAATTTCCAAAAATATGTTCCAATGATAGCCCTTTCTGTCAGGAAATATAGAAATTTTAATCATCTCTTATAGGCTCTAACATATATTCGTTTACAAGCTTTACTATTGTGAGATATCTATTTGTTCTGCGTTGTCCATTTAAACTAAGTATCTTCATCTTCGGCTGGAAACGTATGGGAATCTGAAACTTATTGCCTGTCTTTTCCTGCCTAGATGAATTTGATGCTCTGCAAGCCTTGGCTGAATTGTCAGCTTCATTGCTTCCGGCAGAATTGATGGAAACAGGTGAGCTTTGTGTGGTTTTACTTGTAATCTTAGGAAGAGTTTGCCACTGTAATTCTGCAGCTTTTCACTACTTTAAATTAGGGTCATGTCAGTATGTATTTATTAACTTTTACTATATTGCGTTGGATCCAGAATCATCTGCTCCGTTGAAGGAAGAAAGAATAGAAAACGACATGGACGAGAAATCTAGCACACCGGAAGCTACATCCACAAGCAGTCATGGGGAACAATCAAATGCAGAACCAGATGATAGTCTCCTACATGCTTACGTTAGAAAACGAAAACCGTCAAGGCAGGCGTCCACTGAGTGTAATGCTGTTCCCACAGGGAAGCTACAACCGCAACCTAGTAGTGGCAGTTTAAGAAGAAAACGAAAACTAAAGGTTAGCGAGATAGTTCTCTTAATTTTCTATGCACTTTCTTCTAAGCATCTTATAGCTAAATTTGAATTGTGTTTAATTTTCAGGTGCTTGGGGACGAAGCTCCAACAGATTCTAGCCAGAACAAATTCATAAACAAGAAGGTATTCTCTATGTATATCAAACTAGTTGAACATGTATGTTGGTATAGTTGAAACCCGTCTTGACTCTTATATTGCTTCGTTTAAATTTTAATCTTTGTTGGACTCTGTGATCTGTGATTACTATCCTTTGCATTAAGTTCAAGATCATATGGAGTATTCATGTTTGTGCTTCTGAAGTGACCTCATATCATTTGGTTTATTGTGTTGCAGGAATTGGCTCAAGAAGAGCATAATATGAAGTCTTTGGTTAGAACAAAACGCGCTGGTCAAGGTCCTCCTCAGTCAAAAGAGTTGAAAACTGCCAAGGCGTTGGATGAATCTACTACATTGAGCGATAATAAAGGATCTGTAATGGATGTAGTAGTGTCAACTAAACAAGTTTCTGATTCTGGTCCAGCCAGTTCTCCGCAGAAACCTCCAAGCAGGCGTAAGATGAGCCTGAAGAAAAGCTTACAAGAAAGGGATAAATCTTCTGACACTATTCATAAAGCTTCGCGTAGTTCGAGATCTCTTTCAGAACAGGAGTTGTTTTTAAAGGTGGAGCCTCTAACTCACTTTCTCTTATGTGCATTCAAAAACTGGTTCTTATATTATCTTTATTCCAATTTCAGGATAAGCTTTCTACTTCTCTGTTGTATCCTTTGGCACGTCGAAGGTGCATATTTGAATGGTTTTATAGTGCTATCGACCATCCCTGGTTTGCAAAGATGGAGTTTGTCGATTACCTAAATCACGTGGGACTTGGTCACATTCCAAGACTTACTCGTCTTGAATGGAGCGTCATCAAAAGGTTTGTTCAAGTTTTTTTGTTATTGGAATTGCTCCAGAGAATAAAGTTAGAATTAAAAAGGTTGCTCCTTTTTTTTGGCAGTTCTCTTGGTAGACCCCGAAGATTCTCTGAAAGATTTTTACAGGAAGAGCGGGAGAAACTCAAACAGTACCGTGAATCTGTGCGATCGCATTATACAGAGCTTCGCACAGGTGCAAGGGAAGGGCTCCCTACAGATTTGGCTCGGCCACTAGCAGTTGGGAATAGAGTCATTGCCATCCATCCAAAAACACGGGAGATTCATGATGGGAAAATTCTCACTGTTGACCATAACAAATGCAATGTTCTGTTCGACGACTTGGGCGTAGAGTTAGTTATGGTAATTCGAATACTATCCCAGTTCCATTCACACAGTCCAATCTTTTATGATTTATAGTTATAAAGGTCTCAGTCGTTTGATCGTCTCCTTTCTCGACAGGACATTGATTGCATGCCTTCAAATCCATTGGAATACATGCCAGAGGGTCTAAGGAAGCAAATTGATAAGTGCTTGTCCATGAAGAAAGAAGCACAGCTAAGCGGGAATTCATCAAACCTTGGTGTCTCTGTTATATTCCCTCCATGCGGACTTGAAAATATCGACTTTTCCATGAATCCTTCTCTTAATCAGGTAGGGAAAGAGGGATTTGACTGGTATTGACATGGCATTTATCTTCCTGTACTTGGTAAATATCTGGTCCTGACCCATCTATTACAGGGTGAAATGATTGCTCCCATTCTGCATGGAAATGTATCATCAACCAACACTAGTAGTCCACATCAGACTAATCAGTCATATATCATAAATTATAGCAAAGCAAGAGAAGCCGAGATTCAACGAGCATTTGCGCTACAGCATGCTTTAGATGAAAAGGTAATGGACTGCTGATGTCTTGTTGTTCATATTGGTAGATATTGTGTTTTGGAAACCGAATGGGATCAAAATAAATGGACTATTGATAGTCCACGGAAACTCTGCCTTCTGATTAACTTAAAGAAGCTTATACTTGTGTTGTGTAACAGGAAATGGAGCCAGAGATGCTAGAAATTGTCAAGGGTTCAAAGACAAGAGCGCAAGCAATGGTGGATGCAGCTATTAAGGTATCGATTCGGCCGCTTTCCTATATTCTCTTGCAACATACATATGGTTTGCTAAGTTGTAGTCACTACGGTTCTAGGCTGCATCATCTGTGAAGGAAGGAGAAGATGCGAGCAAAATGATCCAAGAAGCCTTAGATTTGATTGTCAAACATCAGCCATCCCACGGCTCTATGATCAAACATCATGAGCATGCAAATGGCAGCATAGACCATCATCACAATCCATCTCCCTCAGACGCAGCAAATCCTACGGCTAACAACGATTTCATCTCACAAGATGGTTCGGAGAAAAATGAGCCTCAAATGCCTTCAGAGCTAATCACCTCCTGTGTAGCCACTTGGCTCATGATTCAGGTAATTAGGAAACTGCTTGGAAGGGTTGGATACCCAATGAGACCATCTGAAAGACTTAACTGATCCTTAAACTAAGTTTTGATTTGTCTTTGGTACAAAACCAAAGTACTGTTGGCTTAGTAGCCCTATCTTTTTCTAAACGTTGAATTAGATGTGGAAGTTTTAAATCTTTTCTATGGTCGTACTGTGTCAAATGCTTAGACAGCACTGGATTCATCATTCATCATGAACCTGAATCAAACTGCATCTTCATAGTAATACACTGAACTTTGCTTTCTCTGTGACTTGCAGATGTGCACGGAGAGGCAGTACCCTCCAGCTGATGTGGCGCAGCTTATAGACGCAGCAGTCACGAGCTTGCAGCCTCGATGCGCTCAGAACCTACCTATCTACAGAGAAATCCAAATGTGCATGGGACGAATCAAGACTCAAATCCTGGCTCTGGTACCAACTTGAAAAGGCCACATTTGGGTTTTTGTTTTTTCCTTAATCTACTCCTTTAGGTCAGTCCAGTCTCCTTTTAACTTAGAGTAGATGATGACATCTTCAACTAAGAAAATGGTGTTAGAAGTTCTTGGGTTCAAGATAACAGCTTGACCAGAGGTATTTTAGTTACTGAACAAGCTTTTGGCTAATTCAAGAGAATTATAATTCTCCATCAATGTCGTTTAGAAAATCGCTAAACTACCCATTTTTCTCCTTTTTCGCCAGTTTCAAGGTCAGATATAAATAAAGTCTTGAATTTAGTTATCGAGCAGAAACTGCCCATTAGACGTTTTCAAATTAAAAACAAAGATTAGACAATCAAATGAGTAAGAACGTCTACTGCAAACATACAACCTTAAACTTTTTGTAATGTTTTCTTTAAATTGCACGAGGAGGTTTCTCAAGCAATGCAGAGAGATAAACCTCATCCTTTAATTTAGGTGAAATAGCCCACCTGTGTTTCTTGTACCTAAACTGCAGGAACATGTACATATAGTCATCAAGATCCTTCTTTTTGCAGAAGAACCTATCAATCCACAGTAACCCGCCAGGTCTCAGCACTCGATCCCAATCATATAGCACGAAATCCATCAGAAGAAGATCGATCCAACCATCCATTAAACCGGCAGTATGAATCATATCCATGGTATTGTCGAAGAAGGGCAGCCTCTGGTTCACAGAGATGTACAATGGGATCAAACCTCGCAACGCGATCATCTCATTGAAAGGAGCTCCCAGATTCAAAGCAGTTGTGACGACAGTCACATTCTTTTCTCTCATTCTTGCTGCAAATGTTCCTGTGCCAACACCGTAATCCAATCCAATCCTAATCTCACCTGGCTTCACCCTCAAAACATCATCAATCATGAAATCAACCAACAAGGTACTGTTCTTGACCCATTTGCCACTCTCTTTCTCCATCTCAAAACATCCGGTGCATTTCGTGTATCCCCTTTTAGGGTTTTTGCTTGACAAGCACGCGAAGTTCCTGCATTGGTAATTCCCCCACCTCACATTTCTATCATCAGGAAGCTTCCATAGTGACTCGTTGATCGGATAAGGTTTCTGGTAAGTCATCGACGCTCTTGTTAAGCATCGTCTTCTAGGCAACGGGTCACAACCATTTAGTATAAGCTTCTGTGCTAAATTCCAATCATCGTCGCAATATGCTCCAACATCATAATCCATGTACTTCTCTAGTTCCACCTTCATCAACACGCAGGCATGGCCTATTGTGTTGTAAACTCTCTCTGTTCCAAACATGTTTATCTTCCCAACACGATTCTCCTTCGGAGTAATGTACTTCCTTATCTCCTCAATGAGAAACTTATTGATCAAAGGCTCTTCTCTTTCCGTCGAGTTTCTGACTCCTTCGGGTTTTGGTAACCGGATCTGCCTTAGACCGATATGAGCATGATAAAATGGCTTCATCACTTCGTCTTCAAGAAACTTCTTCATCTCTTTCTTGTTTCCGTCTTTGCTCTTCTCCATCTCTTTAACCGTCTTCTCTAGCTTCTCATACAAGCTATCCATCTTTTGGAGAACTTCGTCAACTCGGTCGTGGAGTGCCTTTACGTCGAATCCTTCGTTGTTGACTTCTTTGATTGTGTAGATATTGCGGCAAATGTCTTCGTTATGCAAAAAGTAACCAGCAGAATGGAATCTGTAGAGACATGATAGGCTCACAGTGATCACTAATAACCCTAAGATCACTTGTAATCCTGCCATTAGTCTTCCTAATCGCCATCTCGGCAAACATGATCTCCCCATTTCTTCTTCTTAAACCAAAACGCTAATCGCGAGCTGAGAATTACAGAGGAAACTACGTCGATTTCCTATATTTTTTCCCGGGAGTAAAACAGAAAATAATGAAGCTGAGGCCAAATTTCGATCTAAGAACATCAGAAAGAAAGTGGAAAAAACATTATATATTACCAGATAAGAAGAGATGTTCCTTGATGTTTTGATGGAAACCTTTCCTCTCTGGTTTCTCCAGGAAATGTATAAAAGATTTCATGAGTCTGTTCTTCAACCTCAAAGTTAAAAACTCTATTTGGAATTAGAGATCCGAGAGCTGCGGGGAAAAGAAGTGTGTGTTTTGTGTCTGCTTGAAGAATTAAAGAGCTGGAGATACTTAAAGCTGAAGCCTGAATCTGACTTATTATGACTAGTTTTAGGACACAACCCACAAACTGTTGAGTCTCTCTCTCTCTTTCACCAACGTGCCTAATCCCTCAATCTCCGGTGTTCAATCCCCGCGTCTTTGAATAAATTGTTTAAAAAGTCAATGTATCTTGAATCTTTAGATACCTAATAGTGCACTTTAAATATTTGTGACAAGAAAAAAAAAATGTAGTATTTTAAAAAGAGCACGAATCTCGTAGAATTGTTAATGATCATTTAAACTCCACCAAGCCTCGCGAATTAACAAAACTCTTTCCATGTGTTTCGTTTCGTTTCAATCTTAAACATTTATAAATTAACAACATTAGAGAATGTTGATTGATTGTAACGTTTAGGTGGAAAGTTCAATTACGTTTGAGCGTGTTCTAGTCTTAAATTTTTGATAGAGCCATTTTTTGACTTTTTGCGTCTTGGTTCGATGAATCAGACATCGTAGTCCCAACAAAGGGTTCAAATCCAATTAATACTTGGGCTAAATTGTAAACATCGTGGTCCCAACACCAAAATTCAAATCCAATTAATATTTGGGCTAAATTTTAAACAACGTGGTCCATGCGTTTTAACTGCGATCCAACCAATCGACGCCCTAATTAAGAGAGAGCTACATGTCTTTGTCTATTTTACTTTAGTTTCGTGAGTATCTGAAACTGTATAAAGATTAAGTAACTTGTTGGTTATTCTCTCCCTTTTTACTCCTTCTGTTTTGTGTCATTTGGAGAAAATATATCGGTAATGTATTTGGATGTACTAAATTCAAAACACATCCAGTTACAATATAGATACATTTTCTCAAAATGACACTTATTATGAAACAGAGTAAATATTATTTTTCATGGTTCTCTTAATTAGCATTTTTCAACTTGTTTGTTGCTGCTCGTCTTATATAGTCCACAAATCCAATCAACGAAAACGGCAACTAGATGCCTTAAGTCTAACGGTCCATTATGGGGCAAACATTTTTCGAATATACAGATAATATAAATAGATTTTATATATTACCCAAATTAAAGCAAACCGGGGAGCCTTAGACCGGAAATTAACCAAAACTGCAATTAAACCGCGTGCTTGTTATTGGCGCATGAAATGAACATGTGAACCTAGACACTATATAAGGGAGATACATCTCCATCACAACATATATCAAGACTCTTTTTTTTTTCTTTCTATTTTGGTGGTTAACCAATACTAGGAAGTCTAATATACCATAAAAGCCAAGGGGAGAAAATAGTCTCTCCTCACAAAAATTATCTCTTCTTCTTCTTGTTCTTGGGATTTTGAGTGAAGAAAATGGAGGAAGAGAATAATATGGAGAAAGGTTTATTGTTGGTGAATAGGGAAGAGACTGCAAATATAACTCTGCTTCTTGTCTTCTCCACTTTCATCATTGTCTCCGCCTCCTTCACATTTGGTGTTGCCGTATGTTCTCCCACCTCTCTCTCTCTCTCTGTCTTCGTCTCCCTCATTCTCTATATTCGAAAAAGTTGTGTAGCTTATAATGGAAAAGTATGAGAAAAAAACACAAAAACACTTCTTACAGTAATTAAATAAAATTCGATACTTGTTTTTTACTGTGTGTTTGTGTTCTTGTTAATATCTTCTAGCTACCGTTACGTTGTGTTGGCACTGCTCCTGTCGTCTTGCTCGTTAATAATCTGTAACTTTGATAAATCTTTTGTCATAACGGCAAATTTTACCAATCAAATCCTGTTATATATCTCATATGTGGCCATAGTTTCTATGAAATAAGTTAAACAATCCTATACAATATACATCATCAATTTTGTTTGTGAAACCAGGTTAATTTACACACACACACATATATATATATATATTGGCTTTTATAGTTTTCTCTTTATTATTAGTTCATATATTCTACTAAATTATTTCTATCATTTTTATGGTACACAGGCGGGTTATACGGCAGATACAATGTCATCCATTATGACAGACTTGGATCTATCTCTCGCACAAGTAAGTCCATCGTACTAGTTTCATTAGTAAAAGAAAGGTAGGGAAAGAAGCAAAAGATAAATAACCTTTTTATCTTAAGATACCTCGGAATAACTAATTGTTCCAATTTTACCACTCGAAATAAAAAAAGATACAGGTGAATATACACAAATGTATTTTGATAAAAATGACTAGTTACTTGAATAAGTCCTATACGTGTTAAAAACATACAGTTTTCACTGTTTGGTTCGCTCTCGACGTTTGGAGGAATGATCGGTGCAATCTTCAGCGCCAAAGCTGCATCTGCCTTCGGTAATAAAATAGTTAAGTATCTATTAATATTCTAACAAAATTCTCCTTTTAATATATATTTCTTCTATTTTTATTACATGATCCAAACCATTGTATCGTTAATACTAAATCCTCATGGTTTCTTTTCTCAAATCCTCATAGACGCTGTGGCTCGCTGATTTGTTCTGCATAACTGGCTGGCTTGCAATTGCGCTAGCCAAGGTTCTCTCATAAGCACATAAACCCATTTAATTTTCCTACCTACTTTTGCAATATTTATTTGTAACCACTTTATTTTTTTGATTACAGAATATTGTTTGGCTCGATTTGGGACGATTTTTTGTGGGAATTGGAGTTGGTCTCATTAGCTACGTGGTAAAAAAATTATCTAGATGATGATGATATAGACTATCTAGCCCTAACCACTATATATTCCTAATTTTTTTTTTTAATTGAAATTTTGTATAGGTGCCTGTATATGTTGCAGAGATAACACCCAAGCACGTAAGAGGCGCTTTTACGTTTAGCAATCAGGTGACTCACAGTTATAAAGCTCTAAGATTGTATATACTCATTTATACGATTATAATTCCAAAATCATTACTTTTCAGTTGTTGCAAAACTGTGGAGTTGCAATCGCATATTACTTTGGAAATTTCTTGTCATGGAGAACTCTAGCCTTAATCGGTGATTCATTCCCATCTATTAATTAACTCTTCTTCGAGTTCCATTTCACCAAATTAATTATTCTATCACAATACATTTATTTTATTTTCGAAATTTATTTAACTAAAATTAATTCCCAACCAGGTATTATTCCGTGTGCCGTACAAGTTATTGGTTTGTTCTTCATACCTGAGTCTCCAAGATGGCTGGTTAGTCATTTAAGTTAAAATATATGCTACTTAATAAGTGCATATATTAATTAGTTTAAACATGATTTATACAGGCAAAAAAAGGTCGCGACAAAGAATTCGAAGCCATCCTCCAAAAGTTAAGAGGAAAAAAATATGATATTGTGCCCGAATCTCGGGAAATCAAGGTACCTATACATATAAATCATTTTTTTATACCACATGATCATGGTTATGAAAAAAACAAAAACATAATATATTTGGAACCACTTCTAAGTTATTCATTCGCACCAAACCTTTTCTTATTATTTTCATGTAAAAATTTCAGCAAGTTACAAAAGCTTGCTTATTATTCTCATGTATAAATTCCAGCTTGTTACAAAATCTTGTAGATTTCGGTTGAACTTTCGAAGCAGAATTCAAATATAGGCATCCGTGGTCTTTTCAGAAAGAGATATGCTCATCAACTTACAGTAAGATAAAAAAATTCTTTATTATTCATTTCAAAATATATTGGAAATATGATGTGCATTTAATTAGAAGCCTCAATCATTTGGATTCGGTTGGTTTTGTTTAGATCGGAATAGGTTTGATGCTTCTGCAACAGTTATGTGGAACTGCAGGAATAAGCGCGTACGGAAGCACTCTATTTAAACTTGTCGGTATAAAATATAATCTATTGTGTTTTTAGATATATATTATCTCAAAACTTCATTACTAAGTGTTTTTTTTTTATTTAGCTAGAAAATAATTAAATTAACACATATTTTCCAGGATTTCCTGCTCGGATTGGGATGATGGTGTTGTCTTTTATCGTCGTACGTTTTAAATATTAAATTGGGTTTTTTATGTTTTAACTGAAATTTGATCCCTAAATATGTAACTGTATATTCTCACATGCATCGTAACCCCACCATCTTATCAATGACCATGCATAGGTACCAAAATCTTTAATGGGTTTAATTCTCGTGGATCGATGGGGAAGACGACCACTTCTTATGGTTAGATTTTTTTGTTGTTTTTTTTTTAAATTTGTTTGGGCAGTCTAATTTTTTTGTTAAGCTGTCATTAGTCGTGAGTCAATAAGATAAAACTGTCTATAGTACAAGACTTGACGCTGGTCGATTGTTTATTTCTATATATTATAAGATTTACGTACTAAGAAAAATTGTCCAGCGTTAAGATATGGCACCATTGTGGTGCTTTCCAAATATTATCTCTTAGGCTCAAAGTCATCATTTAGCCACCTAAACGTTTCTATAAGCGGCCAAAACAGACAGTTTAATACTAAATTGAATGTATGGAATTTTCAGAGTTCAGCATTTGGGTTATGTTTAAGCTGCATTACATTGGCGGTAGCTTTTGGAGTTAGAGATGTCCCCGAGTTTGCAAAAATTGCTCCAATTTTCACTTTCATTGGAATATTGGTAAGTTCTGAACAGTTTGATTAATTTTCGGTCTAATTTATAGTTGGTTTATTCTAATAAAAATTGTATCTACACAATTTGTTTCCATCGTTGTTAACTTGACAAACCAATTTTATAATGTTAACAGACATTCACGATGATGTTCGCGGTTGGAATGGGAGCGTTACCATGGATTATAATGTCTGAGGTATATATATATATATGATATGACCAAACATGTTCTTTTTAGTTTTTGTGTTTTTGGATATATTCTTTAGGCAGATTCATCATTTTTGTTATTATTATTTATGTCTAGTGATATTCTTGGCAGATATTTCCATTGGATATAAAAGTAATAGCTGGGAGTTTAGTGACCATAGCCAACTGGTTCACTGGTTGGATCGCAAACTATTGTTTCAATTTTATGTTGGTGTGGAGCCCAACGGGTACGTACTCTAAACTTCATAGTTTTGAAAAAATCTGAAACTAGTTTTGTTCGATCTCAGAATTATAAAAAAGAAAATGAAATAACTAAACTAAAAGTGTCTTTATGTGAAAATTACTTTGCAGGGACTTTTGTTATATCCGCTATAGTATGTGGATTGACAATTGTATTCACATGGTGTTTGGTGCCAGAGACTCGAGGATTAACGTTAGAACAAATCCAACTCTCGTTTGCCAATGTTTAGGGTTTGATCGGAAACCATTCTATACATAAAAGGTCGATTTATTCTACATCATTTGCTGTTGAACCAAAAAAAAAAAAAAAACTCTACATTATTTGCTACATATAAATTTGTTTGTATCAGTATATAAGTATATTGTTTGATTGATTTTCAATGTAAAATTTACATTGCTTTATTGAATAATAAACTATTTAATTTTCTTTTTGTTGAATTTTATTATTTATCATAAACATCATGATCCTAAAATAAATACTGCTGAATCCTAAAATAAAATATTGTTCATGATGATAGAAGAAATTCAAAACGACATCGTTTTATTATAAGGCTAAACGTCATCGTTTCGTTTTTGAGTCTTAGCGTCATCGTTTGCCGTTGAAACAGAAGAAACGCTGTCGTTTCAGTTACTAGCTCTGCAGGTGATAAGATGGTCGACGGCAACACTCGATGACCTCTCTTAAGAACAGACGAGAAATGTCTCTGAAGCCTTACTTTTCTCTACACTCATTACCTAAAAATGCAAAACTCTCCAACCTTTTGATCGCTCAACAAACCTCCGGTGACCGGAAACCTTCCCCGGCAGAGGAATTTTCTCCGCTGGCTGAGAAGTTCAACCGGCGGCTTCTTCTGGGTGTAGGATCCTCCTCTGTGCTTGCGATCGGTGCGAATTTCGGAGGAATCACGAGTCTCTTACTCGGTCTATCGCCAGAAATCGGCCGGAATTTGAAACTCGACGTCATTTATCCTATCGGAGGTTATAGCAGATGTATCGACACGGCTGAAGGATTCGGTTAGTAAGTCCACTCACTAACTCATCAAATTTAATAGTCTTTAATTCGAATTTCACCAAATGAAGATATTCATTGTCAATCATGTCAGAAAACAGAAATAGTTTGGTATTTTGTAATGTTACTAGTATGAATTTATAATGGCAGAATTTATATATCCGGCTACGTGGGTTGGGGACCAGACGCTTTTGTATAGAGCGGCTGAGAAAACAGAACGGGAGACTTCACTAGACCTTCCTCCGGCAAGAAATAGTCGCCGGAAAAACGTCAATGAACCGGTTGTTGCATTTGGACCACCCGGTTCGACCGGTGAGCTCAATGTCAGTGTTATCGTCTCCCCTGTCTCGCCTGGTTTCTCGTAAGTAAAAAAAAAAAAAAATTATGAGTATACACAATTCATTGAGCGAGTTTAAGAGCATCTCGATGTTTTCTTGTATGGATAAGACAATCAAAACGAAATCTGTTTTATGAAACTTTTCTTGTTGTTTATGATATATAGAATTGAAGCATTTGGAGGGCCAAAGGAAGTAGGAGAAGCAATAGTAAGAACAGTGACAGGATCTGGTCAAAGAAAAGATTTAAAAGGAACGTTGCTGGAATCAAATCTCAGACAAGATTCAGAGAGAAACTTGAAGTACTATGAGTTGGAGTTTAAAGTCGAATCACCGCTTTTCCGGCGGCATAACGTGGCCGTTTGTTGCGCTAACGGTGGCCGGCTTTATACTCTCAACGCTCAGGCTCCAGAGTCAGATTGGTCGGAGGTGAGATCGGAGTTTCACACTATTGCTAAATCATTCAATATCATTTCTTGAATGTGAAGGCAAAACAAATTGTAGACCCCCAAAAGAAACAAGACACCACAAAGCAAGGCTTCTTTTGTTTGTTCATTATCATTATTGGGGGGGAACTCATGGTTTCGATTTCTTGGATACATATTGAATAGACATTTACTTGATTTGATCAATAACAACGAGAAAAAAGTTATGTAAGAAAATGACAATTTCGATTCATATTAGGCTCTTCGTATTAAATTCATATTAAGAAGTTTCACTTAATCAAAATAGACCACATTTAAACCAACTAAATTGTCATGTTTTGTGGAAAATTAAGGAGAAAAATACGAAATGACGATAGAAAGAGAGAATTTCAAACATAATGTTGTCTTGATCGTGCTGCTATATAAACACTGCATGTAGCAGTTATAATTTTTGATTAATTAATAAATAATGAGAAAATATATAAAAATATATTAAAGCCATCTCCTAAACGAAACTAGAAAAACGCCCATCTCTGCTCCTCGGCTTCTCCATCTCCGATCAAATCCGCGGGCGAAGTCAGAGAGTGAGACAAATGGCTATGGCTAGAGCAACATCTGGCCCCGCCTACCCGGAGAGGTTCTACGCTGCTGCATCTTTCGTCGGCCTCGACGGATCTGATTCGTCGGCGAAACACGTCAGCTCGAAATTCTCCAATGATACTGCTCTAATTCTCTATGCGCTGTACCAGCAGGTCAGGAACTTTTATTTTCGATCTCTTCCATTGCTAACCTCACGATTGTGGATTTTGGTATTGAAATTCACGAGATCTGGTGGTTTGGATGTTGATTTTTTTTTTTTATTATTCATCGATTCGTATCCGTCTCGTCGACTTCTTATCAGATTTTTGAAATGACGCACTTTGCTTGTGTGACTTAGCTTGATCGTCATTTTCGATCCTGGTTAGGAATTTCGAGTATCACGTAAGAGCTAAAAAACAAATTAACATGTAGATCCACTGGTGACACTATAACTGCTCGGTAAAATGTTTCCCGAGATTTGATTGATTATAGTTTCTATTAATCAGATCTCACGTATCGTCTGTCCTTCAATCGTAGTTTACTTAGATCTGTATTTGTTCTGTAACTTGAAATGTGACCGTAATGTCAGAAAATCAGCCTTTTCACAACACATGTGTTTTTTGTTTTGCATCTTTTGGTTATGATAGTTGGCCATTGGTTCTTATTCATGATTAGTATTGTCATATGCGAGTTTATTATTCATGGTGCTGAAAATGGTTGTTCCTTCGCCAGAGAGAGAGTCTTTCTCTTCTACTAATTAAGTTTTTGAGTCAACTAAATTTCATAAATGGGATAGATAGGCTCAGTGTTGATGATCTCTTGTATTCAACATGTAAACAGGCTACTGTAGGACCATGCAACACTCCGAAACCTAGTGCATGGAGACCAGTGGAGCAAAGCAAGTGGAAAAGGTTAGATTCGGTGCTGTGTCTGCCAATACTTTTCTGCTATTAACATTTATGCATTCATCTCACGCTCTTTTACGTGTCCGTCCTTGAGTCTGGAAACCATACTTGTATGAAGAAGCTTGTGGTGGGTATAATTAGGAAATGCCTTAGATTTCATTGATTACTATTTACTAGGTAGAACAATCCAGAGGCCTCATGAATCAGGGACACGAGAAGGGAGTATTGAGTATTATTCTAGATGTAAGCTGCTAGAGAAAATAGAATTGCAGAATTTGTAATTGCATCCATGGGGGAAAACTAAATGCTTACCTGTGGTTTGATATGCATTCAAAAATTGAGTGGCATGTTGGTAAAAGTGATTGCAGATTATGTTATTATGCAAGTACGACCTTACATCGCCGAGCTTGTTACTGCGTAGAATCTTTTTAAAGGAAAATAAGCCTTGAATGTTGTTTATGTGAACTTTCCTGGGAGAAGTATATGCTAATGTTCTGAAGCATTTTCATATATACTTAGTTGGCAGGGGCTAGGAACTATGCCCTCCATCGAGGCAATGCGTCTCTTTGTGAAAATTCTGGAGGTAAATGACAGAGATGTCGCTAATTTTTTATAGAGACTCTATTTGGAGCATAGGCTTGATTTCTTCCCTTTTTCTCACTTTTTTCAGGAAGAAGATCCTGGTTGGTATTCGAGGGCATCTAATGATATTCCAGACCCTGTTGTAGATGTTCAAATCAATGTGAGCTTTGTATCCTTTAGGATTCTATGTCCAAAACATGGGAAATATTACACTTTTGTTTTTTTGCTACGGTGAAGAAAGTATTTGAGTCTTTTAGTGCATTCATTCTCTGTAGCAGACAACAAAAGATGAGCCCGTTATTGAGAATGGGAACTCATTTGCCGAGACAAAGACAATTTCTACTGAGAACGGACGTCTGGCCGAAACCCAAGATAAAGATGTAGTCTCGGAAGACCCAAATACTGTTTCTGTATATAACCAATGGACTGCACCCCAAACATCAGGTCAGCGGCCAAAAGCCCGTTATGAGGTAATACAAGTTTCTCTCTTTTGGAAGATATGTAAATGGTCCTGTCATTCATGTGTCTTCTCTATTTTCTAAGTCTTGTTTATCATATTTGTTTCAGCATGGAGCAGCAGTTATTCAAGATAAGATGTATATATATGGTGGAAATCAAAATGGCCGTTACCTTGGTGATCTTCATGTAAGCAACTTGTATATTTGCTAAGCATAAGCTGATGATGTAATTGAAAGTATTTAGTTTCATTTCAACCTAACTTGACGATACCACTCATGCATACAATTCTTAAGCAATGTCTTCTGTGGAATGTATACAGGTTCTAGATTTAAAAAATTGGACATGGTCAAGAGTTGAAACCAAGGTTGCAACTGAACCACAGGAAACATCAAATCCAACATTACTATCTCCTTGTGCTGGTCATTCTTTGGTTCGTTTTTTAAACTTCTTGCCTTTTGTTTTTGTTTCTTTCTTTTGGCTTTCGGGCGTAGAAATATTTAGGACAGGGGTTTCAGCTAAAGGAAAGTAGTGTCTTCATGAAATCCACTTGCTAAATTAGTTGGTAACAAAGAAGAGTCTAGCAATACATTATTTTCACTTGCCTTCTTTGTTTGATATGTAGATACCATGGGACAACAAATTGCTGTCTATCGGTGGTCATACTAAGGATCCCTCAGAATCTATGCAAGGTAAGTTAGTATACCTTGGAGGACGGTTAATTGCAAGTATCTTATAGGAGCTTTCTGGAATCTTAATTATGACAATAATTTTTCTACGGTTTTCCTATCACAGTGAAGGTCTTTGATACCCACACCTGTACATGGTCAACGTTAAAGACATATGGAAAACCACCGGTATATCTTCTCTTGTCTCATGTTATTTCATTTGTTTTCCGTCACCTTTGCATGGAAATATTCCGGACTCTGTTTGTAATTATCTCTTGCTTTCAGGTTTCACGTGGAGGCCAGTCAGTCACAGTTGTGGGTAAAACTTTGGTGATATTTGGCGGCCAAGATGCAAAGAGATCACTTCTGAACGATTTGCATGAACTTGACCTAGAAACTTTGACCTGGGATGAGATAAATACCGTGTAAGAAATTTTTGATGTTTCTGCATTTTTTTTATCTCTTTCAAAGAAGTCAATCCCATCTAAGATTAGTTATATAACCAGAATACGGATATTTTTAGAAAGCCACCAACTATCTCCATTCAAATTGTTAAATGAGAGATTTTCAATCAGGGTTTAAACTGTTGTCAACTTGCAGAGGTGTATCTCCATCTCCGAGGTCTGATCATGCTGCTGCAGTGCATGCAGAACGTTACCTTCTTATCTTTGGTGGGGGCTCACATGCTACCTGTTTCGATGATTTACATGTCCTCGATTTGCAGACTGTAAGTTAAGCTAAGCGCAGATTGTTCCAGCTGCCTATCAAACGTTCTTTGTCAGCGTCTGATATATAAGTGTCAAATATAGATGGAGTGGTCAAGACCGGCACAACAAGGTGAGGCACCAACTCCGCGAGCTGGACATGCTGGCGTGACAATTGGGGAGAACTGGTTTATTGTTGGTGGCGGTGATAACAAGAGTGGTAGGTTTATGCAATTTTTCCTGGGAAATTCTCTTTTCTACCCTGCCATTTCTGTTGATCACCCCTCTAACCATTTCTGCGAAAGAAATGATAAGTTCGTGTTGGCTGATTGTGCTGCATCCTGACAAATTACTGCAGGTGCATCTGAGAGTGTTGTACTAAACATGTCAACTCTTGCATGGTCGGCAGTTGCTTCAGTTCAAGGACGTGTACCTGTTGCTAGCGAGGTACTTAAATGAAATTTTTTTATCCATATCAAATTCCAGATTACTATTAAAAAAATAGTAATTTCACCTCATCATCCCTGAAACACGGTGGTAGCCTTATTAAAACTTTTAAAGGAATCAGTATCAGAAGAATTAAGCGCAAATCTTCCTTTTCTTTTCTACTGACAGGGATTAAGTGTAGTCGTGAGTTCATACAATGGAGAAGATGTACTAGTTGCTTTTGGTGGATACAATGGACGTTACAACAACGAGGTAGGGACTGTCGTAAACCCACAAGTACCATACTCATGATTTAGTATTCAGTTCTGCTTCTAATTATTCCTCGGCGTTAGATAAATCTGCTGAAACCAAGCCACAAATCAACACTGCAAACAAAGACTCTAGAACCGCCTTTGCCAGGTAGCCTTTCTGCTGTTAACAATGCCACAACCAGAGACATGGAGTCAGAGGTTGAGGTGAGCCAAGAAGGCAGAGTACGGGAAATTGTCATGGACAATGTTAACCCTGGATCAAAGGTATCTTCTTGTCCAAACTTTCCTTGTTAATCTGTTTGGATAGTTGCATCCTTTCATTTGTTCAGGATAGTTAAATTGTTTTCCACAACTATATATAGCGATAGTATGTATACATAGTGCATATATTATGTGGTCCTGGTAGTACCAACACAGGATTATAGTTACTTAAGTCGGGATCACCACCATCTCTTTCACTAATCTTTCATCTTGGGTAATGAATCCCCCAGGTGGAAGGAAACAGCGAAGGCATCATCGCGGCTCTTAAATCCGAGAAGGAAGAACTGGAGGCATCACTAAGCAAGGAGAAGATGCAGACTCTCCAACTAAGGCAAGAGTTAGCAGAAGGAGAATCACGAAATACAGATTTGTACAAGGTAATTAATAATAGAGACTTTCAACCAAGAGAGTACGTAAAAAAACTTCCGATTGCATTCACATGTTAACAACTGGAAATCTCGGAAACGTTCTCTGATACTATATACCTTAAACTACATTTTATAGGAACTTCAGTCTGTTCGTGGCCAACTTGCAGCCGAACAGTCAAGGTGTTTCAAGCTGGAGGTATTAAACCCGTAGCCACATCTCTTTTTAGACCATAGCCATTAGCCACATCTCATGCCATTTTGGAATCTGCAGGTTGATGTTGCAGAGCTAAGACAAAAGCTTCAAACATTGGAAACGCTCCAAAAGGAACTCGAACTCCTCCAGCGTCAAAAGGCTGCCTCTGAACAAGCCGCTATGAACGCTAAACGTCAGAGCTCCGGTGGCGTCTGGGGCTGGCTCGCTGGTAGCCCTCACGAGAAGGATGATTCGCCTTGATTCATTGTTTTTTTTTCTTCCGGTATTGCCATTTTTATCACTCGATATTTGCTTTCAGTAAAGAAAATATATATATGTATTTTTTTTCTTTTCTTTTTTGCCCGAGTCCCTCGCATGGTTTCTTCTTCCAATAAGATCTGTCATTACCGTCCTTTTTGAGATTTAAATAACTATCGACGTTTAGCTTTGCTCTATTTTGCTTCTCATTCGTGTTTAGTTCTCTGTAATACAAGTTCTCACCAGAATATTTGTTAACTATTTAAAACATTTTGTCTGGGGATTGTGAATATGATTAAAAACTATATCAGTTTTATAAATCCTAGAAACTTTGGCATCACCCAATCATAATATTCTCAAGTTTACGAGTCTTAAATAACAATTAATAAATAATCTCGCTCATTCCTAATAAGAGGATGAATAATCACGTTTTTACATCCTATGACGTGGCACCATGCTATTCGATCTGGAGGCTCGACGGTTCGGCATCAGCATTCATGGCGCTTTAAAGTTCCCAAAATGCCCTCTCAAGCACTGTGAACGTTTTTGTCATCTTCTTTAGCTTTCCTGGCAAATCCAAGCGGCACTATGAAGCTCGATTCTGTGGCTACTGACACTGGAAGTGACGGTGATGATAATAAAAATGGCGACGGAGATGGTTCTCGGGTTACTAACAGTACGGAATCAAAGGAGCTTTGGCATGGGAAGTTCATAGGTAGTGAAGGAGACTGGGACATTGAAACGGAGCCTAGGTTTTCTGAAATGAAAAGAGAGAATAGTTCCCAGGTCAAAGACGAAGACGCCGGTGACCAATTTTATGAGGTTTGCGACGAAGATGATGAGAAGAAACTAGGTATGGCTTCGAAGGAGGAAAAGCGAGTTCCGGATTACAATACTTTATTATCCGAGTTCGACGATTATGTTGCAAGCGAGGGAGTGAGTTCTGGAGCTTCTAGGGCACTCAGCCATGGGTTTGAAGTGGGAGATATGGTATGGGGAAAGGTAAAGTCGCATCCATGGTGGCCAGGTCATGTATTCAGCGAAGCTTTTGTGTCGCCTTCTGTACGTCGTATGAGGAAGATGGGTCACGTTCTGGTTGCTTTCTACGGAGATTGTAGTTACGGCTGGTTCGATCCTGCTGAGCTTATTCCATTTGAGCCCCATTTCGCAGAGAAGACTCAGCAAACTGTTTCGAGTAACTTTGCAAAAGCTGTGGAAGAAGCTATGGATGAAGCAGGTAAAAGGTCAGCTCTTGGGTTGGCTTGTAAATGTCGGAATCCTTTCAACTTTAGGCCTAGTAATGTTCAAGGTTACTTTGCTGTTACTGTGCCTGGTTACGAGCTCCAAGTTGTCTACTCCTCTAAGCAGATTAAGAAAGCTAGAGATAGTTTTTCTTGTGCTCAGACTCTCTCGTTTGTGAGGCGGTGTGCTTTAGCACCTCAAGACTGTGATTCAGATTGCTTAAAGTTTTACCAGAAGAAAGCAGCGGTTTGCGCTTTCCGCAGGGCAGTGTTTGAGGAGTTTGATGAAACATATGAAGAGGCCTTCAGGGCGAAATCTGCATACACTTCAGCGACGACGCAGGAACCAATTAAGAGAGCAACCCCTCGAGGTAGCACCGCCTTTCAGCGATCCTGGCATTGTTTGAATTTGTTTCTTATATTTCTGCTTCCTCCGTATCACAGAAATGCGGTTGATATTCTTGAAAACCCTGGGCCTTTTAGGGTTGTTAATGAAGGTTTTATAGCTTTGAAGTTGTATACTTGACACTAAAATGATTCAAGAAGGCATTGCATACTGTGTTGATCTTGAACTCTGCATTGCGAAACCCACTTCACATAGTGGAGAGCGTCACATAATCTTTTATTGTTTCCTATATTTTCATTGTTTTGGGTGTTTGAAAAAAGATTTTACATTGGCTCATGTGTTGCTTATGCTTACAGTCCCCTTGAGTGGTCCACTGGTCACTGCAGAAACTCTGGGCGACCCGAAGACTTCTAGAAACGCTATCAAAGTAAAGGATTCCACTAAACAAGACAAGTATCTTCCCAAACTGATAACATGACAGTTCGATTTGGCCAGGTCCAAGCAACTTCTCAGCTTCAGGGCATCAATGGATCCTCAACCGGGAAACATGTATTGCAGAGAAGGACTCCATATCTCAAAGCTCCCATGAAACATGAGCAGACTGGGCTTGTCAGCGTGGACTTTATCTCTCCAAGTGGTGACATTCCTGGAAAATTCTCGGTTTCAAAGCTATCTCGTGATGATGACAAGTGTTTAGCTCAAGAACCAAAATCGGTGAGAATGGGAGAAAAAGCTGCTCTATTCTCAGAGCATGAGAAATTTGAAACAATGGCCAGCGTTAAACAAGTTGAGACTGGCACGCATCCTAGATCAAACGAAGGCCTTCTCGAGCCCTTTATTGAGAGGAAATGTGCTGCAGGGGATGGGATCAAGAAGGTCAATGTCCTCAAACGGTCTTCTGGAGAAATGGATTCTGAGAATGCGACGAAAATGAAAAAGAAGAAAGAGTCTCGGTCAGAGCAGACTCGTTACAGTGCAGACAAGAGGAAAACTTTGTCTTCTGAAGAAGCTCGGGCCAATAAATCATCACAATTAGACTCAACAGGAAGGCACTTCAATATGTTGACTGGGAGAAGCTCTAAACTCGACGTTCTGCAGATGTTGAGTAATTTGCAAGCTCTCTCGCTTGAACCGTTCCATGGATCCTCGAATATAAGCTCTATTAGAGCTGTAAGGCAATTCTTTCTGCGTTTCCTGTCACTTAATTACCATAAAAGCTTGGACATATCTCCTCCTACAACAAAACCGTCAAAATCTGCAAAGGCGTTGAGAAGCACGAACGAACCATCAAAGGCCGGGAGAAAACGCCTCTCGTCTGACCAGCAACAAGACGTCCCATCAACTAAGAAGCTAAAGAAAACTAATCGGTTCAAAACATTGCCTTCTGATAAGAAAACCAACCAAGAAGAAAAGAAGAGATCAAATTTTGCACCTTTAAATCCAGTAAGACACGAAAGTGGTCCAGTCCCAATCAACGCCAAAGCTCAAGCAGGAAAGAAGACGAAGGAAATTGTTCCCACGATGCTGGTCATGAAGTTTCCTCATGGTGCATCTCTCCCTTCGACCGCTCTGCTTAAGGCGAGGTTCAGTCGGTTTGGACTGTTGGATCAATCGGCCATTAGGGTTTAATGGAAATCCTCCATCTGCTGTGTTGTCTTCCTGTACAAGCTCGATGCGCAGACTGCCTTAAGATATGCATCAGGAAGCAACTCTCTCTTTGGCAACGTGAATGTGACCTACTTTCTGCGTGACGTGAAAGTTTCTTCTGCATCCGAGGGTCATGAACCGAAGAAGGCCAAGACAGATGAACCGCTGAACCAGCGGCTAGAGCGAGCACAGCCGGTTCACCAACCAAGCATCCATCTCAAATCCTGTTTAAAAGAGCCAGGCAATAACGGCAATGGTAACCGCGGGAAAGCTCGAGTCAGATTCATGTTGGGTGGGAAAGAGACAGGGACACCATTTCTGGTTTCGGGTAGAGACAATCGAAATTGCGCATCATCATCTGTTGCAATGGAATATGTTCCGAACACTCAAAACATGGTTCCATCAGCATTGCCTTGGTTAAACTCAAAAGCTAAGCTGTGAATAATAATAAAGTAGTGGACCAGGTCGAACCACCACTAAACCCGTCGCAGTGTACGGTGGACGTATCACAGGAGATAATGAAGCTGTTATCAAGGTGTAACGATGTTGTGGCTAACGTCACGGGATTGTTGGGTTACGTCCCTTATCATCCCTTATGAATACATCTGATATAAGACAATTATGAACTCTGATATAAGACAATTATATACTCTCGAGTCTGTGTAGATAAGTGAGGTTCCAATTGCAAAAAGAGATCACAATTCAAATTGAACGAATCTAAATCTAATTCAAATTCAAGTGTGCTAAGAAATCCTTCCAGTAATCTATTAACAACCTATTATAAAATCAAATCTATATGTAAATCCTTACTATTGAATAACATTTAATTTTAAGAGAAAATTTGGAAAAATACCTTCAAAAGAGATTGTATTTTGAAAACTACACTATTGTTCATTTTTTTAAATTATACTTAATTTTAAATGAAATGTCTAAATTAATCTAATTAAAAATTGGTAATACCTCTAATATTTAATTAAAATATAAATAAATATATGAAAATGAATATAAGAATGAAGATACATGATTATGAAACTTGATTAATATTTTAATTAAATATATAAAAATGAATAAAAAATTGAAGACATGTGATTTTGGAATTTGAATAATATTTTAATTAAATATATAAAAATGAATAAAAAATGAAGACACATGATTTTGGAATTTGAATCATCATTGCAATTCATATATCATTTGATTTGATCTTTTGCTAAATTATAACTAGATCCAACTCTTGGAAACTTTATGATAGACCAAAATAGTTTTAATTAAAAATATCTAAATAATACACTAACAAACTATTTATTTGTTGGAGATGAATTTTCAAATATTTAAAAATTTTATTTCGAATTTTAATTGTCTCAGATAAATTAAAATAATAATTAATAATGTGTTTGAAACTAATGTGTTTATTAACTTTACTTGTTTTCCTATTTTAAAACCCAAATCAGACTGATAAAAACTAGGGGGTTAATATGCATCAAATCAAAGTACAAAAGGGTTTTAAATTTAGTTTAGTTTTTTACATAACTGAAACCCGAGGAAACCAAATTTTTGACCGGATTGTAAGTTTGTAACCCTATCACGTTCTTTCTTCTTCTTTTTTACGTTTGATTCTAACTTAATATGCCATTACATATCTAAGGTTAGGTTATATATATAGTCCATAAAATAGGCTTAACCTGTTAGAGCTTAATCATATTATATATTCTTTTATTTATAATAGATATTACCGAACCCTGGCGTATAAAGTAACGATTACCTTTCGATTCAGCTTTGAGGTACATTTATCAGAATCATATGTCTTCAATGTTAAAATAACATAAGAATTGATAAGACTAAGGAGACTAATAATTTAAATCTTTAGGGCATTTATATATAAGCTGCATAATACCTAAAGAAGGAAATTGTTGGAAAACTAACTATGTCCCATAGTCCAAACAAAAACAAAAGAGTATACCAATGATTTGGACCAAACCAAATATTATACCAAAAGCTTTTCGATGAGATTTTATAGTTTTACTAGAATCACTTGTTTAAGGGACGGACGATACGATATATTCCTCAAATCTCCTCTTGTCATCTCTTTTCTCATCTTCTTCTACCGATCTCGACTCCGTAAACCTTTTGTTCAGACCAACAATTCATGTGACCAACAAGTCACTTCAGCCGCCGTAATCGCCGTGGGGTAAACCAAAAGGTTATATAAGTTTAGACTTAAAAGTAATAAAATAAGCTCAAAGCCTAAAAGGATAGATATCATCTCGCGTTCTACCCTACGTGTGTTGTGCATTGTTACGTTCTATTATCTTTTAGACTATAGTAGTACTACTACTACTTGATTAAAATCAATAAATAGATAAGACTGTAGTAGGTTAATAGATCGATACTTTTTGTTTTGGTATATAGGGTACTTTCAGTTATAAAGATTTGCAAAACAGTATAATATTTCGCATGAGATCTTTTTTTGTTTGACATAAAAAAAAGTTTAATACATAAAACATAAAACATATATTGATATAAATCAGGTTAAAGATATTGTAAAAGTAAAAGCACTGATCATACAAGCCTACATGCTACTCGAAGATTAAACCTTGGGCCAGTACCACCCGGTAATAATGCAACCCAAAATTCAATGCGCTTCAATTCCAGCGAAAGCTAACGTAAGAAATAGTATCGCAGACGCAGGAAAACAATATTAAAGAAACAATATCGCAGACACAAAAATGAAAACTTTATCCGGAAATTCCCTCTAATATATATCTAGACAAGATAAAAATTAACCGTGGACAACAATTCAACAAAACAAACAAATTCTAGCTATACCATTTAATCATAACTCGTTTAATACCTAGCTAAGACTAGAAACGAACTGATTTTGGCTTTTTAAAGTATTTTGGAATTGAAACATCCTAACATTTCTCTAAGGTTTACAGATTTTTAGAAGGACATTACATTTCCGTTTTGTTTTCTACAGAGAAAATAATGATTTTTGACCGTGTTAACCGTTGGTGTGTTATTTAAAGCGTAATTGATCCTACTGTTTGAGGCGTGGCAGTGAAAGACAAATTCCTCCCACTTTTTAACTATAGTGTTTTGAAGGTTTGCATAATTATTAAAAATAACTAAGTACGTACGTGTTTCTTTCTTAGGGGAGTCACTTTCCACTGGGGATGAGTAAAAATCATTATTTTTGGAAACTTAAATATTGTATATAACACATTTACTACGGATATTGTAATACAGCGAAAATAATATTTTGATAACCTATAAGGGTTGGCGATCAAATAAAATACAGTTTTACGCAGAATTACATATAAACAATTCATACAGAATTTGAAAATGGATAATGAACATTTGTAGCCAAATTGTTATTACAGTATAAGTTCTTTTTTCCTGATCAGAAATGATGAGAAAAATTAAATGGGTATCGACCATTTACCCCAAACGTTTTTTTTTTAAACCACATGTACCCCCAATCCTAGTTAATATTACGTCTTTACTTCTCTAAATTTTTATATAATTCCTTTTCTAGAATACATAAAGAGAGATTAAACTGATGTCAAAAAAAAAAAGAGATTAAACTAAAACTTAACTTTTTTTTTGTCAACTAAAAATTAACTTTCTCAAATTACTTCGAATCAAGAAATAATAAATGGTTATCATGCAATGCAAAAGTAATATCATAAAACCAAAACCTATTAAAAAAAAGAACAGCAAAAACAAAACCTAAGCAGAAAATAAAGCACTTCCATTTTAGAAATTTGGATAGAATTTAGCATTGTACAAATAAAGGCTACTACTTGAAAGAGTAAAAGACCCTTGCTTTGAAAGAGTAAGAGACTTACCCTGATTTTGGTTTTCGACTGTTGTAGAGCAAGAAAAAAGGTGCGGATTTTCTTTTATCCTTTTTCATCTTCTTCATACTATGGGTTCTTATGTTAAGGTTAAAACTTCATACAAAAGATTCCACATTTATTCTTCGGCCTAGATTTTCAATTGCTTTTGCGTTTTGGAAGAAAAGGAGGGGATTTCATTATTTGTCTTTGGAACTTCATTATTTCTCCAGTTCCTGAAACTTTTTGGGGGACAAAGGTGCGATTCTTGTTGTTGTATGGCTGATATGATGTTAAATCTGTAAACTTTTCACCAAAGACTGTACCTTTCTTCTTCATAACCAAATAACAAACCCTAGAAAAGATGTGCTTTCATTCTTAGTTTGCTTTGGCGAACTTCACTGTTTTCTGAAATGTTATGGGTTTGGGATGTTAAAGGTGAGACCTTTTTGGGGTTTTTTTTCCTGGTTCCACATTTCTTTTCATTTTCTGTAATCATGGGGGTTTTTGGGATGTAAATTAAGGATTATAATTTCTTAGAGAAAGTGCAAGATTTTAACAAAAGCATTTCTTCTTTCAATTTCTTTTTCTTTCTCTCAGGCTCAGAGCTTACAGAAGGCTCCTTCTCCTCGCACGCTCGTCAAGCCCTACGTTCTTCGTCCAGAAGGTTCTACGTTCAAACCTTTACTAAATATATCCTCTCTTTCTATCTCTTCAATCCGATTTCCCAGTTTCTGTATCAGATTCTTGTCGATTGAGTTCGTATCGATGTAGGTGATAGATCTATATCTACGTAATGTTAGTGCGTTTGGAACCGAAATATTCTCGCCACTTAGTTTTATTTTCCTCCAGTTTCTTGTTGATTTCCGAGCATTAATGATCAATTATTTATATGAGGAACAAGATGGAGGAAGAAGGCAAACTTGGAGGTAGACGGAAAAAGCAAAACGACCAGGCACAAGCCAAAGAACACGCAAAGAAAAAAGCTGCTGAAGCTGGATCATCATCCAAAGCCAAAGAACTAACATTCCAGGAGGTATATTCTCTCATTGGTTACCCTGATTTCTCTCATTGGTGAATAAGTATTAAGTACTGTACATGTGGGTTTGATTATTTTATTTCTTAAATAGATATTCGGCATTGAAACCATAAGAAAAGATTGGAGCGTAAATAGGCAAATTACTGGATCGGTTAGGAACCAAGGTCTCAAAGGTATTTTGTAGCTACAACAATGTCATATTTTGAATAGTTTATAACAGTACCCTAAAGTAACTAACTATGTTTATATAGATATCTGTTGGGCCATATGCTTTGCCTGCCTTTTACAGGCTATTTACAACATTCAACATCCCGATGATCAGATTGAGTTTTCGGTTAGTGACTTGGTGGGTAGCATAATACCAGACTCTAAAGAGAAAGGAAAAGGTTTGGCACTTGCCAACCTCAAGAAAGCTTTTAAACATATCAGCACAATCGGAATGTTGAAGATGCCCACTAAGGGACATGGAATGGTAAAGATTAGATCAGTCTCTGTCTTAGTTTTTTTGTTATTATTTAGCTAACCAAAATTTTATATATATATATATATATATATATATATTTTTTTTTAGGCAGGAGATAAGGGGAAAAAGGTTCAAGAAAACTTTGATATCTATCAGGATGTCGATGCTTCGTTTATTCGACAGCAGTTGGATCTGTTTCCCGTTGCACTTCGATTAGAGATAGAGCCACTACTTTCAGATAATAAGGGGGAGGTTAGTAAAACAAATTGTGAAGTAAATGTAGATTTTAAACTTGCTATAAATAGATCAATCACCTCATATTTTAAATAACTTCAATCATTAAACATTTTCTTTCATTTTTACAGATTTATTATTTGCCTAAGAAGGAGGTCATTACGCCCTATACTCGTCTACACTGTCTGATTCTCATTGGGTATGGTATCACCAAGGAAGGGAAGTGGTACTTTATTGGCCAAAACTCATGGGGAGAAAAATGGGGATGCAAAGGGTATGTCCAAATCATCATTGAACATCCTTGTGACATAATTTGCCGCAAAGGATAGGTGCTGGATTCAGAGAAAAGAGGTGCAAAGAGATTGGACAACGCGTTGTTTGATTTGGAACTCCATTTGACTTTCGTTTTATGTGAAACACTTGAATCATAGTATTTTGAACACTTTACTGTTTTTATAGCTTTTCGTTGCTCCTCTTAAGTGATATCTAAGATCCAGTGGCGGTAGATAGAGGTTCTCTTTTATGATGCTTATTTGGGTGATGGGTCATGAGAGCGATGGTCGGAGGTAAAATTTCATGAAGGAGAGAGAAGATTTCTGACCAAAGCAAAGACCCGAATCACTTATTTCGACGAGTTTAAAAAATGAACTTGAAGACTTGAAGCTTTCCCGATGATGAATTCCGGCGAGAAGCTTCGCTCTAGCGATAGGTCGGCTGCGCTTATTCCTGCTACCCTGTCTTCTTCCACGTAACAGACACGTGTTTACGTGATGACATCGTAATCGAATGTAAAGACCTCGGGTTGGGCTTCATGTAACTTCTCCCCAAAAAAAAAATGTAATTTGATTTTCTTTTTCCATCATAATCAACTTATTTTAATGCGGAACCGATACAAAGTCTGAATGTTAAAAAGTAAAAGAGAAAACATTAGTTGAAATTTGGTACATAAGCGTAATAACTAAATTTTTTTAAAATCCGGGTAATACGCAATAAGTCTTCTAACGTACAACATAATGCAAGTTCTTAGAAACTCTTCAATTCACCTCTTCCACCGCCTTGGCTACGTCTTCCGACTGACCTCTTCCACCGCCTTCAACTACCACATCGACAGAAAAACAAACAGAGCAAAATCAGGTGCGAATTGGATCCCCTCTGATTCTTAGGCCAACAAGTGGATCAGAACCACGCATACTATGTACCATTTGCCACTAATTAAGAGATAACAATCAGAGTAGTCTAATGCATGCTCTTGTAAGTTGCAACCAAGTCTGGAAATCACATCGTTTCATACCCCACTATACATACAACTAAAGCATAACAGGCCCAGAGGCAAAACCAGAGGATGTGACAAGGGTTTCTTGGGAGAAAAGTACCCTTTTTTGGTGGAGAAGCGGGTCTGCATAGGATGGGATAAGTCTCGCCTGCTTCCCGAATCGCCTTAGCTTGATACTCCACTAAAGGTGCATCAGGAGACTCTCTTGCAGCAAAAGTGATGTAGTACTTTGTCCTTCCCCCTGGGTTGAAATTGGCCCTCAAGAAATGGTCGAACTTCACATTCTTGTTCTGGACAAAAGTAGTAAACAAGGAGGATCCCAAGTAGATTAACAACATAGGAGGAGGACTCTCTAGGCAAAAGCAAAAGATTAAAAAAGAAGTGATATGTTGCCTCGCGTTTGTTATATTCTTCAACACATTCAGATGCCATGTTTTCCATGAGCTGACGAACGGTAAGGCCTTCCCTTATTTTCTTATCCAGATCACCTGGGACTGGAACAATTCCATCCCAGTGGTAACGGGGAAAATTTCCCGTTGGCTCAAAGAAACCCTAAAACCCAGCAGACATTGATGATTCTCTCATGCTCCACTCAAAAAATGTTTAAACAACAACCTCAAAGTACCTTGGTTTCGATGACGGCGCGATAGTAGTTATGGCATTGTTCTCCAAGTTCCTCGTCCGAATACACAGGGTAATCCGAGGGGTTATATACCTGGCCATCGAAGCTATCCTTATCCCAAACCAAATCACTATCTTCTCCCTCGCCTTCGCTTTCTTCTCCGTCGCCTTCGCTTTCTTCGGGATCCTCCGCGTTGGTGGTTTCGGCCTTGCGCTTCCCCAGCAAAGAAGAGGCAACGCTGCTGCAAGTTTCCATGGGCTCCGTCACTTGGGAATCGCTTGAAGATCCATCCTTTGTCTCCCCGTCTTCGCTTGATTTTGGAGGAGCCATGTCGATTTTTTGTTGTCGACTACAAACCCTAGATCTCTTCAATCCAATTTGTGTCTTCTTTTTCTTTAGACATATATTACACCGCTGCTAAAGTCTATTTAACCCCTCCGTAATTCTTATTTACGGTAATGCCACCGCACATCGGGCCATCACATATCAAAATGCTCTTTATCATAATTTTAATATATATAATGCTTGCTCTACATATATTAGTTGTCTATCTTCTCTTTTTTGTTTGTGCTGTGAGTTATGATTTATGTGCCACTTAGAGCATCTCCATCGGGGTGTTTAGAGCGTTTTTTAGGGGGTTTGTTAAGTTAAAAATATATTAAAAAATTGATTTAATTATGTTATCTCTAACAGTTATTTTTTATTCAGGCAATTTCAGACCTGTTCCTAAATTCATATGTGTCAATCTGTAGTTACACGATTTATTTTTATTAAAACAAAATAAAAAGAAAAGAAAATCGGAACAGCAATCTCTCTTTCCTCGTCTACGATTTCATCGGTGAAAGCTCAGAATCCAAACAATGAAACCCCATAATCTGACTCTGATTTCATCGGTGAAAGCTCAGAATCCAAACAATGAAACCCCATAATCCGACTCTGATTTCATCGGTGCGCTGAGAACTATGGTTCTGGCCGAATATACCGACTTCACCGGTAATTTTCCTTCAACGCAGCTCAGTGTCTCCAGAAGCTTCCTTCCTCCAGCAACAGCAAGTTCACTTACAACTGCGATCACCATACCTTCAATTTCCTCGTCGAAGATGGCTACGGTTTGATTCCTTCTCACACTCTCCTCTCTCCGGTTTTCTCAATTTGAACAGTGTCTCAAAAAGTGCTATTTTTAGCATGAATCCAGTAAGGGTTTTTGATGGATGTAGCTCATGATTAGCTTTATGTGCATCATCGGAATCTCAGGGCAGTTTTCGTAGATTGGATTTCGCCTTTCTAGGCGATGTAACAGTGTTTTTGTGTTCCCGTATCGAATTACAAGTTTGGTTTGTGTATGCGAAAAACTTTTGACTTTGGTCATTTAAATTTATATGAAATGCTTTTGGTTTTGGTCATTTTAATTCATTAAGAAAGACTTTTGACTTGTATCCACCACGTCGTGAATCATCATGGTTGTGATCATTTAGTTTGTAAGCCTAGTTTCTCAAACTTACTTTGTATAAGTAATATCTTTCTTGGGTTTGTTTGGTTTCCAGTCAATGACAATGGCTCAAACAGCGGTATCTGCTTCTGAAAATGGGGATGATGATGATCAATGGGCTGCTGTTGAGAGACTACCAACATTTGAAAGGATCACTACTGCTTTGTTCTGCAAAACATATGAAGAAGGGAAGAGAAGAGCGAGAGGACAACTCATGGATGTCTCTAAGCTTGATCAGGCTCATGATAGACATATTTTGGTATTTCAACGATTTCTGGTATTGATTACGTTTCTTTGAAATTCTTCTGGTATTTCAACGATTTCTGAAAAAAAAAAATATATATGTATATATATGTATATATATGATCTGAATCAAAATGAGAAGTTTGAGTTTCAACTGATGATAACGAATTAAGCATGTCTATATCCTGTTACATGTTTGATCATGCCATTGTCGTGTACTGTTTCTCCCAAATTTCTGTACGAATTTTAGGAAAAAGTTGCTATTTATTATACCTTACTGTGAGCAAACGAATCTGATCGATTTTGGAAATGCAGGGCATGATCATTGGACTGTTGGCTAGCATTTGATTCAACCTGGAGCAATGTCGACATTTAATCTGAATGTGGATGTACATCAGAACGGGGATGTCAAGAATGTTGATTCTTCATATATAGTGGACGATGTTGATGACACTGACTTCTCAAAGTTAGTGATATTTTGAGCTATAGCGGTTTCATCAATTTTCAATTTCTCTAATCTTGTGTAATTCTATGTATTGTAGGGAGTTTATGGATATCCGATAGAGATTCAAACCCTTTTCTTTATGGCCTTAAAGTGTGCCTTGCTCCTACTTAAACATGACGGAAAGGGTAAAGAAATGGTGGAACAGATAGTGAAGCGACTTCATGCATTGAGCTACCACATGAGGAGCTACTTTTGGATAGATTTGAAGCAGTTGAATGACATTTACCGATATAAGACAGAGGAGTACTCCCACACCGCTGTTAACAAGTTCAACGTATGATTAATTTTATTTTTTACAATAAAATAATTTTTAAAATATAAATTTTGTATATGTAAAAGACCTATTAAAAATTGTACCAATGGAAGAGTAAAAAATGAAAATATATTTCAAGGGTTTTTAAAACTAGAAAATTTATATTAAAAAATAGTTAAGAGTCCCATTAAAAGGTTTACCAATGGAAATGGTCTTATGGAGCGAATAAAAAAATCTCATATGATGTGACAATACTAAACCTAACCCCTAAAACCATCTCCATCAGTGTTTCTAACAAAGGTATTTTACTAATAAAAAAATTAAAAAAAATAAAATGGAAGAAAGAGAAAGCACATACGTATACTATTTGACATATTCTAGAAACGTATTTAGACAATATGTAGACAGATGTTTAATGGTAACTGGTTCATTACATTTAAAATTTTAAAATTAATTAAATAAAAATATTATATTCATATTAAATTCTAGAAAGAGTATATGCCGATGAGGATGGTCTAACATATTTTGTCTAAATATTTTATTACATGAATGGTCACTTTCCTACTTATAAAAAAATTGCTTAGCTGTTTTTCTACAATGTGACACGGTTGGGTCATAGGATGGTAATGAATGTAAGATTATAAATAAATATATTATTCCGTTCGTTGGAGTCTTATAATTAAAAATAAAAATATAAATATGGGTACTGGAGTCTTAGTAAAAAATCCCCAATCATGTATCGAGGTGGCTTAGCAGTGGATTAGTGAATTGCATTGTTGCAGGTTTCGTGTTTGGCTTCTGTAACTGTATGTAAGTCTGTAACCTTTCCACCCTATTCTATAAAATTCAAATGACCAAAAAAAATTTATAAAGAATTGGAGTGTGATACATGCTCTGTCACATATGCTGTTATTTTTCATTGAAAAAAAGAACATCTATTACAGTTTCATTTTGTATAATAGTTACTATTTTTGCAAATTGTAGACTGGCTAGTACTTACTACCATGTTCGATAAATGGTTAAGTACAATGCTAAAAGCTTTTGCTAATAACATAATTTATTTTCTTTTGCAGCGAATCAAATAATCGTCTTACCCAAACGCACTAGCAAATCACATTTTAGTTCAAATTCCATTAAAAACCATCTTTTAGAGTAACCACAGTCATATAATCTCTATTGTTTAGCCAAATAAAATACCCTTTTAAGTTTAAACCATAAATTTGTGGAACAAGTCAAAGCAGTCGCAGTGTACGGTGGACATCTCACAAGAGATGATGAAGCTGTTATTAAGGTGTAAAGATGTTATGGCTTACGTCACGGGATTATTGTGTTACGTCCCCTATCATCCCTTATGAATACATCTGATATAAGACGGGATTGTTGGGTTACCCTCGTCAACGATTATATCTTTTGTAGTTAATTAACACTTAATGGGATATAATAACTAAATTGTTTCAGACTCGGTAAAACGCAATAAGTCTTTAAATGTAAGAACATAGTGCAAGTTCCTAGCTAATGACTGAAGTCTAGTAGAATTATTAGAAAAACGGAGAAACAGAGCAAAATTGATCTCTTCCATCATCTTGGCTACCTCCTCAAGAAACTCTTCAATTGATCTCTTCCATCATCTTGGCTACCTCCTCAAGAAACTCTTCAATTGATCTCTTCCATCATCTTGGCTACCTCCTATCACCTTACCACATTGAAAAGAAGGAAAAAAACAGAGCAAAATCAGGTGCGAATTGTATACTTCACCATCTCTATGTACCATTTGCCACTAATTAAGAGATACGAATCAGAGTAGTCTAATGCATGCTCTTGTAAACAAGCCTGGAGATCACATCCACGCCACTATATATACAACTAAAGCATAACAGGCCCAGAGACAAAACCAGAGGATGTGACAAGGGTTTCTTGGGAGAAAAGGCACCCTTTTTTGGCGGGTCTGCATAGGATGGGATAAGTCTCGCCTGCTTCCCGAATCGCCTTAGCTTCATACTCCACCAAAGGCGCATCAGGAGAGTCAGACTCTCTTGCAGCAAAAGTGATGTAGTACTTTGTCCTTCCCCCTGGGTTGAAATTGGCCCTCAAGAAATGGTCCAACTTCACATTCTTGTTCTGGACAAAAGTAGTAAACAAGGAGGATCCCAAGTAGATTAACAACATAGGAGGAGGAGGACTATTATATCAATAGGCAAAAGCAAAAGATTAAAAGAGAAGTGATATGTTGCCTCGCGTTTGTTATACTCTTCAACACATTCAGATGCCATGTTTTCCATGAGCTGACGAACGGTAAGGCCTTCCCTTATTTTCTTATCCAGATCACCTGGGACTGGAACAATTCCACTCCAGTGGTAACGGGGAAAATTTCCCGAAGGCTCAAAGAAACCCTAAAAACCAACAGATGGTCGATGATTTTCTCCATTGCTCCACTCAAAAAAAATTTTAAACAACAATCTTAATGTACCTTGGTTTCGATGACGGCGCGATAGTAGTTACGGCATTGTTCATCAAGTTCCTCGTCCGAATACACAGGGTAATCCGAGGAATGATACTCTCGGCCATCGAAGCTATCCTTATCCCAACCCGAATCACTATCTTCTCCTTCGCCTTCGCTTTCCTCTGTTTCGGTCGAAGAAGACGCATCGCCGCTGCAAGTTTCCATCGGTTCCCTCACTTGGAGCTCGCTTGATTTTGGAGCACCCATGTCGAGTAAGCCCTAGATCCCCTTTCGATCCACTACACCAATCTTTTGACCTAACATAATATATTATACCAAGAGCTTTTCGACGTGGGTGTTTTTTTGGGATTGACGAATATTTGTTATATGTACTAGAATATTTTGTTTTAGGTTGCGATAATTCCTAATCCATTAGAGAATAAAAACAACCGATTTAATTAGCAACAAATTATAAATACATTCGTCAAATCTCCTCTTGTTAATTAAACTAAAATATTCCCCTTTTCCTTTCTTCTTCTACTGATTCAATCCTCACACTAACTAATTATCATGGATTACTACCAACCGGTGGAGATAGACGTTCTCTCTGCTCAAGATCTCGACTCTGTAAACCTTTTGTTCCGACCAACAGTCTATGTTTCCGTCTCGGTCACTCGCGGTTCGCGTGGCCAGCAAGTCACTCCTTCTGCTGTTTGCGGTAAGAAGCATTTACGGTGGAATCACCGTCTGAGGTTCTTTATAGAAGACGACAGGGTTCAAAGGAATGAGTCGGTGTTTGTGTTTCAAATCAAGGTTAAGAGATTTTTTGGGCCAGACCAAGTCGTCGGGAAACTTTTCGTACCGGTAAAGCAATTGCTTCACTTGAAGGAAGAGAAGACGTTAACCGAGCATACCAATGTAAATTATCAGGTCATCACCAAGACCGGAAAACCAAAGGGCTGTATATGTTTAGGGTTTAGATTTGGATGTGTTTTTAAGGGACGAATCAGAGGTTATGATTCGGATGATGTTAGGGTTCGTGAGGGTTGTGGATTAGGAGTTTGGGGGATGATTAGGCATGAGCCATCAGCTCCTTGTGAAGATGATATGATCTATGCTTGAGAAATCAATTACCCCGAATATTTTCACCTTTTTATTGTGTGTAATAAAAAAAAGTTTAATGTTTTTTTTACTGAATGTGGTATTGAAATTAGTAATATAGATTTTAAATTTTGGTTTTATCTCACTAACAGATGTTTGAATTTTTTTTTATATAAAAAGATAACAACAAAATTTTAGATAGGATCTACCATATTAATTGAACATCTATATTAAAGGTTGTAAATATATGTATATTTACTTTACAGTTTAAACCAAAGAGATACACTAATGTATATGAATTAAAATGAAATAACTGTTTTTGCTGGATTTTTACTGGGCAAACCATAACCTAAATTGCACTATAAAAGCGATGAACAGTTAACTTCACCATTAGAACAACCACAAAACAGCCCTCACCACTAAAAGTAAAGTACATTGTTATTAGGAGAATGAAGAACATTTCCTTTCAACTTTTGTTATTGTTTTCTCTTCTTGCTTTTGTCCTTCGTAAGTGTAAATTTACTTTCCAGTCTATGGTTTTTGTTTTTGGTCCACACTTTTCATTTTGTAGACAAAGAGACTACCCTTTGTTTTGTGTTCATGATATTTTTAGTATAAAGTGAAAGAATGAAAACATGTGAAAGCTACAAAAGGAAATTAATCTCATACATGATTTTGTTTTGATTTATGGCAATTGGACTAACATATTATCTCCTCAATTTGAAGGACAAGATCTTGTGGAAGGCAGGACAATGGATACAAAGAGAATCGATGTGAACGAAAGACCTTGTGATCCAGAGAATCCAAGATGCGTGAAGAAACAAGGCTCCATGGATACAAATAAAGTAGAAGTGCATTTTTACGAAAAAATTTGTAGTCCAGAAGATATAAATTGTGTACACCCTTGTGATCCAGGGACTCCACATTGTGGTGGTGGTGACTGAAATCAAAATTAAAAAAAAAAAAAATGTATGCTTAGAATAAAGAGCAATAAACTAGATTATATCTCTCTATCAATTGGGAGTAAAATCAGACTTCATGAATCGTGTTCAAATCACGTCTTAATAACTTGAACTTGATCAGTGCACGTCTTCAACGCAGAACACAGTGCAAAGTCCCTAATAGCTTAAGTCTACTAGATTCATTACAACGGGATAAATAAGATTCCCAATGAAAACTCTCTAACTGCTCTCATCCACTCTCTTCCATCACCTTGGCTACGTCTTTCATTGACCCTGGGTCAAAATTTGCCCTCGAGAGTTATGATCCAGTTTCACATTTTTGCCCTAGAAACAAGAGACCGTGAGAACAACATATATATGATTATTACAAGATTGTAGGGATGAAACAGTAAATCTACCATTCTCGGTTAAGCTTGGCATGCAAAGGATGGGATATTTAGTTCTGTCAACGAAAGAAACAAACTCTAGATTGTCCATAGAAACATTTTTTTTAATCACGATTTAAGCATATGATACATATACAAATCCTTACATATCTATCGATCTTCACATAACTCTCCATAGTCGACCCTCTCATAGTCTGAATCTTTGCCCATCTCTAATCCACAGTAAACCCCAAACCCACTCTGTTATCATAAACAGCTCATAATTTTCATTAAAAATTTACTGTTCTGTTCGAAGTCATCACTGTTCATCGAAACGGAGCCAAAGGACTAGGGCTATTGGGAACCCTAACACACCTCAGTTCTCTACAAACATGATCCAACATCCCCAGAAAATCCCTGACAATCACAAAGATCCTCAATGGGTTCTTGTCATCTCCTCTCACATCTCCATGAAAATACTCTGCGATCTCTCCAACCCTCTCCATTATCCTCTTCTCGTCTTCCCTCAACTCCTCCAAGCTCTTCTCTCCGTATCTCAAGAACGAGCTCATCGAGCTAACGAATGCTCTGTTTTCCTCGTCCCCTTTCAGCTTCTCGTTCGCTAGACACCTCAATTCCCCTAATCCGTCCCTTAGATTTGATACCGAGCTAACAAGACCTTCCAGATCAATCGTTGCCGTCTTCTTCACGTTTCTTAGCTCCGTGTTTAGACCCGAGACGAGATCGAGCCCCATCCTTCTGTAATCTTCCTCTTTCTCCTCGGCTGTTCTGTTCTTATTGGATCTCTGGTTCATGATCCGTCCCATGATGCTGTCCGAAACCCTTATTCCCTCGGACCTAGAGATCTCTTGTACGACGAAGTGAAGCAGAGTTGTCTTCCCATCTGTGCCCTTTACATCAGAGAGCTTGAGCAGAGCGTCAAGCTTGAAGGCTTTTGCGCCACCGCGTATGGTTCCTACATTCATCCTGTTTCCAGTTTTAAGGACAGCTTCTAAAAGCTTCAAGAACAACCTGCTTGACTTAAGCTCCTTGCAAGCTTCCTAATTCGGGTCTTTGAGTTAATCATCGTATCTTGTAACGCAAGCAATCAACATATGAGCATAACCAAATACTGTAGTACCTCAAGCATAGAGAAGGAGTTTCTGAGGTGAACTACTTCGTCTTCAAACGTTTCTCTATAGAGCATTGCTTCAGCTCTTTGAAATGCAAATGGAACTCCGACAAGAGCTCTGAGAAATTTCTCAGCCGAGCCAAGCTCATCCACTGCTCCTTTGTAGCTACGCAGCTTCAGTTCTTCTTCTTTAGTCGGCACCATCTTCACCAAGGCTTCTAGTTGCTGTAAACACAAGCCTTCCCCTGCATCAACAGAAAAAGAGAAAACGTTTTTTTCTAAAAATCAAACAAGGCCTGCAATGGATCGATTGAGTTGATCTTAGTTTACCTTTTCCCAAGGCAGAGCAGATTTGGTCGGCGGTTGCGTTGAGGGCTTTCAAGAGAATGGTAAAGTTCTGAAGCCTTTTAGGTTCAAGAAGGTGTTTTCCTGGTGATGGAGTCTTGCTCTTCCCTTCCTCATTCTTCGTTGAGCTTTGCATCGTATATCCAAACAGCGACTCAATCATCTCTTCGTCTAATCTGTGTACCCACAAGACAACACTTTAACATAATCAAGCATTCTTGTTGGTTGATTGTGGCTAAAGGACTAAAAGCAGATTGTAAACTTACTCGAATGAGCTTGTTCTGAGCTTATCCCACACCATAGTCCGGTCCGGTGTAGCCCTGACTTTATCCCAATGAAGCGGCTTTAGTTTAGGCAATGGAGCTCCGTCTTTGCCTAACGGTCTAGGCTGAGAAAAGTCAAGAGACAGTGGCGGTGGAGGCGTTTTGTTCGGTCCCGCTGCTTGAAGTTGTTGTGTCGGTAGCGGCGGCGGTGGAGGTGGGCGCGGTTGAGATTTATAACCAATATCTTGTGAATTTGGTACATTGATCGCAAGACTTGGTTCCGAGGAAGAAGCGCAAACTTTTTCACATAATTGCGACGAAAGCGTCTGCAGATTAGTTTCTGGCAAAGACAGAGTTTGAAGACGTTTCTTTGAGAATTGCGGAAGCGGTGGAGGCGGAGGCGGTGGCGGTGGAGGAGGAGGAGAGATTCCAAATTCTTTTGTGGAACATTCTGGAATCTCCAATTCGCGTTCTGAGAAGCGTTGAGAGGATCCAACGTTGACGCTACCAGAAACAGAGGAAGAAGAAGCATTTGACAATCTTGGATTTGAATAATGAGAGCCACCACCAACGGAATGAAAAGACTCATCATCGTCAGAAGTATCGCATCTATTGATAACAACAGGAGCAGAAACAGAGTCTACTGTTTGTTCTTCGTCATTTTCGTGCACCGACACAATTTCTTTCGTTGAATAACTAGTAGCATTGTCCGAGTCTGACAAAATCTCTGTTTCTACGCTTCTCTTTACCTCTTCTTCAAGCAATCCACCATTGTTATCGCTCAAATCCTTCTCGGTTTCTCGTATTTCCTTAACTGAAACAGAGCTTTGCCTCTCTAGATCGACTCCTAGTGAGTTCAGGTACAAGAAATCGAGAGTAGGGTTTACACTGACCTTCCTCGTCGAGCTCTGAGATTTGCCCTTTTTCCGCTTCAACGACGCCGTTTTGCCGCTCTTCTTCCTTTTTCTGATTCTCGCGCAGAGACAGAACACTCCCACTACACAAACCACGAAACCGACTCCAGAAGCTGTAGAAACGGCAACTGGTAGAAGAATCTTGTTAAATGTTCCTCCTTTCTCGTGTTTTCGCCTCTGAATCTCGGGTTGTCTCGATGGATGGGTCCGTTGAGGTAACGGACGGCGGAGATGCGGGGGGATTGGCAGTGGAGGAGCTGGAGGATACGCCGGAGACTCGATTGGGCCATCGCTTGGAAACGGAGACGGCGAAGGCGCCGGCCAGGGAGAGAAAGTAGCTGAAGTTGCGAGATTCCGTCGACGGGAAGTAGCGGGTTTGATCAAATCGAGTAAAGCTCGGAACTTTTCCAAAACCCGAAGCTTTTTCCTCTCGCCTCCGTCTTCTCCGACGAGTTTTCCGATCTGGGTCCGATATCTCTCACCGTTTTCCACCGTTAACGCTCTCCAGTCATCAAGCTCTTTAGCATCAGCAAAAATGCTAAAGAAACTAACGTTGCAGCATTGTAACGATATCACCACTACAATGATCATGAGAAAAATCTGACGAAAATAAACCATCTTTTTGCTCTTTTTCAGATCTTTTCTCTGTAAAAACAAATGATCACCTCCCTAAATCACAAAAAGAAACCATTTATTACAACAAAAAAAACACTCAATTTTTTAATCTTTTTATTTTATATTTCTCTCTTTCAGACTTTAATGCTACTCCAAGAAACCCCTGAACTCTGCAACTGTAGTTGTACTGGTAATGGTAAACACCCTCTTTCTCCATTAACTATCCTTGGAGAACAACACTGCTAATTTGCATTTTATACCCATCAGTTTAAGTAATCTCTTAAATAAAAATATCTACTTTTGTTATTATAAAAAAAACAAAAATTGCATTAAGGAACAAATGTCAAATTTAAAAAATCATAAAACTTTTGCAGTGAGCAGATTTGCCAGGAACTAAGGTGGTGACGTTCTGGAGCTTTTTAGTTTAAGTTGAAAACAGCTTTTTTGTTTAGGAGGAGATTACAAAAAGCAGTTTTAAAAGAGAAAATCTAACAAGCAAAGAAGATAAAAAAAAGAAGCATGAAGGTGTTGGTGTGAAGTGGGTCCTGCTATTGTTGGCACATTTGGCTTGTACAGACATTTGGTAATTTACTGTACAAGCTTTCATTGTTCCTCTCAACCCACCATTGTTTTAAGAGGCAAATACAATTAAAATTCATTTGTATTTATTGTATAGAATTCATTCTTGTGTGTTGATGTGAATGTGTATACACATACCTAACTACATACATATGACTCCCGTTCATATGTTTTTTTCATGAGCTATTTAAGGATATTTTAAAATTTAGAAAAACTCTTTCAAAACGTTTTGTCGTAATGGCTTAATGACAAAATGTGTAACTTGGCCTTGCAGATGAAATTGTAGTTGATGAAATATTTAACACAATTATTGTTATAGACATGTTATGAAATCAAAAAAATTCTGTGTAAAAACAAAAAAAAAGAAGTTATCATTAAATATCCTCTATATGCTACGATATTAGTCATATCCCCTGCTCAGTCCTATATGAAAGACTGATTTAATGTTTTTACTCAAAATTATGTTGTCATATACTCATATGGGCACAAATCTTGCTACAGATACGATACGAGAAGATTATAAAAAAACATATGTCACCCTTACGCTTATTCTTACGGTTTCTTTCTCTTTTTCCAAACGTCTGATAAATATTAAAATAAAAAGTTCTGTGAATTTTAATTGGACTCAGGCAAACCAGACCAATAGGTAGGTACTGGGTGGTGACCGAAATATAATTAAATTAATTATTTTAGGCAAACTTCTCAATCTGTAGTCGCATTCTAAAGCTTCCCAATCTTCATAGATTCATAGTATAGGTATCAAAGATTGTTTGGTAGGATATGATGTTGCTTTCTTTGGATAGTTCTACCGTTTTTTTTTTTTTTAGTTATTAATATGATGATGAAGGGATTTTAAGAAAGCTATCTTTTGTTTTTTATTGCACTTTTTAGAGTAATTCTAATTATTGCTCAAACTAAGATAATTGATTAATTGGTATCCAACTAACTGTATGACGAGTCTGTGTATGAAATGTGTTTACACGGAAATAAATATTGAAGTGATGAGACAGACTGGGTTGGATGGAAAAATTGTATTTACTTTCATCCTTTTAATTTTAATATGGTATAGGTTAAGAATTGTCTTTTCAATAATTCTCATCACTGAATGATAGACATTTGAATATGGGAAAAAACAAGAATTCTTAGTAGTAGATCCCATCTAAATATTTACCATGAAATCTCGATCATGTTGGATTGAGTAGAATGAGATCACTAGATTTCTACACCATATTTGTTTTCTATTGTTTTCACATTTACTAGTTACTACTGTGTTACTACTTTTAGTGTCAGCAACTTTGACCTACGTGTGGGGCCAAGGTTGTATGGACTTGTCTTAGACAATTATTCACCGTATTATATATTATGATTTGTTACATATACTTTGTTTTTCGAATACCATTACATTTTCTAATTCTATACTCTTCAACATATATTATACAACATAAATGTTTTATACTTTTCACTATATATAAATTATATTAAACTCGCATTAATTTAAACGACCTTTGATGGATCCATATTTCATGGTGTAAAAGTAGCTTACTTGAGACAGTCGTCTGAAAATTATTCATGTGTATATTTTATTCAAGAGAGTGAAAAAAAAAAACATATTGGGACCAATGACTGAAAACAATATAATTCAAACCACAATATATAACATCTTGGATATTATAAAACAAGAAAGTTAAGCACGATTTCTTCTAATCAATTAACAAATAAGATATATACCTGACTATATTACTATTGATTAATCATATACTAAGATTTATGATTGTTGTAATTTTTATTAAAAGGTGCTCGTCATAAATTCCATTTTTATTCTGCTTTAGATATATTTCCGACATTCATAGTCAAACAAAATGGTAGCAGCTATATAAATGTGTAATATTACAATTGTATATCCATGCAGCTCAAGAATTGAAGCGAAATTTTTTTTAAAAATGTTTATTTCTAGATATATGACTATACTGACACGGTAACGCGAGTGATTACAAATTTTCAATATTTCGGGTGTTACTTATCAATCAAATAAACTAAGCGAGTTAAGAAGTCAAAGATTACAAGTCAACGTATTGAGAAGACCAATGAATTAATGAAACCATGATTTTAGGGCTGATTTTGCAAAAGTATCTAACTTTTGTCATATTAAAACGTTGATTGCAGAAAGTTACGACTTTTTCTGCATTTCTCAGAGTCATTTCAAAAGAGTTTATCAGCTTTGTTCTGTCTACATTTAGCATAAATAAAGGAATCCATATTTGCAGAGAGTTGTTTGTACCTACTTTGTCTTGAGAATAAAGTAAAGAAGTATTTCGGAGAAACAAACAAAAATTTAAATACAAAAATACTTAGCCCATGAATTGTCGGAGATATCATCACATGGTGTAGCAGCAGCTCTAGAGGTTATTGGAAAATTGTAGATTCCATTTGCGAGAGAAATAATAAAAAGGTATTCTTCTTGTTTTTACAGAAAATGGAATTAAATAATTGCCGATTTAGATTCGTGGTTCGGTAAAAGTTAACAGTACAATTTCGAGATTTGTCTCTGTCACGCGACAAAAATATTTCGTAATTTAGAAACTCTGTCCCTTGTATTCAATAAATGCTAATTAAGAATTCCACCTAACATTTACGTTTGGAACTAGTCAATGGCGCCACCATCGAGATATGAGCCCAATAAAATTATGTTAAAAGCCCACTAAGCCATAATAGAGGCCCATAATAAGAAAGTAGTAGCGGCTGAAAAATGTTTGACTTTTACTTTTCTGAAAGTTCTCTGTTTTGTTGTGAATATGTTTCGCGCTTTTGCACTGCTTTCAGGCTTTCATGGTGATCCCGCCAATCAAAAAGAAAAAGTTTTTTAGGTTTTACATTTGAAATTAACTTTCTTCAAGGGGAGAGAGAGTACAGAGATGGAGTTCAGCATAAGCGGCAATGCGCTAAAGACCTTCGCTCGGTCCATAATCTGCCTCGCACGCGTCGGCAACGAGCTCGTCGTCCAAGCTTCACCGACCCAGGTTCTCTCCTATTCGTTTTTGTCAGCTTTCTCGTCCTCTCGTAGCCCTAATTTCGACGATTGGATAGTAATTGGTGACGAGATTGCAATTTGATTTGACTAGAATTTGATTTCGTCAGTTAGTACAGACGACTAGGGTTTTACACGATTGGGACATGTAAGGTGAGGGGACAGATTCTGGGTTTTTTCTGGGCAATTGTTTTGAGAGGCTTGGGAACGCTTTGCTGATTGAATTTGTACTGTATTGTCTCTGTTAGCTAAACATTCCCGCACATGTCTCTCCTTCTATTTTGAAAATCGTCTGGATAAATCGAAATGATTAGTAGTTTGATTGTTCGTATATCGCAGATTGTACCTAATTTCTTTTGTTTTGACAAAACCTTCTGCAGCTGGGATTGCACACTCTAAATGCTTCTCGTTCTGCCTATCAGTCTATTACATTTCAGTCAGGTTTCTTTGATGCTTATGCTGTTCAAGGTCCTCAAGCTCATTTCAGTGTCCTTTTGAAGGTATGCTTATGATCTTGTAATTTATAATAGAGCCGAATTAACTCATTGGTCTAAGGAAATTGTACGCTGATATTACTTTTCCAGGCTGTTTGTTCTGTTCTTAGGACCCCTGTCGCGAGCATTGATCATATGAGTGTGCACTTGCCAGACCAAGACGCATCTAAGGTCAAGTGGGCACTGGAATGTTACAGTGGTAAAGCCACATTCCCTTGTTCTTACACATTGTTATCATCCTTCGTAAAACCTAGATGATGCTGTTTGTATATAATGTGTAACTATTTAGAGACCTCTACTTCTTATATAACGTTTTTTGCAGTAGTTTACCTTGAAGACTACGATTATGATGTTGCTTCGTCTGGAGCCTTGTTTGAGTTTGTTTCATTGTTTTTGCCTTGTATGTGCAGGTATGAAGAAAACATACTGGATTACTTGCAATGTGGAGCCAGATATACAGCATCTGTCGCTTGATAGGGGTAGATTTCCGAGTGGTTTAGTTGTGCAACCTCGGAATCTGAGCAAGTTGCTTGGAAACTTCCAGTCATCCCTCCAAGAGATTACAATAATTGCTACAGACCAAACTTCTTTTCCATCCGACGCTGCAAGTGAAATAGGTGGCAAAGCTGTTGAATTCCGGAGCTATGTGGATCCGACCAAAGGTTAGGGATATACAAATAAATGCAAAAACTAGATCAATCAGCTTCCTTGTGTAAGGCTGCTAACAATTCTATTTCCCAAACGCAGATGGTGACTCTTTGTTACATACTCAGCTATGGATAGATCCATCAGAAGAATTTTTGCAGTATACTCACGCGGGTGACCCTATTGACATCACGTTTTCTTTGAAGGAACTAAAGGTAATAACATTCCTCCACCTGAATTTTAAACGGTCCACCTTTCTTTGTGTTAATCATATAAATGTCTTCAATAAATTTTCAGGCATTTCTTTCATTTTGTGAGGGCTGTGAAGCGGACATTCATCTTTTCTTTGAAAAAGCTGGCGAGTAAGAACCATTTCTTTTCCATCCTGTGTATCTTCCATCTTTCTACGTAGCCTTGTTATCTTTTTAATTCAAAAGCAAATCGATTCTGGTCAATACTTCTGAAGATGGTTCTGGTCTATAACAAATGCATGTGCTTTCCAGATATGTTAGCTAAACCACCCATTAAAACACCATAATTTGTTTCCAGGCCAATACTGATGGCTCCAAAATTTGGCATGGGTGATGGGTCAAACTCAAGTTTTGATGCCACGCTCGTTCTTGCGACAATGCTTGTATCTCAGCTACAGGAAGGGGCTCCGCCAGAAGCTCCGGAAGCAGCAAACTCCACAGGTGACCATGCTGCCGAGCAAGTAGGGCCAGAGCGTCAAGATCGGTCTAGGCAGAGTGCCTCTGAGCACCCATCTGAGCACACACGAGTTTGGTCTGAACTTTCAGGTAGTAACTAATCTAATGGTTGCGATTTGTATTGTATTACATCATTTTTGTCTGATCTAGTAACATCGATGGCCTGGTACAAGGAACTGCGACTAAGAGCGTTAACGGTTCCGAGGAGAGGCCACAGGCTCAGGGACAACCAGACTTGAATATCCAAAGAATTAGAGATATTGAAATATCAAAAGGTGGACCAGCTGGAGACAATGCTCCCGGACCTTCTAACTCGTATCCTTCACCTTACATCTCTCACGACCACAACCACCATACACTTATTGAGGCCTGTTTAGCTGCTAAAGCATTAAATTGTAGTCCATAATCGAGTAGCAATTGGGTTCCATGGTGCATTTCTTAGCCTGATGAACTTCTTTCTATATACACTTTGTTATCTTTGACTTTTTGTCAGCCAACGTCCCATACAGATGGATCACGCCGGCGAAGGATCTCGAGGTACCTGCAAAACCATATCTACAGCCTTTTTCTCTGTCGTGTCTTGTTACTTTATTCTAAACAAGTATTCACTTGTTCCTCAGTACGGGTTGAGAACAACCAAAACTTCTCCCAGCGTCATCCTAGTAATTGGGTAGGTGCAAGTGATGATGAAGACGAGGACGACGGTGTTGAGGCGACGCCACCTCATAATGAAGATTATTAACTCAAGTCTCTTTCCCCTTGAAGCCAACTGTAAGTTCTCTCCACTTCCCTCCCAACCATTCAATATTTTCTTTACTCCATACAGGAGAAATTTATCAGAACAGTTTGCGTCTTTTCTATCGTAATACGAAGAGCTGTACACCATCTTATTAATTATATGCGCTGTAATTTGCAAGAAATAAATGTTTTTTAGTGTATGATATCACTAATGGCACCACCGAGTGCTATCCAAATGCGATCAAGCTTCTGTTTTCTATCATTATTGTAGTTAAGAGCAGACTTTTCCTTTTTAGTTAAATGCGTCCAGAACAAGAAAATTGAATGGAACAAGGGTCCCTCTTAAGTTCTCAACCATGGTTGTTCAACCAGATTTTACCTACTTGTAAATTCTTTTTGCCAGGAAACGAGTCGTAAGCAGATAATGGAAACGGCATCAGAATGGGACAGAACATACAAGTAATATAGTAAGGCACTAAGATCTTGCTTTTTTTTTTCCAAACATATACATATAAAATGATCTGCATTTTAGGGTAAGATGTCACTCTCTAACTCGATTATATGGAAATGGTGGGAGTAAATGCATGCATATATGCGCAGTGTTAGGTGCTTCGTCCACTATAATCAAAATTGATCATTTCTTGGCAAAACTTCTGGATCGCGTGCAGTATTGTTCACTTGTTCAGTCATGTTTTTGTTTGTTATCTATTTACTTTTCTTTCTAACTGAACATAAAAAAATAGAATGCCAACACACCCTGAACCTATGCTGCATCTATACATATATTCTTATTGCACGCCTGTATGCCTTTTCTCCAAACACAACTAAAAACTGCCCATAAATGTATTTCAAACGCATTATCATATCTTTTTACGATTGTTTTCAATTCAAACGGAAAACGCGAAACTTTTGTTTTCTCCGTTGGTTTAAAGCAGAAAAACAAAACTAAGATGAGAGAAGGCTTTTCATGAATCCCATATAAAAGTAAATGACACATAATGAAATAGTCTAATAATTTAATGTTCTTCAAAGGTATCAACCACAATAATTTAATCTCTCTTTATATGCTTAATTAAGTAAAAGATGGCGAACAAATTCAAAGAAACAAAAAAAGAAAGGGGGCAATAATAGAATTCTGTTAAAAGAAAGGGGGCAATAATAGAATTCTGTTTATTTGATTGTTAGTATACAATCGAATAAAGCAAATGTTTATTAAACATTTATTTTATAATTTGAGAAGAAAATGAGTATTATAAAACTGGTTAAAGGGACCAGCTGGCTCTTGGGATAACTTGGTAACGCGCAAACGCCGTCTCTGCTGATCTGTGATTTGGGCCCCACTTTCCTCTTAACGGTATCGTTGCACGTTACGCGCCGCCTCTTTATCTAACGCCGTTAAAATGTCGACGTTATCCCAGAGAAGAAAAAGATAAATAAATACAACGCAAGAAACTAGCCGTTGTTTCTAAAAAAATGAGTTAGGGAATTGTGTAAAGATCCTCCAAAGCATTAAGAATTAAGAATGTCGAAAATATTTTTTTTTTGTAGATCATTTAACGGTCTCTGAAATAGATTTACACAAAAATTATTAATTACATAAAAAAGATTGTCAACTAAAATTAAGTGCTACCCATGATTGGTGGTGGTGGTACGTATAAAAAATCTTGACAATGTTAAGGGGTGGTTTACATGTCTCTACATAAACTACATTGACATTTCCCAAATTTGTGTAATGACATCAAATGTACGTTTTGAAGTACCAAAACTTCTTTAATGTACATTTTTCGAAGTATGTACATTTTAAAAATATGAAATTAAAGTTATTTTTAAAAAGATAATTATTTTAAGTTTAATAAATAATGTTTAGGGTATATCGTTATAAAATAGAAAATTATGACTTTAAAAGTGTATTTAATCAAAAATTTATAATGATTTATATAAAAAACAAAATTATGTGATTCCAAATACTGTATGAATTTTATCTTATTTTCGTAAATTTGAGATTATTGGATTATTGATTTAGAAAATATATATCTAAATTTAAATCCTTCCAAATACTTAGTTCAATATTATCAATTTTAAGTTTTCACATATGGTACCAAAACACTCAATAAATAATATTTGGAAGGAAGAAAAAAAAAGGAACTATCAGCGAAATACAAAAACTAAAAAAACAGTAGTTACATTTCATTCGAAACGCTGATCGCGGAGAAATCATTAACGGGAAGAGGAGAAACGTGCGGTGAAGTTAACGGAAGGTTGGATGGATTTTAGAGGTAGATGCCGCCGTCTAACCAGAGTTCAATACCATTTGGCCGATAGAGCGATAATCAAAAAGACAAACCAGTCAACCAGCTGCTGCCTACAGATGCCCATGGTTTCACCCATAATTGCGTAAATGCCATTATAAAGTTTTTTGCAGTTCTTTAGAAACGAATATCATTTCTTGGATAATTTGATTAAAGCGAAACTCGTGGAACATGTTAGGAAATCAGTACTCTCCAGTAATAGTATTAATCTTCCCGGTTATAATCATAACAAAGATGTTGTCTGTAATAAAGAAATATTCAAGACTCAATATATATTATGCTCTTACAACAAGTTGCATAGACAAATTGCAGATTAAAATTTGATGTTGAAGCCGTCCTGATAAAACTACAAGTCGTGGGTGCACGAAATCATATCTAAAACTTGATAATAACCCAACGAATATTTCGAAGCTTAGAAACAGTAATTCTATGATTAAACTAAAACAACGAACATGCGTAATTGCGTATAAGTCAATTTCATTATTAATAAACAAAGAAAAATAAAAGCGTACCTGTTCTAAAAAAAGAAAATATCAAAAAGAAGAAAGATTATGGCATTTTCGTTAATTTAAGGACGAATAAGCCCGTTTTGGTTAATTCATCAGGTTATAAGAAGCTAGACACCAACGCTTAAACTTGTTGTCTTCAGCTGTGTATAGAAGAATCAAGTTTCACAGAGAGAAAAGAGAAAAACAAATTCAGAAAGACGACTAAAGAAATCGAGTAGCCTCTGATTCAACCAGAAGGTTTTGGTAAAAGAAGAAGATGAACTCGCGCGCGATCTACGCCGTCATCGCGATCCTCGCGATCGTAGTCTCAGCCGTCGACGCAAGCGGCTTCGGAGATTCGCTAGATTTTGTACGGGCCGGATCTTCTTCGCTATTCTCTGGATGCAAAGGATCGATCGCTGAGTGTATCGCTGAAGAAGAGGAGATGGAGTTCGATTCGGAGATCAGCCGGCGCATTTTAGCACAGAAGAAGTACATTAGCTACGGTGCGATGAGGAAGAACAGTGTTCCTTGCTCACGCCGTGGAGCTTCGTACTACAACTGCCAGCGTGGCGCTCAGGCGAATCCTTACAGCCGTGGATGCAGCGCCATCACGAGGTGCAGGCGTTGAAGAAGATGAGTACTTAAATTCCTATTTTGCCCTTGTGTGTTTCGATTTATTTTTTTCTTTTTTTATTTATTTCCGGGATATATGGGTTTGATTTACACGTTGAATACTATAGTCTTTGTTACGAAACAAAAAAATACTTATCGCTTTTTTTTCTTTTTCTTGGTTGTTCATATATAAATAAAGAATTCAAAGTTGCGTAGATTAAAAATAGTTATTAGTTCGAGAAGTAATTGAGATCTGTGCGTGGGTTTGTGTTGTGACAATTTAAAATTGTTAACGAAAGGTAATTACATATCTCAATTTTTGAATCTGAGTTTTGGAATAGAGTATAGATTATAGACTGAAAACAGCAATGTATTCCTTTATTAGCTGTTGGTGGCATGTTGGCTTATAAGGAAATGATGGGACCATTCCAGCCTAACACAGTAACACGCAAAATATGTTCTTCATATATTATTGATCTTCCTGGAATCTTCCTTTCGCTGTAGTTTTTTTTTTTTTTTGTATTTTCGATATAAATTGGACCTAATCAGATTATAATCTTTAAGGTTAAAATTTGCATTTAATTAAATTGTTTTTAATTATTCATAAAAGGTATGCATAGTTGGATATTTTAAAGACATTAAAGCTCTTCTTCCCTCCGTTAAATTTGCCATACGAATGTCAAGTACCACTGTACCAACAGTGAAACTATAACACAAACAATCATAAGATGTGGCTTTGTTTGAGCCTGTGTTTTCTTTTGTCCACATTCTACAATCTACATTGGCGATGTAAGATTAAAACAGGTAAAATTTGAAGACTCTTAAACAAACCACTCACTAGCATGCAGTTGTTAATTTTACGTCCCTTTTATTCGTAGTGTGGGCTTCTTTAATTAATTAAGTTGGAAAATATGTTGAGTGATCTCCAACTAATTAATAACACATCATCTCGTATCTCAAAACGACACGAAGGCACCATGTCATGTTCCAATCATAAGGAGCCATGTCATCGCATAAACCACGTCACCCAAGACTGAGGCCAAAAAACAAGGACACGTCACCAAAGGAAGCTAAACGTCTCCAGCTGGGAAGGCCCATAATAAAGCCCAAACCCATGAAGTCCAAATGATTGGCAAAAGATCCAAGATCAAAGAAATAAGCCCAGAGGAAAACATAGCCAAGAAGGAATGAAACTAAAAGATTGATTGATGTAAAATAAAACCATACGATTATTGGTTAACATAAAATTGATAGGGACCTCTTTGTGTTAAAAAATTAGTAGCTAACAATTGTTATTTTTAATTCATAAATATTTAGAATGAAAATAAAATCCACAGGTAACAAAGTTAATGAAATTCAGATGAAAAAAAAAGAAGGGAAAAACAAAATCCTTTTCTTAGCTACATACGTTTACTTAACTTACAAGTCGTCAACGGCCCATAGAATATGGATGGTTACGAAACCAATACAAAGACACGCTCCAAACCGACCCAATTGGAATACACACGCTTGCACGCGTAGTCTACAGCTCCCACACGTGCAAGAATCCTAATTATATATAAACGAACCTAGGGTACGCCAATTTCTCATCACCATTACTTTGTTTTGTTCGTCAAATTAATTTGAAAATTCTCCAAGAATCTTCTTCCCTTCAAACGAACGCCTTTTCAATATTCTCTTGCACCGATTTAGTCGAGCGATCATGGCCCAAACGGATCTCAATCAGCCGAAATTGGATATGGTAAATACGCCGTCATCTGAATCCCTTTCAACATCAATCGATTCCGGGAGATACTGAATTCTTATTAATTTTCGTCTCAAATCTTTGATTTTAAGTTTGTGTGATTTGAGTTTTGGAGGCTTTTCGGTTTTCTTCAAATTGTATTATTTGGGTATTGCTCGGGGGTGGATCTTACAAGATGCAAATAGCATGGAAACTAGAGAATAATCTGTAATTCAAGTCGCTCATCATAGAATCACTGTTTGGAAATTTCACATTGAAGAGTCTGTTTGTTGTAGAGGCCGTAGTTTATCTTGGACAGAAGATCAGGATTAATGAATTGAAAGTGAATTTTTGTTGTTGTTGGCTAATTACATGTTCCCCTATGTTGAATTATTTTTTTCAGACCAAGGAGGAGAAAGAGAGGTTGAAGTACTTGGAATTTGTGCAAGCTGCTGCTGTGGAAGCAGTGCTTCGCTTTGCTCTCATTTACGCAAAGGCAAAGGACAAGTCTGGTCCTTTGAAACCAGGTGTTGAATCCGTTGAAGGAGCTGTCAAGACTGTGGTCGGTCCTGTGTACCAGAAATACCACGACGTCCCCGTCGAGGTCCTTAAGTACATGGATCAGAAAGTAATATTATCTCTCCCCTTTGTTTTGATTTTCCTGAAGAGTAGCTTTATATATATATTCTTGATGCTGGAAATGTTTTTGTTGAAACGAGTTAGAGCCAGGTTCCCATCTGCTTGATAAAACTTGGTCGTGGAAAACGGTATCTTTTGTAGCTATGTCGATCATATAGATACACTAATTTCAACTTATGTAATTCAAATCTTGCATTTAGACATGAGCTAAGCTTGTGATGCGTTTAAACTATACATTGTGTGTTTTTGGGGTTGCTCCTGCGAATGAAAGCATTTCTTTTGAGTATTTAGCACTGTAATCTTGACTTGAGACATAAGCTAAGCTTGTGATGTTTTTGAACTATACATCGTGTGTTTTTGGCACTAGGTAGAACCTAGAAGGTTTTGGTAACCGGGTCAATGTCATTCTGTTCCGAAGATCTCCTTGAAAGCTGACAATATATGTTGAACCGTCTTGGTTATCGCAGGTTGACATGTCTGTGACCGAGCTTGACCGCCGTGTCCCACCAGTAGTCAAACAAGTGTCTGCTCAAGCCATCTCAGCTGCTCAGATAGCACCCATTGTGGCCCGTGCTTTCGCCTCTGAGGTTCGACGTGCTGGCGTTGTGGAAACAGCTTCTGGGATGGCTAAGTCCGTGTACACCAAGTACGAGCCCGCTGCTAAGGAGTTGTATGCAAGCTATGAGCCAAAAGCAGAGCAATGTGCGGTTTCGGCTTGGAAGAAGCTGAACCAGCTGCCTCTGTTCCCAAGGCTGGCTCAAGTCGCTGTACCAACAGCTGCTTTCTGCTCTGAGAAGTACAATGATACGGTGGTGAAGGCTGCAGAGAAGGGGTACAGGGTCTCATCGTACATGCCATTGGTTCCTACAGAGAGGATCTCAAAGATCTTCGCCGACGAGAAGGCTGAGACCCAGGCTTTGGAGTTTCATCCACTTGATTGATCTTGGTGTTTTGTTAGTGTTTGGTTGTGATTGAGGAGAACCGGATCGTGGTTAGCGAGTGATCCCTGGTTCTGGTTCTTTTGTTTCTTCGTTTTTGATATTTCCTTGTTTCTTCGAATTTTCGTTTAATACAATGCCAAAAAAATAACATATAATATATGGTGGGATCTTGTTGTATAAAAACTTTCTTTTATTTGTGATGGAACATCTAAAACCTAAAGTGATGTAACACCAGAGTGATATGTTAGGTTTGATTGATATTGAGACACAGCTCTCGCAACTCGCAAGTGTTCAATTGACAATTGCACACAATTTTTATATCTATCTATGAAATATATATGACAAAGGTAAATGTTTGAAATCAAAGAATTGTATGAGGAAAAGAAAAAATGAACCAAGTTCACTTTAAAAAAAAAAACAAAATGCAGACCAAAACCAGTTCCTATCTTCACGAGTTCATCCATACGACATGTACAGATTTGTTAAAGACACAAACACTTAACTAATCATGAAATTTTTATACTTGCTAATTATAAAAGAATTTGCACCCCAAAAAAAGGTTAAATCATAACTAGGAAGAAAAAAAACAATCGTATATTACACATAAACATTACGTATATATATGGGCCCATGACTGATCCACAGTTTCCAAAACTTGATCCAAATGCTATTGTGCGCGGAATTCACCGCCGTTCACGTTAGCATTCCAAACCCTTCGCACCTCCGACACGATTCTTTGCCAAATTCTTTTGACCCGCAAGAGGTTCCTCAGCCTTGTTTTAAACTGAATCACACAAGTGGTTAAGCTTTCGCGCTGCTTTGTTTAAATAGAATCAGGATTCAGAATGGGAATTCATTGGCTCGACAAGGCAGATCTATGGAAGAGTGCACTGTTGTTGAAGCTCCAGCTCCGTGATCGATTTCGAATCGCCGTCGACGATCACCGTGGTCGAGCGGCGGTTTTCTCAACTGACGGCTACTTCTCTTCCACCATCCACCGCTTCGTGGCTCGATTACGAATCTTCCGCCGGGAGTCTCTCCCCTCTCCCCCAGCTTTTTATCGCAGACGAGGTTTGAATCATCGCCTCTTTTTTTTCTTTTTCAAACTCTACGATTGATCTTTGTATCTGCATATTGTGTGCACCTCATGTACTTATCTCGGTACGTGTTTGATATTTGTCTAGTCACGTGTGCATCTCTAGACGTATAATTGAGAGTGCATAAGCTTATATCACATGGTTGTGTATTTGAGCTCATCGATTTTGTTGTAGTTGAGCTTTGATTCAAATTTCGGCCTTTGTTCTTGCAGTCCCCAAAGATTTGACGGCAGAAGAAGAGTCGGCTCTCTTCCGGATGCTTCAAGCTGTGGCAGTTCCCCTTATTGGAAACGCTTGTCATGTTTTCATGAATGGTCTTAACCGTGTTCAGGTCTGTGACATCTTTGATTACTCTGCTTCTTAAATCTTACTTCAGTTGTGTTGTCACTTCTTCTTATTGTGTTTACCTTTCCAGGTGTATGGTTTAGAGAAATTGCATGATGCTTTGCTCAACAGACCGAAGAACAAGCCTCTTATAACGGTATGGGGTGACTATATCTTCTGAAATGTTTTTGGTATGTTTGTGGGTTTGGATTTCTGATGAACCTGGTGATTTACCCGCCATGAACTTGTAAAATATTCTTCAGGTTAGCAATCATGTCGCTTCCGTGGATGATCCATTTGTGATTGCTTCGTTACTTCCCCCTAAACTTCTACTCGATGCCCGTAATTTGAGGTGGACGCTTTGTGCTACCGATAGATGCTTTAAAAACCCTGTAACTTCAGCTTTCTTTCGGTCTGTCAAAGTCTTGCCAGTTTCTCGCGGTGAAGGAATTTATCAGCAGGTAACGCCAGGCTGCACTTTAAAAGCTTTATCTTCATACTTCATTGTCATCTTCATCTATTTTACTTTTCTGAACTTTCTGATGGGGGAAAAAGAGTCTGATTTGTTCCGAATGTGCTTATTTGTATTCAAAATTTTGTGAGAAGTGAGTGAAAGTTTGGTAAAAACTCGACAGGGCATGGACATGGCAATATCGAAATTGAACAGTGGCGGGTGGGTTCATATCTTTCCGGAAGGAAGTCGCTCCCGGGATGGTGGCAAGACTATGGGCTCAGCAAAAAGAGGCATTGGAAGGTAAGTGTACTTTGAGTTCAGTTACTTTCTTAGAAGCGCTCCTCAAGTCTATCACTTTATAAGGTAAGGATACTAATTTTTACTTGTTTTGCAGGTTGATTTTGGACGCAGACACTCTCCCTATGGTTGTTCCATTTGTGCACACTGGTATGCAGGATATCATGCCCGTGGGAGCCAATGTTCCACGTATTGGCAAGACAGTGAGTGTATTCTTTTAATTTTCTCTGTTCAATAATTTGGAGATCAATTAACAAACGCAATATGGAATGTTTTTCAATCTTTCGTATCCATTATTCGCAACCTAAGACTCTTTACCACGAACTAACGTTAAAATTTGCAGGTGACAGTGATCATTGGTAACCCGATTCACTTTGACGACCTTCTCGGGACTGAGGAAGCTGAAAGCGTTTCGAGGAAACACTTGTATGATGCTGTATCTTCGAGAATCGGACAGAGACTGTACGATTTAAAAGCTCAAGTCGACAGAGTATCGCTGGAACAGCAGTCGTTGACGTCACAGGACGCCAAAACATCCTCAGACTGCGCTGCCGATATCTTTCACCGGGTTGATTGGGACTCATTCGGGATGGGGGCACACTTCTCAGAAGGATCATCAACCATTAATAAACAACGAATTCCACAAACCAATGACTGTGTTGTCTCCAATTCCTTAGATCGTCAGATCCCCAAAAGGGGATTCTCATCTGAAGCAGGGATGAGTACGAAGATTAAGAAGTTCATGGATTCTACTGAGAACATGGGTTTTGCTGCTAGAGGGTTGTTTGTGAACGATTATAAGACTAGGGGTGAATCCGCCAACTCTGGTAAAATCCGGCCTTTAAATGCATGGAGAGAGTATTTGGAAGTGAACCATGAATTACACCACTCGACGACTACACATTAGGATCATTAGTTTTGTAACTAGCCTATATGGCACAAATGTTTTCTTTTTTACTAATCTAATTTAGATCTAGATTTTCGTATTTTTCTTTCCTCATCATGTCTTCTTGCATCTCATTTTCTTGTTTAGGGGTAGCTGTTGCAATTATAAAGACAAATTCTAAACTTATATATCCATAGAAAAGGAGGAATGTGTAGATTTATACTGTTTAATGTGTGTACAGTATTTTAGAGTTCTAGTGTAAATCCAATTCAAAACATTTTGCAAACACTAAACTCCACTTGGTAAAGAGTTCACAAAATACGCTACATAGAATAGAACTCTCTTAAGAGTTAACAAACATTCGCACCGAAACGACACCGTTAGGATTGATCATCATCACAACAAACCCGACGGTCGCGATTAATCTCGGTATCACACAGAAAAGTTTTATCAGTACAATGACGAATGTAACCCCTTCAGTTATCGACGGCGATAACAGCTTCCCTCTCCTCCGTCTTCCTTTCCTAAGAGAGAGTTAGTGAAAGCTATGGCGGACGAAGAAGACGACTTACCGGAGACGGAACCAAGTTATGACCAGAAGAAGGAAATCGCAAGATGGTTTCTCCTCAACGCTCCCGCTGGCGAAATCAATTATGTCGCCAAAGGTACTCAGACACATTTACATTGCGGCGAATGTGTTTTTTTCGGTTGCACCGAGATGTGACTCTGTATAACAAGGCGCAATCGTAGACTGGTCCTGTGCTTGAGGATCACTGTGCGTGATTTGACATTTTGAACTTTCGGTGACACGAACTCTGTTCCCATGGCAGAACACTTTACAGTTCAGCCTAACCAGAGAGGTCGAGAAAGAACTTGGACTTGACAAGAGTGACTAATCATCAAATAATCAACCTCCTCTTTTCCATTTTGTTATGAAATTTCATTATGTGAGTGTAGGTGAAAAAGTATCGTCGAAACTAAGTCCTGTGCCGTTTTACGTTTTATGTGAATTGAAGTATATCGTTTTATGTTGTAGGCACAAGGCAGCTACATTTTCTTGTCTTTTTATTGTTCTGCTTGACTTGTGATAATGGGTAATATCTGTTGAAAATCCTTTAAAAAAAAAAGATGGACAATGCAGAGCAAAGCCCAACAAGGTAGGCCCATAATCAAAATAATAACCCAGTCCAAGAATAAAAGAGAAATTAGAATGAACGTTGGATTGCAGATACAACAAAGAGTTTTGACTTTTGATTAGTATCCAAAATCGTTATCTGAATCGGAATTTAATGTATAAATGTTAGTCAGTTCCTTAAAAAACACTGGAGCCAAATTAGAAACATATCGTTTTACTTTTGTTTGGTTATGTTTCGAATATGGAATTTATACATTACACACATAATTTTTATCAACTATAGCAACTCACTTTTTTTTTATGGTTGAAAATCTGATCTCCATCAGCAGTTTATGTGTATATTTATACGATAAAATTCGATTCAAATGAATATTTTGATTATTAATCAAACTTTTTGTTGTACGAAATTTGTAACTAAACAATAACATCAAATTATTGTATAGACATAGATTTCTTAAAAAAATTGGAAAAAAAAATTTATGTTGTATGACGAAGTTTCACTGAAAACTTTATAGGCTATTCGAGCAGTTGTGTTCTGCACAAAGCTCACTAGGTTGTTGCATCCCTCAACAAACCTAGGAGAAGTCCTGCTCGGAAATTCGAGTTCTCTGAAGATGGTTTGACTTACAGCACTCACCATACCACTGTAAGTGTAACCGAGCAAGTCTTGAGGCTCAGCTGGACGAAAATCCTGGTCAAAAGCGAAGTTCTTCTTGGCTTTCCTATTCTTCATGTAAACTCTCTTGAGAGATGCAAACATGCTCCATTTGGCTTCCCTCCTCTCCATTATTCTCTCAGCAAAGTTGAAAGAGCACATTGTCATGGAAGTCGAAAAGGTAAAGCAACACTTTGCCTACCTCTCCTAAAATCATAGAGATCACTGCAAGTCTCTAACCATGACCATGTTGTGTGTATTTCAAAGTTGTGAGAAACAATAGCAGGAGCTCGAGAAGTTGGAAGCAAGGTTGGAGCAGTGGCAAAAATTTACTGATCATTACACCACTCGACGACTGTACTTTACTAGTTCTCATTAGGATCATTACTTTTGTAACTTGCTTATATGGCACAAGTGTTTATTTTTTACTAATCAAATTTAGATTTTAGATTTTCATTTATACTGTATTTTCCTCATCATGTCTTCTTGCATCTCATTTTCTTGTTTAGGTAAATTTATACTGTTTTTTGTTAGAGTTGTACTGTAAAAACAATTCAAAACATCTTGCAAACTCTCTAGTCTCTACTTAGTAACGTGTTAACAAAATACTGTACTCTAAAACAGGAGTCCATTCACACCGAAACGACACCGTTAAGATTCATAATCATCACAAAAAAAAATCAACGGTCGCGATTAATCTCGCTCCCACCCAGAAAAGTTATTAGTGCAATGACGAATGTAACCCCTTCAGATTATCGACGGCGACAACTTCTTCTCGATCCTCCGTCTGGCTTTCCTAAGAGAGATAGAGAAAGCTATGGCGGACGAAGAAGACGACTTACCGGAGACGGAACCAAGTTATGACCAGAAGAAGGAAATCGCAAGATGGTTTCTCCTCAACGCTCCCGCTGGCGAAATCAATTATGTCGCCAAAGGTACTCATACACATTTACATTGCGGCGATAGTTATTTTTCGGTTGCACCGAGATGTGACTCTGTATAACAAGGCGCAATCGTAGACTGGTCCTGTGCTTGAGGATCACTGTGCGTGATTTGACATTTTGAATCATTTTTTCGCTGTTTTTGGGATTTCTGGCAGATTTACAGGCGGTTTTGTGCGATGAGGAAGTCTACAACGAGGCAGCCATGGAAGCATTTCCAGTGTACAACAAGTCTCACATGATCTTCCTTGAAATGCCCAGTAGGGCAGGTGATGTGAGTTCTCTTCTTCGCTTTGAATTGAATCACTCAAACGGAAATAGCTCGGGCAGAGTTTGTGATACTAGTCTCTCTTTGAAGCCTGATTGTTTGCTTTTTTTTTTAATTTTTTTCTCTTCTTTAGCTCTAGAGAAAAACTGGATATCAGTGATCTTCGAAATAAATGGTTTTGTTTGGAATGATGACAACGTTTCCCAAGAGCTTATTAGAGTGCCTAGGTCGTTTCTCTTTGTCTTTTCTAGAGAGTTTTCATCTACTTGCAGCTGATATATTAAGTGACATGCTACACTTGTTTCTTCATTATTGTTGGATCCCATTGGAGATCGAGATATGTCCTGCATCTTCTTTTCTTGTTTATTGAAAATGTTTCTGGAAAAGTCGATTTAGTATTACTTTTTTTCTTCTTCTTGTGTCTCAGGTGATTGTTTCATCTTACAGTGAAATTACTGAGAATGAGTACCTTGATCCAAGAACTGCCCAGGTTGCCATAGTTGATCATGTTAAACAGGTACATTCTTTTTCATTGTTTCTGTTCTTCTTCTTTATTTTGTGCCCCGATTTTTGAATCCAATTCGAAGCTTACATCTCTTTTCTTTGACCAGATTTGCACAAAAGTACGGCCTGCAAATGATGAAGAACTTCCGTCTTCGTATATTGAGGAATACAGGTATGGTTTTACACCTAGCTGGAGGATTTAAGATCATTCAGTTCTGAATGTTCATATAGTCGTAGCTTATCTTCTTATGGCGGCAAAGGCAAACATTAGAAGCACTTTGAGAAGTTTTCTTCGTCTTTCCGCTCAAATAAATATGTTGAAAAGGTTGGTTTTTTTCATTACAGATATGCTCTTGATGCTGAAATCCAGAGATACGTTAGTGAAGCTTACCCGAAAGGTGTGTCTGCCGTGAACTGTGTGAAGGGGAAAGATGCCGAGGGCCCAGGGACTGACTTTGAGCTGGTCGTTATAATTACTGCCACGAAGCTTAGTCCTCAGAACTTCTGGTGTGTACAAAATGACCTTCTTCTACTTATTGTCAATGACTGTATCCGTTGTTCAGAGAGAACACCCAAATAGGGACGACACATGTTTGCGTGAAATAATATTGAGTGACCAAAACCGAGGTGTTGTGCAGTAACGGAAGTTGGAGATCTGTGTGGAACATTGATTTCCAGGATGAATCTCAGGTGCTTGACATAAAAGGGAAATTGCAGGTAGCATTCGCGACTCTCATTTATTCTCTCTGTAAATATGGATGTGACTTATTCATGGCCAAGGGAAGATCGTTGAGCTTATTCTAAGTATATCTCCTTCTCTTCAGGTAGGAGCCCATTATTTCGAAGAGGGGAATGTGGAATTAGATGCAAAAAAGGAGTTCCAAGATTCGACAATTTTTCAGGTACCTCCACGACGCATACAATAATCTCAGCATGTAGACTACACCAAGAGAACAAACATGTGTAATGATACTCAGCTTGTGGTTTGAATTCTTGCTTCCATTTTCAGTCTGCGGATGACTGCGCGATTGCCATAGCCAATATCGTCCGGCACCATGAGACAGAGTACCTTGCAGCTCTAGAGGTCCCCAAATAGCTACTTGTTATTTTTCTCCTTTCTTTTTAACCATTTCTCCTCTGTTGCTAATCTTGCTTGCGACTCAAATCATTAGGTAGCGTATTCTAAATTACCGGATAACACTTTCAAGGTAATCTCTCAATCGTTTCTTCCAAATCATGATGGGAGCCCCGAGGTGTATTTACATAATTCTGAGCTGTGGGTTTTGGGGATTTTTGCAGGATCTGAGGAGGAAACTTCCGGTGACACGAACTCTGTTCCCATGGCAGAACACTTTACAGTTCAGCCTAACTAGAGAGGTCGAGAAAGAACTTGGACTTGACAAGAGTGTGTGACTAATCATCAACTATCAACCTCCTCTTTTCCATTTTGTTATCAAGTTTCATTATGTAAGTGTAGGGGAAAAAAGTATCGTCGAAACTAAGTCCTGTGCCGTTTTACGTTTTATGTGAATTGAAGTATATCGTTTTATGTTGTAGGCACAAGGCAGCTACATTTTCTTGTCTTTTTATTGTTCTGCTTGACTTGTGATAATGGGTAATATCTGTTGAAAATCCTTTAAAAAAAAAAGATGGACAATGCAGAGCAAAGCCCAACAAGGTAGGCCCATAATCAAAATAATAACCCAGTCCAAGAGTAAAAGAGAAATTAGAATGAACGTTGGATTGCAGATACAACAAAGAGTTTTGACTTTTGATTAGTATCCAAAATTTATTTGAAAGTGTAGGCTTTATATAAATCAAATTGACAAAATCCAACTTGATGCGGTTTTATTATTGGATTCCGCAAACTTGCAAAACCTCCGTTGCCGGGAATCGAACCCGGGTCTCCTGGGTGAAAGCCAGATATCCTAACCGCTGGACGACAACGAATCTGTTGATATCGTACTTACATAGTAAGTATATATCAAAAGTAGTAAGTAGATTTTTCTTTGCTTCAGACCCCCTGATCGGATCTATATTTTTATCACACCAACAAAAACACACTTCCAGCAAGGACTTGAAATCCGAATCTCATTTCTCCCGCTAGGCTTTTGGGAATCGTGCCAAACTGTGAAATTATAAGAGTAAGGGGGTACGAATGAAAAACCTTGTAAATTTCCATTGACTCGCTACTTACCAATAAAAACCCTTCTTCTGACAGAGGAAAGAAGAAAGTAAAAAGTTGAAAATCGGAGTTCGAATTTCACATCCATCATCGATCGTCGTCTTCGATCTCTTCCCTGTTGTTAGTCACTCTCTCTTCTCGAAAATTATTACGATCGTTCTGGAAGAGGAAGTCAGACTTCTGAAATCTACTCAGGTAATAAAGTTTCTCCCTTTGCTCCTTAAACATCGTACTATTTTCTACTACGGCTTTTCTCTGCGTTCCTTTTCGTGCTGTTCGACTCTCTGTTTAAAATGTATACTCTTGGATCTTTGCAGACTGTATTGGAGTCGCCAAATTCCTGATTCGAGAAGATGGTAAAGTGCTCGAAGGATTTATTTTTTTCTATGTTTTTTTGTTCCTTCTTTTCTGCATGATTGATAACTCTCTTCTGATTCCAGCTTCCTCTTTCGCTTCTCAAGACTGCTCAAGGGCATCCAATGGTAAGAGAGTTCTACAAATTTCTGATATTTACATGTGTTCTGCAATCTGAAAGCTGAGTGCATATGAATCGGTTTACTGAAGTAACATGATGCTCTAAAAGGGTCTAAGTGAAATTATTATAAGTCTCTGGGTCTCAGCTTTTGTGTCATGACTCGTGAGTATAGATGTGTGGGGGTTTTAGTTAATATTAGATGATGCTGTAAAAGGGTTTTAGTTAATATTATAAGTTAGACATTTAATCGGTCTTATGGTATTTGTTCTTCCGTGATTTTCCGGTTTGGTAGCTTGTGGAGCTCAAGAATGGGGAGACGTATAATGGGCACTTGGTGAATTGTGATACATGGATGAACATTCACCTGCGTGAAGTCATTTGTACATCAAAGGTGATCTATCTATTGCTCTCTCCGATGTTGAAGTAGTTCCAAATAATGTTTCTATTACATATGATTGACACTCAAATAATCTATCACTTTTCTGCAGGATGGAGATAGGTTTTGGCGAATGCCTGAATGTTACATCCGTGGCAACACAATCAAGTACCTCCGAGTTCCAGATGAGGTATTTCCTTTTGTATGTTATGTGCATTTAACTCAATGATCTAGTTCCACTTTGCTTTGCTTTTTTTTTTATCTTGTTTCTCTGGAGTGATGATTCTTAGCCAAATCAGATATGTGCTCCAAGAGGCACTTTGCTGGGTTTCTTGAGTTGAGTCACCATAATGTGATCTCCCCTGGAACCCTAATGGCTATTAGTGTGCCTCTTGTGGTAGTGTGTCTTGTATGACATCACAGAGATGGGTAGAAGTCTGACCAGAATATCGATACACTTTTTAAAACTTCTCGGTGTCATGTACCCAAAGCCATGACATGGGAATATCCTCTTTTGTGTCTCTCTTGAACCTTTTACTATTCTAGGTGCCGAGAAGTGACAATTAATTGGTGTCTCTATTTTTGTGTTCTTGATGTTTGAGAATCTGAATCACCTATACTGCATCTAGGAGGTGCTTCCACATCGATTGCGCTAACATACATTGTGTTATCTTCTCTCTTCAGGTGATTGATAAAGTACAGGAGGAGAAGACCCGCACAGGTATAGTTTTGTTAAATCTTTATCATGAAGTCGACAGCCCCTGAACTGTGAACTTGCTTAATACTTACACAAACAAGAATGCCTGAACTGTGAACTTGCTAAAAGACACTTGGGAGCCTTTAATTTTCCTGATAGAGGATCAGTGTAGTATCCAAAGACTTTTCTTCTGATCAATCCATGTGAAGAGTACCCTCTTATCAAATCATGTGAAAAAGCTGGTCCTTAGTGCGAGGTTCAGGGATTAAACAAAATAGTGGGATATGTATGGGTTTTTGTTTGTTTCAAAAAGCAAGTAGTTCCTGATAAGTCTCAACAATTGTTGAATATGTACAGATAGAAAACCACCAGGGGTTGGGCGAGGAAGAGGGCGAGAAGGTCCAAGGGGCATGGGACGTGGTATGGACGATGGTGCTGCCAGAGGCCGAGCCCGAGGCCGAGGAGGTTCAAGTGGAAAGATGGGCGGCAGATGAGAAAAAATTCTGGATTGTTTACCTGATAATTGTATTAATGTGCCATCATTTTGGAATGAATTTTATATTTTTCTTGCAATTTGATGGTTTGTAATGGGTGAAATATTAATTTGTGAAAGATGCGAGGTAACTGTTTTTTTTTTTTTTTTTTGTCATTCCTTTCGTGCAAGAAGAAATTTATCTGACAGTAGATTTCATAACTTAAGTACTGTATAGCTGTGTTCTGAATTTACTGATGCAATTATGAAGAAAAAGTAGGAGTCTGCAGTGTTCATTATTTAAAAATTAAATCTTGAAAAGCTAACATTGAGGTTTGTAATTAACATTTAAGTTTTTGGCAATCTACATTCGAGTGTGAAAGACTCTGATCCGCTCGGAGGTGTTGCGAGATTATGCATTTCTTTGAAGACAAGTTTTCAAAAGAAATTTTCCTTTTTGATAATTGTTAAATTTATCTTTCTTTCGTTATTTATTTTCTCTCGTCTTCTCGATTTTTCCTCATATTCGATCTTCTGAAACCCCTAAACTCTCGTCCTCCCTTCCCGGCGATCTCTGTTTCTCTCACTCAAATTCGGCTATTGAAATGGCAACTCCGATGGTTGAAGATACGACAAGCTTCGAAGAGGATCAGCTCGCGTCTATGTCCACCGAAGATATCACGAGAGCTGCTCGTCTCCTCGACAACGAGATTCGGATTCTCAAGGTTCGACCCATTACTCTCTCGATCTCCCTCTTGGCTTGTTTCGCTTCTTCGTAATTACATGATTGGTTCCTAGTGCATAATTTGGCTTCAGCGATTGCTCAAAATTCGAATAAGCTCTTGCTGGAATCTGGTTTTGGTTTTTCGAGGTTACGGGTTTAGGGCTTGAGTTTAGTGCAATCTGTGACAGTGGGAGATGTATTAGACCTTTAATTTGAGGTCCCTTCTTGTGAATTTGTTGTAGTGCATCGTCTCAAAGTTTAGATTTCTAACACAACAGTATTTGATTACATTGAAAGCTACTTCTATTGGCCTTTTTTTCTTATCGAAATTGGATTTCTGATTTAAATTCTCTTTTGGCTCACTGGTTTTACGGATACGTCATTGTTGAACTTGTGGTTTTTTTTCATGGGTGTGTAGGAAGACGCACAAAGAACAAACCTAGAATGCGATTCGTACAAGGAGAAGATAAAGGAGAACCAGGAGAAGATTAAACTCAACAAGCAGCTTCCTTACTTGGTTGGCAACATTGTTGAGGTAAGCTGTTCCGTTTTCTTGCTTGGATTTTTAGCGCATAACTGTTATGATATCTATTAGATTTTGGAGATGAATCCATAACTGTTATGATATCTATTAGATCTTGGAGATGAATCCTGAAGATGATGCTGAGGAAGACGGTGCAAATATCGATCTTGACTCACAACGGAAAGGGAAATGTGTTGTGCTGAAAACTTCTACACGACAGGTGAGACTTCTTTAACCTTATCTGTATTATATTTATAATTTCCTACACTTTCAGTTCCTTTTCCTGCTTCATTGTTTGAGCAATTATGTTTTTGCGTTTGCAGACTATTTTTCTACCGGTTGTTGGCCTAGTGGATCCAGACAGTCTGAAACCGGGCGACCTGGTCGGAGTAAACAAAGACAGTTATCTCATTCTGGATACATTGCCATCAGAGTATGACTCGAGGGTGAAAGCTATGGAGGTGGACGAAAAACCAACAGAAGATTATAATGACATTGGAGGACTAGAGAAGCAGGTAAATTGTGTGTTTTATGTGGCGTGTTGATTTTGTTTAAGCGTGTTTTGTGTTGAATCTGATTGATGTTATTTCTTTGCACAGATCCAGGAGCTTGTAGAGGCAATTGTGCTCCCTATGACGCACAAGGAGCGTTTTGAGAAGCTGGGTGTTCGTCCACCAAAGGGAGTGCTCTTGTATGGTCCTCCAGGGACTGGTAAAACTTTGATGGCTCGTGCCTGTGCAGCACAGACCAACGCCACATTCCTCAAACTCGCAGGTCCTCAACTCGTCCAGGTATGTATGAGTGTTGCAATCAATACTTGTAGTGTGCATCTACACAGACTTTTAACATTCTTTTTCTAAACAGAAACAGAATAATGAAATCAGCATAACAGTAATTGACTTTGTGACATGTCTCAATGTTTGCAGATGTTCATTGGAGACGGAGCAAAACTTGTCCGTGATGCCTTTCAACTAGCGAAAGAGAAAGCACCATGCATCATCTTCATTGATGAAATTGATGCAATTGGTACAAAAAGATTTGACAGGTACAAATCTTTTGCTAATCCTCACTTCTTCTATTTCTGCATTTCGTTAGCAGCTCACTGATGACATTGTTTTGGCTGAGATTTCAGTGAAGTAAGCGGAGACAGGGAAGTGCAGAGAACTATGTTGGAGTTGCTCAATCAGCTTGATGGATTCAGTAGCGATGAGCGTATTAAGGTGATTGCAGCCACTAACCGTGCAGACATTCTGGACCCAGCACTCATGCGTTCTGGTCGACTAGACAGGAAGATCGAGTTCCCACACCCAACAGAAGAAGCAAGAGCCAGAATCTTGCAGGTTTGTTTCTCCTCCATTTCTTTCTAACATGACCCTTGATAAACTCAAAAGCTCATTCAACTCAAACTAACCAAAACCGAATGAATTCAGATTCACTCGAGGAAGATGAATGTCCACCCTGACGTCAACTTTGAGGAGCTCGCAAGATCAACAGACGATTTCAATGGAGCTCAGCTGAAAGCAGTGTGTGTAGAGGCAGGCATGTTAGCTCTTCGCCGCGATGCAACAGAGGTAAGAAGATACAAAACTCTCTCAATGGTTGTAAGCTTTTATGATGAGTTTGGTCTGGTTTTTTAAACAAAGGGTTCTCTGTTGTTGTTGTTGTTGTGTGTGCTCTCAGGTAAACCACGAAGACTTCAACGAAGGTATCATCCAAGTCCAGGCCAAGAAGAAAGCAAGCTTGAACTACTACGCCTAATCTCTTTTCTGTTTCTCAGTCTGTGGACTAGTTTTACTTTTACCTCCATTTCCGATTTGTATCTTTTCATATTTTCGAATCAGATATATCAAATATTCGAAATACATTTAATTGTGCTCATCTTCGTCTTCTTCGGAACAAAACAAAAAATGAAATTTAGTATCTACTACTCACATATCACTCTGCTTCACGTTTGGATCTTTTCTATCCTGTAATTATGTTTGTGAGGAAAATTTCTTAGTATATTGCATAAAATCAATTTCTTTCCAGTGTACAATAAATTTCTGTCCAATGTAGTTAATATTCTCTGTGCCAACGTATTGTTCATTCAAGAAAGTTATGTGTTATAAACGTTAGAATGTGCGAACATTCTTTTAAAAAAAAACTCATGCGATGAATGCATAAACCTGCACGGAGAGAAAGTAATAGCAGCATTCATAATTTTCACTACTCCATACCTTTAAACACATGGAAAAACAGGCATCCTACACAAGATTTGGTGCTGTCATCACTAAAAACGCAACCCATAGACGATCTAGCACATTATTATATGAGTATCTCCATCGCCACCTGGTTCGATTCTGGATTTCCAGAAAGAGAGAGGACCTATTCTACTTCGTCTTCCATTTGCTCAACGGTGTCTTGAGTCAAAAGTAATGGAATGTCTCATCTCTTGTAATCCTGTCTTACAATAAGCTGAGATTTTTGTTTTCTCTATATTCGAATTCAAATTTTCAATGCAATCATCTGATAATAATTTAACAAACACATCACGAATATATTTACTCCCATGTTCTTGTTGTGACTACTCTCTGTCCCTCTTTCTCTCTCATTTTGCTTTCACGCAAAAAAAATGTAAAGAGTATTGTTATTGATTCGCTATACAAATCATATATATAGTCCAACATGAGAAAATAAACAACAAATAAACACATGACAATACAAATTACATAGATTAGGGGGGTGTGTTTCCGATTTGCACTGCGCTTGGAACATAAGAGCACACAAGTGGAAGTGGGTAATAACTCCGTTTGTTGATACATTCGCCAATGTCCACTTTTCTCAAGTATCCATTATTTCCAATGATGCGAGCAATGTTGCCAGTGGGGACGGCAGTTTTACCTCTGTCTTTATCAAGAACCACCGCGACCTTCTTCTCCTCGTCAACGAAGAAACTCCCTGCGGAATCCATAAACCCACAACTAATGAGTGGTCTCATATCAACAGCCAAGAACAAGTTGCTCCACGACACTGCATTGGGCTCAATCTTATTAGTAATCCATATCTTGACGACGCCTCCAGTTCCAGGTGCACCGTATTTCTGAAATAGCACCGCAAGCTGCTCTTCTCTAACACTAGAAAGAGTCACGGTATCTCCACCGTAACCGTGGAAAGACAGAGGCAGACGCGGTCCAAATCTCTCCCTTGTGAAGTCAAAGCAGAGGAGGAAATCAGGGTGCTCTTTCGATATAGGTCCATCAACTACTGGGAGCTTCTCTTGAGCATACCAGTAAGTGTTGCCCTTTAGAGTCAAGCCGCTGTGTTTAAACGAAATATGAAAGTCCGGAGTGAAATCACCAATAACCTTCCATGAATCGGAGCTTAAACTGCACACCTCAAACTCACAAACTCGGCGCTTGACACTCAGGTCGTAATCTTGCACAAATCTCAAGACTTTGTGCATCTTCCTCCCCTTGTCGTATCCAAGAGCGTGCCTGTCCCATCTGCGGCAAGACTTGCTGGGCTCGATCCACCTTCTTTGTCCCAAGTAAGGGTTCCAAACAACAAGCCTAGACGAGTCTTTGTCATTGTCTTTGGTGATGATGCATAAGAATAAACCATCGCAGTGAAAGATTTTATATATGTCGACTCCATCTGCATCGAGATTACCTATAGGCTCTATAGATGGACAGAGGAGATCGACGCTCATCAAGGAGACTCTATGTTCCACCAGCATCACCACCTCAATGCCCTTCCTCTGCTTCTTCTTTATAAAGCTCTCACTTTTCGTTAAAGTGTTCCACTTTTTGCAGGTCGATCGCAATTTTCCCAGAGATGTCATCGGAAGCCTAGAGAGCACCTCCTCCTCCATATCACTTGGAAGATCGGACATCTTCGGACAGAAGCTCATCGCCTGTCTGTTCAAAACGACAGACAAAGTTAGCTTCTGACACAAGAAATATATACAAATAATTCTGTTAAGCGACTATGATTGAGGTTTGATGATCACAATATTCAGGTGAAACCTAGAAACCTAAACGCAAAAGCAAGAAGTCCTCTTTCCTTTTCCTTCTCTCTGATTAAACTTTTTTTGGTTTCCTTTGTCGAATCAGAGCCGTTCCTTGTTTACTTGTTTTGAAATCTTAACCGTTGATTTTTCTTCACAAATATTTTGGTCTTTTCTTGCGATTTGATGATTTTTAATGGGTGAAAAAGCTTTGTGAAAGATGTAATAAGTGTCTGATGAGTGATGAAAAATATTTCATTATCTCAAGATAGCTACGTTCTGAATGAGTGATGACGTTAAATTATATAAAACCATAGGAAATTTAGAAGTATCACAGATGTGACAAGATTAGTTCCACAACATGGTTCGAAATTTATTGCTGGCACTAAAATTTTACTGCATGTATAACTGATAGCTTTTAAAATATAAAATATTTTTATGGGAGCAGAAGAAATTAATATAGTCGCTAAAAAAAAAATCAATGCTTCAGCTGTCAAAATCTAGGAAATATTTTCCCCCGATTATATTTGATAACATCGACAAAATCCAACTTTTCAGTAATAATATTTCCATTCACTAAATAGCTCTTGCGGGTTAAAACGAGAAAGTACTAATTTCATTGTAAAAAGGTAAATAAAAGAGCAAAATTGGTAAGAACGGGAAGAGAGCTGCAAAAGTCGGCGCGAATAAACTTTTGGCATGTGGACGCAATAATTCGCTTGGGAACATCGTCGTCACATTGAAAATCGCTAAAAGTTTGACTACTATTGACCTTTTTAAATTTCTTTTTAATAAATTACCCATTGTAAATTTTGCATATAGACGACACTATATTACGAAACTAAACAATAATCGTTTTTGTATATGATTACTAAAATTAAAAAAGTAGCAGAAAAATGCGTCAAAATAATTTTAATAAGATCTTGGAGTATTTTATGTAACCCACACTATCTTTAGCTCTTTGCTAACATGCACATAAATTGCCTAATGTCGTCGCATAGACTTTTTTTTTAGTTATCTTTCTTAGTTACTGATGATTTTAAAGATAAATGTTATTATCACCATTAAAGATAACCAGTCAAGTATAACGATCAAAAATTGATTTACAAAATAGAAGACTTTAATGCAGAAGCCGAACACATTGATGAATCAAAAATTCAAAACAATAAATATGAACCAAAACAAAAAGGAAGCTTAAGAATTTACAAATCGATTGAGAACTCAAACTGATATAGATATAATCTTAGTTTGGTATATATAATTTCTTCTACCAATACGAACAGTACCAAATCGAAATGAAGTAATGAACCCCTCAGTAAAATTAAGAGAGCCAAAAATAGAAAGTTTAAGTACGAAGGTGGAATTTTTAATAAATGCAAAGCTGATAAATTTGAGTTCCAGAGAATTATAAAAAAGAAATTAAAAAAAAAAACAAAAAGTAATTAGCTCTAGGGGAAGCAGCTGATGTCAAGTAGACAAATCCGTCAGAATAAATCTGAGCCGTCCATTGTAAAAGTTTGGACATCGGTCATTGCTTCTACCCGTAACCCAATCTTTTCTCACACACAAAACATAACGCGAGAAAAAGAAAAAAAAAATATAGAGCGATTGATTTTTCTTCTTCTTCTTCCTCCTCTGGGTCTCTCTGGTGGTGACGGATTCACGGATTCATAAGGAATTAAATTATCTTGTTAAATTAATCGAATCGAAGCGTAAGGAATTGGGGAAGAGGGGTTTCTGCGTGAATTCTGTGGCTAATCAACTCGAAAGAAGGGTTTTGAGATTTGGGTTGTTTTGATTGGATTCTGGTTATGGGTTTAGGCAACAAGGTTAACAAATTCAATTTCGGTGAAAATGATCTCGCCGACGAGGGTAGTGGCGCCGATGGCGATTCTCGCGACGAGGGAGATGGGTTTGGCTCGGTTGCGTGCTCGATTTGCCTCGAGACGGTGGCTAAAGATGGCGATCGAGCGTGGGCTAACCTTCAATGCGGCCACCAGTTCCATCTCGGTATATTTTTTAGTTTTACGATTGCATATGCTCTTTTTTTTATTCGATTGAATTTGTTCCTGATTGTATAAAAACTAAAGAAATTGCTCCAGATTTCGATTTGAATCATCCAGATCTACCTTTGTTTTGATTCGATTTTTGAATTATGGGCCTGTTACATTCTGGTTTGTGGCCCTTTTGTTGTAGTAATCATGGATGGGTATCGAGCTCTGAGACTAATCGGTTCATGCTTGATATACTCATGATCTGGTTGAATTGTTATATGTGAGTTTACGGAGATAGCATCAATTAGGGTCTGATCACTATTTCATTACAGATGCCAAGTTTCTTCGATTGATCTCTCCACCGTATTTTGATTCATCTGTTAGCTCATAATCTCTGAATATTCGTCCCATTCGAGCACTAAATGCATCATGTGCTCTTGATGAATGTTTTGTTCGCAAGAACATATGAGCTTTTTCCTTTTTAATCTTTGTTCACTGTAATGTACGACAATCTTAGATGGCTATTGATAAACCGACAAAAAATTTCCTATTAGATTACGGATTATCCTTAGGTATCCTCCAATGTGTGTTGAATGCTATACATTTTGGTTTCACAAAGGCATCTGAATCCACATCTGTTTCCTCTCTTTGGTAGATTGTATTGGTTCAGCTTTCAATGCAAAGGGAGTGATGCAATGCCCTAACTGCCGGAAAGTAGAAAAAGGCCAGTGGCTTTACGCAAACGGTTGCCGTTCATACCCTGAGTTCAATGTAGAGGATTGGGTTCATGAGGAAGATATCTATGATATCGGAGGATACTCTGAAATGGTAAAAAACTGGTAACCCTATCCGTCCCGAGCTCTGTTGCTCATCACATTAGTTTACACTTTTCTGCCTCCCATGCTGAGTTTTTGTTGTTAAAAGATAAATTCCTTGAATTATGTTTGATGTCGAGAATGCTTGTGTCTTTGCAGTCTTTTGGAGTTCACTGGTGCCCATTTGGAAGCTCAGCGCGTCTTCCTTCTTTCGAGTAAGTAATTTCATAATATCCGTTTTCTGGCAATCAAAAGTGGGACTTGCGTCTCTTCTTTACTGATGAATCTCTCTTAAACTTTGTAGGGATGGAGAATTTTCACCGAGTTCATGTAAGTCATTGTCCGACTGGTTATTTCTGGTTCCCTTTTATCTTAGACTCACGTTTCTTGCATTTGGGTTTTGTTGACCTGTTGAATCTGACACCGTGGTACAGATCACGATCTCTTGGGCCAGCAAGGTTACTTTACAGAGCCAGCGGCGCCGACAGCGGGTCACCCATGTCCATATGTAACCTACTTTGGCCCGGTTCATTCGTCTTCCTCAAGCACAGGCGGTGCTGCAGGCGTTTCAGACAGTTCAAGTTTCAGCAGTCACTGGAACACGGGCTCATCGGTTTCCGGTGAAGTCCCAACTCCTTTTGGTTTCCCTGTTGATCCGCACTATCACGGCTGGGATTATCACTCGCCTCCACCCCCACCGCCACAGCACTTCTCTGCTTCTGGCGCTCACGTTGGCAGTCCAACTCAGCCCACACCTCCAACTGCTGCTGCGAGGATTTCCCGAACCAACGGCTCAGATGTGATCAGACCCAGACCGCCGCATTTCATGCGTCCATTTCATGGTCACAGGTACATATTTTCTGTCTTAGACTAGAGTTTTATATATCTCATATTTTCTGGCAATAGCTTGCTCCAATTGGACATAAAACGAGTTTGTGTCATGGGATGGTGAAATGAACGATTCTGCAGGTTTACGGTGTACCAATAAGAGATTTGATTAAGTATCATGGTATATTTGTGTGTGTGTTAAAATACATGTACTGTTGGGTTTTTGCAGTTCCAGTGGAAGAGCGGGGAGCTCGGTGGCGTCTGTGACGAGGACACCGCCATTTCCGGGAAGCAACGCTCGGACGCTGGACAGAATGCAAGCTCTTCAAGCCTATTACCATCAGTCTTCTGCACAGTCACACCAACCCGATTCGCCTATAGTCTCTCGTGGGCCTGTTTTCCCTTCTGGCCGGAGGCCCGGTAGAGGATTAGCTTCCGGGATGGGATCATCTTCTTCTTCTTCGGATCAGGCTGGCGGGAGCGGGTTTATCCGGTTTAACATATGGGAGAGGGATCCTTATATGCAATCGCAACAAGCCTACCCGGTTAACCAGATGGACAGAGAACCATCCATTTGGGCATCTTCACTCAATGAAGGATCTGGAAGCTTCCATCACAGGCATGGCGGCGGAGGATCATCGTAAGAGTTGAGTCAGTAGCCGGCGAGATTCTCCCCGGTCAGGCAATTCTCATGAACGCTGGACCAAAACAAAACAAAAACAAAAGAAGAAAATACATTGGGAATTTGATATTTGAGAAAACCTGAAAACTGCATGCTCAAGTTATGTGATGAGTTGATAATCTTAAAACACAAAATGAATGGTATGTAATGGTTTGGAGAGAGACTGCTTCCCCTGTTGATGGTGACCGTGCGGTTCGAGCCGGTTTGGGTCTGGTTTGGATCCGGGAAGCAAAAGGTCGTTGGATATTTGTTTTTTTTTTATATGTGGCTACAATGGGTATCGAAGGGAAAATACCCTTATGGAACTTTTTTTTCTTTCTGGATATGTTTAATTGTTAAATTTTAAGTACTGACTTCTTTCTCTTCGGCCTATCACAATTTTCTACTGGTGTTTGTTTTCTATGCAAAATAAAATTAAGGTCAAATTACAAAGACTAATGACCATAGTCTAAATGTGACAACGAAATAGAATATTCTGAGCGTACACCAAACTCGAACTACAAATCTTTTTAGAGCCTGTCTCGAATATGTTGTGGCACCAGAGGGTGGGTTCCATTTAATAATTTTCCGCATCCATTAAAATAATAATTGGTATAAGATTTTGTAGAAAATTTATATTCCAAGAGTTTTATAAAATACGGAATACAAAAGAAAAACCTCGGACCTGACCCTTTTGTATAATACCGGCGAAAGCTCTGTTTCAAAGTTTTGATTTTTTCTTCCGTGCCTCCAAATTAGCTAAAGGCAATGGCGGAATCAAAGACCAAATTTGAAGAAATCAGAAAATGGGTCTCGGATCACAAGCTTCGCACCGTCTGTAATTATCCTTTTTTGCTTCTCTCGTTTCTTCATCATCTGAACAATATTTTTCCGCCGTGGGTCGTTTTGCCTGAAGCAAAATTCTCTTCGGTGATCCTTATCATGGATCTGGCTTTCACCATATCCCGCTGAATGTTTCATAGGATTGAATAATAATTTTTCGGTTTCTGTAATGTTCTACTTCTCTTCATCTGAACGGTTTCGGTTTTTGTTCATTCTTTCCAATTTTCCTCTTTGATCTATTGAGCTCTATCGCCCTTTCAAATTTGGTCATGCTTGATGAAAATTTTGGTCTCAAATTGTGTAATGTTCTGTGACATGCAAAGATAAGAGAATGCATATTCATCTACAGTATTTTTGGTGTTTTGTATAATTTGGCATTGTTCATAATGCTTACTCTGAATCTGTACAGTTTTGATTTGACTCTTGCGTAGGTTGTTTATGGCTCAGTGGTATCACCGGTTCTATCGCCTATAACTGGTCTCAACCCGCCATGAAAACCAGTGTCAAGATCATCCACGCCAGGTAACCTTATCTTATCAAAAGTGGTTAAAACTTTTCCTTAACCATGAACATTGTTAGTTGTTAAGCAATATAAAGAGGCATCATCTCCATGTCCTAAAAGCATGCAAATTTCTCTGTTCTGTCCAAATAAACTGTAGTTTTAATGGGTCTGTACACTACACCCTGCTCGATGTGAATCGTTATGTCTTACATTGGCCATAGCAACTCATGTTCCCACATATGCACTCTTATGCTGCATATATGCACTTTGCTGTGTTTGTCGTAATCATATGAAAGAATGTTAAAGATGTTAGATGATTATATGTATCTCAACTCTAAATATTACAGCTTTCCTTTATTCATTGGATATATATTCACAGCAGTTTTCCTTCTTCTCAGGTTGCATGCTCAGGCGCTGACTTTAGCTGCTTTGGCTGGAGCCGCCGTGGTGGAGTACTATGAGCACAAAACTGAAGCTACCAACCGTTATCCCAAATTTCTGCCGCCGGAAAATTTATCTCACAAAGACTAAACTCTAGACCCCTTAACCTTCAAATGGTGGTTGCTGCGTCTTCTGTTTGCTACAGGCCGCGTAGCTTCTGAAACCTTTTTTGTAGACCTTTAAGCCCAAATTCATGTATTGACAAGTTGACAAAGAACAGTTTACTTATTGTTATATCATTATTATGATAATTTCTGAGGGTTTCTTCTGTATTGTATAATCTCTGTGTTGGAGATTGCACACGAGATTTGAATTTGTAAGAAAGACGCATATAAACAAATAAAATTGAAGAACTAGCATTTGTTAGTGATTACAAGTAAAGTATCACGAATGGGAATTTTTTGTCTGATTATTAAGTTTTGGGGTTATTTTGAGATTCAAGAAAAATGTGGGGAGGTTAAAATGATTTAATAGAAATATAAATTAGGGCTACAAGAGCACTTTAAATGCGCAGAAGCCCTAGCCATTTCTTTCCGTCTCCTCTCGTTTAAGAGCTAAAAGACGCCGCTCGTCTCTGCAGACAGTTCCACCTTCTAGGATTTGTTCAAGGTACGCAGCTTCTATCTCTCTTTAGTTGAAATGCTCTTCAATTTCTGGTGTATGATTCGATAGCACGAATTTGTAGTTTCACCTTTCTCTTCTTTGTTCAGCTATTGATTCGTATATTGAGAGTGAAATTGACCTAGATAGATTGAAATTCGCAAACAGGAATGTCTCGTTTCTCATCTGCTGAGTAGATCTCTCACTGTTGATTTCTCAAGTTTTGAGTTAGTCCTGTTAGCTAGAAAATGCGATGTATGAGTCTTTTTTTCCGTGTAGAAACTCCATGTTTGTACACTCGTATAATCACACTTTGGGTTTTGTTTGTGTGGATTTGTAGAGAGAAGGGTTGAGAAAATGAGTCGTGGAAGTGCAGCCGTTGCCAAGGGAAAGAAGAAGGGAGTTTCCTTCACCATTGATTGCTCCAAGCCTGTGGATGACAAGATCATGGAGATTGCTTCCCTCGAGAAGTTCCTTCAGGAGAGGATCAAAGTAGGTGGCAAAGCCGGTGCTCTCGGTGATTCTGTTACAATCACCCGTGACAAGAACAAGATCACTGTCACTTCTGCTGGTCAATTCTCCAAGAGGTATACCCATCGTAACCTGTTTCTCTATAAATGCTGTCCTCTAGGTTTGTGTCTTGAGATGATAAAGTGTCTGATAGAAAGTGTTTACTCTCATAAGTAGTTGCAAGAGTGTTGATTGGTTTCTGACTTTAAAAGCAATCTTTTAAGTGTATTACTCTTTGTTTACTCCTTCTGTTATGTGTGTTTCAGGTATCTCAAGTACTTGACAAAGAAGTACTTGAAGAAGCACAATGTGAGGGATTGGCTCAGAGTGATTGCTGCTAACAAAGACCGTAACCTCTACGAGTTGAGGTACTTCAACATCGCTGAGAACGAAGGAGAGGAAGAAGACTAAAAAAACCCATAAACCGGTTTTGCTTAGAGCTATACTCCTATTTCCTGTTTCTGCTGTTTTGGTTTCTGCTCGTTGCTCAATACAATTCATCTTCGTCCTTGTCTTCTTTTTGACAGAGATCCTATTTAGTTTGGTTGAAGTTAACTCTTGTTTCAGACTAAAAAGAAGTTTTTGGTAAAAAATCGTATGATTCTAGAATTTGTTTGTTGTGGGTTTCAACTTCAGTTTCCATCATGAAAAGCATAATTTATATTGAATTTCAAAACCCTTTTTTTGGTATTATTATGATTAGAAGAAAGAAATTCCCTTTCCAACTTAAACTGGGAAATCAATTCACCATCGAAATAGGAACATGGAGACAATTTTTTATATATATATATATCTGAACATAGCATTCACATTATCATGGTAGTAGCAAAGGAAGATGGTGAACGCAGGAAGCACTCCTCCTTCGTCTCCAACTTCGCCACGCCTTCTCGATCTCTTCCCCAACCAAGTAGGAGATGTGGCACGTGTGGTTTCTTCAGCTACAAGAGAAGAAAGATTGGTTAGTCTCGCGCACTTGAAGGACATCTCAAAGGAAGAGAGAGAGATAGGGATTGCAAACAACGTATCGACACTATTAACTCTCTCCCCAACACCAGATATATGGGATATCAAGAAAACACTCAAAAAGAGCGACGTTGGAAAGCACCAAACACGCCTTATTATACCAAAGGAGGCCGTGACTGAGCATATCCTGAAACACCTCACGCAGAAAGATATCAGAACGATCGAAGACGAAAATAGCAAAGGCTTGAGAATCCACGTGTACGACAGTGACGAGAAGTCTATTCATCAGTTGAGCTTCAAGAGATGGCTTTCTACTGGAAGCTATGTGTTGAATAACAGTTGGATTCTGGATTTTGTCGAAAGAAGGAAAATTGAAGCAGGCGATCGAATTGGACTCTTTTGGAATCCTTACGCGTCAAGGCTCCACTTCTGTGTGCTTCCTCCTTCCTAACTATTGATCCCACGACGATAGTGTTGACTTTTGTTAGTTTACTTTTTTTTTTCAGCATAGTAATAATATTATTTGAGTCTTCTTGAAAATCCAAAATTTTGCAGAATTTAGTAGATTCGTAACAATCTTTGACACACGAGTAAAAAATATCTCATCGTAAGTTTTGATTAGTTACCCACCGATAATCGATTTTCATCTTTAAGTTGTGTGTATCGTAATATTATAACCCATAAACATTGGTAGACGAAACAAACCAACGAAAAGTAAACCGAACCAAGATTTTGTTATAGGTTTTTGATTCAATCGGTTTCTCTAATCCGAGACTGTTGTCTGAAGAGGCAAATAACTCTCGACGCCTTTAGACTCAGCTTGCTGCTTCTCTGCAACAGCCTTTGATAATCCAAACATCTGAAAAGACAGACAACCCCAAGTAATAAGCTACTTATTCGCCGAATCAGATTTGATCTTCATCTACCAGATCGCTGAGGCTCAAGTGATTAAAGATCTGATAGGTGTTTTAGGTAAGTAATGAAGAAAGAGAACCTTCTTGATGGTCTTGTTGAAACAATTCTTGTGATCATCCATGGAGGCATTGATGAATTCATCAATGTGATCCTTCACGTCTTCTAGGAAATTGGCATCATCCTTTGCCTTCTTTCTACATGAAGTCATGGCCGGTTTTGGCGGGCTTTCAGCTTGAGTTTTCTGCGCCTCCATTTTTGTCTAGCTCTCTAGCATAAAAGATCAGAATCCACTGAACTCAATTAACACGAACCGATCACATAAATACAGCAGATACAAAAGCATAGAGCTCAAGAAGAACCAATGAAAAGGTAGCTCTCTAACTATTTAGCTCGCAAACAGAATTATAAGAAGAATCCTACAGTTCAATGGTAAACAAAACTAACAACAATTCACACCAGATGAATGATTTCGAAGTCTCTAAGTTCAGAGATTCATAACGTGGAAGATCAGAACCAAGAACCCTTTGGCAATTGGCTATATAATGTCAACTTTCTCAGAGGTTCCAACCATTGAACACACAGCATTGGAAACAAACATTGCTACAAATGTTACAACTTCCTTACTATATATCCTAAGAAACTCTGCCGTTATATATCAATCAAAGGAACCTTGCATTAGGTTATATCAGGAAACTCAGCAACACACAAACACAGAGGAACGAACTTTGCAATCATATACAGAAATTGTAACACATGTCATGTAAGCGAACACGGATCAAGACAGCACAAAAAGCATCCAGAAACGCGAAAATCAAGCAAGTTTCAAGAGCTGAGACATAATCCCAGGTCGAGAAGATAAGATTCAAAGACAGAAACAAGGAACAATCTCTGATTCAGAAATGGAAGAATCAGAAACACTCACCGACGACGACGGATGATGACGAAGTCTCGCTCTGGGGATCTCTCTCTCTCTCTCTCTCCTCGCTAAAACGTTTGCAATTGTTAGATTTACTAAAGTACCCCTAATGTTCCTTTAAAACCCTAGATAACCAGAAAACAGGCCATTTGGAAGAAAAACAAAACATAAATGCTTTTTGACGATTTGGGTAAGCGAATTTTTCTGATTGAAGAGTGAGTTTCTCTGTTCGCTCTTCACTTTGAAATTCATTGAAACAGATTGTTCGGTCGAATTCGAATCGCATCAACACTGTAGATTCTCGGCATTGCGTTGTCATGTATTCTCTGATACTCCATGGGAAAAGGTGTATCGAGTTACACAAATTGAGAGTCATTTCAGTGAAGCTTGTGCAAAATGCATCTGCTTTCTGCAACTCCTTCTCCTCCGCGACTGTTAGATCACTGGGTGTAACCACGAAGCTTGCAGAATCGATCTCAAGTAAGGAAAATCCGGATTCCGTTCGAAACCTTCTCACAAGTTATGGGTTCACAGATCCTCAGATCTCCAGGATGATTAGTAATTACCCACGATTGCTTACGGTAGATGCTGAAAAATCCCTTCTTCCCAAGCTTCAAGCTCTCCAGTCCAGAGGAGCTTCGAGCTCCGAGCTAACAGAGATTGTATCGAAAGTTCCGAAAATCTTGGGAAAGAGAGGGGCAAAATCTACCGGCTTATACTATGATTTCATCAGAGACATTATACACAGCGACAAAGAAGAAGGCAATAAGAGTTCAAAGTTGGAAAAGTTATGTTACTCTTCGCCGGCGGGTAAGCAGGGGAATAAGATCAGAAACATATCGGCTTTGAGGGAACTGGGAGTGCCTCAACGGTATCTATTCACATTGCTCATCTCCAAGTCCCAACCTGTGTGCGGGAAAGAAAAGTTTGAAGAATCCGTCAAGAAGGTCGTTGACATGGGTTTCCATCCGACCACCTCAAAGTTTGTCCAGGCTCTACACGTTGTTTACGAGATGAGCGAGAAAACGATAGAGGACAAGGTCAGTGTCTATAAAAGGTTGGGCTTTACTCTGGAGGAAGTATGGGAAATGTTCAACAAGTGGCCTTACTCTCTGAAATTCTCGGAGAAGAAGATAAACCAGACGTTTGAAACCCTGAAGAAGTGTGGTCTAGCGGAAGAGGAGGTGATATCGGTGATGAAGAAGCGACCAGAATGCATGCGTGCCTCAGCGGAGAAGCTAACGAACTGTGTCGAGACATTTCTTGGGATCGGATTCAGCGGAGACGAGTTTGTGGCGATGGTCAAGTGTTTTCCTACTTGCTTTGGGTTATCTGCAGAGACGGTGAAGAAGAAGGTTGAGTTTCTGGTGAAGAAGATGGACTGGACACTACAAGATGTGGTTGTGATTCCTCCGGTTCTTGGATACAGCTTGGAGAAGAGGCTTGTTCCGAGGTGTAACGTAATCAAAGCTCTCGTGTCGAAAGGACTGATCAGAGGAGGGAACGGAATCCCTCCATTGTCCTCTGTTTTGGCCATCAGCGATAAGGGGTTTGTAAACAGGTTCGTGTTGAAACATGACGAGCTGGTGCCTGAGTTGATGGCCATCTTCAACGGAGATCGAGACCGTGCTTCATTGACAAAAGGGCACACACTACAACAGTGACGAACGTTAAGGCTTGTGGCTTCCCGTGAGTTGATTCTGGATTTGTTTCGTTGTTTTTGGTCTCGATCTGATCGTCAAACAGATTTATGAAATTGTTTGGTAAATGAAAGAGCTTGTGAGAATGTTTGCCGGTGAAAGAAAGCACAAAGATGGTTGTTGAGTTTTTCACAGTTAAACTAAGAAGGCAAATGTGGGCAGAAAATAAACCGGTTGAATTGTAACCGAAATCGAATCAAACCAGATCGAATGGTACAGTATTAGCGTGTAAATTAGATAAACCGAAAAAACTATATAAACCCGTAAATGCCAACCGGGAACGGTTAACTGGATTGACACGTTTACTGACGAGAGAGGGAGAATCAATTTTGAAAAACCCAATTTGACTCAGTCCGTAGAAACTTGGCGAGGTAGTACTTAGTAAGAAGTGAGGACTCGAATCCGAAGCGATTTCTTCTTGCAATCGCCTTCGTCTTTTGCCTCGAACTACTTACTGTTCATCATAGAGATCATTCGAGAAAGATGGGAAGATATCTAACGAAGACGCTGCTTCTGGTTCTATTGCTTCATCTCTTCATCTCCTCTTCGTCTGGTGAGTATCAAATACTAGCGCTCTTCATTTCTCTTTGATCTTTCTTGTTCTATTTCGCAAATAAGTCTTTCTTTTTCACTCAAAGTTTAAATCTTTAAGTTCGTTTGGATCATCTTGATTCGTTGTGATGCAGTGAAATCCGATTGAAATGTTGAGTCTTTGCGATGTTCTCCTGAACGTATCGATCTTCTATTTTTTTGTGTCATCTCGATTTATTATGATTCATAAAACCCGTTTGCAATTTTGAGTCTTGGCGATGTTCTACTAAAGTGTTTTCGATCTTTTGCTGTTTGTATCATCTTGATCACTTCTGATGCATAGAAACCCGAACGAGATTGAGTTGTGCGATGTTCTTTCTGGTGGAAAATGCCAATTTCGATTTGTTTGACACTTGAAAAAGCAATTGCACTGCTTGTTCACTCTGTTCTGTTTCATGCGTTTAGATATCTTGAAAAGAATGAAACTTTACAAGTAAAGCTTATGCAATGAGTTGATTAATTTGAGCGTTGTGTGCACTACAGGTACACCAGTTAATTCAAATGAGAACGGAGAATGCATTTCCAAAGGAGGAAGATTTTCGCCATGCGAATCAGAAGAAAAGCCTCCCAAATCCGTTTATCTTGATTTTAAGGATCGAAACCTGTGTGAAGTGTTCCATGGGAAGACTTGTTGCTCTGTTTCACGGACGGACTCGGCGTCATTAGCTGTCGAAAACCTGGCTACTTATGGTGAAGCTGCTAAAGATTGCTTGGATTTGTTTGAGCTCTTGGAATGTTCAATCTGTGACCCAAATGTTGGGATTCAGCTAGGACCTCTTGGCATCTGTGCCTCGCTTTGTGACAGAGTCTTTGAAGCTTGCTCAGATGCTTACTTTAGTAGTGATGCCAGTAATCAGGTAAGATCGGTGTTTGTGAGTACTTGAGGTAGATTACTCCTTGAGAATTCAGAAGTTTGAGAGAGAGCTTGTTTCTTTTGTCATGTGATAGGTTATAGTCCCGTGTGGAGCAAGCGAAGGTATCATCTGCGGGAAAGCTTCTAAATGGGAGTCTAACGGCACAGCGTTCTGCGATGCCGTGGGTTTCACTGTTCATACAGCTGATGATTGCGTACAAGAGCCTTGTTACGGAAGCAAATCAAGTTTAGAGCCAGTGGTGGAATCACTCATAAAATCGGGAATTTTGCGTCGTCTCAAGGTCTTCAAGGAGCTGGTTAGAGAGATGACACTGGTTCAGCAGATATCTTGGGTAGTTACACTTGTTGTACTAGGAACAATGCTCTTTAACAGGTTTTGCCTCTCACTCTCTCTCTCTTTCTCTCTCTTCGTTCAGTTCCCTTTTAACCGATTGATATTTGGAATTTCATAACTCAGGTGGCGTTATCAGCAGCGAATGCGAGCTATGATTGAGAGATATGCGAGAAGATTGATAAGGAACAGGAGGCCTAGGAGAAGATTAACTATCTTTTTTTTAACATTCGAAACATATTAAGGAGAGTTGTTGAGAGAGAAGAACACAGTTGAGTTTTGGTGTAAATCATCTGCAGAGTTTTGGCGACGCAACAATTAACTAACTCTGTATGTATCAACATTTCACTGCTATGTTTTGGTATTAGAACATGTTTTGGTATTAGAACACAGCTGAGTTTTAGCGTCGCAACAATGGTAATCAAGCTGTTTTTTACTCTACAGACGATTCAGAGAAGTAAGAGCCAAACCATGAAAGTCAATTCAATTTGAAAAGATTAGGAATTGTTGGAAATTTGATGATACAAGAAAATAAAAAGCAAAAGTGGAGAAGCACGCTAACTTAAACTAGGGTGTAAAAGGAATAACCAAAGAAAATAAAAAGAAAACAGACCAAAAGGAGTTGAGAATCTCCAGAAGCAGAGAAGAGACGCTTCTGCAACTATACACAGAATATTTGGATTACAACTTTTGTTTTCTCTGTCTCTCTTTTGTTTTTGTTTTTTATACAGATGCTTCTTCTTTGATGACTAAGAAAAGTAGCCTTTGAGGTTCTCTTCTCCGTTGCAGTTTACCTACATCTGAAGAAATGCACAGAGCCTAGCTTGAGCTTGTGAAACCAGATCTCAAGGGAATAAGCTTTAATGAGCTTCAAGACTTCCCCATTTTTGGTACCTGATAAAACAGAAAACGTAAACAAAGGCAATGTGTTATAAATTATGCTGGGAACTTGCGAAAAGAACAAAGCTTGACGTTTCTTCTAGCCGTTGTTCCTAGCAAACCAATTGTATTATCAGAAAAAGGGATTCTTGGTTTTAAATTCATTGGTGGGAACAAACCTTCTTGAGAGGATTACTGCTTGAAGCTGGGGCAGGTTTCAGGATCTCGAAAGAGCAAACGAGGGATTGGTCCACACTCAATAATGCACCGGCATTGTCAAACTCTCCACCATAGTTTGGAGCTGAGAATATGGTGACTAATCTCCGTTTCGCGAAAAACTCGTACCCATCTTCCACTACCTGCAAAATACATCCCTCGTGGGTCAACAATATCTTGAGAGAGGCTCTCATAAAAGTATCGCAGAGTTGGTTCTACATTTGATCTCTAGGGAAGTCTGTTTACCTGATGGCCTCGGCAAATGAGGTCGAGATCATTCTTCTCCAAGAACTCAGCGACTACATCGGCTCCAAACGTGCAGGAGATACCTCGATCGCTATCAGACCACCCTTCGCTCTTCTGGTCAGGATCAGACCAAAGTAAATCACAAAGAAGGCCGTTGTCTGGAATCTCTGTAGGCCTTTGAATCTCTCGAATCTGTCCCAGGTTCTCCAGCTCTGGTGACAAACCGCCGTGCATACATAAGATCTTGTCGTCGATGAGAGCAGCTACAGGCAAACAATTGAAGCAGTCGGTGAAAATCTTCCAAAGCCGTACATTGAATCTCCGTTTGCATTCGTCGTAGAAGCCGTAAATCCTGTTGATCTTAGCGTCTTCATGGTTTCCTCTCAAGAGGAATATCTTGGATGGGTACCGGATTTTGTAGGCCAAGAGCAAACATATCGTTTCAAGACTCTGCTTGCCTCTATCCACGTAATCGCCGAGGAAGAGATAGTTTGCTGAAGGAGGATAGCCTCCGTATTCGAATAACCTTAAAAGGTCTTGGTACTGTCCATGGATGTCACCTGATTACAGAGATTCAAAAAAGCAAAGCCATAAGTAACTCAATGAATAACAACAGATTCAGGAGCATCATGCAAAAACCTTAACCTACATCCATCAAAAATCAAAACTTTTTTCCTAATCAACCCAAATTTTCCCTCAATTTCATCACCAATCTCATCTTACATGCAAAAATGGTCAATTTTTAACCCCCAATCGTGCAATAACGACTCAAACCCAAATCATCACAACCTAATGACCACAAATTATTCAATCATCATCGTCCTCATATGAAAGAGAGAGAGAGAGAGAGAGAGAGAGAGAGGGAGAGACCGCAGATGCGAATGGGGGCATGGAGCTCGAGAAGATTGGGCTGAGAGAGGAAGATTTGTCTGGCGTTAACGCAGAGTTGACGGATCTCGATCTCCGAAAGCTGAACCTGTTTCCCTCCTTTGCCTTCCAACAACCTCCTTATAATATCATCCAACACACCCATCTCCATCATCCCTTCCATTGTCATCATCATTCTTTCTCTGATCCCAAACTTTTTCTCACCCGAATCCCAAATTCAACACCAAAGGGTTTGCGCCAAATCAGGCCAGAAACAACGGGTCGTGTATGGGTTAAACGATTCACAAAGAGGGTCGATCAGAGAATCAAAAAGCTTGTTTTTTTGCCTTGGATTTTCCCGAGAAAGTTCGGGAAAGAAAGAGACAAAATCAAGGGTCAAACAAAGGGGGAAACCAGAAGAAAAATCTTGGATCAAATGGGCAAGATTAGATTAGAATAGAACAAACCCCGAATTAAAAGATTATAAATTTCTTTTATTTTAGAAGGGAAAAAAAAAGCTTTCAGCTTTAGATTATTGAGGGGAGAAGGGAAAGAAAAAAAAACAGATGGTGCAGATAGGTCTTCCTCTCTTCTCTCTCTCTCCTCCTGCCAGAAAATTTTGGAATTATATATTTTCAACGCAGTTTTCTTTTTAATGGCTACTGATTAGTGATTATATTTAAGAGAATGAACAAGTCGGTTAAATATGTAATTAGGCGGAACCATATCATAACTATTAAAATCGGTTAAATATGTTCTTTCTTCTCTGTATTTTTATAATGGAAATGGACATATAATCGATTGAGATAATTAATGGATCTAATGAACTTCCAAATAATATGATTGGTTTGAAGAAAGAACTACTGCAAAAGATTTTTCTTTTGTCCAAATAACTTAAAATGATTAGAAAGGGAAGTTGTCAAATATTAAAGATAGCTACAAGACAAAGTAATTAGTGAAACCTTCAAAGGCAAGAATAAGGGTAGTGGACGGTGATGGAAGAAGATCCAGCCAGAAACAAATGAGACGTGGAGGATTCTCATTGGAACTGGTCAAAGTAATTAGTCTCCTTACATTTACATTCCTTTATTTATTTTTATATTAATAGCGATTTATTCAGGTAATTTGTTGCCGGGGCGAGAAACCGCGTCTTTTGAAAAGTTCGGTTTTATGGTTAGATAATCACTTATGTACGTGTGTGTATACGTGTGAGATTTACACTCGAATTCGTCTTTGGGTGCCCATCATGATATAAGTTAATAATTAAATAAGAAAAATATTGTTTTTATTTGTATCATGTTATTATGATTTGTCTATAACAGTATCCAGGGACATACGTGCAGTGTCTTGTTTAAGAAAAGTTTAACAAGTACTAGAGATGTTACCGTGTTACCCGCGGACTGTTTTTATATAGATATTTAATTATTATTTAAGTTTTATTATTTTCACTTTAAGTTAATATTTTAAATATAATATTTAATTTTTAAAATTGTTTTGATATGATTATACATCAAAAATATTTTAACATATTCAAAAAATGTATCATGATATACTTTTAAGAATTACCTATTTGATATATGCTAAAATTAACTGTTAATCTAAAACTTAATATTTGTATATAAACTCACTGTTATTCACTATTAACTTTCAAAATATTATTAAAATTATTTTTGTTTTGACTAAATTTGATTATTATTGTTCCAATTAATTTAGATTTTTATTTTTATTTCAACTGTGTTCATGTAGTGTTTTATTTAATTAGCAATCTCAAATACAAACAACACTCAATGTTCTAATCTCATATAAATATATAAAATAACTATGATTCATATAAATAAAAACAATATTTATATAGTATAAAAAATCACAATCATATTGATAAAATACAATTTTAATTTGATCTATAAAGTATACGTAAACTATAAAAAATATAGATGAATAAGGCAAGTAATACATATACAAATACAATTTCATACTAACTCATTATGTTAAATAAAGTATGTTGAGTTTCTCAAAACTCAAAAGATGTAAAAAATTTTGCTTGTAATTTAACTTAAACATTTTTTTCTTAAACTACACATATATATTTTGATGAGCCTTTATAATTAAACTAATAATATATATTATATTATTTTTAAAGGAGTTTCTTAACCCAGTAAAAAAACCATATTAGTTTTTCATTCAAGTTGGGTTTATAAGGAATTTTGTTGATGTGGATAATTAAAGATTTTTTTAGACATTTTCTTCTACATAAAAATGTGTATATTATTTTTTCAAAAATGCATTATTATTTAATTTAAGAATTTACTAACTTGATATATATAAAAATTAACTGTCATCTAAAACTTAATTTTTTTTTTATAACTCATGCGCTGACATGTATCGCTTGTAGTAATTTGACTACCTTAAGCCAACTAAGACACACATTGAATAAATATCAGTGCATGGAATTCTTCTTTTATCTATCATTTTCTGCAATGTAAATAGTAACGATGATCGAAATCTTCATATAGATAGATGCTTTGAAAAGCTTCCTATAATTTATGTTGTCTTGTTGGTTGTCATAAATCTAACGTACTATGATGTTTAATCTTTATGTTTCTAATAGGTGAATGTTTTAGATTTTTATAATTTGTAAATATTTTAAATTTTATTTTAGAAATTATTATTTTGTAATCTTATTTCTATTAATTATTATTTAAGTTTTTAGAGCAATTTTTTGTCCAATATATTCACTATATTACAAAAGGAGTATATATTAATGCTACAGATTTAAATGATATTTATTTTACTGATTTCGAAAATGATATTTAGTTTTATTTACTCATTCCTAATAACTATATTAACTTAGTGGCTCTATTTATTTATTTTATGTGTATTTCAAAAGATATAAAGTAAATTTTTTTATTATTGTTATATTACAAACAAAAAAAGTATATATTGATGCTATAAATTTAAATGATGTTTATTTTACTGATTCAAAAAATGATATTTTAATTTTATTTACTTTTGTTCGTAACTATATTAATTTTAGTGACAAAAATGAGTATATATTAATGCTACAGATTTAAATGATATTTATTTTACTGATTAAAATGATATATAGTTTAATTTAGTTTTTGCTAATAACTATATTAATTTAATGGTTCTATTTATTTATTTTATGTGTATTTCAAAAAAATCTAAAGTGAGAATTTTTATTATTGTTAATTTGTTATATTACAAACAAAAGAGTATATATTGATGCTATAGATTAAATAATATTTATTTTATTGATTCAAAAAATAATATTTTATTTTTATTTACTCTTGTATTTAACTATATTAATTTTGGTTCTATTTATTTACTTTATGTGTATTTCATAAAAATCTAAAGTGGGAATTTGTATTATTATTTTTTGCTGATGTGTCATATTTTTAGAGTAGTTTGAAAAACTGAGGTGGATAACTTAAAGAGCCCCAAATAGTTCCTTTTATTTAGTATAGATTCATAAAACTTTTGATCCTTGTTTTTTACTCTCATAAATGTTTTGTATTTTCACACATTAGAAAAGTATAAAGACTTGCTATAATGGTAACAAGAGAAATAAAAGAGCCTCTGACTTAAGCCCAAAAGTTTAAAGAGAAGATTAATAAATCAATTGGGCCTTATAGTTTTGGCCCATAGTGGAAAGAAGAAACCCTAAATTGAAGCGAGTCGTCGTTACCATACATCATTATAAACCCTTAAATTTCAATCTTCTCTTGCAGAGGCTTCGACGGCGGCACCACATCCCCGGACGCTACAATGGTACTTCTATCTCTCAATCTCCGTTTCTGACTGTCTCTCCTGTTAGAGTTTTCCCCATTTTAAGTTTGGTTTGAAAGATTCAGTGTCGAGTATGTGTTCTGTCTTTCCAATCTGAAATCCGTTTCTAGATATGTAGTGAATTCTCGGATTTGTGGTTTTGGATTTTGACTCTGGATTAGGTTATTTGCTGTGACATTTGCTTCCAATGTTGATTCTGAGATCAAATTCGTGGTGTTTGGCAGGGTATTGATCTGATCGCAGGAGGAAAGAGCAAGAAGACAAGAAGGACAGCTCCAAAGTCCGATGATGTCTACCTCAAGCTTACTGTCAAGGTCAAATTTCTAACAATGATGTTTTTTTCCATCGAAGATGTTTTTATCCGTGTGAATCATACTGTACATGAGATTTAATCTTTTGTTTTGAAATGTTTCAGCTTTACCGGTTTCTGGTGAGGAGAACACAGAGCAAGTTCAATGCTGTGATTTTGAAGAGGCTTTTTATGAGCAAAGTGAACAAAGCTCCACTTTCTCTATCTAGGCTCGTGGAATTCATGGCTGGCAAGGTTCCATTTCGTTGAAACCCTCTCTCTCTCTGTACCTTTATTTTGAAATGAGTCATGATGAATATGAGAATCAATTGTTCAATCTGTTGCTTAGTCTGCAAAATGGTGGTGTCCGATGAATGATTAGATTGTCGACCATAGTTCTTGGCTATGCTATAAGTTTTGAATGTGATTTTCATGTTTTGGCACTATAGGAAGATAGGATTGCTGTCTTGGTCGGAACTGTAACTGATGATGTAAGGGTACACGAGATTCCAGCTATCAAAGTGACTGCCTTGAGGTTCACCGAGAGAGCCAGAGCTCGCATTGAGAAAGCTGGTGGTGAGTGCTTGACCTTTGACCAGCTCGCCCTCAGAGCTCCATTGGGCCAAAACACGGTATTGCTCTTGACCAAATCCGCTCTTGTACATTAAAAACTTTGTGCGATAAAATGTGTAAAACTTTGCTTGTTTTTCTGATATATAGGTTCTTCTTAGAGGACCTAAGAATTCACGTGAGGCTGTTAAGCATTTCGGTGCACCTGGTGTGCCAGGCAGTCACTCGAAGCCATATGTTCGGTCCAAGGGAAGGAAATTCGAGAAGGCCAGAGGAAGGAGGAAGAGTCGTGGATTCAAGGTTTAAGAACATTAGCATCGTCTTTGAGCTTGCTTCTCGAGTGTTGTTGCTTCTTAATCTCTTTCGTAATCGGATTTTTGGTCAGATTGTGGTTTTTCCTTGCCTGTTTCAGACATTATTTTAAGTTTTTGGTTTTTTCAACTGGATTCATCATGTGCTTATTACACATTGGGCTCTGTTATGTTAAACTTAATTCAGTCTTTCGTTGCAAGTCTTAACAGCATCTCCCAAATTAAATTCTAAGAGAATTCAATTAAGATGATTATTTATACCAGGGGTTTTTAATGTAATGTTTCTTCCTGTTAATTGGTTTTCTTACGTAAATCATTCTAAATTAGAGAAAAATCGTTTTATATCCACATTTCCCTTTCAAGATCGATTCTCAATCACTCACTAGAGGGTTAATTTTGTGCGTATAAACGTTGAGCTTTATATTGTCAAATTTTATTCATAATCTCGTCGGAAGAAGACATTGTTTTTGATAGATAACATATCAGACGAAACCAGAAACCCTAAAAGCTTTTGTTGTTGTCCTTGTCCTGGAGCTTTTTGAAGAAGTCATTGATGTGGGCAGTGACTTCTTGAGGTTTCTCTTGGTTGACGAAGTGACCAGCATCTTCAATCACAACTACCTCTTGAAGATTTGGAACGTCTGCAGCAAATCCACCACCGTGAATGTACTCTTTAATCCCTGGTGTGGTGTAAACCATGTCGAAGTCGCCTGTAATGAACTTCACCGGAACTTGAATCTTAGCTCCGGTCCATGGTGCAGTGAGTTCCCAATTCCTGATATTATCCAAAAACTGATTAATACAACTCTTAAAAGGTTAATAAACACAAATTTATGTTACGAACTTACAGATCCATGGCTCTGTAGTAGTTCAATCCACCGGTAAATCCTGTCTTGTCGAATTTGGAGGTGTAGAAATCAAGATCTTCCTCAGAAAACCATTTAGGAAGTTCAATATTTTCGGAGTTAGGGTTAGGATTTGCCCCAAAGGGGTTATCCTTAGGTAAAATCGTCGGACCGAGTTTCCTTCCTGTGAAAATGTTCCTCAGAACTCTTCTTGGATCTGCACATGCAATCTCTTCTTCAATCTTTCCAGGTTCCTGCAAATTCATACATATTAAACCAAAATTAAAAATGGTTGGACACAATCAAAATCAAACTGTGTCTATTGGTTAGAGATTATGAGTCGATTTGACTTGATTGGTAAACACTGCAAATAAAATAACAAAATTAAAATAAATATCGAAATGCGAAACCTGAAATCTACAAATGTAGTAATCATCTCCAAACACAGCCTTAAACCCTTCCACAGGCTTGACCTTAGGGTTTCTTGGTTTGTACGGCACGCTCAAACAAATAAAGCCCTTAATCTTCTCCGGTCGAAACAAACAGAGAAACCATCCGATAATGGCTCCCCAATCATGACCCACCAGAAACACCGTCTCTCGATCTCCAGCAACACTGTCCAGAAGAGCCACGAGATCACCAACCATGTTAAGACACGTGTACTCGGAGAAAGACTCCGGCGACTGGGTGTCTCCGTAGCCTCGGAGGTCTGGAGCTACGGCACGGTAACCTAGAGACGATAACCCAATGATCTGGTGACGCCACGTGTACCAGAGATCAGGGAATCCGTGGAGAAGAAGCACCAAAGGTCCTTCTTTGGGACCTTTCTCGGCAATGTGCATTGTTATGCCATTGACCTTCACCATTCTATGATCGATTCCTTCCATTTCTCCTTTTTTCTTGTTGGGTCTATGAATGTGTTTTTACGCTTTAAGCTGTGTTACCGGGTGGTTTTGGTTGTAGCATAAATAGAGGATTCAAAGGAAGCTACTAATTGGATTTAATATGAGTAGGTAAACAATTATTAAGTTACTACTAGTTGTGTTTTCCTTTTTTTCCTGAACATTTGTTACTAGTTCTGTTACGGCATTCTTAATTCTTATACTTTTTTTAGATATCAGTAATACTAGCTTTAATGGTCACATAAGTTGGTAGAAAATTGACTCAAAAAAAAAAAAAATCAGTTGAATATACTACTTATATTAACTGTGACAAGTTAAAGCATGTATAAATTAGCATTTAGATGATGGCTGTTTGTCTCTGGGGATTACTAGAAATTTGAGTATTTAAAATAAACCAAGATAAACAAACAAATGAATGATATACATGCCATGCCAATACCAAAGTTCATCCTAATAAGAAGAAGAGATACTATCCTAGTTAATACTTAATACTCCCCGTAGTAATAATAACTGTTTCAGTATTTCTTGAAATTATCGAAATTCTTGTATTTTGACAACGTTTAAAAATTTCGTCTGAAAAAACTACTTCGTATATATCGACAGTGGAGGCATATCTAATGTTAGAGCTTCTCAGAAGAAGAGTCTATTTCCCAATCGGTGAAGATGATGAGCCATTTGGAGGTGAAGGAGAAGTAAATGCAGCGAATTAAATCATAGAGATATCAGAGATAGGTAGTTGCGACTTGCGAATTGCGATTGTGTGCATGCAAAATTAACTTGGGAAGCCCACTTTCTTTTATTACGTCAATTTTTATGCAAAATTGCCGTGGGAGTAAATGAAGTTAGGTGTAACTACTTTTGTTTTTCCGGAAAAAAATAAATGATCTTTCTTGTGAAAGGAAAGATAAGAAAACTCAGTTTTTTGGTGAAGAGAATTTGGTTTCACTATTTATGCCTTTTTCACAATTATAAATATCCAGTAGGAAGATGTTGATGAATAATATAACCGTTGAGAAAATTGCAGATTTTAGTTTCCTATAGGATTCTTATTTATAACAGCTCGCGCATGCATATATAATAGGTAGTACGTACTTACTACTAGTGAACTAATTTCTACAAAATGGGAATTATAATTGATTTATAAACAACATCTTTAATGTACTGTGATATTAAACATGCGTTTACAGAGCTAAATATTAATCTCAACAATTTGGTAGATTAATAATCCTGAAGTCCTCAAGGTTGTCCAAACATTTTTCATTTTCAGGTGTTTTTGAATTAGAGTAGGAAAAAAACACATTATATGGCATCTTAATCGATCATTTAGGAAGACTGTGAAGCCATCGTACCGGAGCTCTCCGTTGAAGCCATCGCCATCTGAACAGAAACTTCAGGGGAAGCTGCAGGGGAAGCTGCAGGGGAAGCTGCTGGAGAAATCGAGCCAGCGCCACTTGTGTCCGTGAAGGAGGAGAAACCTGGAGCAGCTGGGGTGGTTGCTGCGGCGGTCGGGTTAGCACCCAAAAGGCCAGGAGTGTACGGAACACCTTTGCCGGGAACCCAAGCGTCACCTTGAATGTACTGATCCGGCATGAACTTGAGGATCTCTTCGTTGCTCAGTGTCTTGATTCCTGGCCAAGTAACCCGGCTTGCAAGGGGTGCTCCTGGTCCTGTGTTCTGGACTTCCGAGTAGAACAATGTGTCGAGGCCGAAGTCTCCGAGCCACGGTTGCCATCCTTGTGGCTGGACGAAATCCGGGATGAAAGTGTTCATGATGATAGTCCTTGAGAACTCCTTCCATGGCCTTCCGAGATAGGCTTTGCTAGTTGCCTTGACTGCCAAGTAATCCGGTTCGCCGGCAATTGTGCAGCCTTGGAACACGAATCCGGTTGATTCCCTCGGGTCTTTACGACCGTGGGCTGTGATCGGGCATGCCTGGTTCGGTAGTGGCTTCCTCACCAGCAAAGTGCAGTTCTGGAATACAGCAGCCGCGTCCCCAAAGATGAAATCAATGGTGCCTGAGATGGTACAATCACGGAAGAACTGACGGTGGGAGTGAGTGTAGAGCGTGTCTTGGTAACCATCGAATCTACAGTTGAAAAATATCGACTCGTCTGATTGAACCCTAACCGCGACGGCTTGATGTTTGATTGGCCCAGCGGTGTTAACGAACCCGATGTTCTTGGCGATGAAGTAGTCTCCAACGATCGCTGCAATAACGTACCAATGGATTCATCAACATATACACGACTTTTGAAACTTAATGACTAAAAAATGTCATCAAAGTAATTACGTACCAACAGTGGCGGTACGGTAGGTAGTGATACCGTCCTTGTAATTCTTGTTGCCGGAAATGATGGTTTTGTCGGGACCATCACCGATGAACACGAGATGACTCATGCTCTTGTTCACCTGAACGTACTCGTTGTAGATTCCAGCCTTGATGTGAACCACGAAAGTCGTGTTCTTCTTCTTGGGGACGAACTTCAACGCGTCGTTGATCGTAGCGTACTGACCGCTCCCATCCTGGGCCACCACAATATCAGGCTTCACGTCGGAATACGCGGCAGCGGCCTGCAAGAGCCTACGGCCCCTCTGGTCTACCCACGAGGGGATATCTTGGGCCAGAAGCCTGCGGCTATTAAGCCCAGGAATATCCATCTGGCCCACGAAATTCGACATTTCGCTTATGATGGCTAGCCCATTGTGGGTCAACTCGATAGCGGTCTTCAACGCTTTCTTCATCGTCTCTCCCGCATTCCCTTTCGTCCCTTGGAACCCTTCAAGGCAAGTCTCCTCGTGGCTAATCGCGGCGCTGAGCCAAATCCTCAGATTGATCAAGGCCTCGTCGAGCTTGTGGAACTCGAACTTGCCAAGCTCCTCGAAAGAGTTACTAAGCTCCCCCAACGCGTAATCCATCAGCTCCTTGCACTGATCAAGCGCCATCCTCGTCCTTGGATCCTTCTGAAGCTCCATCATCGTCTGCGACTTCTTAGCCGCGTCCGTGATCTGCTTCATCGTGACACTAAACGCCGTCTTAACCAACTCAATCGGGTCGGTCGTGTTCTTCCCGTTCTTAATCAGACTGTCTTCACATGTCTTCTTGTAATCCGTCGGGGCACAAACGTCCTTGACGGCCTTGACGGAAGCCGTGATCTGTCCGTCACCTTCAGAGTCACCGTTAGCTTCGTTCTTGTTGAGGGTGACGCCAACGGTAACGGCGACAACCATCGAGATCAGAAGAACAGAGGAGATCGTGATAACAGCATACCTCCTCTTCCTCTTTGAATCATCGTCGTATCCGTACGACATATTTTATTTTGTGTGTGTTTTTCCTTACAAATTCTTTTTGTTGGCTTCTATCTATTCAAATTGTTTTCTGAACTTGAACAGCTCTGAATAAATTTTTATTCTAAAAAGATTAGAGCTGTTCGTTGTTCTTCTGAGAAAACGAGATCGTGAGATTTATGGACTCCTCCTTCGAAGGTTACGTAGCCTCCTTGGGAGTGTGCATTTTTTTCACAATTGTCGAGATGGCTTATTTATAACTGAAAGGACAAATTAAGAGTTCGTTATTCTGGTTGCTCTGTTTTTGAGGCTTGGCGGGAAATTCGGTAGTGACAAACTGTTGAAAAGACAAAAAATAGGCTTGTGGTAGTTCATTGTCTTCTCTGTTTCTTCTGGGTTTCTCTAATTAGGGGAAACAATTAATCTTATTTTAGGGATTCGAAACCCTCGGTTTTTGTTTGTCTGTTTTCTCAACCTGATTATTATATTTATAATAATCTTGTTTCATAACTACTGTACTACTACTAATTAACAAACATACACACATCTATTTTGTTAAAAAAATCAATTTGGTATAGTTGTGAATAGGGATGTTTTTCCCATTATAACAACTAGGTATTTACCTGCGTTATGCTACGGGATATTTTTCTAGATTTGTATATATTATTAATATAATAAAATTATTTATATATTTTAAATAAGTATTATATTTATTTTTTATTAGCTTAAGTTATGTATATATATGTTTTAAATATGAATAAATATTATATATCATTAAGTTTTTATTTTTTAAAATTATAATCTACTATCAAATTTATTTAGCTAACTATCTATAAATGTATATGTAAGAATAAAACAATACATTTTTAAGTACCTTCAAGCTAATGGTAGATGTAATTTATTTTTTCTACTAATTTGCTACTTGGTCCTCCTTTGAACTTATAAAAAGCAAATTGCCATTTAAAAAAATATTAATTAATATGATTATTTTAAATTATAAAATTTATTTATTTATCAGATATTTATTATAGACATATGTTTCTAAAACTATCAAACGATAATCAATAATATTCATATCAAAATCATTACTATTACTTTAGAACTAAATAGAAAGTTCTATTTGAACTTTTGAAATATCAATTTAGTTGAAGTTAAATAAATCAATTTTGGTTATTATAAACATATTATAACTTGAAAATTTAGCACAGAGAAATTTTATCTTTTTACAAAAACCGAAAAATTGTATTTTCCGACAAAACAAAAAAAAATTATTTCCCACGAAACTGAGAAATCGCCTATTCCCGCCAAAACAAAAAAAAATTCATTTTATCGTCAAACCTGAAATTTTATTTTCCTACCAAAACAAAGAAATTGCATTTTCCCTCAAAAACCAAAAAATCACATTTTCCTGCGAAAACCTGTGTTTTTCCGTCAAAACAGAAAAATCAAATTTTTTCACCAAAACTAAAAAATTTCATCTTCCTGCAAAAACAAAAAATAGTATTTTTCCTTCAAAACCAAAAAAAAAAAACTATTTTTCCTGCAAAAATCGAGAAATCGTCTATTCCCACCAAAACAAGAAAAAAATATTTTTCTCGTCAAATCAAGAATCACGCCTTCCTACCAAAACCGATAAACTATAATTTTCTGCAAAAACCAAAAATTACATTATCTCCTAAGAAATTGTGTTTTCCACGAAAACTAAGAAATCATATTTTCCCTCGAAAACCCTAAATTAAATTATATGTCAAAAACTGAAAATTTGCATTTCTCATCAAAACCAAGAAATTGTTTATTCCCGCCAAAATCGAGAAATTTTGCTTTTCTATCAACCCGAAAAATTGCATTTTCTGCCAAAATTGTCAAATTACAATTTTCCGCAAAAATCAAGAAATTACATTATCCATCAAAAGCCGAAAAATTGCATTTTCTATCAAAACCGATAAATCGTATTTTTCGTCAAAATTGAAAAGTTGCATTTCCCTCGCATTTTCTCGTCAAAATCAATTTTCTTATTTCTTACTAAAACCAAAAATTCACATTTTGCCACCAAACCCGAGAATTCGTTTTTTCTTCTATAACCGAGAAACTATGTTTTCCTACCAAGACTGAAAATCACATTTTTCTACCAAAACTAAGAAATTCTCTATTTCCGCCAAACCCAAGAAAATTTGTTCTCAGTAACCAGTGGAAATGCGAATCTCCAAGCTGTGGTGGTTTGAGTTTCTCCTCATTTGCTTTCGCCTTCCATTTTTTTTGTAAACTTTGGGCTTTTTAATGGGTCAGCAAAATAGTAAATTAATTTTATTAATGTGTTAATAATATGTATTATTGTTATGTTTTTATTGGTTCAAATTTTTGCTGATGTGTGAGCTTCTTATAAAATAACGCTTTTTGCATTGTTGTTATGGAAGCATAGTTGATGATGAGTCTACAGTTTCTTTAATCATATACATCTCTATCAAGCAAACACATAGTTAGAAATTTTAATTTTTTTGCTTTTCTTTATTATTTGAGTTTTGGTTTGGCAAAAATATAAAACAAAGATTTAATTTTATTATTTGGGTTTGTTAAAAAAATAAAACAAAATTTTTTTATTTGCTATTATTTATTATTTGGACTTGGGCTTGATCAAAAAATTAAACTAAAATTAACAATAAAAAATATTTGAGTTTTTAATGTGTTTAAATTTAAAAGTTAAAATAAATTGATGACTTGTATTAATGAAATTTTTTTTATTGGTGTTTTTTTTTGCTGAAGTGTCATCTCCTAAAAGCTTGAAAATGCTGATGTGTCGAGCCATGGAGAGACTTATGAATTATTGTTGTGTTGATTTTTGGAGGGGTAGAATGATTACCTTTATAAGAAAATCATATACACATCAAAATTGTTTTTGATTATATTGACGAATCTAGACAAATAGTGAGACTTAATCAGTCAATTTGAAGGAGCTGATTAGTTTTATTTCAAAATATACCAAGAATCTTGGATTTTCAACATCGACAAAAAAAATCAAGAAACACTTTCACATAGATGATATATCACACTGTCACACATCAAAACACAAAACATATTCGTTAGAAAACTAACTTAAATTCTTTATTTTATTTGTACTGTTTAAATGGCCAAAAATCAATCAAGATTATATTAAGTCACCAGCGTAAGGAACTCCCATGCTCGGCAAGCAACTATCTCAAAAAATAAAGTTCAAGATAAAAAAAAAACATTAGTCTTGAACAATGGGATTATTAGGTTAAGTTCCGACCTGATATTTAAAAAAAAAAATCAGTACTAAGAGATTTGGTATCGGTCGAGTATTTGAAATTTTTTGATTGTGTAACTTGTGTTGGTACTCTCTAAATATCAACTTGAATATTTAACTAGAAAACTAAAAATATTCGAAAATACCCAAAAATGTGTGTGAAAGTGTCTAAAAACCCGGCCAAAAATATTGTTTTGAAAAATCGTTTTAAATATTTCAGAATCAAGTAATTTTTGATACTTCTCGAGTATTTTGGATCGATCTGAACCGAGAGTAATTGAGAACATGATCTGATCCGAGCTTTTTGGGTAGATACTGAATACAAGTTTTCGGGTTCGAGTAAAAAGTCCATAATGGGCCTTGAGCCATTACTGCAAAGCCCAGATTGAAAAAGCCATTACTGTAAAGCCCAAATAGAAAAAGTCAGCTTATCATATCAGTCCCTTCAGATTATAGTCTTATGATTGAGAGTCAACTTATCAGATGGACCCGGAAGAAATCAGAGATTTGGGAGGTTGACCTAAGTGATATGTCAATTACGATGATGTTTGGTCTTCCAAGTCATTGGTTGTCGGTTTCCTTCTTCCGCTGGGAGTTTCGGCTCCGATTCGACAAAGGAAACTTTCCTTTTTGTTCGAGAAACCAAAGAAAGTTTAAATAGACATCCTCCTCTCGTCTCTCAAATCGGAGTTTCTTCGTTGAGAAAGGAGAAGAAGGTCGCGGTGGTTCTTATTCCAATAACAGAGTCGTTCCGAAGATGTCCGATCTTCTGAGCGACATGGAGGAGGAGGTGCTCTCCAGGCTTCCGGTGACATCTCTGGGAGTATTGCGATCGACCTGCAAGAAGTGGAACACTTTAACGAAAGGTGAGGGCTTTTTAAAGAGGCACATCTGTGAAGCAGCAAAGAAGAAGCAGAGGAAGGGAACTGAGGAGGTGGTGATGCTGGTGGAACATAGAGTCTCCTTGATGAGCGTCGATCTCCTCTGTCCATCTATAGAGCCTATAGGTAATCTCGATGCAGATGGAGTCGACATATCTAACATCTTTCACTGCGACGGTTTATTCTTATGCTGCATCACCAAAGACAACGACAAAGACTCGTCTAAGCTTGTTGTTTGGAACCCTTACTTGGGACAAAGAAGGTGGATCGAGCCCAGCAAGTCTTACCACAAATGGGAGAAGTACGCTCTCGGATACGACAAGGAGAAGAAGATGCACAAAGTCTTGCGATTTATGAATGATTACGACCCGCTTGTCGAGCGCGAGATTCGTGAGTGTGAGATGTACAGTCTAAGCTCCAATTCGTGGAAGGTCATTGATGATGATTTCACTCCGGACTGGCGTATGACGTGTACTGACCGTGGCTTGACTCTAAAGGGCAACACTTACTGGTATGCTGAAGAGAAGATCCCAATAGAGGGTGGTCCACGGCGGATATCAAGAGAGCTCACTGATTTCCTACTCTGCTTTGACTTCACAAGGGAGAGATTTGGACCGCGTCTGCCTCTGCCTTTCCATGGTTACGGTGGCGATACCGTGTCTCTTTCTAGTGTTAGAGAAGAGCAGCTTGCGGTGCTACATCACGAATACCGTGCGCCTGGGTGCAACGTCAAGATATGGATTACTAACAAGATTGAGCCCAGTGCAGTGTCGTGGAGCAACTTGCTCTTAGCTGTTGATATGAAACCAGTCATTGGTCGTTATTTCATTGGGAGTTTCTTCGTCGACGAGGACAAGAAGCTCGCGGTGGTTCTTCATAAAAAGAAAGGCAACAACATTGCTTATATCATTGGAAATGATGGCTACTTGGAACCAGTGGATCTTGGCGAATCTAAAGTCCAATCGTGTGACCCACTCGTGTGCTCTTATGTTCCAAGCTCAGTGCAAGTCCGAAACTCTCCCTCCTAATCTATTCTCACGTGTTTAATTATTGTTTTCTTTTCTCATCTTAGACTCTATTTGATTTTTTTTTATAACTCATAGCGATTCAATAAGATTGGAGTAGTAACTGAAGACAACGAGTTCGTAGATTCGCACATATCACTGGAAGATTTTCTTTAAGCCTTTAGACTATGTCTCTGTGAGGTTTGTATCATATCCTTAAGACGCTTGGAGGAGTAGATTACAACTAAATAAAAATTAAGAAACACTTGATCACAATGTTACGAATCAAAATATTTAACTTAAATTCTTTATTTTTCTCTTTATTGTTTAAATGGCCAGAAATCATATAAAGCCACCAGCGTAAGGAACTCCCATGTTCGGCAACCAGCTATCTCCGAAAATAAAGTTGGAGACGGTGAACCAAACAGCCTCGGTTCCATTGATCACATGATAACCGGGCCAATTAACCCGGTTAACTATTTCTGAACCAGGTCCGGTGTTCTTGAACTCCGCATAGTACAATGTCCTCAAAGCGAAATCACCCATCCATTCATTCCATCCCTTGCCATCAATAAACCCATCCATGAAATTTTGCAAATAAACCGTCCTTGAGTACTCCTTCCACGGCCGGCCTAAATACGTCTTAACCGAGAAATTACTCGAAACCAATTCAGCACTAGGTGTAATTCGACAATTTTGTATCGAAATCCCGGTATTCTGGTTTGGATCGCTCCTGCCTTGAGCCGTTATGGCATTGAATTGTCCTTCAAGCGGTAGCCTAGGAATGATGTTGCAATTCTGAAGAACCGTGGCTGCGTTTCCAAATATGAAATCTACTGTTCCATATATATCGCACTCTCTGTAAAACTGTCTTAGTGAGTGGACGTAGAGTGTGTCTTGATAACCCTCGAAGCTACATTTGTAAAACGCTGACATGTCTGCACTGTTGCGGACAGCCACAGCTTGGTGTTTGTTAGGCCCGGCTGTGTTTCTCACGGTTATGTTCGCCGCCATGAAGCCTTCTCCGATAACAGCTGAATACAATTAAAGATTAGTGTTTTTATATATGAAAAGAACAAAAAAATTGTCCATAAAAGATCGTAATCAATTTGTTAAACGTATCTCCTGATAGATTTGTGACGTGAAATCCAAGTTACGTTTGTTTCAAATTTAAACGTTGTTTGCATTAATGCTAGTTGAAATCTTTTGTTTTCTTTTTTGTGTTGAAGGGTTATTAAAAAAAAAACATTTTTTATTAAGACAAACAAAATTCTTCATTCTATGGAGGTTTTAAGTTTTCGTTTACGATTTATAAACGATATTTTTGTTTACTGATTACTTACAGAGTGTAGCGGAGGCAAAAGTGGTGGAACCATCAACGACGTTTCTATTTCCGGTGATGATTGTTTTGTCAATGCCGTCACCAATGATCATCACGTACGATTTGTTGCTGGGGACGGTGACGTACTCTTCGTAAACTCCAGCCACGACATAAATCACGAAGTATCCATTTCCGGATTCTGCCTTCGTGGGCGCAGCAGCTACCGCGTCATTTATTGTTTTAAAGGCATCACCATTGACGCCGTTAGGGTTAACGATCACCGTCTTGGCCACCTTCAAGCCACCATTGCCTCCGGGAGAAGACTGTAATATATTAGAGGGTTAAGGAAATCAAACATTGTAACTCTATCTTAAGTAATAGGATTAACATTGTCTAAAAGTACATCAAAAATTCCAAAATATATTTACATAAATAATTCTGGCTTCACCCATTTTGCGTAAGTGTTTATAATTATATAATTAAGAATTATAAATTCAAAAAAAAATCGCAATAAAATTATAAAGTGTTTATTTACTATAAGTTTTTTTTTTCTATAATACTAGGTACTATAAAATGACATACTTGTCTTTTCTTCTCAAACTTCTATTACTAAGAAAATTGGAACATTCAAAATTGTAGACGATCGGTTGATAGAAAAGTAACCTGAATAAGCTTTCGTCCAAGAACCGTAACTCTCTCGTGGATCATTCTCTCACGTTCCATCACCTTCACATACAAATCTTCCGGTGGCGACAAATTTTTCCCCTCTGTCAGAATCCTCGACGGTGGCTTTGTCGCTGAAGGATCTGCTGTTACCGGCCAAGCCTCCTTGGACAAGGCAAGAGAAACGCTAATCAGATTTATACCATCCGAGACACGTGTGAGGATGTCGCCAACGACCGCATACTCCGGAGATTTTCCGGTGAGCTCACGAACCGAGTCTAGGCATGTCTCGTAGTTCGTGAGAGCGGCGCTAAGAAACGTGAGGAGATCGGTGACCTCGGATTTTCCGAGAACATTTTCCTTGATGGCGTTCGCACGTGTGAGCTGGTCAACGGGCAGGCCGGCGAGTAATTGGCAATCTTTAAGAGGTCCTGAGGTGGGATGGTGCTGGTGGAAGGAGGCGAGAAGGTCTTTAGAAGCTTCTAGAGACTTTAGGATGACAATGCTGGCAAATCCGGATACTGAACCGGGTGATCCGATGGGTAGAACGGATTTACAGACGTGCGGGTGAGGTGTGGAATCACAAAGAGCTTCTGAGGAAGTTAGGGCTTGACAATGAGAAAGAGTAGAGAACATAAGCAAAGAGAGGGCCGTGAGGATAATGTTGTTTTGAGCCATGGCTTTGCTATGATTTATAACTACTTGGAAAGTGTTGATGTTACAAACTTCAACATGTTTTTATGTGTATTTATACATGATCAGTCTAATCTTAGTTTAAAATATGTTTGTGTACATATTTTTAAACGTGCAAACAACAATTCATGATTACCAAAGATACGGCTGTCAACAAAAGAATTAGGACAATGTAGATTTTACAGATAAAAAACAGTCAATTTTCCAATTCTTTATGAAGAATGTAAGACTTAAGGTTCGAAGTAATGTGTTAGTGTACGTGGATATTCGTGATTAAATATCTCGTTTTAGTTAGTGGCAGACCATACTCAATCCGGTGGATTCAAGTTAGCTCAAGATATTCTATCAAGATCTACAGATAAAATTGACTGAGACATTCTGGTATCTTTTGTCGACCATTGCTAAAATTAATTATATATATATTAGAAACGAAAAAAGTATAAAACTAAGACACAGATTATAGATTAACATCAATCAATATATCATGATTCGTGATATGTTCTGCTCGAATCAGAGGCTTAAAATGGATGACAAGCAATAAATGACAGAATTCTAAAAATGAATAAAATTTAAATGAATTAATTAGATAGACCAGCGGAGAACGTGACACCTGTTGCCGGAAGCCATCTCCGACCGTCAATGAACGATCCAACGGTGAAGGATAGTGCAGTCCGTTTGTCCATGATATGATAACCAGGCCATTTGACCCGACCCGATGACCGCCAACCCGGCCCAATATTATTGTATTCGCCATACCACAATGTGTTCAAAGCAAAGTTACCAAACCACTCAAGCCAACCTCTAGGCTGGACCAGCTGGCTCATGTAAGTGTTCATGTAAACCGTTCTTGAGTAAAGTTTCCATGGCCGGCCAAGATAAGTAGGCTGCGTGGCCAAGACGTAACTGTTCATTATCACAAACCCTGTGTTCTGGTTAGGGCTTTTTCTCCCTTGCGCAGTTATCGTTACCTTCTGAAGCGGTAACGGAACCCGGGTGTAGATTTTACAGTTCTGTAAAACGGCGGCTCCGTTTCCAAATATGAAATCGATCGTACCATAAATTTCACATTCTCTATAGAACTGGCGAAGGGAATGGGCGTAAAGGGTGTCTTGGTAACCTTCAATGCTACATCGGAAGAAGGCGGATTGGTCGGAATCCACCCTCAATGCGACAGCTTGACGGTTATGCGGCCCGGCCGTGTTTCTGAAAGTTATGTCCCTTGCTATGAATCCTCTTCCGGAAACAGCTGATCAAAACCAAATTAAGAGTCAAACTAATTCATTAGATATATAAACAATTTTTTATTGCATTAAGCAGTCACTTGTAGCACACGAAAGGGATGAATTATATAATAACAGAATGCAAAAAGCTTGAAACTCTTCAGTTTGCAAAAACCAAGAGAATATATGTTTAGTTCTGATTTCCTGAAATACTAATAAACAAAAGTTGACCAAAACCAAAAAGAGAGAAAAGAACAAAAAGATTAATCAATCAACTAATTAATTATATATAGTAGATATTTGTCTAGCACAAGAAAGGAATGAGTAATAAGAAAAAACACTATAAAAGCTTGAAAGCCAGCGGATTGCAGAAAGCATAGATGCTTTTCTGATTTTCAGACACACTAATAATTAAACAAAAGTTGACAAAAACCAAAAAGTGAGAGGAGTACAAAAAGTTAATCAATCAATTAATTAACTAAATTAAAAATTTATTAATACTAACCAACGGTTGCAGTTCGGAAAGTGGTAAGACCCTGCAAGAAATTCCGATCACCGGTAATGATGGTCTGTCCAATACCGTCACCCATAAGCATCATGTTTGTCTTCTTCTTCTTCAAATCAATATTCTCTTTATACAAACCTTTCTTCACGTATATAACATATCTCTTTGTGCTATGATTAGGAGCCTCGTTGATGGCCTCATTAATCGTCCGGTACTTCCCTTTTCCATCCAGCGCCACGACTGCGTCAGGGTGCATGGCGCTCGGATCGAGCCGCATGAGGCTCTCATCGGTCTCTGGGAGCCATTCAGGGCTAGCGGGGAAGCTCTCGTTCCTAGATGCCTTGAAAGGCAAGGCATTGAGCTGCGTGTACATGTCTAGGACATTGCTAACGAGCTGAGTGACTTGTCTTAAGCTACCTTTGATCAATTCCTCGTACTTTCTCTCTGTTCCTTCAAACCCTTCTAGACACGTGTCTTGGTTACTCATTGCCGCGCTTAGCCACGTCTTAAGGTTGCCTCCTGCAGCAGCAGCGTCGTGAGAGCCACCGTCAATTCCTCCTCCTCCATGGAGTTTGTTCATCTCCAGCATGGACCACGCCAGCTCCGTCACCGAGAAGCCGACAAGCTCTTTGCAATCCTCTATTGCAATTTGTTCACGGGAACGGAAAGATAGCGTCGTGACCGTTGGGATTCCTTCCATTGCCAACTTGGCTTTGTCGTGCGCCTCCTTTACGGCAGCACTTAAAACCGAGTGCGGGTTTAACCCGTGACCCGATTTCTCGATGTGCGTTCGGATGTTGGAAACGCACAACTCGTGGGCATCGATAAATTGGCACGCTTTGGCGACCAAGGACCGAACGTTTTCTTCTTTGTAGGGTTTGAAGATTGTGGTTTCGGACGAAAAAGTTTGAACGAACATAAGCATTATAAGTAAGAGAAGAGCGGTGAGAAAGCCGGTAATGCCCATTTTTGTGAAAATCGGTTTCGGGTTTGGTGTTTAGGTTAGCAAAAGAAAAAGAACATAGGTTCGAAAGAAGGCTTATATATAGAAATAATTCTTGGTAGGTTTAGGTATTGATTGTTGGTGAAGAAATGTTCTTTGCCTCTTTGGGAACTGTAGGAACAGATTCAAACTTTAATTTTTTACCTTCTTCTGTTACTCTTTTCTCAAGGCAAAGTTATTCTTTCTTTCTTCATTTGGCCAAAAGCTCTTTGTTTTGCTCTATAAACTTTAGATTCTGCTTCTAGCAACGAGGTATCTGAATTCAACCGGTTCAACGATGCGATGACGGACTTTATAAACCGATTGGTTCATCAAGCGAATGAATAAACCGGTATTTTCCGGGTTTCTTCCGGTTTGTAACGCTGCATTTCTTCCCTCCCATTTGTCATCTTATCTGCTGGGAAAAAAAAACTGGTAAGGTGAGCAAATCCGTTAATCTCTAGAGAAATCGTAGTCGTAGCGGTGAAATTCATCAGCTTCCGCCATCAATGGCACTAACCCAGATAGTGAATCCCATCATCTGCCCGACTCCCACAGTTCCACGACGATTCACGGCGATCTCGCCATTTAAAACCCTAAACCCCCAATTTTCCCGCTACGCACCTCAGGCACTCTCTCGCAGACTCTTCCTTCCCTCTGTTTCCTCGATCTGGGATGCCATAACCGGCGGCGGAGATTCAAACCCCCGCGAGGCCATTGCAGCGGTTCGAAGCGGAATGCAGCTTTTCAAAAAGGTAAAACTCTTAGAGAAATTGTTCTAAAATAAACACTTTTTATTTACTTCTCATCTTTAAATATGAAATGATATGCGAAATGTTTGTGAAAGGGTGATGTTTCTGGATCGGTGACAGAGTTCGATAGAGCTATTGTGTTGGATCCCCGGCAAAAGGCATGTAGGTTTTAGTTTTATGTGCTTTGTCTTTATCTTACAACTTCATTTTCTCTAGAAAGCTTGAAAATTGGATCAAATCTTTAGAAACTCATGCCTCACGAGAACACTAATGTTTGCTTTGATGACAGATTTGTGGCAACGCGGGCTTTCTCTTTACTACCTGGATAGGTACTAGCTCCTGTTCATTGTCATTGTCTCATCTTATGGACTTGAGAGTGTAGATATTGCCTCATTCTGTTGCAGTTTTTGGTTTCTGAATATCGTATGAACCAATGAAATATCCTGCATATAACCAACAGGTTTGAAGCAGGTGCAGAGCAGTTCCGGTTAGATGTTGCCCAGAACCCAAATGACACCGAGGAGTCGATTTGGTGCTTTCTCTGCGAGGCTCGGCTCCACGGTATTGATGTTGCACGCAAACAGTTTCTTGAGGTTTGTTTGTTTTCTTGTCCTAAAGCTTATATTACCTGGTCAGTAACAAAATCAAGATATGAGATTTTAAGAAACCATTCTTTTGTAGGTTGGTAGAGATTCTCGGCCTGTGATGCGGGAAGCTTATAACCTATTCAAGAACGGTGGTGATCCTGAAAAGGTTTTTGACACAGGTTTCTTGATAATTAATGTTATGATTTTCTTCCACCAAACTGTCTTAATGTTCTGGTTTTGAAAAAAAATAAAAACAGTTAGTTAATGACTTCTCGAGCGGTCAAGCAAGTGAAATCTTCTACGCTTCGCTGTATGCAGGGCTCTATTACGAAGCTGAGGTATATTTTTGATCTTGAATTTCTCCAACACGATCTTCGTTGACATCTATTGTTCTATAAGAACAAACAGCCTAGTTCACACAACTCAAGCAATTTTGTTTAAGTTTCTTGTCTGATTCTCGCATGTAGGGTAAATCAGAAAACGCAAAGTTTCATATAACCGCGGCTTGTGAATCTCCATATGGGCAGAGGTTTGAATTCCTAGAGCACACTTAGAGCAATCAAAATGAAGAAATGTTTAGTTTTAGTGTTTTTGAGGCTTTTTATCCCAAATTTGTTTCAGGTCTGATGATTACATGGCTTCACTTGCTAAAGTTCACTGCCTTTGTAGAAATTGGAGCTCCGGTTTTGTTTGAAACGGTTTATGCTTTTAGAACCTTTCATTCGTATTTTATTTTTTCAAGGCCCAGTTTGTAAAATCTTAGCCCAATTAAAAAGTTTAACCCAAGTTTGCAATTCCCGAGCTTTATTTCTGGAACTTGAACCAGAATGTTGTAATTTTACTAGGCTCCTAAACAATGTTTGGTGTTATCCCCTTACATTACATAAAAGTGTTATAAAAATTAAGAAGGTTCAATATCGTTTTCGGTTAAATATATCTAGTTTATAATACTTTAATAGTATAATTTTGTTTAGTTTATAGTTTCTAATAATTTAACGGACACTAAACTAGTGTGATTGCACTGGCATGAAACACTGCCGTCTTAGAATATCTCATTCGCAAACATTTTCACAAAATTATTTGTTGAAACTCTTAGTAATTATCAGTATTTGGAATTCCCAAAAAAAATAAAAAAAAATTCACTTCCCTAACTCGAAAGTCGAATATATATGAACGTTAATTTCACAATTAGTTTCATATAAAAGAAGAGTCAGTCAGACAAAGGAAAATTCTATCTAATTCATACAGTACTTTGTTTGTGATAATTACTTAATGAAAAAAATGGAGGCGGAGACACTAATCATATTTGTCTAATCACATGTTATATGGATTAAGTTAGCGTTTTTTTGGGAATATTCTGATATTGTAAAGCATACAAATTTGGGATATTCTTGTCGTTTGATGCTTGCATGGCATATACTTCGCACAACTGCAACTCTTCTATAAGAAAAAGACCAGATTGTCCCTCGATACCATATCAACATACCAACCAATATATGTCTCAAATTCGTATTACTCTTTCAAACTGGAGGGAATTTCTAAAACCAAATTTAAGATGCCTTAATAGTTTTAATTTTTTTACCCATGAAACGAGAGAATATAATTCGAATTTTCATACTATGATTTCAATGATGGTTATAATAATACGACAAAAAAAACATCTATTTATTATTTACGCAAGTCAAAGTCTAAGGGTAAAACAGTCATTACCCTATTTTGTTTAAGACGAGAAATAAAACCCTGAGCTCTTGTCCAACTTGGAAACGATGTAACCAAGTTGCAAATACACGGCAAGGGTAGACGGGAGTGAGCATGTACCCCCGATCTTTACCGTACACGTGGCAGTAAACGTACGTGTCATCATCTCACGATGCAAACTGATACATTCGTTAAACCTAACGTGACGGAACCACCTCCCTTCCCGTTGAATCTACTATTTGCCAGACAGATTTAAACCATAATTAATTATATATATATGCATAAATCCGAATTATTGATCAGTGGAATCTCGATTCTTTCGGGCATGTCATCCTGCTAAACTACGGCGAGTTTTGACGACGGTGAGGGGAAATTTATCGATGACGACTGAGAAATTGCTCGTCCCTAACGGCGTTAAGTCTGACGGCGTCATCAGAAGAACCAGAACTTCCGGAGCTAATGCGGCGGCGGCGAGTTATCTCGGCGGCGGAAGTCAGATATTCGACGAGCTTCCAAGGGCGGCGATCGTCTCCGTCTCCCGACCCGACACCACCGATTTTAGCCCCTTGCTTCTTTCTTACACCTTGGAGCTTCAGTATAAACAGGTATTGTGCATACATACGCCTATACGTACATATTTATACAATGTCGACTTGTAGTTTAGGAGAGACTAGTTTCCTCTGTTAAATTGTCATTAGGGTCTGGTTTTATGCCCAAATTGATTTGATTTTTTCCTTTTTTCTCATTCCCTTCCGTCTAGAAATTATGATATTTATGACAAAAAAAAAGATTCAAGACGAAGAGATTTAGTTTGAAAACAAAAGGACGTTTACGAGTGAACATATGCAATTTCAGAGTTTTTTTTTCTCTCTCTTCTCCACGAGTTTATGTTCTGTATAAATTAGGAACAAACAGAGAACTTGACACTGGTATCCTCTGTTTTGGTGTATGCTTTAGTTCAAGTGGACATTACAAAAGAAAGCTTCTCAAGTTCTATACCTACATTTTGCTTTGAAGAAACGTTTGATCATTGAAGAACTCCACGAGAAGCAAGAACAGGTCAGAATTTCCCGGATTTGCAGATTTGCTAACACACACACACACACACACAAAAGAAAAGCTTGAACTCGATACTTACGGTTTTGGACAGGTTAGAGAGTGGCTGCACAGCTTGGGGATCTTTGATATGCAAGGATCAATCATGCAAGATGATGAAGAACCCGACGACGGTGCTCTTCCTCTGCACTGCACCGAAGATAATGTCAAGAGCAGGTGCTTTCTAAAGCAATGATCTCTAAGTTTTGTGAATTCGAGTTACAAATGATGACCAAAAATACTGAAACATTAGGTTTTTAATGTTATATAGGAATGTTCCTTCGCGCGCAGCGTTTTCAATCATCCGTCCCACAATAGGCCGGTCAGAGACAGTTGTAGACCGTGGGAGAACCGCAATGCAAGGCTACTTGAATCTCTTTCTAGGGAACTTGGACATTGTAAACTCTAAAGAGGTTTGAGTTTTTTTCTGTGACTTTTCGAAGTTGTGATTTCCATGTTCCTTGCGTCACACTTAAAATGTATCCGCAGGTCTGCAGGTTCCTGGAAGTTTCTAGACTCTCGTTTGCTAGAGAGTACGGTTCGAAAATGAAAGAAGGGTATGTCACAGTGAAACACCTGAGGAAAGTCCTTGGTTCTGATGGTGGCCGATGCTGTCTTCCTTCGCATTGTCTCGGCTGCTTTGGAAACAGCTGGGCAAAGGTTCGGAGAATAATAAATTCTGATTGTTTGTGTAGAAGTTTTGAATTTTTCTGCTCGGATGAATGATTCCTGATTTTCTTGGATGTTTTTTAGGTTTGGGCGGTTCTGAAACCGGGATTCTTGGCGTTACTTGAAGATCCGTTCAGCGGGAAGCTTCTAGATATAATGGTGTTCGATTCACTGGGGTTCCAGGGTACGAAAGAGTCTTCTGAGCAACCGCGTTTGGCTGAACAGGTGAAGGAACGCAACCCATTGCGTTTTGGATTTAAGGTTACAAATGGGGGCCGAACCGTGAGGTTCAGAACTACGAGCTGCAGGAAAGTCAAAGAGTGGGTTAAGGCTGTGGACGAGGCCGGTTGGTACATTCCACATCGGTTTGATTCATTTGCGCCGCCTAGAGGATTGACATCAGACGGAAGCCAGGCTCAGTGGTTCGTAGATGGTCACACCGCGTTTGAAGCAATCGCGTTTGCAATCCAAAACGCTACATCAGAGGTACTATTTCTTTGCGTCAACTTGTAGTAGTTAAGAACCTTATCACAGGTTCATAGAATTTGAGTGAGGTCTAAATATAACTCTCATCTGTAGATATTTATTACGGGTTGGTGGTTATGCCCAGAGCTGTATCTCAAACGCCCGTTTGAAGATCATCCGTCTTTGCGGCTCGATGCATTGCTTGAGACAAAAGCAAAACAAGGCGTTAAGGTATGCTTCATTTCTCACAGTGGATGCGATTGTTTTTTTTTTTAATAAACGCAAACACTAAAAACTTTTGAGTTTTTTTTTTGCAGATTTATATTCTTATGTATAAGGAAGTTCAAATCGCGCTGAAAATCAACAGCATGTACAGCAAGAGACGGCTTCAAAGCATTCACAAGAACGTTAAAGTTCTTCGTTATCCAGACCATCTCTCCACCGGAATTTACCTCTGGTACAGTATTTAATACCAAGCCCTCAAATTTTCTTAACTTCTTAGCTACAAGCACAAATTAATCAAAGTTGAATTAATTATATGGGGTTTTTTTTCAGGTCACACCACGACAAGATAGTGATTGTAGATTACCAAGTTTGCTTCATCGGAGGGTTGGATCTCTGTTTCGGCCGCTACGACACAGCTGAACACAAAATTGGAGATTGCCCTCCTCATATATGGCCAGGAAAAGATTATTATAATCCTAGGTAAGATCCTGAACTTTTACTTACCGTTTTTCAACAAAAAGAATCGTCTTTCCGACAGAATTGTTATATCTTGTTGTCAGAGAATCAGAACCAAATTCATGGGAAGAAACCATGAAAGACGAGCTAGACCGGAGAAAGTACCCGAGAATGCCGTGGCACGAGGTTCACTGCGCTCTCTGGGGACCGCCTTGTCGCGATGTGGCTCGACATTTCGTCCAGCGTTGGAACCACTCTAAGGTAATTGAAATGCAGAGATATCGCGGTTTTTATTAGCAATTGCGTTTTGTTTTTTAAAAACAAGGTTTTGAATATATTTAGTCTTTGTTCGAATTAGAGAAACAAGGCACCTGATGAACAGACGATTCCATTGCTGATGCCTCATCACCATATGGTTCTTCCTCACTACTTGGGAACTAGAGAGATCGATATAATCGCGGCACCTAAACCGGAGGAAGACCCTGACAAACCTGTTGTTCTTCTTGCCAGACAAGATTCATTCTCATCTGCCTCACCTCCCCAAGACATCCCTTTGCTTCTCCCGCAAGAAACCGATGCGGATTTCGCCAGCAAAGGAGATATGAAGTTTGACAGCGGTTCAAGTCAAGATTTCGATGGTCGAGATGCATCTCCTGGGGAAACTTCAGAGGAAAGCGATCGGGATGAGACTGTGAACGAGTGGTGGTGGCAAATCGGGAAACAGAGTGACTGCCGGTGCCAGATCATCAGAAGTGTTAGCCAATGGTCGGCTGGGACTAGCCAGCCTGAAGATAGCATTCATCGAGCTTATTGTTCACTCATCCAAAACGCTGAACATTTTATCTACATCGAGGTACATACACATAATAATATATTCATCATTCAAACATTTTCATATAAAATCTTCTCTTGACATTTCATTAATCCTATATATTCCTCTTAATCTTCTGGTTTACCAGAACCAATTCTTCATCTCTGGGCTAGAGAAAGATGACACGATTCTAAACCGCGTTCTCGAAGCGTTATACAGACGCATTCTCAAGGCTCATGAAGAGAAGAAGTGCTTCCGTGTAGTGATCGTTATACCGCTCCTCCCTGGATTTCAGGTACAGTTTGGTTTTTCCTGCGGCATTCACAAATTGTTAGCCGAATTAAAACTGCGATACCAATCATTATTTTCTTATGCTGACATCTACTTAAACAGGGAGGTATCGATGACTTTGGAGCAGCTACTGTTCGAGCACTGATGCATTGGCAATACCGTACCATCTCCAGGGAACGAACTTCGATTCTTGACAACCTTAACGCTCTGCTCGGTCCCAAG